CCAGCTAGCCACCGTGGCTCCCTATCTTCAAAAAAGAAAAAAACAATTTTTGCCCGGTTGCATTATTGTCCTTTTTTGGGAGATACGCATACATCGTTTCATTAGTTGTGAAGAGGTGGTAATATCGTTGGACCTTTATTGATAGGTGATGGCTTTTGCCAATAGATAAATTTGTGCTAGGTAGCTTCATCGCGTGCTGTAATGTACACCATCTGTAAAGGAAGCGAAATAAAAGACGCCCACCCTACCCCATAATTTGGTCTCACTAAATCCATGTCACGTCACATTGCCGAGTGTTGTTGGCCACAACAATCTGCAGATTGTTTGCAAACATGTTCCCTTGTAATGAACCAACAATGATTCGGTTCGAATGTGGGATTTGAGGAAGCCGGTGTTGGAGATTTCACCGTTTGGAGACGAAGGGAAGATTTTTGCACGCAGTCGGAGACTTTATGAGAGATCTTACTTTGTGACACAATTCATTAATGTTTGTTTTTCCATTATACCGCATACATGCATTCTCAAGAATATTTCCACCCAGCCCAAGGTCGAGGTACCTTAAAGTTATAAACGCTTAGAATTATCTGGACTGTCCTAGATGTCATATATTAACAGTTAGCATACACACCTGCACGATTCCTGTTTTTGTTTTACCTTTATTAAAAACATTGCAGAAACCATTCTCTTCGCCAGACAGTATCGCTACTGTTTATTATACGCTATCAATAATATCACGTCATGTCACGTGTTGTTACGCCAGGCCACGTCAACAACCAAATTACAGCATGAACAATCTGATTAAAACACGGACTCTATTTCGTTTCGGTTTTTTTATAGTTCAAAATTTCGTTTTACTTGTCTTTACTACACTAGGATCTGGAAGAGTTGTGACTTTACCGACGTACTGGTTGAAGTGGGAGAATAGCCAACGAAACCACTAGAAACGTCAACGCTGATTGATTAATCAATGTCTGTCGTCATAGGTCAAAAGCCGCTCGTACGACCCCTGACGTGAACTTCAAGTACAGCCGGTCAGATCTTCATGTAGTGTAGGTCATTGAAATTATAAAAAAACGAAACGAAATATAGATAATAATAATAATAATAATGAGGTTTTATATAGCGTCTTCTCCATGTTAACACATGCTCAAAACGCTTTTTGTAATGGCTCTACTGGTAAAACTGTCGAAACAGGAAAGTCTTTAGTGCGGATTTAAATTGATTAAAAGTTTGTTGATTCTTGATCTGTTAAGGAAGTTCGTTCCATAATCTAGGACCAGCTGAACTGAAAGACCTATACCCATATGCCTTAAATTATATCTTGGAACAACTAGTGACTGTTTATTTTGAGAGCGAAGTGATCTAATAGGGTTGTAGTCATATAAGAGTTCAGATAAGTATTGAGGAGCTGCATCATTGCGACATTTATACACTAATGTTAGTATTTTGTATTTGACTCGCGCCTCAGCAGGTAACCAATGTAAAAAGCCAGCACATTCTGTCCTTGTTACTATTCGGGCTGCAGTATTAAGAACCTTTTGGATCTTGGCTAGAAGTGCTTGTGGGATTCCATAGAGTAAACTATTACAATAATCAATCCTTGATAAAATAAGTGATCTCACAAGTAGTTTACAAGCGTCAGCAGTGAGATAGTTTCTGATGTTGCAAATACAGCGTAGATGATAGTAGCATGTACGGCATACCATATCAACCTGAGCGTCCATTGTCAGAGAAGGATCAAATATCACTCCAAGGTTTCGAACATTTTTGGAGAAATTTATTTCTGAATTACCAATGGTGATTTTAAGATCAGGTACTAGCTTGAGTTGTTGAGATGAACCTTCTAAAAGAGCCTCTTTTTTATCGTCGTTCAATTTTAGTTTGTTCGCTTTCATCCACTGTTTAACTTCCAGCGAACAGTCAGTAGTTTTTTGTAAGGTATTTCTGATTAGCACTAACTAGTCACATAGGACTAGACACATAGGACTAGACATAGGACTAGACAGATCTGTATTTTAATCATATTGAGGTAAAACCATTTTTTTTAACCGACCGTCGAAGATTTCCAAAATATTAAGGGCTCTTTAACATCACAAAAACATTATGTCCAGGAAAAGTGAGAAAGAAACATGCTGAAATCTCGGACATCTCTTGCTAGTTATCCTAGATGGAAAGATAAACCGTAATTATACATTATTGATATGTACTAGTGGTTACTATCGTGTTTCTCTGTAGATCTAACCTAGTACAGAGTGCGGTGTACCGTACAACGCCGAGTAAAACAACATACGATCAAATTATTATAAATTTATAGAAAATAAATACAGCAAAAAATATGTGTTTTTCGTCATTAACCTAGTTGTTTCATTACAGTCAATTGTCGGGTATAGAGCTTAAAGTATTTATTTTATTATATATCTTATACGCCTATTTAAAAGCCTCTTCGTACAATAAAAAATTATGCACTGCCTTTTCGAACTTTTGGGCAATTGTCGCGAATCAATCAGCATTTTAAGACTTAATGTAGGGAACATTTTGATAGGAAAACGGGACCGTCTTAATATATCTGGTAAATTCCTCATAAAACTGACCAAACTACCACTCTAGTTAGTCTATGTATATTATGTATATAATATAGTGACGGGTGTCGTTCATGAAGCAGAGTGTGCTTATCTTTTCTCGAACAATTGATAATTGATTTATTTTGAAACATCTGACTATTTAGATTGTGAGAATGTACCATAGCAAACTTATTTCGGACCTGGCCAATTTGTGAATAAAGATCATAAAGGGCGGCGACCTTTAAGTCGTGCGAAGACTACTTTTATTTGTTTTGTGTAAACTCCCTTGAACTTTAGAAAAAATACTCACGTTGTGTATACACGTGAGAAACAGAACGAAGCCTCTTTAGACTGGTATGGTATACTTAATCCACCCATATGAATAAATACTATGAATAACAATAGCACACCTAAACTGTAAAATCGTAATCATAAGTAACTTTTACTAATAAGTATAAGTAGTTTATGTAGCTGCTCTCGGACGCTTTACAACCCTATTTGGGGGTACACATTTACATCGTGTATAGGAACCATTGACAGATAGAATTCGACTTAAGCGTAGGCCGTGGCGCCGCTGTCCGGGCAAATTTTCCCCATTAGTCTAATCAGTGCAGAAAAGTAGGAGAGACAGAGACAGAGAGAAATGGGGTTTAACGTCCACTCGACACAACTAGGTCATTTCGGGACTAACATATGGTTAAAATTTTATTTCAATAATACGCTTGCGCAAAAGGGTCTTTAGCAGTGGGAAGAAACCGGAGGACCCGGAGAAAACCCACGAGGTTGGACAGGCGACCCTACTCCTTGTCACGTACAACCGGGGATTCGAAACCACGCCAGTCGACTCAATGACAGACTTTATGATACAGCGCGCGCACGCTAACCATTCAGCCCCCCCCCCCAGGAAGAGTAGGAGTTAAACCCCATTTCATTTCATTTCTATCTAAGGAGTTTTGATTTTCACAAAAATAACAACTTGCATGATTTATCTTATGGATTAAAGTCATGGCTGGTCTTTTACCAACTTTTCTAATATCGACATAGGCAATTTTCACTGGAATCTTAAGTGTAAAACCTGTTTATCACTAGAATCCTTTACATTTGTTTAAATGTGAATACAGCTGTATTTGACAAAATAGTGAAATATATATAGTGTACATAGTGTTACGTGTTTAGGGCATGCAAAACGGAGAGTCGTTCGGGTGGTACTTAAAACAACCCCTGACAGTTGGAATCCGACTTAAGAGTAGGCCGTAGCGGGAACGGGAACTTGGTTTTTCGTACCATCCCAACTACTAGACACTGTCCTTGTCAGACCCTCCGTTCTGCACATTTCTTTTGGGCCTCGATTATCAAAAGTACTATTTTAATATTTATTCGAGTTTTCACAGATATTATCGTGGTGAATTAGCTTATTAAATTTATACGCTTTATTTAGATCAGTACAGCGAAGAAGCCTATTGAGTTTCAGCAATTTCCATTAACTACCTCTAGAGTTATTGCCCTTGTTTCACTTTGTTGAACTCCCTGTCAACGCTCCAATTTCATCATCCGATCTGTATTAAATTTATATGCATTATTTACATTAGTAAAACGAAGGATCCTATTGAATTTCAGCAATTTCTGTTAAACACTTCTACAGTTATGGCCCTTGTTTCACTTTGTTGAAAATTGCAAACGCTCTATAGACAAAAGTTATCCTTCGATCTGCATGAAATTGATATCAGTACCTTGTAAATTCTCCCATTTCCCACAAAGGAATAAATATGCGAACTTTTTCGACTACGTGGACGACGTAGCTGCCGTGGGTGTATGTTTCGTTGCTTGGCAACCTAGCTTTATTAATAACAACATTCCTAGTTAAAGAAACGCGATATCCGGTACCGTACAAGGCGTATCCTGTTGTTATATATACATAATAACATGATATTAAAGGTCATTTCAGAAAGACATACACAACTGGAATTATAAACATCGTGGCTATATAACTCTTTATTATTTTCAAAATTATTAAAAATTATTGAAGTATTAAAATATTTTATTTCTTTAATTTCAGCGTGGGGATACGAGAACAGTGGTATGTATATCTGATATATTTTACCTATCATACAATAACCTAATTACAAATGAAGAAATAAGAATAAGGACTGTGAATTAAGGACTAAAAATTAAGACCACTGAATAAAGAGCCGTTTGGTCTTCCATAATAAGCAAGGCGTTTAATTGTTGCTTATAATTTCATCAACATAAGCAGTATGCTGCTGGAATAGGATGTGGATGCTCTGTCCAATTAGAATTATATTCTTCATCTTATATCGTGGTAAAGATAATTTAATTTTAATTCAAAGTGTGGGGAATTATCAATATATTAATATGTTTCAGGACCGTCAAATTGGGCACAGACTTACTCTACATGTGGCGAGAACAGTCAATCACCCATCAATATTGAGGTTTCCTATGCAACATTACAAGCCAGCCTTGGAAACATGACAATAACCGGATATGACACACCAGTTGCCTTGACGATTAAAAACAACGGACACACCGGTAAGATATGTTAAAATAATATGATGATGTCTGTCCTTTTCTAAGCCTGTGTCCCTTAGCACCCCTAGTGCTGTCTCGTCTTGATAACCGAGATTCTGGGAGCGAACCAATGATTACGGTCATTGGGGAGATATACCAGTAGATTAAAATATCTGTCCCTGAACCTAGTTAGTGGTTTCTCGTTTCATCCGCTAAGGACCACTTTCAAGCCCTTCCAACCTCCATTTTCGTAAAAGATGGGCCTTCCTTTGTTCAAATTTAATTAAGGACTTGGTTAATCGGGGGGAGTCGCGGTGGTTCAGTGAGTAAGGCACTGGCTTACATTTCTTCACAAACTGGGATAACGAAGACGGGCATACGTCATGCAATGAGTGAAATGTTTCAATTGAATTCCAGCTGTCAGATGTTCCTTTACGTTCACGCATAGGTTTAAAACGGAACCCCGGTTTTCGTCCTATCCCAACGACTAGACGATGTTACTTGCCAGACCCTCCGTCCTGCACCCGCACCACTGGCGGAATTCCTCGGCCAACACCCGGGTTAAACCCCTGACTTTCTGGTTAGTAAGCCAGTGCCTTACACAATGACCACCATGACTCCACATGAAATGGGGTTTAACGTCCTACCATTGTGCATCAATTGGGCCAATGACGAAGAGCATACGCCATGCAGTGTGTATCTGGCAGGAGATGTATAGTTCCTGGTAGATTTGAAGTATCAGAATTTTATTACTGTTGTTTAAGTATGATTTTCACTAATCTATGAATGAATGGAATGGCGGGGTTAACATCCCCGTTTCTGACCCAACCGGGCTAATGAAACATGAGTTTCACTAAGCTGTTGTATGTGAATATTTTATTATTATTTCAGCCCAAGTTGACGTCACCGGTGATCAATATATTTCGAATGGCGGCCTTTCAGAACAATATAAACTTGCACAGTTTCACTTTCATTGGGGATCTGATGACACGAAAGGTTCCGAACATCAACTTAATAGCAAAACCTATCCCATGGAAGTAAGTTCTCTTTGAAGAATGTTGCTGTAGTTTTCGTTACAAAATTGAAGAGGCGTACGTAGGTGTGTTATTTGGGCACTGGATCGAACTATCTGCTAGAATATTTTTGGTTCGATCCCAGACGCTTGACAAAAAGAGGATTCGGTTGATTTTTAAAGCCGTCCCTGACTTTTCAAAGGTCACCTCAACGAGACAGTCATACTGGCAACCCCTTCGCTTGATGCACGAAATCAAAGTAAAATAAAATAACATCGTGTTAGCCTGGGGGGGGGGGGTTGCCGAATGGTTAGCACGTGTGCGCTGTATCGTAAGGACTGTCACTGTACGTGACATGTGTTAGTCCTGAAATGACCTAGTTTATGTCCAGTAGACGTTAAATCCTCCCTCTCTCTCTCTCTCTCTCTCTCCTCTCTCTCTCTCTCCCGAGTATTGCTATAATAAATTCAATATAATAATTTATTGAAGTGCTGATATTGTAACATGGATGGGGCAATAAGTATGACCATGAAGCTCTAAGAAAAAAATACTTTCCTGCTTCAATTTCTAGGTTCATTTCGTCCATTATAAAAATTCTCTAGGAAGTCTAGGAAGTTCTGTAAATGAAAATGAAGGTCTTGCTGTTCTTGGATTCATGTTTGAGGTAAGCAATAGAAGTTAATATCGAAGCTATAAGAAACACGTCCTAAGCATATTTCAGTATGATATGGTTAGAAATTAAGATATTAATTGTAAGTATTTTATTAATAATCCAGTCGTTCGGATGGGACGAAAAAAAAAACGAGATTCGTCTTCATGTTGGCGTGAACGTAAAAATGAACTCTTGCCAGTTGGAAGTCGAAACAAGAGTAAACGGTACCGCCGGTGTCAGGGCGAAATCTACCCAATAGCACCCAATAGCACTGTAGGGCGGATACCCGATTTCGTTAACCCAGTTGGTGCAGACATGTAGGAGACTAAACCCAGTCATTTCATTCCATACAGGCCAAACAAAACATAACATTACGACTGGAATATTCTCTTGTAAATTGTAATGCGTGTAAGGCCTAATGTGCTAATATGTATATGTTTTATTTGTAGATTTCAGACAGTGATAATGCCAATTATGCTGATCTTATTTCTAAATTAGCTGACATTACAGCATACAACTCTAGCAGTAAGTATGTTATTGACAATTAGTGGAATATTATTAGGAAAGCAGGGTTAGTTGGCCGAAAGGTGTAATACGTGAGCTGTAATATGGAGGAAAATATGGCAAAACGCACATATAAATGTAATATGAATTGCATTACAATTTTTATTGTAATTTCTAATCCGGGATGTTCTACAAAAGACGTGAGCTCGCGTCTGGTTAGTCCAGTCTACATCAAAAGTACGATTTGACAATGGCATGGTCACCCATAGAAATATAGTCTATATTTCTATGATAAGGCCGCCATTGTACCAGAAGATTTCACCAAGCTCACGAGATGTAACCGCCGTGTCATTTTGTTAAAATTAATAAAAGTTAACATTGTTCCAGAGAGTACGACTGGAATGATCGTGACTGATAATGTACGTTGTGATGTTTGTCTAATTGATTTTATTTTAAATTACAGACCTGGTATCTTTAACCAACACAGCTCTGATGAACTTTATCCCAAGTAATCCAACCAACTTTTTGCGATACAGTGGAAGTTTGACAACACCCTCATGTAATGAAGTTGTTGTGTGGACAGTTTTTACTGATACTATTAAAATCTCAAAAAGCCAGGTACGTTTATTGACAAAACATAGATATGATCTTCTGGAATATGTTGGAATACATCCAATGTAAAATACAGTCTTGTATCTGTGTAAGACACTATGTCCTGGAGTTTTCTCAGTTGTGTTCATTAAAGGGTAATGTCAACATTTGGTGCTTTATGTGTCTTGGACACGTGATACGCAGCAATTACAGGTATAGGAATATATACAAAAAAGGATTTTAAATTGTCCAAATTTGCATAGCGGTTACCAACTGCTCACCTTTCAAGATTCCTTCTCAGTGATATAGTCTCTTGGATCGCTAGTTGTCCGCTGTGATAAGTTAACGTAATGTAACTAAGGACAGTTTAAGATCTGAGAATAAAAATTCAGAATGCTTGGCAAAGTAACTGTACTAATATGAGCATCACGAATACAAAAACACAAGGAAAAATCTTAGGCCTATAAATAAATGAGAAGAAATATGCCGTCTTCTGTAGGCCTAGAGATGATTTTGAATTCTCATAAAATCAATATTTTGTTTTACAGATGGTGGCATTTCGTTCATTGATGTCCTCTGAAACCGATTCCAATAACCAACAATATAATATAACCAACAATTTCAGACCAGTGCAACCGCTAAATTCCAGGCCAGTCTTTTCTAATAACGGTATGTTATCACATATCTTATCCGCCATTCTGGGGATCTCGCTGGCTAAGTGGGTAAGCCGCTGGCTCGCTAGCCTGGAGGTCGGGTGTTCGATCCCTGCATTGGCCGAGAAAGTTCATTCAGATTTCCCGGCGTGGTTCCCCCTTGTCAGTGATGCAGGATGGAGGGCCTGACAAGGACAGCTGTCTAGTAATTCGGATGCGACGAAAAACCGAGGTCCCGTGTACACATTGGCGTGCACGTAAAAGATCCCTTGACAGTTGGAATTCGATATAAGAGTAGGCCGTAGTGCCGCTGTCCGGGCAAAATTTCCCCTTATAGTACACTGTATGGCGTATGCCCGTCTTCATTAGCCCAGTTCGGAGCAGAACAGTAGGACGTTAAACCCCATTTCATTTCATCCGCCATTCTCTTTGGTCAAATTCATCCAAACATTATTTTTTTGATGTAAAACCAGATAATGTGATTAATTTTCAAAGCAAGCGTGTCGGGGGGGGGGGGGGGGTGTAGTGGGACTGACAATTTACAGTGCATTCAAACAGCGTCTAGTTGTTCGGATAGGACGAAAGAGTAGTCCGTAGCGCCGAAACACAGAATTACCACTACATGTGGAATTTATTAATTCTATAATTAAATACGCGTATATGTGTAGTGGCCGTGTATTTATGTAGTGGACAATAGCTTATATCGTAGATCAATAACATGTGGGGTTCAATGAGTTCGGTGCATCTAAAATTTTCCTCGGTTACTGCTTATTCTTCTCTTATATCTGAGTTTTGTTTTCAGTAAATGGTGATTGGTCGAATTTCACTCCATGGACAGCATACGATGACTGCACCGTCATGTGCGGAACAGGTACAATGGACCAATGGCGATCAAGAACATGTAGTAACCCCGCCCCTGCTGATGGAGGTGCTGATTGTATTGGTGTTAGTTTGGAGAACAGAACTATCGAATGTAATACAGATGTGTGTGGGGGTAAGGACAGCAAAATCATTGTGCAATTATATGTGTTTTTATTGCTTGTGAGGCCGCGGTGACTCAGTGGGTACGGATTAGCTGACTAATTCCCGTGTTCGATTCCGGTGTTGGCCGAGAATGTTCATCGGAATTTTCCGTTGTGGCTCCCACTTTTCGTTCGTCTGGGACGACATACCGAGGTCCCGTGTACACCATGACTACAGTTAGCTCCGCTTGTGTACAGACACTAAGCTAGTTGACCGACATTTTAAAGATACTTTCCCCCAAAAGTATTTATTGGGTGGTTATTTCCAATAAAAGTATGGCAATTTTCTTATATACGGTACCGTATGGAAAGTAGTAATATCCAATCTTACTGGAGAAATACTGGATTCCATGAAATACAATGTTTTGAGAAGGATTTGAAGCAAAATTTTGATAGATTGATTAGTTTGAAAATGTTTTTGTCCAAATATAGGACTATCATCAAATCACCCAGAATGTATCTTTAAGTCCCAAATCGACAATTTTAGTCGAAAACACTATGTATATACTCCAAGAATTTTGTTGAGTATTTATTCTGCTTCCGTTTAATAAAATTTAGAAAGTTTATTTAGTCTTTGTGTGTATGACAGTTCTGAAACGGGGTAGAATCGCATTACAAATCAGTATACTAATTTTTGGATATGGCGGTCATTTAGGGCAGAGATCCATTCTCAAGGAATGAAGTAGATGGGTCTCAGTGTACAGAATGTCGTGTACACATGGCGTGTTGTGCTGTCCTATAAAGGCGGACTTCACTATTTGATTGAATATTATATTCGTATTTTCAGCTAAATGTGCAAACTTTATTTCGTATTTTCAGAAACATGTCCAACTGATACAGTTACATATATTGCTCACCCTGAAAACAGCAAACGATATTACCAGTGTGACAACAACGTCGCCAGGAGACGCGACTGTGCGTCAGCCACAATCTGGGATAATGCACAACGTGCATGTGTCCACGAAGTCTCAACAGTGGGCAATATCTGTAGTAATGAAAGTTTTTTAGTCGCCCACCCAACAGATTGCACCAAATATTACATGTGTTCCAGTGGACAACCAGTCGGAAATGCTATGCCTTGTCCTGCTGGTCTCGTTTTCAACCCATCTTTAAGCGCATGTGATTATGCTATTAACGTCCCCGGATGTTAGGCATTTTTGACAATTTTATCTTTGTAATTTGTTCAAATATATTTTTTTTAAAACGGAAAGGGGGGGGAGGAATTTACTTGATTTATCACATAATGATTTGTCGATCTAAATGTACAAATATAATTTTGTTGAAATAGAACTATATTTTTGTTGACGCACAGATATCAGAAATCAAATGAAAAGAAATGGGGTTTAGCGGCCTACTGTTCTGCACTGACTGGGCTAAGGAACACAAGCATACGTCATGCACTATGCTATTAGGGAAATTTTGCCCGAACAGCGGAACTACGGCCTGCTGTTAGTTCGAGCTCAATGGTTCTTTTACATGCCCGTTAATGTGTACACGGGACCTCGGTCTTGCGCCCGATCCGAACGACTATTCGTTGTCCCACCATACTGCACAAATGACTATGGAGAACCACGCCGGAAAACCTGATGCACTTTCTCGACCAAGACCGAGATCGAACACGACGGCTAATTATTGTTATATCAGAGTTAAATTTATTTCCCTTCCCCTGGAGGAAAAGGCGATTCTACAATCTTAAAAAATTGGGGAATTGTGGATAGGATATTGTATTTCTATTGGTCCTTGTCTGGTGTGTGGTCTAGTTAGCATACGGCGGCAAAATGTTCTCCACCCCGCCCATCTGTCTCTACAATCATCGAATATCCTCGCCTCTCGCAGCTGGTTTGTGAGATATGGAGCTATTAGACGATTTTTATACACTGTACAGCCTTACCATACCCTACAAACAATACCAAATAATACTGTCAGAATAAACTTCTACCTATTAAAATATTTATAAAATGTCTTTATATTATCCATTATATGTATCCTATATGTCCTATATTTATGTGTTAACGCGTTGCACCTTGTCATTGAGTCAAGTGGTGTGGTTTCGATTCACCGCTTGTAGGGTCGCCTGTCCAACCTCGCGGTTTCCCCCCACTGCTAAAGAACCCTACGAGCAATCGAATTATTGGAATAAAATTGAACCATATGTTCTGCTCTGACTGGGCTAATGAAGACGGACATACGCCATACAGTGTGTTATGAGGGAAATTTTTACCGGGCTGCGGCACTATGGCCTACTCTTATATCGAATTCCAACTGCCACGGGATCTTTTACGTGTATACACGGGACCTCGTTATTTGTCCCATCCGAACTACTATAGACAGCCGCCCTGCACAACTGACGAGGGGAAACCCCGCCGAAAAATAAAATCCCAATGATTTTTCTCGGCCAATGCAGGGATCGAACACGCGACCTCCAGGCTAGTAGATCCAGCGTCTTACCCACTTAGCCACCATGGCTCCCTCCTTTAAAGGTGGTAAACCCCTAACTCAATATTATCCATAATATTCGGAATTAAATACTCGAATTATAATTCGATATTTGCCCACTAGTACAATAAAAATTGAGATATTTTGGTTGCCAGAAGATTTAGCTCGCGTTTTCCTCATCGAAGAGACAAAGTAAAACTTTCTCTTCAACAAAATTGGTAAGAATACCGTTTGGGTGGTACTTATTTCAATTTGTTCAAATTAACGATACGATAATGTAGACTTTCGCTTAAAGATACATTATGGGAGCGTAGATAAAGAGCTGGCAGTTCTCATTATAATAGTCAAAAACCAGATAATGTAACGGGAATTTGCTGAAAATTTCAGTCAGATTGATCCACTCTAAACCGAGATTTCAGCGATTGAATTTTCGGTATAGCCTCCATCGTCATTACTAAAATCGGTACGATAAAAACATAGTCTCGATTATCCACTTCATGATTAAATAATGAATGGAAGTCGAGCAGCAAATCGGAACCTAATCCAATAAACATCGCAGGCTAGCGATGACATCGAGAGTTGATCATGGTCTGGATAAGTTAATTAATGTCTAATTGATAATTTAGATAACATTTACATATTGTATGTTTAATCTTTCGAATCCTAATTAAATCATATCGAGCTAGCTCCACCAGTTAGCAAAGTAACACACTATAGATCAAAATGAAATGAAATGAAATGAAATGGGATTTAACGTCCTACTGTTTTCCTCCGAACTGGGCTAATGAAGACGGGCATACGCCATACAGTGTGCTATGAGGAAAATTTTGTACGGGCAGCGGCACTATGGCCTACTCTTATATCGAATTCCAACTGTCAAGGGATCTTTTACGTGCACGCCAATGTGTACACGGGACCTCGGTTTTTCGTCTCATCCGAATGACTAGACAGCTGTCCTTGTCAAGCCCTCCGTCCTGCATCACTGACAAGGGGGAACCACGCCGGAAAATCTGGGTGAACTTTCTCGGCCAATGCAGGGATCGAACACCCGACCTCCAGGCTAGCGAGCCAGCGTCTTACCCACTTAGCCACCGTGACCCCTCCCCCCCCCCCCACTATAGATCAGTACTATTTAATATTCTATTTGGACCTAAATCAAAGAGGTTTAGCACATTTACGAGATTAATGAGTCCATTATAATAATGATAATAGTGATGCCAATAATTATAACAGCTAACAAAACAAGATTATATGAAGACCTTGAAGAAAGTAGAATAAAAAAAAATGGGAAAAAAAGGTTGAAGGTAAAAAAACAATAACCATTTTATTCAATAAAACTAATTGTTTCATATGCCTTATGTCTTCATTAATGATGACGAAAAAAAGGAATAAAGAAAACAGTCGATTTTATTTAGACTAATTAATGAGGTTAAATGAAAGAGTATTATTTTGGTCGATAGTCTTTCTACACAATTCACCGACTTATTAGGGATCCACGTGTACTCAGATCATGAGGTCCGCCAATGTGTCAAGTATCGTAGTTTTCGATCCATTGCTGGCTTATCTGTGGCTAGGACTAAGGTTGCCTGTCAAACTCGTCAGTTTCTTCGGGTTCCTCCCACTGCTATAAAGTAGGCTACCATACGTTGACTCAATGGCAGACCTTATGATACAACGTGCACGTGCTAACCATTCAGCCACCCAACCTCCCTTAGGCAGCTTTGGGAATATTGAGGGGTGTAAACGTATAACAGCCTCCGCAATTAAACCCCGGAAAAAGAAGTTGGCAAAAAATAATTCAAGAATAGAAAATTCGTGATTTTGTCACCCTGGTATGATTTGATTTTTAGATTAGAATCTTAAATTTTGGAGGACAACACCAGACCGGGTTTGAGTTAAACAAATGTGGCCGAGGTGGTTCATTGGTTTTATATCCATCACTATAGTGCGAAACCAAATGGACACAAACTCAACTAGTTGACGATTTTCAATCCATTACACCTAATTCAGATGGGTTGAAATAAAATGGGATTTAACGTTCTACGTTTCTTTAAAGATCGGGCCATTGGAGAGTTGCATACGGTATGTACTCTTATTTCGAATTCCAACTGTCAAGGGTTCTTTTTTTATGTGCACGCCAATGGGCTTAAGTTTTCCATTCCATACGAACGACTAGATACTGTACTCGTGAGGTCCTCTTTCCTATAGAACAAATAAGGGGAAACTACTCCGGAAATCTTTAGAGGAAATGTCTCGGGTAACAACAGTAACGAGCCCGAGCCCTCTTGGTTAATTAAATGAAATGAAATAGGGTTTAACGTCCTACTGTTCTGCTCCCATGCTGGGCTAATGAAGACGGGCATACGCCATACAGTGTGCTTTGAGGGAAATTTCGCCCGGGCAGCGGCACTATCGCCTACTCTTATATCGAATTCCAACTGCCAAGGGATCTTTTACGTGCATTCCTATGTATACACGAGACCTCGGTTTTTCGTCTCATCTGGAGTACTACTCTTGCTTAATGCATTGTTTTCTAAATCAAATTGCATTATTTTGTCACCACTCTACCATGGTTGCTAGGGAGGGGACGGTCCGATCCTGTTTTAATATGTTTAGCAGTTCATGTGGTATACACACAGATACGATTAGTACAATTCAACACAAGACTTTGGGGTTCAAGAACACTTGATTCAAACTTGGTCCTTTCGGCAATAATATATGGTTAAATTTGATTGCATGTAGAGGTCTTTAGCGAGAAAACCCACGTGATCGGGCAGGCAACCCAACTCTTGTCATGTACCAGCTGGGAATCGATACCACACCACTTGACATAAGGACAGATCTTATGGTCTAAAGAAAACGTGTTAAACTATTCGGCCACTCCACCCTCGAGATTCAGATTACAGCATTGTGGATAGTGTTCATCACATTGTCATTTTTGATTACTTGATTAAAGATACATTCTCACAAGTATTTATCGGGTAATTATTTATAATAAAAGTATGGCAAATTTGGTATATATGGAAAGTATAGACACCCAATCTTACTAGAATAATACTGGATTACCCGAAAAACACCCATGGGGCAAGCACTGGGCAAAAGTGTCAGGGTATCACTAACCCGCAACCTGACGGCGTAATGTCTGCCAGCTTTACTTAGGGAGTTTGTTATTTCTTGATCGAATGGTTAGGCGCTTTTGGGAGAGTGAGAGAGAAATGGGGCTTAACATCCACTCAACACAAACTAGGTCATTTCGGGCTAACATATGATTCAATTTTATTTCAATAATTCGCTTGTGCACGAAGACCCGGAAAAAAGCCACGCGGTTGGAAGGGCGTCCCTACTCCTTGTCACGTACAACCGGGGAATCGAAACCACGCCAGCTGACCAATGGCAGACCTAATGATACAACGTGCATGCGCTAACCATTCAGCCATCACACTCCCCTTGGGAATATTGAGGGTTGTAAACGTATAATAGACTCTGAAATTAAATGGCCGAAAAATAATTTACTTAGGTCTCAATATGAAAATCAAGTTAGGTGACAAACATGGCTTCTAAAAATAGATTGGAGTATCTCCTCACAAGATATCTGAGAGGGATTTAAAAGATTAATTAGTCCAAATATATCATCAAATGGCAATTTGTAGGCAGGAAGGTATCCTTAAGTGGCTCAGTGAGAAAGGCACTAACAGGGATGTTCCAATTTCAATCCCTGTTTTGGCCAGGAAAGTAACATGGGTTTTTTCTGTGTGCCCAAACAAACTTATCAGTAGTAAATATTTCCTGTGCTGCCAATATCACTGATAAGGATGACATCTGGGCAAGTTAATTAGCTCTGGATATCAACTTTTATAAATTATTAAGAAAAAAAATATAAAGGTGTATCTTGACTTTGTATAAAAGGGTAAATAAAATATTAAAGACTCAAATTCTGGCCAGACCATGCCATATGATGTGACGGCACACATAGAACTACACTGGATATGACCTTAAAGGTCAGTTAAACGAAGGCTTTTGCATTACCGTTATGAAACAGTTTGGTGACCCAAGTCTGCACCCTGTGATTGGCCATATCATAAATATTCTCAGAAAATCCTTTTATATTGGCAATTTTTTTTTACAAAGACCGAATTACTTGGGAAATTGATATATTGAGAAATGCTTTTGGCCACGTCTTATGCCACTGTCCACAAATCAGCTTTACACAAAAAAAGAAAGTAATACTTTAGTCAATTGAAATATAGATTTATTCATCTTGAACACTAGCCATTATTATGAGGCCTATCAGGGCTTCTATTTGGGTCAGTATGCCAGTTAATGTCAGATAAGTAATCTACTGCCAGAAAGAAACAGTCAGATTTTCCAGATTTCCGTAGGTGTCAACTGTAACACACCTACAGATACTCAGGAAACTGTTCAGTGATCATGGATCATTCCAACAAATAGTAAATAGGCCTTTATCATTTAAACCAATACGTCTTTATTATTCCCACAAATATTTCCACAATAACCAATTTAAACAAAATACAGATCTTTATTTCGTTTTGTGTTTTTATACTTTCTATGGCCTACACTACATGAAGATCTGACCAGTTAGAGTGGAAGGTCATGTCAGAGGTCATATAAGCGGCTTTTGACCCTATTATGTCAGAAAGTTGATTAACTAATCAGCGTTGATGTTTCTAGTGGGATAGCCACATTTCAGTGCACCACATGCCAAAAACTCGCTGTAAAAGACCATTTCATTAGCTAATCCCTCACAACAACCAGAACGGAAGTTATATAACAACTCTTTCAGATCCTAGTGTAGTAAAGACAAGTAAACGAAATTTTGAACTATAAAAACGAAACGAAATAGGATCTGTGTTTAATTAGACTGAACAATAACTTGCCAATTATCATTTCAATAATTTACAAAATAATTCATTAATTTCATTTATTTGATTAATTACTAACAAGAAGTAAACATCAACTATAGAAGCCTGGTGGAGGTTTAACGCTAGTGTCACCTGTAATAATGTCTTTAGGTGGGGAAGATGTATGAAAACCAGGAGGAGGCTTAGTTGGGGTAGTTTTCTTATCTTCTTGTTTATTGGTTGATTTGTTATCACATGACACATTATCAGACGTCCTTGAAAATGTTTTTTTCTGCCCAGTATATTCCTGTCCACTTGAAGTTGAAGATTTTACATCTGTGTCAAAAGTTTTGCTAGAAGTTCTTTCTTCTCTGGAACCACTGCCTCTGCCTCTCCCCCTCCCCCGACCTCGCCCCCTGCCACGTCCTCCTCGACTATTTTGCCTATCACAAGTATATGGTCTTCTCTCTTCCCGGTATCCTTTATCAGTTTGAGTTTTATTAGAAGATGTCTGATCACAGTTATTATCTTTATCACCAGCAGTTTGTCTTTTGTTATCTTCCATCTTATTGGAAGATGTCTGCTTGGCACCATTTTCTCTATCTCGGATGCTTGGTTTCCTGTCATCTCTGTCACTTTTGGCACTTTGGGTACTAGAAGATTGTTGTGAATTTTTATCATTTGCAATTTTTTTGTCAGAATCATCCCTATCCATTCTATTAGGTCTGTGGTCTTCCTTTGTTCCACGACCTTGACCTTGACTGTAATAATAAGTTCCATAAGGCCTGCCTCTACCCCTTCCTCTGGATGAAGGAGGTCTCTGTTGATAATCATTATCATCTCTATTGGAGCTCCTTGAACCATAGTATCTATCACGATAGCCTGTCCTTTCTTTATAGGTGGAGCTTTTTCTTTGGTCTTCATTTCCATGTCTGTTGGTATTGGATGGGCCCTTTTCACCCCTCCGGTCATTTTCATTTCTGTATGAATATTGCCTTCTGTCTCTAGAATCATAAAAACGTTTATCTCTGTCTGAGGTAGGTTTTGTTGAAAGGTTTTTACCATCTTTATTTTTATCAGCAGTAGAAGCAGAAGGCACATCTTTTCCTACTGCATCAACAGCATCAGCACCATCAGTAGAACTTGCTTCTATACTCTCTGGAACAAGCAGCACAGTATCCTGAAATGCAGAAACCATTTGGATTTAACAGAAAGTATCTCAGAGTTCTCCAAATTTAATCACCTCTTCCTTTAGCAAAAACACAATTATTTTTTTTTATTCTGTAGAATTTTGATATTTTAGGATTTCAACTATTATACTGAATACTCAATTATTTTTGAGAGAGAGAGAAAGAAATGGGGTTTAACGTCCACTCGACACAAACTAGGTTATTTCGGGACTAACAAATGGTTCTATTTTATTTCAATAATTCGCTTGCGCGTAGGGGTCTTTAGCAGTGAGAGGAAACTGGAGGACCCGGAGAAAACCCACGAGGTTGGAAATTATTTTTGAACTGATTTTTCATTAACACATGTGGTTAAGACCATTACATATCAGCTCATGAAACCCTAAAAGACAGTATAGACTGCATATGTTGAATACAAGCTGCTTTGGACCAGGGCTGATTCGGACTAAAAGTCAAAGTTGATTTCGACCACATTTGTGGCTGATGTGGACCACCACATGGCTGATTTGGAACACCATATGGCTGATTCAGACAACCGTATGGCTGATTCAGATTATGATAAAAATACTAGAAACTAAGATTTAAGACATTTAATGGGTTTTATCTCGACTATATCATGAATATCTGAGCTTTTATTTACTACCCATCATTAAATATCAACAAAGCACCCAGTATAATCCTCTGTTGACGACTATGTATACCATTTGATAACACCAATCTTACAATGACATGGCTACTACACCTGTGCCCTAATTAGTATAAGCCGTTGGTTTTTATAGTTATCCAGCAGAGGTTGATCACGTTTCAAATGGAATACCAACAATTTCTATAAATTTGTAAAGAAATAATCCTTTGATAGAAAATGACCTTACCTCGTTGATAAGAAATTTATTCTTTTCAGCCTCTAAATCTATGATTCCTCCATTCTCTTTCTGTTTGATGTAAAGTTCTGTCATCTTAACTTGAGCTTGCTTAATTGTTTGGGATATTTCAAAAGTTGGATTATCTTCTATAGGAGGAGGGGCATCGTGTAAATCTTTCATATCATAATCTATAGGTGTACGACATACTGGACAACAAACCTGATGGAAAAAATGTTATTGCATATATATATATATATATATATATATATATATATATATATATATATATATATATATATATATATATATTGAAAATAAGATTAATGGTTCCTTTAAAGCATTTCCGTCAGTTACATGGAAACGGTTCCATAACATTTGCATTAGACCAACTTTTTCAACGCTAGCGAAAACTGTGCACGGAAATGCTTACAAAGAAAATGTGCCTATACAGTTTGAGTTTCAGATTTACAAGACAGTTTATAGCTTTAACTGAAGATTTGAGAGGCTTATTGAAAAGCGGCATTATGTGAGAGCTCAACTTGCTTATTGCTAGTTGTTTATCTGGCTTAAAATATGGCTGTTTTGGCCAGAGTCTTTCGTTTATTATCATGTCAATATTTCTTGTCAAAACTTCAAACATTCATAATATTACTGAAATTTTCAACATATTCAGTTTTCATTATCTAATTTCGAACTGTTATAGCAAGAATGGCCTGCTTTTTCTCTAATTCTTGCTTGATGAATCTGTAATGTGAGTTTATAAGGGAGATAACCAAACCTTGTCATTGTTAGCTTACATTTTTTTTTTTTAGTGCAATCCACATGTCAAATAATTTACCCAAACTGTAAGCATGTAAAGCAAGAACCGAGAAAAAAAAGATGGTGTTTAAAATCTAAATTGGAAATGAAATGGTGTTCAAGGTCCTACTTTGTTGCACCAACAGGGCTAATGAAGATGGTCATACAGTGTGCTATGAGGGAAAGTTTGCCCAGACAGCAGCACTACGGCCTACTATTATTCTGAATTTCAACTGTACACAGCAATGTGTACACAGTACCTCAGTTTTACTTTTTTGTCTCATCTGAATGACTAGAAACTATCCTTGCTAGGCCCTCCCTCCTGCACCAGTGACACAGTGAAACCACACTGGTTAGCCAGCCAGCATCTTACTCACTGAGCCACTGTGGCTCCCGATCTAAAACATAATTAATGCTACTAGACTATTAAATAGGGGATTATGAACATACCTCGTTGACTTTTTCTCCTTTCTTTTCCTTCTGGTGAAGATCGTTACTTTCTTTTTGCTTTGAAAGAATGTGGCGGACATATCGACCAAGGCAGTGACAATGAAAGTAATGATAACAGACTGTTTTCTTAAAGACATCCCCTTCGTGGAAATGTCCTAAACATATTGCACATTCACATCTTGGAATATTTCCTTCTGTTAAACCTTCTTTAGCTAACTACAATATAAAACAGAAATAATTTTAAAGCAACTGAACGTAACATCAATGTCTAAAGTCACAGAACATCACACCAATATCTAAAGCCACTAATAAACATCACTCCAATTTTTAAAGACACTGAACATAACTCCAAAGTCTAAAGCCACTGAACATCACACCAATGTTTAAAAACACTGAAAGTCACTCCAATGTCTAAAGCCACTGAATATCACACCAATGTCTAAAGCCACTACTAAACGTCACTCCAATGTTTAAAGACACTGAACGTCACTCCAATGTCTAAAGCCACTGAACATCACACCAATGTCTAAAAACACTGAACATCACTCCAACGTCTAAAAACACTGAACATCAGTCCAATGTCTAAAAACATTGAACACCACACCAATGTCTAAAGCCACTGAACGTCACTCCAATGTCTAAAAACACTGAATGCCACACCAATGTCTAAAGCCAGTAAACATCACTCCAATGTCTAAAGCCACTGAACATCATACTAATGTTAAAAGTCTGAGTTAAAATATCTTTTAAATTCTATACCTCTATCAACTCAAATAACATAGGAGCTCCTTCTCTATCTTTTGCTAGTTGAACTATGTCATCATGTAAACTGAAATAATGAACAATATAGATAATATGGATTATTTCTCTTATTCTTTTCATTACATGGGGTCTAGTCACCTGGTCATCACACCCAACACAAATTGTCCATTGGGATCCTACGGGGTGGATGGGCGAATGGTTAGCACATGCGCTGCGCGTTGTATCTTAAGGCCTGTCACTGAGTCAACTGGCATGTTTGATTCCCTGTTTGTTTTGTGACAAGTAGTAGGGTTGCCTTCCAACCTTGTGGTCTCTCCAGGTCCTCCTGTTTCCTCCCACTGCTAAAGACCCCTACACGCAAGTGAATTAGTGAAATAAAATTGAACCATGTTAGTCCCAAAATGACCTAGTCTGTGTCAAGTGGACATTTAACTCCATTTTTTCTCTCTCCCATTGGGATCCAGTGTACTAGTCAAATTGGGGCCTAGATTAGCACAAAATATCAATAAGTCACTTGGGGGTTTAGATTAGCCCAGAATATCAACAACCAAACTAACCCAGGAGAGCACAGAGATTATGTGGGGATCGGGCCGTAGGACCTGGTAATAAAATTTTTATTATTAGAATATCTATAGCAGAAACAGACCCAGTAAAATGGTGACCATAGTAACAATTGGGTTAAAGGCTCAATACCACTCTTGTTGTAACTGAATAATATGTCCCAATCTTTATTCTGGTCAACAAATTGTACTATTTTACAATATTCCAATTAATTGATGATACAAATTTCATCTTAACACACCTAATTTAAAAAATTGGAAAAATTCAACTAAATGATTTGAAAAGCCTGACGTAAAGCTTTTCAAATGTGACTTGGATTTAAAAATATTTTTAAACCCTCTGGACAAGTAAAATAGGATTTAATGGATAATTTACACAACAGGTAGGACACATCTAGTACTTAGAATAAGGCTATTTTTTATTTTCTGGAGCTGTCAAGCCAGCAAGAGTGTTATTGTCCCTTTAATACATTAACATCATTCTGTATAATTCACTGAAATTCAGGGAATGCAAGCCAATACAGTCAAATTTCTTACTTTAATAATTCAAATCATGGATGAGAGAAATAGGTATTTCATGACAATGCAGATAACAAGTCTGGGGAAGGTGCATACATACAAACTTACCCTTTGACCTCCTCTTCTGCCAGACCTCGGGGATTTTTTATAGATATATCAGGCACCGTTTGCGGATACTAAAATATAAAATTAGAACAGGATGTCATGAGTTGTTTCTCAATAAAATTGCAAACTTCTAAATTTGATACAATGCTTATTCAAATGACAGAGAATCTGCATAAATCATGAATCTTTTGAGATTATCAAAATTTTGGACAACATTTCTCATGGGAATTATCTTGACATATTTTCTCTTGAATATAATTCATTTTACTTGGAATATCAAATTAAAATTATATGAAATCATTACTTACTGTTGAAGGAATATCAAAGACAAGAGTAAGGCAGACATATTGTACACTTGTATCTTCACATGTTGATGGATGTAATAAAACTTTTATTGTCTTCACTCTACATCTGTAATTAAATGAAATGAAACAAGCGGTTGCCATGCAAGAGACACCCACATTTTGCAAGAGATGTACAGAGAACAAGCTAAAAAATGATTTTTTTGTACAATCAGGGGCAATAATTCAGGATGTTACAGTCGGACATGTGTCAATATAGAAAGGAACCGAGATCTTTGGGATATAAACATATATTTTAAGTGTCATCAAAATCAGATAAAAATGTGACCTCTAGAGAGTCCACACCATTGGTATTACATGCTTATTATACTATTTGCGTAAAGGGAGTGGCCATTTTGATCAACATTCTCTGTCCGAAATTCGATCTCAATCATAATTACAGTGATATATTTGAACGTTTTTTAAAATCAAATCAAAATTGTGACCTCTAGAGGGCTTACAAGCTAAAAACATGATTTTTTTTTTATAGAATCAGGAGCCATTATCCAGGAAGTTATGGTCCGATATTCGCCAACATCGAAAGGAACCGAGAACGTTGAGATATAAGTCTCTGCTGTACTTAAAATTATTACATACTCATCATCTAGAATAACATCCAGTTCATCTATGTATATATGTTTTAATACTTCCACTTCTTGGTTTACTTCACTGAAATAAAAGAAAATATGTTAAGACAGATTTCAATACATATACATTCATATACTATTAAACCAATCTGTTAAACATGCATTATGCAAGAGCTAAATCTGCCTATTGCAGGTCTTTCTTTAGGTCTGAAATGTTTTCTAAAGTATTAGTTAGACATTAATTAACTGATCCAGGCCTTAATCAACTCTCGATGGCAACAGTTTTCTCCGATATTAAAAATAGATTAGAATGGTTCAGCGATACTTTGATTTAATCAAATATGGAGGACCGAGACTTAGCTTCGATCAACCAGTACGGTGGTTGAAATTATTGCACACGTCTGTCAAACCTTCAAAGGCTAATATCTTCGCTTGCAATAGAGTAATTTGAATGAAATTTTCAAATTATTCATTTTACATCATCTACTTTTGAACTATTATAGCAAGAATGGCTAGTTCTTTATCTAAATCTTACATAATGTATCTTTAAGTTATACTATATTACTACAAAACGTTTATTATCTTGAAATGCTGCCAAATCACAACTGTCAAGTGATTTTTAACATGTTGCCAATGGTATACACAGAACCTGAAGGATTAGAGGCTGCAACACTGAAAAGGACCTGGCTGCAATATCCTGAGAAACTGTCTCGTCCAGCACCTAGATTGAACCCGAGACCTACTGGTTAGTGAGCAGACGCCATACTCACTGGGGTACAGTGAATGAAAGAAATGGAGTTTAATGTGGTCCTATTTTTCTGTTCCAACTGGGCTAATGAAGACACACATATGCCTGCAGTGTGCTATGAGGGAGATTTTGTCGAGATAGCAATTGAATTCCAACGCCAAGGTGTACACAGGACTTTGATTTTATCGTCCATTTGGACAAATTGACACTGTTCCATTACAGGCCTGACGAAGGGGAAACCATGCTGGAAAATCCATTGGAATTTCTATTAGTGCTGGCACAATATATCGTTCAATCGATGTATCGCGATTCACCGTCTCATGATACCTGTATTGAATCGCGGGATGCCGAATCAATTTTTCACAATTCTTTTTTGCGTTTTCTCAAATATATTATGAACTTTAAAAACTTTAAATTATACCCTAAACTTTATTTGAAACAATGACAAGTTTATTTATTTCCTGGTTTTAGTGACTTCATTAAAAACACAATCACATATTTAAATTATTGTTTTATTGATAAATCTATGACCTAGTTATGAATCGCGATACGTATCGTATCATGGCACATGAATCGCAATACGCATCGTATCGTGACTGCAGTCGCAATACCCAGCACTAATTTCTATGACAATTATTCAATTAATGAATTAACAGTTACATGTAATAACATTGGGAATGAACCAAGGAACTCATTATTAAGGCACCATGGTGCAAGCACACTGAGATGGATTAGCGCTAGGCTATCTTTATGAGAAATTAGTATCAATATGCATTCCTGGAAAAGAATATGCAAAGAACTATATGAAGATCAATGAGGATATGTCATTCAATTGTAGGGTGACTCATGTACTCTACAGAAATACAGTCCACCGCTGATAGTTCGAGACTACCACTGAAGCGTGCACATTCGCCGTGCCGAGACCAACTTTCTGACAGTATGATACTATAAATAGCCATGGCACGTGCAATTCTCTACAAATCTATCAACTATTACAGCCGTAAAAAAATTATTGTTAACGATTTTGAATAACAGTGAAATTAAGCTTCTTGGTTATTACAGCAGATTTAGAAATTACGTTCGTTTCATTTTTTAAATCGCATTATCATTAACTGTGCCGGTAAGAGCGGCATCTTTTGGTTAGTACAAATAATATCTCTGAATCACTCGGGTTAGACAGGAACATGATACTAGCAGTAGTTTCATTTTACTTTTACAAGGTTCTTAAAACGATTGTTGAGCTACCTAACGTGCTTATTTCTAAATTCAATTTCTTGTTCTAGCTTTCTGTTATGTTTCGTAAAAAAGTAAGCTTGATTATCCCGACCTGTCAATCAGACGTAGAATGGTTGATAGACTGGTTAAGCGAGACTAATTTCAAAACAAGGCCACTTATCCTATCTTTTACTCAAAAGTGTCTGGATGTTATGGACGACACTTGGAACCAGTTTTCAGTCTATTATTTATAGATGATTAATGGTCATAGCTTATTAAGTACAACATGATCGTTTATTTAGTGACTATAATTGTGTGAAACTGATTTGAGGCTTGGCATATATATAAATATTGTGGCGTAGTTGTTGAGATATATGGAGATATATGGAGATATTTATTTATGGTGGGTCACCCTATCAATTGTGCAATATTAATTATGTCTGCCTTCTGATGACTGATTCTTCTCTGCCATCTGGTCCTGTCTGGTAACCAGCTCTTCTGGGCCTTCACTACTTGTTGGGGTTGTCAAAATTATACAAAACGAACCGCTCATCAAATTCACAATTTTCTGCTGGATAAAAGATAGTCAGGCATAACTAAATTATTGAAATGCTACAATCACCTTTCATCTGTCAACGAGACACTGCGGGCTGCCATTTTGTAGGAACGAATAATATGTGATACTAAAATTTGATTGGATGAAAAAGTAATGGTAATTTAAGATAAACATAGATGTTTTCGAGATATATTTTAGACGTTTATTTTGGACGTAATTTGATCACCGTTATGTGCTAGAATGGCTATTATGTTTTATTAACACTTTTAAAAAAAAATATAAGTGTTTTACCCGCAGTAAATATTGTTTACATCGGACATCATGGAAGATAATGAACGAGATCCTTCACCAAAAGCTGCAGGTTCAAGATACAGATATGACCCTTATTCATTGTGCGTATTTTTGGAATCCTTCTAATTACTAAATTAATCCATATTAGATCAATCTGCAAACATAAATGATCGATTCGGTGATTTACATTCGCCAATGAAACGTAACGTGTTACTTGAACGGGCCTGACAAGGGACAGCTGTCTTGTCTAGTCGTTCGGATCGGATGTACAACATAACGAAAAACCAAAGTCTTGCGTACACATTGACGTACACGTAAAATAAACTGTTACAGTTGGAATTCAATAATAGAAGGCAGTAGCGCCGCTGTCAGTGCAAAAATTTCCATCATAGCACAATGTATTTATATATGATTAGCCCTAGTCTAGTTGTAGGACGCAGCCTTGAGTTGGTAGTTGGTGGCTAAATGAGTAAGCATTAAGGAAAGACACTGCACTCGCTAGCCTGGAGGTCGCGGGTTCGCTCCCGTTGTTTGGCTGTAAAAAGTTCATACGATTTCCCGTTTTCAGTGGTGTAGGACAGCTGTCTAGTCATTTGGATGGTATGAAAAACCAAGGTCCTGTGTGCACATTGTCAATATTGTAGGACATAGGGACTGTAAAAGATCCCATGGCAATTGGAATTCGATATAAGAGTAGGCCGTAGCATCGCTGTCCGGAAAAAATTTCCCTCATAGCACACTGTATGGCGTTTGTCCGTCTTCATTAGCCCAGGAGGAGCAGAACAGTAGGACGTTAAACCTCATTTCATTTCAGTCTCTGATCGGATGCTGACCATTCCTATCCGTCCCTATAGCTGCAATATGAAAATACCACTCTGTTCTATGGCTATTTTGGAATTCTTACCTTCTATTTTTCACCATGAATCTTTATCTTTCGCCAAAAGGAATCATTTTTTGGCATAATGTATCTGACACAAATTTATAATAATTCAACACTATTTTCAAGTAGAATTTTACTATTAAAAAAACACGTAGTTTGCACATTTTCGAGTCTCGTAATGGCTGATCATTTTGTGTACGGTACATATATGTTTTTTAATCGCAAAATTCTACTTGAAAATAGCAGACAGCATCCTAACAGAGACTGTTCTACTGTAAAACGAAGGTTTTTGCGTCATATTGTATCTTTAAAGGAGCTAAATCGCTAATATTTGGGACCTAGAATTTGACCCAAATGGGTCGAAACGCATATAATAATGTAATCTGATTATAATTATATAAACTGATAAACATTCAATTGTTTCCGTTTTGACTCTAATTTCAAATCACTTATGTCCAGCGAAATACGGCATACGTGTCTCAACCCTATAGCAATTTCTAGCGTCTGGTTATTCCAGTCTATTAAGCAGGCTTTCCAGTTGAATATGTCTAGCCTCGTTCTTTCTGGTCACTTGTTGCAAATGACACTAAAACACACTATGGTACACGATTCGTGTACCAATGGTAAAATGTTTATTTTGTCTTAAATATTGGATATCAGAAGCCTGCCTTTTCCTGGTAAGATCACAACATTAATGTTGATTTGAATTGACAAATAATTCGTTTTTTCAACGTGTAAGACTTTGGATGATATTGACTTAGAGACTTAGCTACTTTAACTAATTATTTGGTTCACACTTTCTATGGAGTCAAATCACACCTACTTCATGAATTGAATGATATATTTATATATAAAAAACAGCGATATTTTGTTAAAATCCTTACCATTGTCCAAATATCCATCAAATTCTACCTTATTTATGAAATGTGTTTGGTAGACCAAATAAGGTAATGTTCTTCCCCCTGGTCTTTGGAGAATGGGGATGTTTATTCCATATTTGGGAAGGAAATTAACATCAAGGTCAGTCTATGACGTACAGAAATTAGGGGGTTATAAAAGAGGGTGTTGAGCAAAATTCATTAGAGCTCACCCAGATATTCCGAGCAGCTATCATCTATGTTTTACTGAGAACGAGGACCTTCGAAGCCAAAAGGTTTAACAATAAAGTTGTAGAAACGAACCAACCTGTGGTTTTATTACGATCACAAAGGAAACACAACAAGGTAGTTCGATATTACTACAGCGCAGTCGGTGCAGAAAAATTAGACGTTGAACCCCATTTCATTTCATCATGAATTTTGCGATTTAAAAAACATGCGGTTTGCACATTTTCTGGTCTCGAAATGACTGATCAGTTCAAACATATTTTGTGAACAAGTATGTTTTCTAATTGCAAAATTCTACTTGAAAATAGCAGACAGCGTCCAATCAGAGACTGTTCCTAAAGGAACTACATTAGCCCAGTCGGTACAGAAAAATTGGATGTTGAACCCCATTTCATTTCATCATTATTCTTACAAAATTGTTAAGTTTATTTGTATGCACTGGCTCTTCAGAAATTCAATGCATATTATTGGCACGCACAGATAGATGATAAATGTCACTGATGAATGACAGATGACAGCTGTTTGACTTACATTTACTAGTTTTGGAATGAAATAACCCACCTCTAGACCACCTAGTCCTTACCTTACAGTACACTAATGTTTACATTTATTTATACTACCAGTTGCTGGTCAGCGATAAAAAAAAAGACCATTTGCATTGGCTAAAGTATGACCGATATAATTTAAATTGTTATTAAATTTATTAAATTGACAGGTTTATTTCTCTGTTGACAGGTCTGAATTTGATACGAGAGAACAGATGAGTAAAGTGCAAAATAAGAAAGATGAAAGATCAAAGGAAAGTAAGAAAATTAAACAGAAATTAGGTAGGATATTTATGTTCCTGCTACATTTATCCTATCTATTGGGTTTATATTATAGTTAATGCATCCACTATGGAAACTAAAAAAGGCATGCTGAGTATCACAGTTGTATTTAGATTTTATGTATGACTCTCAAGCATATAATGTCGCAATGGCCTGTAGATTGTCAGTATAAGTTTCTAATGACATCAGTAGTTTGGGGCTAATCGAAAACTGGATTAGGAGGACGATGGGTCAAGCGGTATGACATTGGCATTTAACTAGAATGTAATAGGTTTGAATCCCGATGTGGATTGAAAAGAACTTTTAGTATTTTTAAGCCTTGTTCTCACTTGTCCGTCCTGTCTTCATTAGCCCAGTAGGACATTAAACCCTATATCATTTTATTTCACTTGTCTATGGACTGGTACGGAAAGTGTGACTAGTCGTTTGGTTGGTACGAAAAGTCCAAGGTTTGCGTAGGCATTGCACACATAACCATTAAAATGACAATTCAACATGTGTCAGTCTCAAAATGACTGAAGTATTGCGTTGATGTGATGTTAAACCGAATTCCTTTCCATTGCCTTCTTTCGAATGAATGCAGAAATCGAAAGAAGAAAAGATGGAAACGAAGACAGTAATAAGAACATGGGTTTCCTTATTGGCAATGTGTGAAAGGGACATGCATTTGTTGTTTTTTGGGGGCTAAATGAATCATTGCTTTTTATCTTAATTTCAGGTGAACCGGGCACAAAACAGAGATCTTACAAACCCAAAAAGACAGCCTCACCATCGACAGATAGTTCAACTAGAAATATTTCTGGTATGGCTCTATCCGAACATTCTAATGTTTCTGAAAGTGAAACAGATCCTGATCTACCTAACAGAAATTCATCTTTTAGTTCACGCATCTCTCCATCGAGACTGACATCACAGATGTTTCAAGCATTAAACCGAGAAGATAACTGCCCGACATCCAAATTACATTCAGCACTGACGGGTAAACTTCAACCACATCCTCATTTACGTGATACACCTCAGTCTATGTCCCCTGTTAGAGTTCCCTCCCCAGCTAGACATCCATCACCAGGAGGTACCCATAGAAGCACACCTCCAATGTCAACTGCACAACTCTTAGCTTCCCAGTTTAACACTCCTCTTGGGATTAAAGTTTCACCGGACTTTCATGTTAACCAACCATTGAGGATATCACCTGGTGGACGAATATCTCCAAGAGGTTCTGGATTACCACCAAATTTACCAACTTTGTCCCCAAATCTGCCCTCCACATCGCCACGGTCAGATCCAGCCAGAAACTCTCCAGGACCACCAAGGTTGTCCGGTCCTTACAGCCGACCTGATCATCATCCAATGCCATTTCCATTCGTACCCTATCCAAGTGATCCCATGAATCCTGCATCTGTAAGAACGTCAACCGCCAACCTACGCATAATGGCAGCTGCACCAGAGAGTGTGCAAAGAGCACCAATGCCTTCCTCCAATTTACAGCATTTAGTGTTAGCCATGGAAAGAGAAGAGTTCAGAAATAATCCAGAGCAGGTTGCTATACCCTTCACTAATCCTAGAGAATATAGTACTGAACACAGACTAACAGAAACATTACTGAGACAAAATGTACAAGATGTCAGTAAATTGGAAAGATTCTATAAAGGAGCTGTTAGTCAAGGACATCACCCTTCTCCACTGCCAGTCAATAGAACACCATCACCAGCCAGAGACAGAGCTTCTCCAGTTCCTGAAAGAGTTTCCCCAGCACCACATCCCAAAAAGGATTTTCAAAGACGTGCTACTCCCCCACCACCTAGAGAGCCAACACCACCCCCATCCACATATTATAATCCAGCATATGGTGGTCCACCAATGGATTTATCAAAACTCCCCCCTAAGCATCGTGTACGCAGACTTGAACAGCCTTCATCTGTAGCATCTCAAGCACCTGCATTAGCTGGAATGCCCCCTGCATTTGCTACACATCATCTCACGCTCCAGCGTCCATTGGGTCCTGATCCTTCATCTTTACCAGCACATTTCACATCCTTTGCAGCAAGACAACAACATCCACCTCCACCACCTGAAGCTGTACCCCAACCTCCTGTCTCAATCCCCATTCCCTTGATGATACCTAAGTTATTACAAGGACAACCATATATAAGTCTACCTAGAATGCCACTAGATCCACATGGTGGAACTATAAAATTACCAGATGATAAATTTGATTTCAAGGCTCATGAGGCATTGTCCAAAGTCTCAAACATACCTTCTATCGTAAATCCACCAGTTGTTTCTGTGAAGAAAAGCCAGGCACCAGCTCCAAATCAAAGAGATGTTCCTCCTCATCAGATAAATCCCTTTACTTTTCCCAAGTCTGGTATGAAAGTTTCCCCTACTCCCACCATCCCATCTTTTGGTGCTGTGAATCTGGAGTCAAATTCCACCCCTCCGACGGCTAACTATGCCCGATCTAGGTCTGATATAACTTATTTACGAAGACAGGAGGATATAAAGGACAGTAATGCCATGCCACATTTGGTACCAGAGAAAAGTATAAAACTAGATGATACAAAGTTTGGTAGTCCTAGTTATCAAGAAATAGAAGAAGAAAGCAAGAAATTAAAACCCTGGGTAGCTATTCTTAAATTTCTTTTTTAGTTTTCCATATATTTTATTTATATTGGAATTCGATATAAGAGTAGGCCGTAGTGCCACTGTTTGGGCAAAATTTCCCATATAACAAACTGTATGACATATGCCTATCTTCATTAGCCCAGTCAGAGCAGAGCAGTAGGACAATAAACCCTATTTCATTTCATTTTTGTTTCAGACGGGACAATTCAACATGCGATTGAAGAATTTAGCAAACTTTCCTGCCAATGCTGCTTCATATAGATCAGCTTATAGAGCTCAGTCAGTGGCTGTACAAAGGGCAAAGTAAGATAATTTATTGTGTTATTCTGTTTTATTATCCCTGTAATGTCAACACAGGCAAATTAAGAAATGCAAAAAGTTGGGTCAATGAAAGTACATCTTACAATATGACAGGATAAACTATTAATGTTCCAGCAAAATAAATAAAAAATGTGTCATAAATTTTTCGTGATCCAACTTTTCCAAACGCCCCCAAACCTTTCCATGTCTTCGTGTAGTTTGTGATATCTGGGTTCTCACATAGACCTGTTCAGATACTTGTTTGAAATAATCTTTTGTATATTTTAAAAATACCAGCCACTTGAATTGTCAAAAGGTTATTATGCACTATTGTGTATAAGTTAGTAATAGTAACCCAAATTAAAGCAGCTGATACTAGTGACATCTATGTTGATATTAAAGTCAATGATCATCTTTTGAGGGATTTTGAATCCCTTACAAATTACAATATTGTGGAAGTTGACTCTCTAAAAGGATATGTCCAAAGTTGTTCAGTTCCTTCAGTATTTTACAAAGATATGATGAATTGAAAATTGTCAGTGCCATGGCCATCTATAATTGTTGGGTAAAATCTTCTAGTTGACATCTTTAAATCTAATTGTATTAAAGCGAGGAGATTGTCTGTCATCAATGTTTTCATTTTGTTACTAATTTGAGTACATTTTACCATGGATTAAACCATGAAAAAATTTAATTTGTCTGAAAAATTCAAATGTCAAACAGCTGCTTTAACAAGGCAAAAATCAGAGACTAATTTTTGCTATTTCTCTCTTGATCCAACAGGTTGTGTTCAATAACTGGAGCAGGAAAGACATTAGATTTACTACGACAGACTTTACAAAAGAGTATTAATAAAGAAATAGATGCAGTCATACAGAAATATGTTGAGGTAAAAACATCTACAAACATAAATATATTTTGGTGGAGTTGTGTTCTAAAAGCATTTGTTTGTTTTAAGGAGTGAGCTGCTAATTGTGTCTGGGATGTTATTCTCTTCACTGTTCTGATTAAACTACTAATCCATTCTTTATCACATGACTGATATGGCAGAATGAGTTTTCTATTTACACATGTGGTCTAAGGGGAGATAATATGGCTTTAGGGAACACGCTGCAGAGTTATGTCCCTTATATTAAAATTCATAACTTTTCAAGCAATCAATATTACCCAAAATTTCTTTTTCCAGAAATTTTTCAATCTAGGAATTGCTAATATAAAAGAAAATACTGGTCCTACATCAGTTACAGATGAACATTTAAATTCTGTGTGTCGACAAATACTAGAAGAAGTAAGTATTGATTTGGTTTTGTTACTACTGTAGAAGCTTGAGTACAGAATTTCTCTTTTTGAAATACATACATACACAAGATTGGTTCCAACTTATAATCTGGGTATTGTAATTCCAATGGCAAACAAATCCTACTTCTTAGTGTCAGCTAATCTGTACTTTTATTAAAGAAAAAACCTTCTGGATTATCAATGTTGAGAAAAATATTTTGTACAAACGTCTTTGGCAATTATTTTGAATTTCGTAAGAAGTTTTAATCTTTATCTAAAACAATTCTCTTTGTCTGATTATGATGATATAAATAAAAATATTCCTTATGTTATAAAACAACACTTTGGTTTTTGTTTTAGTCAAAGAAAATGTATATAGTCGAAAGTAGAAGAAGTGTATCACCTGTTCGAGATTTTCCTGATAATGTATCAGATACTGGTAGTAATAGTGGTAAAAGAGTAAGTTAATTCTACAATTAATCAGTCTTATTGATAGTACATGCATACATGGCCGTCAGGAGCTGACATTTAAAACATATGTCTCTGGTTTGTGTATATGGATTATAGACGAAATGGTCAGGAACTAAACAACACAAATTTCTTTTCAAAATAGCCATAACTGTTAGTTGAAATGGCCAAAGAATTGTCATAACGGCCATAAATCAAAACAGTAAATGAAATATTTGTTCTTTATTACTAATACCAATGTTCAGCAGACTGTGTCTTATTTCATACATATTTATAAACTAAAATAGACTAATTGAAATCTGATGATTTTTTATTTATCGGTAGATCTCTTTTAATAGGTCTACTTGAAAAACCAAATGAAATTAACTAAATGAAATTTGATCATGTTTTTAGACATTGATAAAGAAAAGAAGATTATCAGACAGTGATTCTGAGAAAGGAAGTGATTTGAGTATTCCTAGAAAAATAAAAGTATGTATACATATTTCAATTCTTATGTACTGATTGTTTATTGTCATTCATTATTAAAGGGAGCATACCAATTTGAACAGAGTCTCAATAATAAAAGTCCGAAATTTAAGCGCCAAAATATAGAGGAATGATGTATTTACCTTGTCTCAAAATTTCTGCTCAAAATATTGAGTTCTTTGGACGTGAACGTCAAAAATGCTTATCCGGACACGTAACCCTTTTAAGATTTCTGGTCAATTTTTTCGTTGGGTGACCTGATAATCTATCGCCGTTACTTTAGAGGTCTATACAGGGAATGACCCATGTGCCGTACTGGATAACGAATGGTAAATTTCACCTACACATTGTTTTTATAAAATAAAAGTCTGGTTTTATTCAGACACCGCATAATACAGCTTGGAACACCGGTCTCCATTGACTGACTGAGAATTATTTTCTGTTTTCAGAGAAAGGGAAGACCTCATATATCCGGGTAAATATATTCAAAAACATTCTTATTGAATCATTGAAATGCTGTGTAAATCAGAAAAGATTTATAACAGCGGAAACTACTTGGCTGTTGAAATGTCAATGATCCAGCGATATATGTAATGAAATGGGGTTTAATATCCTACTTTGTTGAACCAACTGGAATAATAAAGATGAGCATATGCTGTGCAGTGTGCTAAGGGTGATATTTTGCTCAAACAGCAACATTTGCACTTACCCTTAATTTAATTTCAACTATCGAGGGTTCCTTGACGTGCACACCAACGATTACATAGGTGATCCTCTGGATTTCAGTACCTACCAAAACCCCTTTACGAATCAATACTTATACTACAATATGTTAGTTTCTGTGTTCATTAAATTACATTTCTCTATCTTTATCACGTGATTTCAGACGCTCTACACCTTCCAAAATAAGAAATATAGATATTGTTAGAAGAGAAGGTCCTAAGGTAAGGATAATGTTTTATTGTCTTATAATAAGAGAGGGGGGTTGGGTGGCCGAATGGTCTAATGTGTGGCTGTTAGATCATAAGGTCTGTCATTGAGTTAGTGATGTGGTTTCGATTCCCAACTTGTACGTGACGAGGAGTAGGGTTGCATGTCCCACCTTGTGGGTTTTCTCCGGGTCTTGCAATTTCCACTCATGGCTAAAAGACTACTTTGAGCATGCAAATTATTGAAAAGAAATGAACCATAAGTCCCTGAATAACCGAGTTTGTTTCAAGTGGACATTTAATCCCATTTCTCCAATGGACTATTATTAAAACCAAAGAAATGAGGGGATTTTGGGGGGTGTTTTTGTTTTTTAAATTTAATTCATATTATTTGAAACATCTCCCACATATCCCCTCATTCAATACCATATTTATTGTTTGTAAAAATATATTTAATATTTTTTTTTTTTAAAGTGGGATCCAGAGAGATTAAATCTAGATACGTTATTAGTCATGGGAGCCAAAGCTAACAAGTAGGTGTTTAAATCTTCCAGAATATTATTAAAATATTTATCTCCATTAAAGTCTCATTGCCTCCTTTTAGAGGTGGAGCCATGGTGGCTAAATGAGTAAGACGCTGGTTCGCTCCTGGTGTTGGCCAAGAAAGTTCTTCATTATTTTCTAGTGTGGTTTCCCCTTGTCAGTGTTGCAGGATGGAGAGCCTGACAAGGACAGCTGTCTAGTCGTTCGAATGGGAAAAAAAACAAGGTCCCATGTTCACATTGGCAGTTGGAATTTCACATAAGAGTAGGCACTAGCGCTGCTGTCCAGGCAAAAATTTCCCTCATAACACACTGTATGGCGTATTGTGAAAGATGAATCTCTAGTAAGAATGTCTGTCCATAATTTTTCAATTCCGTTCAGTATTTACAAAGATATGTAATAAGCCCGCCACCATTTTGTTGTCCATGAATAATTATTGATGGGCTTATTTTAGATTTTAGTCGGGAGATTATCTAGCGTTGGTATTTTGATTTGTTTTCTTAATTAAATGTTAAATAATCATTCTTAGTACATAAATATGGTAATTTAGTGAAAAATACAAATGATGCATTGTTACTTTAAAGAGTTAATTATATGTCAATATGTTGCTTCTATTATTTGATATACATTATCGGAGCAGAACAGTAGGACGTTAAACCCCATTTCATTTGATATACATTATTGAATGTGATATTTCTATTAGAACAATGTATATTATTTAATTTTGACAGAGCTTTAGGTTTGGGTAATACTAGAGGTAGATTATATATCAAACATCCAGATGTATTTAAGGTAAATATGAATTATGATAATCTAATTAAAAGTTCTGTATGATTACAATGGTGTGCAGGGAGGGGGTTGTGCACACTTTAGGGGCGTGTTTAGAAAAATGAACAGGGGGTGAGGAGGGGCCCTGTTCTGGCATGACAGAGAGAGAGAGAGAAATGGGGTTTAACGTCCACTCGACACAAACTAGGTCATTTTGGGACTAACATGGTTTAATTTTATTTCAATAATTCGCTCTTGCGCGTAGGGGTCTTTAGCAGTGGGAGGAAAACCGGAGGACCCGGAGAAAACCCACGAGGTTGGACAGGCGACCCTTCTCCATGTCACGTACACCATTCAGCCATCCAACCCCCCTCTGGCATGACAGCAGAGGCTCGATAGGGGTATGGGGTTTTCCCCCCAGTAAATTTTGAAAGTTTGAAGTCGATTTCCTTGCACCTGAGGCCATTTCTGAAGGCTGTCTCCTGGGTCTCTCTTGTACAGGCTCCGCACGAGCAAGGGGGGCACCTCCTGGACATGTGCCTGCACTTATTACAATTTTAACGTCCAATACATTATCATCTGTAATATCATGGAAAGGTTGATTTAATTAAAATTATTTACATATCATGAAGAAAGTGTAAAAAAGGTAAAACCACTGCTTTATAGTAATGTCTTAGTGTATGTAATATTTGTATACTTTTTATCAGTATTCTGGTGATCAAGAAGATAAACAGTGGTTATATGAACATCATTTAATGCCAGCTACAGGAGGCAAGGCATATATGTTAATAGTTGAGGATATCAAAGATCTTGCTGAAACAGATGAATATAGGTAATTTATCATTTAATATATATTTATAAAAACTTTATCTGGTGTCTGTAGTAAAAAGGGAGCCACGATGGCTCAACGAGTAAGTCACTGGCTCACTAACCAGGAGGTCGGTGGTTCGTTCCTGGTGTTGGTTGACAAAGTTCCCTGGAATTTTCCAGTGTGGTTTCCCCTTGTCAATGGGTGCAGCACAGACGGCCTGGCAAATACATTGTCTAGTCGTTTGGATAGGATGAAATACAGAGGTCCCGTGTATGGGATGTAGCCCTGCTTTCCAGGCAAGCTTTCCCTCATAGCACACTGTATGGCATACGCCCATCTTCATTAACCCAGTTGATACAGAAAAGTAGGACATAAAAACCATTTTTCAATTCATTTCATTTCTGTAGCAAAAACGTTAGATTTAGGGAAGTCGAAAGATTTTTTACAAAAATTAATAAATCCTTGACTTCTTCCATAGATTTTTTACAAAAATTAATAAATCCTTGACTTCTTCCATGGATTTATGCCTTTCTTGATTTATTTGACAAAATCAATAAATCCTAGACTTCATCCATATTTTAACATCTTCTATACATTTGTATTTCAATATTCTACAGCATTATGCTTTACTTTTAGTAACTCACATAAGAAAAAATCTAAAAAATACTGCAGGAGTCCTATACGAAAGTTTAGAATTGAAATTTTCTTTTTCAAATGTTTGAATTTATTGACTTTTTGAAGCAAAGGCCACTACAGAGATATATAGTATATATTGTTTAAGCAACATTTAGTATCTGAATGAGAATAACACATGACACAATTATATGAAATACAAGTTACTTAAAAGTTTATTTCTAGCCAAGTTTCAACAGGGGTTCTTTCATCTTTATCATTATTTCTGGCAACTTTTCAACTTTTACTTAGAAGTTTATTTCTGGTGATGTTTCAACTATTGTCATTGTTTACGAGAGAACCCTCTGAAGTGTCGCAAGAAATAAACTTCCAAGTAACTTGTATTTCATATCATTGTGTCATGTGTTATAGCCAAGAGAACCCTCCAAAATTTGTAAGAAATAGAATCTAAGTCACTTGCATTGCATATAATTGTGTCATGTGTTTTTCTCTTTAATATATTTAAAATATTATTGAGGCAGATATTCCGTAGTAGTTCATTATAAATGTCTACAGTATTATTGAGATTAATAAAATCTTATTTTAAAGGGATGGTAATTTGTTGATGGATGAACTGTCAGGTTTTAATGTACCAGAATGGATGATTGCTAAAATGAAAGCTCAGATGCAGATAATGAGGACAGATCGGGGTAAAGTAACAAATCGGAGTAGATCTGCAACTCCTAGTGAAGCTTCCTTGTCCTCAATAAAGGTAAGTATTATGATCAGCTAAGTTATGGTTATTTAGGTGATGGGCAGGATTGTTATCCCTTAAGGCAGGCTCTAAACATTAAGCGGTCATCTAAGATTTAACTCTATCCCATAATACTAAGATTAAAGCCTTTTGTTGATACAGGGAAGATAACTCATATTGATATAGTGCACTTAAGAAGGAGTTAGACCATTATTTTTTAATAATATGTTATTAAGCAAGTTTTTTTGAGACTATATATACAGTAGTTTGACCTCAAATATTACACTGCACATTGATTTTAACACATAATTATGATCTTCCCTGCTTCCATTTTATAATTTATCCTTGAATATATTGTTTTTATTACAGGAATTAGATGGTGATGATAGTTCTAAAACTTTACCCTTCTCTAACTTTTCTGATAGTCCTTTAACTATTAATACTAAAACAGAGGTTTGTACATCATTTACATTTCATTATTTCAATGCATATCAAAGTTAATGTGAAATTATACTCATTATAGATAGAATGCCTTGTTAGATTTCAAATTATAGATAAAGTTCCATGTCAAATTATAGAGGCCTTGTCAGATGTCACATTATAGAATGAATGCTTTGTCAAATTATAGATTAAATGCCTTGTGAAATGTCAGATTATCCTTGAATTCCCTGGTCAAATTATACTTGAATTCCCTTGTCAAATTATAGATTAAATGCCTTGTCAAATTATAGATTAAATGCCTTGTCAAATTATAGATAAAATGCCGCCCTTAAGTCACAGATGATAAAAATGTTGTATTGTTAATATTATGTACACAAACTCTAGTATAGCTCATAAAGAGACATATATAAGTATCAAACTTTGATCAATTAAATATGTCTGAACATGAGGAGTTACAAAAATTCAAGCCTGCAAATAGATTGAACATTTTGTAACTCACACAGTCATGCTGTCAGTCCATTGTTGCTTCTTCCATCAGTGGAATGGAGATATGAGTGGTGTGATAACCATGTGCTCAAGTATCAAGGACCTGCTAATGAAAAAATATTCAATATTTTGTTTATGAATTCATTATCGTGTTTATGAATTCATTATCGTGTTTATGAATTCAGTATTGATGTACCATATTAAATTATAAAGGCTTTGAATTCAATTTGACGTAGAATAAAATTTGTGATGTATTTTATTTTAGAACGAAGTATCAGCAATGGATGCGGAGATGGAGTTTTTATCAGGAGCTGGTATTGGTGGATCAAACATGTCACCTTTTAATCTAACTGGAGGTTTTGATGACAATGGATCCCCGTCACAGAGTGATATAGACAACCTAGATGATGATCCTACCTATACAACACCTTTTGGGTTAGCTAAAGACTGACGGCTTTATGTTCAAATATATTAAAGAGTTTCCATGGGTTAATTTTGCCTCTTCGTAGAAAAGAAGGACTTGATTGGAACCAAAAAGAAGAGATTTTATTGAACATGTTTGAAAGTTGGTTAGAGTTATCTCTCCTCTTTTGATCAATAAAAGTATGATGTTTTGAAATCGTAAGACAATTAAACGAATGTGTGAAATCTGTCGTCTACAGATCAGATGCTGTTCTGACAAGTAGACCCACTGGATATTGGAGAATTAAAATGGAGATCACCACTGTAGAAATAAAGGAATATGATCTTAGTGGTGTTGAGTTTATTGGTGAATAATAAATTAAAGCACATCCATGAGTTACAAAGATTATTGTTAATGTAAATTATTTTCTATGTTTGTTGGTGTAGATTTATATCTATTTGTTATAGACAGTATTTGATATTGTCCATCATAATACAATAACACCACCATTGAATAATTGTTCAACTGTCATGTTATATTTGTTTGTTAATTATATATTTATTAATATGTGCTATTTACTCTGAAAGTAAGGATAGATAGGAATGGAGTTAAATATGTCCTATTTACTCTGAAAGTAAGGATATATAGGAATAGAGTTAAATATGTGCTATTTATTCTGAAAGAAAGGATATATAGGAATGGAGTTAAATAAGTGCTATTTACCCGGATGTTTAAGTTCTGGCATACAAACACAGGTTCTCTTCCACTTAGTCAATCAACTGCTCTTTTTGCTGAAATTCAGCTTGCAATTGGCAGATTTTTTTGACATGGTGTTATTATAAAAGAGAAACGACAGAAGGTAAACACTGTCGGGCTCCATGCTGTAAAGAGAAATCCCAAACTTTTCAGAGATTTTTCTGTACACGTGGAAATACAAATAATTGTGTGCATCACTGACTGAAAGGTGTACACAGAGAGTGAGAGAAATGGAGTGTAACGTCCACCCAACACAAAATACGTCATTTCAGGACTAACATATGGTTCAAGTTTATTTCATGTTTGCACGTAGGGGTCTTTTTAGCAATGGGAGGAAACCGGAGGACCCGGAGAAAACCCACGATGTTGGACAGGCGACCTTACTCCTTGCCAAGTACAACCTGCGAATCAACACCACGCAAGTTGACTCAATAATGGGCCTTATGATATAGCATGCATGCGCTAACCATTCAGCCATCCAACCCCCACTCCCACGTGTACATGGAAAGCGGACCTGAGACTGAATGATGAAAATAACAAAGAAGTTGGGGTTTCTCAAACTATGGAACAATTGAACAGTTTTCTGCATAATCAGTTTATATGAAACATTTGTTTTGTTTGATTTTTGAAATTGTTTGTTTTTTGGCCTGATGCATAAATATTCTATGATTGTAACAAGTTTTCATTTTAATAGTGCTTTTAATAATAATCTTTATCATTTACTATATATTTTATGTATTTATAAGGTGCGTAAAGAATATTCAAATCGGGAGAGTTTTTTTTAAAGATTATTGGTTGTTGATGAATGAACAAATGACATTTTAAGACTATTTTTCTCTTCTTTTAAAAAAAAAGTATTTGTATGTATTTAATGTAAGAAATGTTAACTGTATATTAAATTATGAATGTTCTAGATTTTATAAATGTAAACTAATCTAAAGATAATATCAAAAAATAAAAAAAATACATTATATCTGAATGGAGGTGTTTTGTGCTTGCCCAGTTAATAGCAAACCTCACTTAGGCCATAGTTAAAGGAGCTAAACCACTAACTAAATATTATCTATAAATATTTGAAATTAAAAACAAAAATTAGAATTTAATATTGGTCCATTTCAATAAATATTGATGTTATCTTACTGTGAAAATTTGGTACCCTAATATTCAATATTTAAGACACAGTAAACAATTAAAAAATCAGTCCATGACTCTATGGACATAAAGAGGTCACAGTGGCTAAGTGGGTAAGATGCTGGCTCGCTAGCCTGGAGGTCGGGTATTCGGGGTATTCAATCCCTGCATTGGCCGAGAAAGTTCATCCAGATTTTCCGCCATGGTTCCCCCATGTCAGTGATGCTGTACGGTGGCCTGACAAGGACAGCTGTCTAGTCATTCAGATGGGACGAAAAACCGAGGTCCCGTGAACACATTGGGGTGTAAGATTTTTCGGAAAATATACTCAATCTTCGCTAAAATGAACAGGGATAGATTTATTGTGTATCTTCATTGGTGGGTGGTGTAAAAAAACACTTGGTTAAACATTATATATGGTATATTAGAACTTACGAAGTTTTCCTTTTTATACGTCCACATTCATAATGTGAACGTATTATGCCGTCGCCCCTGTCTGTGTGTGTGTGTGTGTGTATGTATGTATGTGTGTGTGTGTGTGTGTGTGTGTGTGTGTGTGTGTGTCTGTGGTTCGCCTACAGGGCGCAATTCTTCATGGATTTTCTTCAAACTTGGTATACTTATTCCTTATACCCCAAGGAAGATCCCTATTGTTTTTGGTGCATGCCCGACCCCCCGGGGCAGAGCCACGCCCATTTCTAGTATTTGTTTGTTTGTCGTCTACAGGCCACATTTCTTAACTAATAATCTTGAAACTTTGCATACACATTCTTTGTACCCTAAGGAACATCCCTATTGTTTGGGGTGCATGCCCAACCCCCAGGGGCAGAGCCACGCTCATTTTCTTTTCGTGTGTCTTTGTGTCGCCTACAGGGCGCAATTCTTACTGGATTTTCTTCAAACTTGGTATACTTATTCCTTATACCCCAAGGAAGATCCCTATTGTTTTTGGTGCATGCCCGACCCCCAGGGGCAGAGCCACGCCCATTTCTAGTATTTGTTTGTTTGTCGTCTACAGGCCACATTTCTTAACTTATAATCTTGCATACACATTCTTTGTACCCTAAGGAACATCCCTATCGTTTGGGGTACATGCCCAACCCCCAGGGGCAGAGCCACGCCCATTTCCCATTTTCTTTTCGTGTGTCTTTGTGTCGCCTACAGGGCGCAATTCTTACTGGATTTTCTTCAAACTTGGTATACTTATTCCTTATACCCCAAGGAAGATCCCTATTGTTTTTGGTGCATGCCCGACCCCCAGGGGCAGAGCCACGCCCATTTCTAGTATTTGTTTGTTTGTCGTCTACAGGCCACATTTCTTAACTTATAATCTTGCATACACATTCTTTGTACCCTAAGGAACATCCCTATCGTTTGGGGTACATGCCCAACCCCCAGGGGCAGAGCCACACTTTATATACTTATTCTTTGTACCCTAAGGAACATTCCTATCATTTGGAACATCCTTATCATTTGGAGTAGGCCCTACATGCCCAACCCCCAGGGGCAGAGCCATGCCAATTTTCTTTTTGTGTGTCGCCTACAGGCCACAATTCTAAATTGATGTTGATGCACGACCCTCAACGCTAAACAAACCAAAAGCCTAGCCTTCTTGACAAAGTACCTTGTCAATCAAAGCAGAATTGGAATGTGGACGTATATTGTAGCGTTAGCGTTATGTTTATACCCCGATATAAGGTATATGGTTTTTGACAATAACAGTGAGGACCTACTGTATGCAAAATGGAAAAGCCCATTACGTGCGCCTTTACATTGGAAACTTTTTACCACGTGGAGTTAGTAGTTTATAGCATTAACATGATTTTAGGGAGCGAGTTTCCTTTTTTTTTAAATTAATACGACATACCTATGGCCCGAGGCCGAGGGTCAAAACACAATCTATTTTGTTAAGTCGTCCATATGTCGAAATTTAATCCACGCTTAGATTGTGTATCACTTTTGACCAAAGGTCATGAACTGGGTATATCACGCGTTTCTTAAAACTATATTGATACTGAAACCTCGATTCTTGCAGAAACTTGGACGTAATTACAAAGAGCTAGCTTCTGTAACAAGAAACTTTCAAGATGGCTGTACAATACAATGACGGTATATTACATTTCTATATAAACCTATATCGAAGGTTAAAGGGACAATAACACTCTTACTGGCTTGAAAGCTCCAGAAAACAAATAATATCTCTATCTAAGTACTAGATATTTAAGTGTCCTACCTGTTGTGTAAATTATCCATTACATCCTATTTTACTTGTCCAGAGGGTTCGAAAATATTTTTAAATCGAAGTTTCATTTGAAAAGGTTTACGTTAGACGTTTCAAACCATTATGTTGAATTTTTCAAAATTTTTAAAATAAGGTGTGTTAAGATGAAATTTGTATCATCAATTAATTGAAATATTGTAAAATAGTACAATTTGTTGACCAGAATAAAGATTGGGACATATTATTCAGTTACAACAAGAGTGGTATTGAGCCTTTAAGGCTCTCACTATTTAAGAGTGAAACCCCGTGGGGACTATACATGTCGGTTTTCTCCGTCATTTCTGTTTTCCGGAAGTTTTAAAATAAAACGTTGAGATATTTGACTGAAATTTGGAACACTACTGTATATGGCAGACTGATAAGTTCTACCGTTACACCGTAATGATAACTGAGTTTGAATTTCGTGAAAATCGGGCCAAAACTGTAGGATAAAATGGCTGCCTCTCGTGTGCAAAGAGTGTAAAAATATGGTATATCATGGTTGTGTACCCTCTAGAAGTCACAATATTGATCCAATTTTGATCAAACTTGATGAAATACATGTTTGTAACCCAAAGATCTTGGTTCCTTTCAATATTTGCGCATATCGGATCGCAATTTTCTGAATTATGGCCCTTGATTGTACGGAAAATCGCGTTTTAGCTTGTGGTCCCTCTAGACTTCACGATTTGTATCCGATTTAAAAAAAAACGTATGAATATATCACAGCTATACCCTAAAGATCATGGTTCCATTTGATATTTGTGCATATCAGGCCATAAGTGGATTCCCTAAGCCCACAATATTTATCCAATTTTAAAAACTGTTTAACAATATCACCGTTACATCTAATGATGGATGAGTTCAAATATCGGGAAAATCGAAACAAAACTGACCGACAAAATGGCTGCTCCTTGTACGCAAATAGTGTAAAAGTATGTAGTACTAAGGTTGTGGATGATGAAACTTAAAATATATGTTAATACCCCAAAGATATCAGTTTCTTTTGGTAGTCACGCGTTTCAGACCATAACGTCCTTAATTATGCCCCCTGATTGTGCGAAAAATCGCGGTTTTTTTTTGGGGGGGGGGGGGGAGCTTGTTCTCTATCCACCTCTTGCAAAATGTGGGTATATCTTGCATAGCAACCGCTGGTTCTTTTCTCCATAATGTTGTTCGCTTCTATTTTCCAATTCACCATTAAAATTTTCTTGCTTGACAGTTAATTATGACTATATAATGGTTGCTGAGTTGTATTAAAATTTACTAATTTGTATTCAGGACAGGAAACACAATGGCTCAGTGTTGGTCGAGAAAGTTTCTCGGGATTTTCCAGAGAAGAAACGTGTCAGTTGCGTTGGGCCGAGGGCCTGGCAAGGAATGGTACGTGTAGTCGTTGGGATGGTACAAAAACCCGAGGTCCCGTATTACGTTGGCGTACACGTAAAAGAACCCTTTTTATTTCGACGAAGAGTAGGCGGAAACGCCGCCGTCCGGGCGAAATTTCCGCTGTTGTATAATGCATGGCGTATGCCCGTTTTATTGTAAGGTCCATGGTGAGGGCGCTAAACCCCATTTTATTTTACACCCAACCCAAGATAACGCCAACAGTGAATGATGATAGACATACAATCACGCGGGCAGACACTTATCTATGTTGACGTATATACACCAATAGTTTATATACGTGGTTTGTGTTATTTATATCTTGAGGTTGTACCATTTCTCACAGTCGTTTATTCCAGTTGCCAAAATATACGTTTTCACTGTATATAAGGCATATATAAATTTCGATTGGAAGTAATGCTAATACTTGCAGTGATACAATTAGCTTAACATATTTGAAGACTGTATTAGGTCGTAGTTCTGTTCTACAACTATAATACATGTTTAGCAGAGCGTTATCGAATGACCTCTTTATAACCTATTTATAACTCTCGTACACGTACAGTATATAAAAATATTGTCCAAGATGTCTTCTGTGCTAAAACATGGAATGCGATTGGGTAAATATGACTTCAATTTATCTGTTATTGTGTGTACAAGTATCTTTTTGTGGTAAGAATTCGAGCTGCCTGGGCACCCCGTCCCTACCCCCGCAATCCAGCTTGCTGGCTGCGGAGGGGCAGTGAAGGTTTGTTTTGTTTGTTTTTTTGTTGTTGTTTTTTTGGAGGGGGGGGGGCACAGTTTACAGTATAGCCCCCACCCCACCTCCGGCTACGAGCCTGCCCGCAATTTAATGCACACATAACGTACATAGAATATCTAAGGTATACTATAGATGTTCCTATCAATATCAACCGGCTTTATAGTGTCGACGAGACGTTACACTCAATTCGAATCCAATCCATTCCATTTATAATCTATACCTTATTTTAAAATATATTTATATGTTCCGATTGACAATTACATGTTCCGAAATATAGTTTGTTTTGATTCACCATCTAACCTAACTCTGTAGGCTGCCGTCAATGACATGAAAGTCATACTTTTTCTGCACCGACTGGGCAAATGAAGACCGGCATCCAACATACAGTGCCCTACCTCGTTTTTTCGTCACATCCGAAAGACAATGTCGAACACCAACGGCACTGCGACACATTATAGTGAAAAATGCAAATGCCGCATTGTTACTTTCATGTTGTATTTTTCAACTAGTGTGTGGGGAGGAGGATTTACGTAGCGTACGGAGTGGCACATCTTTTGGTTACACATTTTTGTACACTATCTATAGGAACATTCCGTAGCTACTGAATATCGCCAAAGGGTGTATCATGAGAACTGTTCTGTGTATTTCTATGTTTTTAGCCCAGCTCCACGGGAAAGTTGCTCTGATAACTGGTTCCACTAGTGGCATTGGTAAGGGCATCGCCGAAGGACTAGCCAATCGAGGATGTGATGTCATTCTTAATGGATTTGGTACTGAAAATGAAATCCACTTATTGAAGACTGAAATTAATAAGTATGGCCAATGTTTATTATAATTTCTATAATACATGTGGCAGTGAGTGTCGTGTGTGAGGCAGAATATGTTTACACCTAATACCACTTATTGGGTACAACAGCTCGATTCACTTTGGAATGTCTGCATTAACTGTTCTGTTAGAACTATATGCAGACCCAAGGGGGGGGGGGGGGTGTCAGTGTTCAGGCGGTACATCGCTCCGGGGTCCATGGAGACCCGGGTTGCCCATAATATCTATTTGTTTTACGTCGACATAACCTGCATTTGTGCCGTAGAGCCCCCGATACGATCCCCTACTCAGACTATACAGGTGTAAAAGTTAGAAACCCTACTTTTGTATATGGTCTTAATGTGGTCTTAGTGTGGGAGCAGGGGGGGGGGGGCACATAAAAATACTCTCGGCGGCCCTGATATGAAATGAAATGGGGTTTAACGTCCTACTGTTCTGCTCCTAAACTGGGCTAATGAAGACGGGCATACGCCATACAGTGTGCTATGTGGGAAATTTTGCCCGGGCAGCGGCGCTACGGCTTACTCTTTTATCGAATTCCAACTGCCAAAGGATCTTTTACGTGCGCGCCAATATGTACACGTGACTTCGGTTTTCCGTCCCATCCGAACGACTAGACAGCTGTCATTGTCAGACCCTCCGTCCTACATCACTGACAAGGGGAAACCGAGCCGGAAAATCTGGATGAACTTCCTCGGCCAATGCAGGGATCGAACACTCGTAGTTAGCTTTTTGTTTTGTATGTTGCTCCTTTTTCATACATTATTATAGGAAATACGGATCAAAAGTGAATTTTGTTGGAGGTGATTTGTCGAAGTCAGAAGACATTATAAAATTATCAGAGGAAATATTTAAATTATATCCATCGGGTCTAGATATATTAATTAATAATGCAGGTTTGTGGTGTTTTAATTAACATTTATTTTTCGTGTATCACATCCGCCTTTCGGTTATTAATAGGTTACATATTATAAAATGTCGATACGTGGGGAGCGCCTTGGCTCAGTGTGTATGGCGGACTGGGTGATTTCGGGATCAATCCTAGTGTTGACCGAGAAAGTTTGCCCTTGTCAGTGGTGTATGGCAGGTACGTGGCCTGGCAAGGAAAAGTGTCTAGTCGTTCGGATGAGACTAAAAATCGAGATACCGTGTACACTTTGACATGCGTGTGAAAGAATCCTTAACAGTTGGCATTCGAAATAAGAGTAGGCATAGGCGGTAGCGCCAACTGTCCGGGCAAGATTCCCCAGATTAGCACATACTGTATTGTATGGCATATATTGTCCGTCTATATTAGCTCAGCGGTATACCGAACAGTAGGACGTTAAACTCCGTTTCATTTCTTTTTATCTTCTTATTGTAGGTATTCAATATGTGTCACCTATAGAATCTTTTCCACCAGAGAAATGGGATCTACTTATTAATCTCATGTTAACAGCTCCATTCCATCTTATACAGAGATTTTTACCACCCATGAAAACAAAAGGTAAACAAAGCAATCCTTCTTAAATCAAAAATATTATGTAGGCCTACATGTAATTTATTTTTGGTTGTTAATAAATGCGCATGCGATTTTATTATTTCCGTTTAAAATATGCTTAATAACTTTTGTTCGACAAACGTCGCGTAACTGTTCAATACGCGCTGACACATGAATTCGTCTGAACAAATTGACACATAGCGGGTTATGTAAATGGTATGCGACTTTCTGGCGTCACCCGGGCACAGCAAGTGGGACTTATAAGCGGACTATACTGTCAGCGTCAGCATAAATACATTTTGTGGGGTGACGGTGAATGGCGTTCTTCTTATTTGTTGATATATTATTAAAGAAAAGTCTCAATATTTTAGGGTTATTTTTCAACCTCAGTTTTTAAGATTCTGCAATCTGCAGATCAGGGTCCGATATTGCCTACACAAGAGGGTCGGCGTCACGTTAATTGGACACTTAACATTGGTTTTTCTATTTTAGGTTGGGGTAGAATTATCAACATGTCTTCAGCCCACGGTCATGTTGCTTCACCTAATAAATCAGCTTATGTTTCTGCTAAACATGGTTTAATGGGTTTGACGAAGGTAGGATATACAACATAAGACAATTTATATTGGATTTCTGTTATCAGGGTAATTAGTAGTAATTACACTTTCTCAGATACATTTCATTTCTATAACATTGTAGACGCGAGAGAGAGAGAGAGAGAGAGAGGGGGGGGGGTCTATGGCGGTCGGAGAAAGCGGGGAAATGGATATGAGCTGATGTATAATCAAATCCAGCTTAAATATACATAAATGATCTATTTATTTTAATACAGACGGTAGCATTAGAAGTAGCAGGAACAGGAGTAACGTGTAATGCTGTCTGCCCAGGGTATGTGGAGACGCCATGTAAGTCAAACATCAGTATAATACGATATCCAACAAAGGGGGGTAATTTAAAAATATTAACTTTTTAAAGAAATTATTTGTACAATGTTTGTTTCTCGGAGACTTTTTATATCATTTCTAAAAACAATATTGAGTTACTTACTTATTCTTAGACAGTATATTATATTACAAAGTTCAACATAATTTTTTTTCTAAGGTGTTTTCTTCCATTCTTTGTAAATTATTTTGTCCATTAATCTAATTTTCCAGTATTTATTGATCAAGCTAGAGATAGATCGAAACAACAAGGAATAACATTTGAAGAAGCAAAGGTTTGTCAATTTGGTCTACCTGCCAACATGGGTTTTATTAACACCCCTTATATTTTTATTTAAGATCGAAGATGAAATGAAACGAGGTTTAATATTTTATTTTTCTGCACCAACCGGAATAATGAAGATGGACATTCGTCGTGCATTGTGCTATAATTATTTTGTTTTTTTGCCCTGGCAGCGGCGCGACCTTCGCTAAATTCAGTTTCCAACTGTACGGGAGGAAACTTTGATGGTATACAGGGGTTGTGGTTTTAGTCCAATCCGAACGTGGAGACGCTTTTCCTCGTCGGGCCTTCCGCCTGCACTACTTAAAAGGTTGGAAAATCCCTATGAACTGTCTCGGCCAACACAGGGCCCCCCAAGTGAGCCAACGTCATACGATACCGTGCTGGGCGAGGTGTACTGTAAATACCCACAAAAAATTAGACTTCGTTTAATTATTCAAACAGAGTCCGCTACCAACAGTTAACCTCACTTCAAGTATCTCGCTATACTTGGCCTCAAAAACTGAAATGTCCACGAATATTTCAATTCAATGTCACTAATATACAGTATCATATACAGTAATAATATATATTATCTCAGGCGCGTAAAGCAGTGGACACATTAGCCGAATCGTTCGGCCGAATCAATCGGTGCCGAATTTTATTCGGCCGAATCAATCGGTGCCGAATTTTATTCGGCCGAATGGGTGGACACACTAGCCGAATGCTTCGCCCGATTCAACCTGTCGGTTGCATCACCTTTCACGTCACATGATTAAACATGGCGGCGTCTATGTCTTCAATCTATCACGTGACTTCTCGATATGAGTGGTGATTGGCTGTTGAATTCTATATTCGGCCGAATGCTTCGGCGAAACGGACACACCAGGCGAATATAATTCGGCCGAATATATCAAACCTGTTTGATTCGGGCGAATCATTCGGCCGAATGACAGTGGACACACTAGGCGAATTTCGACGCCGATTGATTCACCGAAAAAATGTCGAATAAACATACGTGCGATGCATTGCTTCACTCCATCTAATAAACATACATGTATGCACCTAAATGATTAGAAATATTGTAACAGAGCTTCTGATTTTATAAAATTCTAGCCGCTAGCGTATTCCCCAAGACCTCGCGCCAAACTGAACGTGCTCTCCAACCTGGGCCCTCCCCTGATCAAATTCCTGAATACGCCCTTAATTGTGATAGCGGTTTATGCTGAAAATGTGCAGATTTTTGAAAGAATGATTTTATTAGATAGGCTGTTTCACTTTGTTACTTTAGAATGCCAGTTAAACACGCACCTGTAGGACGTTAAACCCCCATTTTATTTCATTTCGTAAACACAGAATGTTGCTCTTTTGATAGAGTAGGGCCTATCCATGACCATACCGTATTCATTATAAGCATGGGACTAACGGCTGTACACCAGTAAAATCGCCTATGTATTTATTTCAGAAACAAATTGTTCAGGTGCATGCCACTGGCGAGCCTGTCGGCATTGATCAAGTACGTATGACTACTAATAACTACATTCTATTTTGTAACCAATTTAACAATAACATTAGCCACGCATTAACCGAATCCATTTAACAAAAGCTGAGTGATAAATACTAGTCCATTGAACGTATTAGCAAGGTTGATCGGCACATTACATCATTATTATTATTATTGTTCGATTTATATAGCGCTTCATTACATGTCGATTTTCCATCGGTAATTTGGGTGAACTTGATCTTGTCGTTGTCAAGTATGGTTTCATGTTGTTGTATTTTGTCTATATATGTTTGCTTCATATCTGTATTACTGTATTAGTTTGGTAACGTTGAGAGAATACTCTACGAAACGTCGCCTTAAAGGGACAATAACACTCTTGCTGGCTTGACAGCTCCAGAAAATAAAAAATAGCCTTATTCTAAGTACTAGATGTGTTAGTGTCCTACCTGTTGTGTAAATTATCCATTAAATCCTATTTTACTTGTCCAAAGGGTTCAAAAATATTTTTAAATCCAGGTCACATTTGAAAAGCTTTACGTCAGGCTTTTCAAATCATTTAGTTGAATTTTTCCAATTTTTTAAATTAATTGTGTTAAGATGAAATTTGTATCATCAATTAATTGGAATATTGTAAAATAGTACAATTTGTTGACCAGAATAAAGATTAGGACATATTATTCAGTTACAACAAGAGTGGTATTGAACCTTTAAAATAAACTAGAGATAACTGTGTTTTTGTTGTTACTCTATCCAGTTACTAAATGCCATTTAAAGACTATTAAGTTTCATAATGTAACATTACTTCGGAGATAAACACTTCCTGTTTCGCATTTAGAGGGGTGTTATTGTGCAATATACATGTCCTGAGATCATTAGGACCCAAGACGCGTTATCGACATTGTAACATGCTATTTTAGGATTTAAAGAAAAATTACTAAAACAGAGGGGTGTTATTGTCTAATTGACGAATCAAAACGCAAGATTCACCCTTAAGCAAATCCGCCATTGTAGCCCATAATAAACTTATTTCCAACAGGCCTGCAAGGGTTATGTACTTTCAGAAGACAATCTGTTGGTATTAATCTGGAATTATATTTTCTAGGTGGGGGAGGCAGTATGTTTTATATGTTCACCTGCAGCATCACAGATGACTGGTACTAGTATTACTATGGATGGTGGATGGACAGCAAGATGAACAATTTATCATCCCTATATGTAACTGTATGGGAGAGTTAAAGGAGCTAAATCGCTAACATTTGGGACCTAGAAATTGACAAAAGTGGGTCGCAACGCATATAATACTGTAATATGAATGTATATAAACTGATTTACATTCAATGGTTTCCGTTTTTACTCCAATTTCAAATTAGTTATGTTCGACGAAATAAGCCAGCAGTCTCAATCGAGTGCAAATTTCTAGCGTCTGGTTATTCCAGTCTACATACGTCGTTCGATTTGTGTGCAATGTGTCTAGCCTCATCCCTCGAGTCTCTTTTTACAACTGGGGCTGAAGCGCATTATGGTACACGATTCGTGTACCAATGGTAAAATGTTTATTTTGTCTTAAATATTGGATATCAAAAACCCATCTTATTCCGGTAAGATCACAAAATTCAATGTTGATTTAATTTGACAAATAAATCGTGTTTTCAATGTTGAAGATTTTGGATGATATTGAGTTAGAGACTTAGCTACTTTAAATTCATCCGAAGAACACTTAAGTATGACTAGTGGAAATAGTGTGTGTGTGTGGGGGGCATGTATGTTTGTTGTAATGTTGTGATAATAACTGTATGCGTTTTTAAGCAATAAACTTTATTTTCTACTCATTTCTCCTTATTTCATGCCCAAGAAACATTTTATGCAAGTGTTTGTACTGCACCACTCTATATTATACTATAGAATAAATACATGAGTATATTCCAGAAGAAATGGTTACCTGCTAGATATTGTAGCAATATGAAGGAAATTTTGACCAGACAGCCTCAATACTTCCTATTATTATTTTGAATTCCATCTCTCATGGGTTCTTTTACCTGTACGACAATGTATACAGAAAACCTTGGCTACCCCACCTCGAAAGAAATGTCTATATAAACATAAATTAAATTCTCTTCATCAGAATAAATAAAAAGACAGTTAATAGTATTAGTAATAAATATACAAATTTTATAACTTAAAATATATATTAATAGAGTACACATATATATACATACACTAACATTCTAACTAAAAAAATTATAAATATAAATTCATTTCTGTAACCTATTTATCCGTAATATACATTTTAAAATAACAATAAATAGAACTGGACGGAATACAAATAAATATTATACATTTACATGTTTGCTTTGACGTTGCATATGGATTATGAAAAAAGTATCACAAAGGGTAGCTTTATATACATTTATCCATTTACAGGGCCGTATTTACTTACTTGTAGGCCCAAGGTCAAACTCATCATGGCCCATCAGTTGAACAGTAATCTAGGCCCTACATGCTACTTATTGTACAAGGGCCCTTATGGTTTTTAAAATATATTATATACTCTTCAAAAAAAGTAGGGGATATTCAGAAACAATACAAAACTGCGGAAATGCACTGCTGATTTTTATTAGAGGTAGCCAGTGTATGTTAATAACAGGCCAATTGCCTACACATGAACATAAACAGTTCATATGGGCTCATTTCACTCGCAAAGAGATACACCGTCAAAAGTGAAAATGGATGTTTTTGATTTTTGTCTTAATAATGAGTAATTGCTTCACCAATCCTCAGACATTCAACAATTCGTCGTGGCATGCTCCTAATCAAGCGTCCAATCACGATTTGGGGCAATCTGACCCACTCCTCTTGCAGTGCCACGGCCAATTCTTGCAGTGCTGTCCGTTGACGTCGACGAACACGTCTCCCGATCAAATTAAACGTAACACACTAAAGCAACGATGCACTAAACAGTAAATCTTATGCAAGAACCGATAGGAAAGCAAACATGGATAGATAAACCAGCACATGGCAGTTTTCATCAACCCTTCCTTGAAGTGTCAAATTTGACAATGAACCCCTCCAATGTATATGGCTCTATTGCGTGTCGCATGTGCAGCTCAGTGGTTCTGTTGGGGCGATAAGTTCTTCATCTGTGAACATACTCTCAAAGCATGTCAAGTGTCCATGACTATTTATCATATCACAACCTGCATAGGTATTTGCATTTCAATATCCCCTACTTTTTTTGAAGAGTATATAATGAAATATCACTGCATGACAAACTAGTTTCCGATACCTGTGGGTCCTAGGCCAAAGGCCTACTTTGCCTATTGGTAAATCCGGTCTTGTCCTTTTATATATCCTGTGAATTTGTTCAACTAAAGGTATATACCCTAAATATCTTGGTTCCATTTGATATTTGTGCATATCAGACCATAAGTTCCTGGATTATGGCCCCATTTTAGCTTGTGGAATCTCTATTATATAGCCCACAATATTTATCCAGTTTTAAAAACTGTTTAACAATATCACCGTTACATCTAATGATGGCTGAGTTCCAATATCGGGAAAATCGAAACAAAACTGACTGGCAAAATGGCTGCTCCTTGTACGCAAATAGTGTAAAAGTATGTAGTACTAAGGTTATGGATGATGAAACTTAAAATATATGTTAATATCCCAAAGATCTCAGTTCATTTTGGTAGTCACGCGTTTCAGACCATAACTTCCTGAATTATGCCCCCTGATTGTACGAAAAATCGCGTTTTCTGGTGTGTTTTTTTTAGCTTGTTCTCTATCCATCTCTTGCAAAATGTGGGTGTATCTTGCATAGCAACCACTGGTTCTTTTCTCCATAATGTTGTTCGCTTCTATTTTCCAATTCACCCATAAAATATTCTTGCTTGACAGTTAATTATGACTATAATGGTTGCTGAGTTGTATTAAAATTTACTAATTTGTATTCAGGACAGGAAACACAATGGCTCAGTGTTGGGCGAGAAATTTTCCTGTCAGTTGCGTTGGGCGGAGGGCCTGGCAAGGAATGGTGTCTAGTCGTTGGGATGATACGAAAACCCGAGGTCCCGTATTACGTTGGCGTACACGTAAAAGAACCCCTTTTATTTCGACGAAGAGTAGGCGGAAACGCCGCTGTCCGGGCGAAATTCCGCTGTTGTATAATGCATGGTGTATGCCCGTTTTCAATAGTCCGTTTGGCGCAGACATGGACTTTTATTGTAAGGTCCATGGTGCAGAGAAGTAGTGCGCTAAACCCCATGTTATCTTACCCCCAACCCAAGATAACGCCAACAGTAAATGATGATAGACATACAATCACGTGGGCAGACACTTATCTATGTTGACGTATATACACCAATAGTTTATATACGTGGTCTATGTTATTTATATCTTGAGGTTGTACCATTTCTTACAGTGGTTTATTCCATTTGCCAAAAAATACGTTATCACTGTATATAGGGCATATATGCAATTATCTTTACATATTTGAAGACTGTATCATGCAACTAATACATGTTTAGCAGACGAGCGTTATCGAATGACCCCCTATTTATAACTCTAGTACACGTACAGTATATTAAAATATAGCCTAGATGTCTTCTGTGCTAAAACATGGAATGGGATTTGGTAAATATGACTTCAATTTATCTGTTATTGTGTGTACAAGTATATAAGATCTTTTTGTGGTAAGAATTCGAGTATCCCTTCCCTAGCCCCGCAATGCACACGTAACGTAAAATATATGTTCCTCTCAATATAACCGGCTTTATAGTGTCGACGAGACGTTACACCCAATTCGAATCCATTTCATTCCATACTAGTCTATACCTTATTTTAAAATATTCTTCATGTTAGTACACGACTAAACGTAGATATCCATCTGTTCTCATCAACAATTACATGTCCCGAGATAGTTTGTTTTGATTCATCATCTAACCTAACTCTGTAGGCTACCGTCAATTTGACATGAAAGCAACACCGGTTTTCTGAGTGGATCGCCGGAATTCAACGCTATTTACAGGCGAATTGTCAAATTCTAATGAGAGTACTGCCTTGTACGTGGTTGAATTTCTGCTCTCATTTTGTTTCAATAGTTTCTTCAAGTTATATGTACACAGCCAGAACCCATGTGTAACCGTAGCACAGGGAGCCTTTGCCTAGATGTCACGACACAGGCTCCCTGTGTCGAGCAGCCTGTGTTGAGTACATGTCAGCACTGATTCCCAGTGTCGAGCCGAGTCGAGCGCTACAAAGGGAATAATTTTCCGTCTGAACACTTAGTCCATGTGTAGCGCTCTACACAGGTAGAGCAGTGTATCAATTTTCTCCTATATGGTATCAATGTATGTATATCTGGTATCATCAGAATGTAAGTCTGCCGGGTTTCTGGTGGTGGGTGTGGTATTCCACGCTCAAAATGCCATGATCCCCAACTAGGCTAGATTAGCTCAAAAGTGTACCACATGAAAATCGCACAGCAATGTACCGTACATCTTCAGGTATTACAAAAACACTCTGACAGACATTTCTAGTGGTGGGGTACCCCTGACAGAGCTATTTAATTGCCAGACATTTGTAGTGATGGAGTATCCCTGGCAAGAGTTATCTAATTTCCAGACCAAAGCTAGGCTAGATTAGCTCAAATCTGTACCACCTAAAACAGCTTTGGGGTTGTTCAGTACCACCACAGGAATTATGAATGACCACTAGCAGACAGTTTGTGCGGTGGGTTGCCCCTTACAAACACGCCCAAAATAACACGCCCCCAACTAGGATAGATTAGTCGGCACCATCAATGTCGAAGAAACCATTGCAAAATTCGCAAGGGGCAAAAAAAGAAGAGTGATTATCCATTGATCATTATCATTCAGCTCTAACTCCGCGTAACTTGACCCCGTATAACGCGAATTATCGCTAACTCGAACAAAATTCGTTGAACGAATATTTTCTTTCGTTTTCCTTTTATAAAACATCGAATAACTCGGAAACTGTAACTCGAATTATCGGTACAATCCTTATCGAAGTCTTATTATTTACATCGCCTAACTCGAACTGTAAATAATGGATCTTGCAGGCGAGTGTGCCTTGGCAACTTTCCCATAAACTTGAAGATTTGAAAAATAAACGCCTTTTGTGGCTTTATCTAAGGGTGTAACACATGGTCTTTTATTGTCGTGAGATCTTCTATCGGACCGAACATCGTCTAACTCGAATTATTGTATAACTCGAACAAATTACCCGTCCCCATCATTTCGAATAGCGCGAATTTGGCCCCAGATTGACGTACGATTGTATATAAGCTGTAGTTGTTGTTGTTGTTGTTGTTGATATTTGTTGTGGGTATAAGCAGAATTTGATGAGATGCACATCATGATCACACGAAATATTCAGATTAAATCTCGTATTACCATTTGGTACTTACAGTGTTAGACGTTCGTCAAAAATCGAGTCCGGCTTGGTCGTAACGTTACGGCCTCCATTCATCAAATTATCGTAGGGGGGGGGGATATAATACGATTCCGAATCAAGTGACCCCGTTATTTATCACTGAGCGACTTCACAATTAGGTTTGATGTAGTTCTGCTTACTTACAGTGGTGGATTTAACGGGCTCAATGGGCTCCAGTCCCCTCCTCTAGAAATGCCATCATTTCATAGCACTCGCATTGATTGGTCCACTGAAATAACGCCAGAATGCGCTAATTTTGTGGCAGAATTTTATTTTTTTCTGGGGAAGGTACTTCTAAATGGCTCCGACACAAGTGCCTGAAATGCCAGGAAATCACGTTTTCGGCCTCCAATTTCTGAAAATTTCCAGGGGGGAGAAACCCCCCAGACCACCCTGGCGGGGCTTCGCGCCTTTGCCGCTCGCGGTTGCTGTCGGTGATCAGGGGCCCCCCACATGTTCCAGGCCCCAGGGCCACCACGATGGTTAATCCGGCGTTGCATGAAAGTCATACTTTTTCTGCACCGACTGGTCAAATGAAGACCTGCATACAACATACAGTGTGCTATGAGGAAAATTTTACCTAGACAGCGACCCTATCTCGTTTTTCGTCACATCCGAAAGACAATGTCGAACACCACAGGCACTGCGACACATTTTAGTGAAAAATGCAAATGCCGCATCGTTACTTTCATGTTGTATTTTTCGACTAGTGTGTGGGTAGGAGGATTTACGTAGCGTACCGAGTGGCACGTACATCCTCTGGTTACACATTTTTGTACACTATCTATAGTAACATTCCGTAGCTACTGAATATCGCCAAAGGGTGTATCATGAGAACTGTTCTGTGTATTTCTATGTTTTTAGCCCAGCTCCACGGGAAAGTTGCTCTGATAACTGGTTCCACTAGTGGCATTGGTAAGGGCATCGCCGAAGGATTGGCCAATCGAGGGTGTGATGTCATTCTTAATGGATTTGGTACTGAAAATGAAATCCACTTATTGAAGACTGAAATTAATAAGTATGGTCAATGTTTAATATAATTTCTATAACACATGTGGCAGTGAGTGTCGTGTGTGAGGCAGAATATGTTTACACCTAATACCACTTATCTTCCAAATACAACAGCTCGATTCACTTTGCGATGTCTGTGTTCATTAACTGTTCTGTTAGAACTATATGCAGGACCGGGGGGGGGGGGGTACAGCCGGTATCGCTCCGGGACCCACGGAGCCCCGGGTATAATAAATATCTATTTGTTTTACGTCGGCATGGCGTGCCGTAGAGCCCCCGATCCGATCCCCTACTCCCACTATGCAGTCGTTAAAGTTAGAAACTTAATTTGGTCTTAGTGTGGAAGCAGGGGGTTGGGGGGCACCTAAAAATACTCTCGGCGGCCCTAATATAACACTCGTAGTTAGCTTTTTGTTTTGTATGTTGCTCCTTTTTCATACATTATTATATTGACAAGGGGAAACCACGCCGGAAAATCTGGATGAACTTCCTCGGCCAATTCAGGGATCGAACACTCGTAGTTAGCTTTTCGTTTTGTATGTTGCTCCTTTTTCATACATTATTATAGGAAATACGGATCAAAAGTGGATTTTGTTGGAGGTGATTTGTCGAAGTCAGAAGACATTATAAAATTATCAGAGGAAATATTTAAATTATATCCATCGGGTCTAGATATATTAGTTAATAATGCAGGTTTGTGGTGTTTTAATTAACATTTATTTTTCGTGTATCACATCCGCCTTTCGGTTATTGATAGGTTACATATTATAAAATGTATATACGTAGGGGGCGCCTTGGCTTAGTGAGTAGGGCGGACTTGGTGATTTCGGGATCAATCCTGTGTAGACCGAGAAAGTTTTCCCATGTCACTGGTGCATGGCGGGTGACCTGGCAAGGAACAGTGTCTAGTCGTTCGGGTGAGACTAAAAATCGCGATACCGTTTACATATTGACATCCGTGTGAAAGAAGCCTTAACAGGTGGCATTCGAAATACGAGTAGGCCGTAGCGCCAGCTGTCCGGACAAGACTCCCCTGATTAGCACACTGTATGGTATGGCATATATTGACCATCTATATTAGCCGAGTCAGTGCCGAACAGTAATTATAATTTTTCAAAGCTATATTTTTGTGTTTTTCGATCAAATGAATGGGAAATAAACATAAAAAGTTTACATAAGTTGATTTAATAAATAGTCATTTAGATAAAGTGTTCAAAGTATAAAAAAAATTGTATTTGAAACTTTTTAAATCATAATCAGTCAACTAAGCGTAGGCACTGAACAAAGCAGTAACACAGTTACAGTATGCAGTGGGGGGGGGGGGGCACTGAAATTGCCCTGGGTTGCCACATAGGCTTGTCAGGGCCCTGACAGTAGGAAATTAAACTCTATTTTATTTCATTTCTTTTATTTGTTCGTTATAGGTATTCAATACGTGTCACCCATAGAATCTTTTCCACCAGAGAAATGGGAGCTACTTATCAATCTCATGTTAACAGCACCATTCCATCTTATACAGAGATTTTTACCACTTATGAAAACAAAAGGTAAACAAAGCAATCCTTCTTAACTTCTTAAATAAAAAATATTGTGTAATTTATTTTGGGTTGTAAATGCATGCGCATGCTCCGAACGTGGCACATTGCGTCAAAATTTCGTTTTACTTGTCTTCGCTACACTAGGATCTCGAAGAGCTGTTATCATTGACGTGTTCTGGATGATGTGAAGGATTAGCCAATGAAACAGTCTGTTATGGTGAGCTTTTTATGTGAGATGCACGGAACTGTGGGTAATCCACTAGACACATCAATGCTGATTGGTTAATCAAATGGCTGACGTCATAGGGTCAAAATCCGTTCGTATGACCTTTGACGCGACCTCCCAAAACAACTGGTCAAATTTTCGTGTAGTGTAGGTCATCGAAAGTATAAAAACGAAACGAAATATAGATCTGTATTTTAATCAGATTGACACATGAATTCGTTTGAACGAACTGACGCATGACAGGCCGATGTAAAAGGTATAGCATGTTCCTGAAGCAACGACTGCGAGTTTCACAACATCTGGCTTGATAAGATGTACGTATTAAAGCGAGATCAAGCCTTCTATTGAAGATGAAGGTATAGGCGACTTTATTATTCAACATCAGGTAAATACATTATGGGGTGGCGGTGAATGACGTTCTTCTTATTTGTTGATCTATTATTAGAAAAAAGTCACAATATTTACGGGTTTTCTTTCCACCTCATTTTTTAAGATTCTGGAGACCAGGGCCCTGTGTTGTCTACACAAGAGGGTCGACATCACGTTAATTGGTGCGAAAGACATTTGGACACTAAAAAATAAACATTATTTTTTTCTATTTTAGGTTGGGGTAGAATTATTAACATCTCTTCAGTCCACGGTCATGTTGCTTCACCTAATAAATCAGCTTATGTTTCCGCTAAACATGGTTTAATGGGTTTGACCAAGGTAGGATATACAACATAAGACAATTTATATTGGATTTCTGTTCCCAGGGTGATTAGTAGTAATTACACTTTCTCAGATTCATTTCATTTCTATAACATTGTAGACGCGAGAGAGAGAGAGAGAGAGAGAGAGAGAGAGGGAGAGGGGGGGGGGTGCACTGGACACAATCTAGGTCATTTCGGGACTAATATATGATTCAGTTATATTTCTTCAGTACTTCATTTGCGAATAAGGTTCTTCGGCAGTGGGGGGAAGCGGGAAAATGTTTATTTGCGGGTGGATAATCAAATTAAGCTTATATATACATAAATGATATATTTATTTTATTACAGACGGTAGCATTAGAAGTAGCAGGAACAGGAATAACGTGTAATGCTGTCTGTCCAGGGTATGTGGAGACGCCATGTAAGTCAAACATCAGTATAATACGATATCCCACAAAGGGGGACAATTTAAAAATATCAAACTTTTTAAAGAAATTATTTGTACAATGTTTGTTTCTCGGAGACATTTAATATTACATATTTCTAAAAACACCATTGAGTTACTTAAAAGGTAACTGTCCCAAACAAGTTTATGTTTCTTATTTTTAGACAGTATATATATATATTATATTACAAAGTTCAACATAATTTTATTTCTAAGGTGTTTTCTTCCATTCTTTGTAAATTATTTTGTTCATTAACATAAATATTTTCCAGTAGCCATTGATCAAGTTAGAGGTATATCGAAACAACAAGGAATAACATTCGAAGAAGCAAAGGTTTGTCAATTTGGTCTACCTGCCAACATGGGTTTTATTAACACCCCTCAGTCTCTTTTTCTTATTTCTATATGAACAAGATGAAATGAAATAAAAACGGGATTTAATATCTTATTTTTTTCTGCACCAACCGGGATAATGAAGATGGGCATACGTCGTGCCTTGTGCTATAATGTGGTTTTAGGTTGGGGTTTTTTTTTTTTTGGGGGGGGGGGGGGGTTGCCCTGGCAGCACCACTACGACCTTCAATTATTCCGATTTCCAACTATATAGAGGAACTTTGATCAGCTACTATAATGGTATACAGGGATCGCGGTTTTTCGTCCAGTCCGAACGTGGAGACGCTTATCCTCGTCAGGTCTTCCGCCCTGCACTACTGACAAGGCTGGAAAATCCTGATGAGCTTTCTCTGCCAACAACAGGGCCCGCTAGTGAGCCAACGCCATATTCACCGCAGATAGTAGATTAGCCGGGGGTGTGAATACCCACCAATTTATTAAGAGTTAAACTTTTAGAATAATCAGTTTTAATTAGCCAACCGGGACCGCTACCAACAGTCTACCTCAGCATGTATCTCCTACATGCCCTCACCAGCGGCTGCCAGTCAGGATACGCCCACATTTTGCAAGAGATGGATAGAGAACAAGCTAAAATCAAAAGCGATTTTTCGTACATTCAGGGGCCATAATCCAGAAAGTTTGTTCTGAAATGCGCAAATATCAAAAGGTACTGAGATCTTTGGGATATAGAGATATAATTTAAGTTTCATCAAAATCGGATAAAAATTGCGACCTCTAGAGGTTCCACAACATTCGTATCACATACTTTTACACAATTTGCGTACAAAGAGCGGACATTTTGTCGTTCAGTTTCATTTCGATTTTCCCGAAATACGAATTCAACCTTCATTATGATGGAAAGTTGATATATTTAAACGTTTTTTTAAAATCGGATAAAAAATTGTGACCTTTAGAGAATCCACAAGTTAAAAATACGATTTTTCGTACAATCAGGGGCCATAATTAAGGCAGTTACGATCCAATATGCGCGAATAAGTAGAAATATTGTAACAGTGCTTCTGATTTTATAAAATTCTAGCGTAGTCCCCATGCAAGACCTAGCGCTAAACTGAACGTGCTTAATTCCAGCCCAGACCCTACCTTGATCAAATTCCTGAATACGACCTTGATTGTGATAGGGATTATTTTGAAAATATGCAGGTGATCTACAAAAGAATGATTTTATTAGATAGGCTAAATTTCATTTTGTTTCTTTAGAATGCCAGTTAAACACGCACCTGTAGGACGTTAAACCCGCCATTTCATTTCTTGAACACAGAATTTTGCTCTTTTGACCATACGTATTCCTTATAAGCATGGGCGTCACACATGGGGGTGGGGGTCCGACCCCCCCAATTGTTTTTCGGGGGGGGGGGGGGGGGGTCTGAATATGCTTGGACCCACCAAAATTGTTTTACATAGTAGGCCCAAACTCCTATTTATTTACAACAATTATTAGGATTAGTTAAGATTCTATGTGTATAAAACCTGTACATATTCCAATATGGTTTATACTGCTAAAATAAAACACAGAGATAATCATCCTGGAAACATGTGTGAAGTGAAAAGTACCTGTGTTCCATAAAATTGTGTCTAGTTAGCCTGTCAGTAATATTTTGTTAATTTTTTTCTGCCACTTATCAGAGTGAATCGCATGTAGGTACCCAAAAACATAACCGCCTAAACCAAATATCTATCGCCCGCTCAGCCAGCAACGTAACCATAATGCTTTTGCACGCGGTGTCTTGGTAGACAGCATGGTCATATGGTGTTTGTTTATATTTTTTAGGGGTTTTAAAAAATGGGTTAGGGTTAGGGTTGCGGACCCCCCCCCCCCCCAATATATATTTCACGGCTACCCCTCTGCTTATAAGCATGGGGCTAACGGTTGTGCACCAACAAAACCGTCTATATATATTTATTTCAGAAACAAATTCTCCAGCTACATGCCACTGGCGAGCCTGTCGGCGTTGATCAAGTACGTATGACTACTAATTACATTCCATTTTGTAACCAATTTAACAATAACGTTAGCCACGCATTAACCGAATCCATTTAACAAAAGCCGAGTGAGAAATACTAGTCCATTGAACGTATTAGCAACGTTGATCGGCACATAACATCATGTCGATTTTCCATCGGTGATTTGAGTGAACTTGATCTTGTCAATTATAGCTTCAGTTATGTTGTTGTATTTTGTCTATATATGTTTGCCTCGCCTCAAAATACATTAGAGTAGCTGTTTTCCGTGGGGTTTTTTTTGTTGTTACTCTATCCAGTTACTAAATGCCATTTAAAGATTATTAAGATCCATAAGATCTGTTTCGCATTTAGAGGGGTGTTATTGTGCAATAGACATGTCCTGAGATCATTAGTGACATTTGGACCCAATCGACGCGTTAGCGTCGCGGGTTCTAATGTAAAATCTCAGGACATGTCTATTGCACAATAACAGTGACACCCCTCTATATGCGAATAAAGAAGAGTTTATCGACATTGTAACATGCTATTTTAGGATTTTAAAAGAAATTACTAAAACAGAGGGGTGTTATTGTCTAATTGACAAATCAAAACGCAAGATTCACCCTTAAGCATGTTACAATACAAGATAACGTTATATGTGGAGTCGAAATGGATGTTCAAGGCTATAAATGAATGTGTATCAGGGTATACATCCCCCCCCCCCCATAATAAACGTATGCACAAGAGGCCCGTAAGGGTTATGTACTTTCAGAAGACAATCTGTTGGTATTAATCTGAAATTATATTTTCTAGGTGGGAGAGGCAGTATGTTTTATATGTTCACCTGCAGCATCACAGATGACTGGTACTAGTATTACTATGGATGGTGGATGGACAGCAAGATGAACAATTTATCATCCCTATATCATGATACTGTATGTTTATTATAAAATGAAAGAGTAAAAATCATCTAATATTAACACTTTAGTATTATAACCGTGCAGGTTATAGTATAATTTAAATCTTGAATATTTAAGATAATGCATTATTAATTTTAAAAGTGAAAGGCTTCAAATTGAATTTATTTAAACTCTCGGGACAATAAATATTCTATTACTTTAAAACATTAATTGTATGTGTGCTATTAAAAGGTGACTAGCCAATGATGAAATGTTATGTAATGCTAATGACATGTTAATTTATTATAATCCCTTATTGTTTATAAAACTGTTATAGACAGAAAGTAACTGCTTGCGGCTGTGGTTTCGATCCCAGGTGTGAGCGTATGTGGCTTGGAGATAGGGGCGCCTTCTCAACCTTGTGGGTTTACTCCGGGTACTCCGGTTTCCTCCCACAGCAAAGACCCCTGCGCGTGCGCTAAGATCATTAAAATGAACTTGTCTGCGATATCACCTTCGGTGGAAGCGGACGTTAAACGCTAAGAACAACAACAAAAGTAACTGCTTATAGCCTGTCTCGTGAACATGCCAATCGTATGATTAATCTATTAATTGTTTCATTTACCATTGTTTTATTTCTTATATTGTACATTATTACATCAATGCTTATTTATGTCAACACTTGATCTAGCCAAGTGATTAGAAGTAATTCCATATAAATATGTGATTGTACTTGATACGTCAGTCATTTAGGTCTATCCGACTTAGTAGCAAAAGGTACTAGTCGGTTATCCGCGGTCCTGTAAGTGTATGTAGATAATTGTTATTATAAGTTTCCAGTATTAAAGATTTGAAGAACCATTCCAGACTCTTGTAATATCTGACGGACCTCACGGTCACAGTATGATTAGTGAAAATAGTGTGTGAGTGTGTGTATGGGGGGTGGGGGGGTGTTGTTGTTCTTGTGGTTGTTGTTGTTGTTGCAATGTTGTGATAAATACATGTATAACTGTATGCATTTTTAAGCAATAAACTTCATTTTCTACTCATTTTATCTTTCTCCTTATTTCATCCCAAGAAACATTTTATGTAAGTGTTTATTATGTTACAGAATAAATACACAAGTATATTCCAGAAGAAATGGTTACCTGCTAGATATTGTAGCAATATGAAGGAAATTTTGACCAGACAGTGGCAATACTTCCTATTATTATTTTGAATTCCATCTCTCATGGGTTCTTTTACCTGTACGACAATGTGTACAGAAGACCTTGGCTACCCCACCTCCAAAAGAAATGTCTATATAAACATAAATTAAATTCTATTCCATTGGAATAAATAAAAAGACAGTTAATAGTAATAAATATACAAATTTTATAACTTAAAATATATATTAATAGAGTACAAATATATATACACTAACATTCTAACTAAAAGAATTTATAAATACAAAATCATTTCTGTAATCTATTCATCCATAATATACATTTTAAAATAACAATAAATAGAACTGGACGGAATACAAATAAATATTATACATTTACATGTTTGCTTTGACGATGCATGGATTATGAAAAATGTATCACAAAGGGAAGCTTTATATACATTTATCCCTTTACAGGGCTGTATTTACTTACTTGTAGGACCTAGGTCAAACTCATCATGGCCCATCAGTTGAACACCACTGTGGGCCTGATACTTATTGTACTCCAGGCCCTACATGTACCGGTATATGCTACTTATTGTATAAGGGCCCTTATGGTTTTTTATATATATTATATAATGAAATAGCGCTACATGACAAACTAGTTTCCGATAACTGTGGGCCTACTTTGCCCATTGGTAAATCCGGTCTTGTCCTTTTATATATCCTGTGAATTTGTTCAACTAAAGGTATATAGGGGAGCCTATTCAAACCAATGGATCCATTGAAGGAGTGAGTAAATGGTTTTGACAAGGTATAATCCTTTCTATAACTTGTATATTACTATTATTGATAGTAAATTATAGCACTATTCTAAGAGTATGCAAATAATCATAATTTCCACATGTAGATTTTATCAATGTCTCCCAAAAGAGAATGGATTTCACAGATCGAGGTATGGATCTTTTAAAATCATTGTCTTAAACTGTTTAGAAATAACATAACCTTTTACTCTCTTTTAGTGTTGATTTTCTTTTCTGACCAATAAGGATCCTCTATCTGTTCTAACTCAGTGAATTGTTGTAAATGGAATTTAGTAACTTGGTAATTAACCATGATTCTTATCGCAAAATAACCACAAATAACTTCAAACACAATAAACAAGGCCTTTATGATGTGAACAGCTCGCTCTAATGGCAGTATAATAGAATCTTCATTTAACAATAGAAAGAATATTAAAGGAAGCTGTAGTAGTAACGTTAGCAACCAGAAGCCGGCTAGCTCTGGTACCTGAAAACAGAAATGAAAATTGGAAAATATGATTTCATTGAGTTTTTAGTGACGATTCAATATCGGTAATAGGGTGGCCCAAAATAAAATTTTAACAATCTTCCACATATGAATGGTATTTGAAGGAATCCATCTGCAATCTGCTGGATTTTATGCACCAATCTATGGTTATTTTCCAACCATGCCAGGTTATCGGCAAAACTTTTAACTTTTCCAGCACATTGTAAAGAACAGTCTGCAATGTGTAACTGCTTGGAGAAAAAATATTAAGAAATAGATACATCTTCTAACCCATCAGGCTTGCACTGCATATATGACAAATGACCAGACACTTTTTTCATGCTGGGCACCAATGAAAATAAGATTGGAGAATCCTGAGAAACTTTCTAATGGGTGTAAACTTTAAACTGGAAAAACCTCTACTTTTCTTGTAAAACGGCAATGCTACAAAGTATATAAATAGTGCAAATGGAAGGCTCACTTGTTTGCAACATCCATAAATTAATAAATTTCCCAGCAATTTGTAATGGTGCACTGAAATACAGTGAGAATTCCCATATATCTATGATGGCAGCAACAAGAATACTGGAGCTGACTATGACAAACTGAATGAAATGTTTCATTCACAGTACATGGTACTATATAATATAGAGTTCATTCCTTAGATAAACAATTCAAATAATTCAATAAACAAAGGTTATTAAAACTTCAACAAAATAAATTTACCCTTTCCATGAGGTTACCAACATATCCTAAATAGAGGCGAATAATTTCAATAATGGTGTAGACAGCATAAGTAGCCACCAAGATGATTTTGTACAAAATGTCCAATGACTCAAACTGAAAACATAATACCCAATCAAATTACCAGTACATTTCATTTTCATTAAAAATACACTTTTTTTTTTGTTGTTATTCAAAATATTTTTAATCATTCCAAAGAATGCAGTTGTATATATATGACACCAAATTTGGTAGTAGATACATCAAATTCTAATTTTACTATTTGAATATCCTATTAAGTCATTATTCAAATGCTATTTGAAAATTCCATTCATATGAAACCTGACATCAAATTTTTAATGGCTACATCGAATGCTAAATTTAATATTTGAATATGCTATGTCATTATTCAAATGCTATTTCATTTTTCATCCATTTGAAATTCTCAAGTTTTGGGCCATTTTAATAATGAAAATGTTTATTAGCCTTCTGCCATAGGCCTATCAATGTATTCATATAAGCAATTTAAGTATACCTTAGATTGAAGAACAACTATACTGGTTATAAACCATATGGGTGAGAAGAATACATTAAAATAGAGAGCCATCTGTAGGGGTAGATTCGTCACATAATCATTACCTGTAAAATACACCAAATTTTAATTACGGTAGGCTACTTGCAGGGTCAGCCTCTTATTAATTGTTTCCATACATGATGTGTCATGTAACCTTGTACTCAATATTTACCAGGTAAATTTAAAAATTATTTTTAAAATGAATGAGCTATATAGCTATGTATGCAAATGAAACAATGGTCCTTGGCTTGGTGTCATTATTCTCTATCCCCCAATCTGATTAGTACTAGTAGTAAGACTGTGAAACAGATAACTGGAACATCACTCCTGATGGCATGCATTATTATTATTTTCTTATTTATATTCCAAATCCCTGCCAGTGACTAAGCTTAGATAACCGTCGGTCAGACCTATGTGTTTTCTGGCATACCGAATTCGTTTGGGGTATATTTCAAAAATTCTGGCGTTGGCCTACATTCTAGAAAAATATGCCAAAACTCAGATGAGCTGAGGAGAGCAAGAGCGCTGAGAGGTCCAGTCCCCAGAATAAAATAGGTCTATCTCATGTATTTCATTCCATTAGCAGGCAGGAGAATAGTAATTTATTAGGTCTAGGGATGACATTTTTCTGTAAGAAATATATACCAGAATTTAAAATTTCTTGTCTTTGGGGATCTTTTCCAGTTCTGCTAACTGGAAATAACAGATCTGTGACTGATGTCATTGTCTTCCTCAGCGTGGCCTCCATATTGTTGTTGATACCGACCGCCAAATGTCACGTGATGTAAACAGGCCAGTGCTTGTTGGGCACATTTATTTTTATTTTTTCATTTTAGATTTCAATAACGAACTTTATCTCTACTTTGTTTAAATTAAACATTTATATATGATATTTGATAAATAATTGTAAAAATATTTGAATTTTTGTTCTCGTGTACACGTGATTTTCCTATTTTTTTGATTCAGCCAATGAGAAGCGTTTCTATTCTTCAAAATGGAGGGGGAAAGACGCTTGAAATGAGTGAGCGCTGCATTTAAAAAAACTGCTTTTAAGCGCCTTTAATGGTATGACTTTACAACATAGCATGTCGTAAGAGATAGATAACAGTTCCTGGAATCGATTGGTATATATTTTGTCACATATTGTAATGAATCTGCATGTTGGTGCAGCAACATCAGTGGAGCGATCTTGCAGTTTTTTTGTCCACAATGGGAATGGCCTATTTTCATGTTTTGTTCCCGCCCGCGTCATGCCATGTGTATCACAAATTATTGATGACGATTTATGTTCTTGATTACGGGTCAACTGAACTTAGCACCGATCATATTAATCTTTTTACCATTAATTTTAGTGTTAAATGACTGGTGTACTAAGACCTATCTATAGATTTTAACCTTTTTACTTAGAAAATAGGCCTTTTACTGTTTTAGGCTAATACTGTAATAGACTAAGATTCAGTAGGCCTAAACAATGAACAAATAAGAAAATTCTCTTTAATTGATAAATTTCTAATTCTTTTTTTTTGTTTTAGCAATGTGTAGAATTCAAGGTCCATAATAGTAATTATGGAAGCTCTTCAGATGCAAATTCCGTGTAATAAAGAAAATACACCAATTAAAGAAGTAAAAAAGGTAATAAAAATATTAAATTAAAGGGCATGGAAAAAAAAAAGTTTTGTTTTAGATCAAGGTCGCATGTATATTATTGGCAGCACAATGTAGATTCCCTGGCACTTGAAAATGAAAGTAAGAGTTGGTCAAAATTTATATCTTTCAACTTTGTAAGCTTATGCAATTTTTGAATCTGTCCATTTTTTTCTGAATGGCTAGAAATAACTTTAAATCGCTCTTATATACTAGATTTGTGTTGCCTGAAATTACCAATTGCTCATCTATTCATCAAGTTATGATTGTATTGATATACACTTCTGTTGCAGTCTGTAGATAACTTGAAGAGATCAGTGAGTCCGTTAAATATATTGTCTGATCAGTGTCAGTCTGGTAAGAAGGCTCCTTCTATAAGGAGAATATTGGGAGATTTACCCACACCGAAGACTGATAATGTCACCAAAAAGAAATCAAGGTAAACTTATAAAAATAATTTGTGCAACAAACACTAAATTTGCATTTAATTAATTCGAAACATGTTGGAGATTGTCCCCATTGGCCAATCAATAAGTTTTACAAATGCTTGATCTGGAATGTTAGGTGTCTAAAATTGGAGATGCATATTCCAATCCATAGCTGAATTCAATTTTAGTTGTGAATGTATACTTATTTTGGTGTTCAATCCCATGTCATTGATTTAATAATTTGTTGTATTATTCCTTTGATGCTCAATTAATTACCCACTTTGTATGCTGTGTTTTTTTATTCCAGATCTTTTGATAATACAACATGTCAACGAGATAGTTTCACTCCAGTTAGAAACAAGTCTCTTCGAAAATCTGTTGTAAGTTAATTATTTTTATAACCTGTGGGTTTTTTTGTCCTGCCAGATACGATATCATAAAATGGTTGTACTGTAAGCTTATGTTAACTATGTTCATAACCATCTTGAAAATTTTATACAGAAACATAGTGCCTTAACTACTGTAGGTGCCCCTATCATTATTGGACTCAACACAGTTTAGTCAGTGGTTTTAAACAAGGTCACTGAAGGATTGCACTGTGTACTATGTTTAAGATTATTGTATTTGTGACTTACGATTTGCCTAAATGTGTAACATTTCTGTTTATTTCTCTTAGGGTGGACAGCTGGCCAGTAAGAATTTGAGCTCCACAAAAAAACCTGATTTTTCTCCAGGTAAACATAAGTTTGAAATAAGACCAGATGCTTTTGAGAACAAAGATGTTCACAAGAAAAACGGTGAACAATTTGTAGATCATACTGAATGGGTAATTCCTGTGCCAATTAGATCAACTATACAGAATAGCTTTGATACAAGCCCAGCAATACCACATATTGTTATAGCTAATCAAGATGATGAATGTGAAATATTAAATCAGCAAGACTATCATTTAACCAGTGAAGATGATACAGAAATATCTGAATTCATTGATTTGGTTTTAAATCGATGTTTAGAAGATGTTTTATCAGAAGATACAAAGGTAAATAATGTAAGGTGTAAATTTCTTGCCATTTGCTATTAAAAATCTTGTCACAAGCAGAGTGTAAGGATGAGCTGTCATTATGCGTTCTTTTGTTAACGTTCAGTTCAAGCACTAACAACCATTAATGTAAGCTTTCAATCTAAACCGCGGCATCTTTGTAATTGGCTAAAATGAATTTTTGATACACTGCTTAAACATGTTCTTTTTCACTGCAATTCTATGCTACTCCTTTTCAAATGGTGCTGGTGGTTGGGTGATCTAGTAAAACCATAAGGTCTGTTATTGAGTCAAGTGGCGCGGTTTCAAGGAGTAGGGTCGTCTGACCAAACACATGTTTCTCAGGTCCTCCGAATTCCTCCCACTGCTAAAGAGACCCCTAAACACAAGGGAGCTATTAAAATGAAATTAAACAATTTGTTAGTCCCTGAATTACCCATCTGTTAGAAATGGGGAGAAACCTACTTACACATGCTTTATAGTATATGTTGTATTTTTAGGTTAATCAGATTGATGTACCAGCTATACAGGTTATACCAGCAACACCTTTAGAAGAAGATGAAGAACAAACCACATCAGATAATATACTAGCGGACAATCCACCTGTACTTCAATTAGATAACTTTACAACAGAAGATACCTCACAGATTGACTCAAAAAATATACAACCATTTGAGAACATTAATAGTGCTAACATTCAATCAGAACAGACTGATTTCAACTCGCAATTTTGTGATATTTTTTCAGACAATATTGAAAATGACTCTGATAAAGAGAATGTTCAACCAGTGCCTAATATTACATCTTTCAGTTCGTTACATATTGAATGTGATGATGATGTTGTTTATAGTCCCACTAGCTCTCCATACAGTTTGTCCTATATGTCTGTATCAAATTTTGGTGACGAAAACATTTTGCAAAATAATCTTCCATTTTCTATCTTCAGTCCAGATGTTGCATGTTCGCCAATTTGTTACAAAAATTACCAAAATTCTAATTCAAAGCGTACTATTTTGGCCTCTTTACCCATTCTTCAAAATGATGATTCTGGAGAAATTTCTGAATCCTGTGATGAAAAAATAGAAGAATATGATGTTTGTGAAGAAGCTAATATCTGTGAAAATGTTCAACCATCAACTATATTAGACATATCTACTCATGACATGGGCTGTTCTCCATTGAAAGACACAATTACATACTCTTCTATAGAAACAAATACAGATACAAAGAATTTTAATGATATATCAGTTTTGACGGAAACTGTAGATGTTAATTCTGTAGGTTTGTCACCAATTAAAGGTGTCACTAAAGACATTGACACAATGACCACCATGGAAGCCATGTTGAATAAATCTATGGAAACTGAACACGTTTCTGTGTTTGATAAAAGTATGATGGCCCAATGTGACTTTCAAGATGAAAGTATGATGACAGATTCAACTCCAGTAAGCAATGTAGAAACAACCATGACACCATTTAAACTTCTCAATAAAAAAGGCAAAAGGTATGTACCACATTAACACGTACTTGAAAAAAAAAAACGCAGAAACAATTTGAAATGTAAGCATCACTGAATATAGAAGTATTGACTCAGATGAAGATTTTTTCATTGAATTCAAAATTCTTGTTTTGTTTGATAAATTATTTTCTCACATTGCTTGCTTTCTTTGATCAGAATGACTGCTGAAGAAGTGCGTCGACAACATCCAAGAATAGTAGCCAATCAGATCGATACGACACTGGTTTGTAATGAAAAACTGCAATCAGAGATTACAATTCTTACGAAGGACAACACAAGACTTAAAACAGTGATTAAAGATTTAAAAGTCAAGCTCAAAACAACATGTAAAGAACTAGAAGAATTTGAGTCAATACGCAAAGAGGAAAAAAAAGATGATCAGGTTTGGAATCTTTGAAGTATTCTCACGTTCAGTTGTCTTTGACTGAAAAGAAATTTGTATAGTTAATCAGCTCTGTCAACTTTTTGTCCAGGTCCTTCAGTTTCCTGCCTCTTTTTTTTAAAATTAGTTAAATGTTCAATAATCAATTTGAATTCATTTTAACGTAGATTAAACTGTAAAATCATATTTTACGAATGATTATCAGGGACTTCAAGCGATATAGACGACTATTTAGTCTTAAGCCTATACTGTGGACGCAAGTTAAAGATACATTATGCAAGAGCTAAATCTGTCTATTGTAGGTCTTTCTTTAGGCTTTAAATGTTATCTAAATTATTAATTAGATATTAACTTATCAAGATCATAATCAACTCTCAGTGCCATCGTTGGCCGGGAATATTTTGTGGCTTTGAATTCGTTTTCTGTTGATGATTTAACGTAAAAATGGATAATCGAGACTTTATTATCGTACCAGCATAATCTGTTTTCAATATGTATTATAATTGATAGTTGGCTCTTTATCTAATCTTTGAAATGAAATTGAACAATGTGTTAGTCCCGAAATGACCTAGTTTGTGTCGATTGGACGTTAAACCCCATTTCTCTCTCTCTTTCTTTATCTAATCTTACCTAATGCCCCTTTAATGTGCGATCAATTTGATTGTGCATATTTGAAATTTAGGTGAAAATGTTTAGTAATAACTCAAGATCTGTAGCATTGTATATTTTCAGAAATCACAAGATGAAAAGTTAAAAAGTTTACATACTATTATCAGTAATCAAGAGGAAAGATTAAAAAATCAAGAGAAAGCTTACAACACTCTACAAAATAAAATACAAGAATATGAAGCTTGTCAACTACAGTTAGAGAAAGATGTAGTAGAAAAACAGCAACAATATGAAACGGAACTCAATCAACAATCTGTTTTACATACTGATAAGGTACTAATATTTAAAGTGTTTACGTGGCATTTAGTATCTGAATGAGAATAACACATGCCACAATTATATGTAACTTTACTTAGTAGTTTATTTCTAGCAACGTTTCGACAAGGGTTCTCTTGTCTTTATCAAGTAAAGAATGTACTACTAGGGTAATTTCCTCAATTTTTTGACTCGCTTGATTTTTGAAGCCAGGGTCCAGCTGGTCAAAGGAAATAAAACGTTTATGGAGTTAGGTGTCTTGTTATTGCTATCTGGACTAAACTGTAACTTATATGTAGAAAATCCAAAATATCACTCAATTTTTTGACATGATTTAAAAACTGTTTGAAGACACCTAAAAAAAATATTCTTTACATTCAATACTCTATTGGAAATAAGTTTAGAAGAATGCCAAGGCTGTGAAATACATAATAAACTTCTTCTTTTTTTCAGCTAGAAAAAATGAAAATAGATGAGTTAAATTATAAAGAACAATATGAAGGTGCTAAAAGAATAGTGAAAGAACAAGAAATACAGTTGGTATTATTAACAGAAGTAGAAGAAGAAGCTGATAAACTCATGAAAAAACAGGTAATAATGCATTAATTGTTGATCCAAGTACAATTTTAAGTTACATTTTTATAAACCATCTGCTTTTCATACTGATAAACAAGTAAATATTTGAAACCATTGGCTGATTATCCGAAATGGGAATGCATTGCCATGTAAATACAGGACAATCGTGTTTTGGGAGGATTGAATAAAATTCAGGGTGTTTCAGGCATCTATAACATAATTTGAAAAACAGGAATACTGAATGTATATTGAAACAATGCACAACTAAAGAAATTTTTATGAGATTATCTGTGTAAAATTAATGTCATAGATTTTTAAATGTGAAACAGGATAATTATATTTTGTTTATAATCGATTTGTTTGTTTTTATCAGGATATTTTAATGAGAGATCTGTATAATATGAGAGCTATGATTAAAGGTGCTGTTAATAATAATATATCAACAAAACAACACCTACAGTTACAGGTAAATATACATTATATATAATAACCATTCATTTATACATAATACACTGTTTGTTGTTTGATTCATTTGTAAGGGACATTGAATCTACATCTTGTCACAGACACATCCTCATGTAGCATACACAATTTCAAGTTTTATAGTAAAATGCTTTGTGAAATGAGACTCTGAATATCATCCACTTTATCACAAAATGCTGTCATGATCTTTCCTACCAAGATGAAATATTAGTGGACGAAAAAACAATTTTGATTAATAGTTTTATTGAATCTAACATTTATTATATTTAAAGTGGAATAATTTAGAAGAAAAGAAAAGTCAAGTTGGTATAATTGTTGAGGGTTATAAGATGAATAATAAATTATTATTAGAAGAAATGGCAGACCTTCAGCATGTAATGACAGAGAAAAACAAAAAGATGGAAGAGGTAACATTTAATATCTTTATATACAGTAGTCCAGTTTGAATATAACATTTGGTGAAATAAGGAACAATTCAAGAGAAAAAAGATATCTGCAATGAAAAGTACAACAATATAGATTACTGACAACAGTTGTAAAATATATTTCTAATCTTAGAACAGGTAGACTAGATAATCTAGGATAACTCCCTTTATCAAAGGAATATTGTCTATCAGTCTTGGTATAGAATCGAACTTACAATATTGATTTTTAATGTATTACAGTTAGAAGAGAAATATTTAAGTACTATAGGAGATTTAGAGATGGCAGCTACAGAGTATTATGCACAACAAACAGAATTAAGCGAGGCTAGATCTAGTAAGTTGATTTTATTTGATAAAGACCAAAGTATATAAACTGTAAGATCAATATTATATGCCACTCTTATAAAGATTTCAGATCCAAACAATCAGCATTTAGCATTTAAATAACAAGAAGTCAATGTATTTAATCAAAGTTTCAAAGATTAAAGACCCCATGCGTCATTTAGCGCTATATATGATAGATGAATCTAATAGGAATATCAGTCCAAAAATGTTTCAGTTCCATTCTGTGTTTACAAAGTTATGATAAATTTAAATTTCATCGATTTGTGCTACTCGACTGTAAAAAGAAGCTGCCATCTTTTTGGGGTTTAAATCAAATTGAATCCAGCCAAGAGATTATCTAGTGTTGGTATTTTGGTGCATGGGGTCTTTAATTTTATAAATAATTTTGTCACATAGAAATGTTTGTTTATATTTTAGCAATTGAGAGTTATGGCAACCTAGAAAGTGATTTAACTTCAGCTTATAAAGAAATACAAACTCTACAATCAACATTAAAACAGACAGAAGACACTTTACATCACGAACAATATAGGTAATATTATCTTTCTTATTTAAATCATAAGTACTGGTTTCACCAAAGTTATGCACTTAAATGAAAGTTAGATTTTGAGTATATTTGACATAGATATATAATATTTTATATTGTTTTATCTAGATATACAAATCTACAAGAAGAGTTTGTGTTGGTAAAACAAGATTTTCAAGATCAAGTTACACAGTAAGTTTAATACTCACAGTATACCAAGGGTTATGATTATTGTTATAGTGAATAATTGTATCGTGCCACTAGAAGGTCTTGTTTGTGCTCTTGATGTTGGTCAAGCGAGTTCAAGATTTTGCTGCGTGGTTTCTCCTTGTCAATGGTCCTTGAAGTAGGGTCTGACAAGGAAAATTGTTTAGTTGTTCAGATGGGAAGAGAAACCTAGGTCCTGTGACTCATTGGCGTTCATGTGTACATTAACAGTTGGACTTTGCTACAAAGTAGGATGTAGTGCCACTGTCAAAGTAAAGCTTCCTCATAGCACACTGCAGAAAAATAGTTGGGTTACTGATTGAAGTTGCGCTGTATGTAGATTTCAGGATGCTGAAAATAATAAACTGAAATTTGGGAGTAGGTTTTCCATCTTGCACATATCTGTTTATATGATTACCACGTTAATTTCATTGAAAGATAATGTCAATTTAATTTTGTAGATTGGAGAATTTGGTGTTAAATTTACAGAGAACAGTTGATTTTAGAGAGAAAGATATTGATAAATTAGAGATAAAGTTGTATAATGATTATAATAAACTAGAAGAACAGAAAGAGCAGTTAGATTCCCTAGAAACCCAATTATTTAATTGTCAAGAAGAAATCGAACAAAAAACTGAGGAATTAGAAAGAGTACAGGTAAGATTTGGGAGATACCTTATTCCCATATTTGATACGAACAATATTGGGATCCCATTTATTTGCAAGTCAAGTTGTGTCTATTCTTTTCAGGACTAATTTAATAACAGGATGGCTTTTGTAATTATCTCAACCCCTCTCTTTGTTTTGTTTCTATAATATATCTCGGAAACCAATCAAGATATCTTTTATTTAAATAATGTGTACTCCAAAGTAGTAGTTGTGCTATTTGCTAATTATGAATCACATTTAAATGATTTTTGTGTTTTCACGGAAACAAATTTGCTTATTTTAATTTTTTTGCAAGGGTGCACAATGTTGGTGTCCAAATTGTGTTTCATTTTGTAGATTTTTACTAAAATATTTATTTTCGATTTTATTTTGTAGAGATTTGCTCAAGAGCAAGAAGGTGTTGGTGAAATATGTTTACAATCGGCTAGAGAAGCTGATGAGAAGAATACAAAATTAACATTACTAGTTAATAATTTACAGACCATAAATAAGGAGAATGAAGAGAAACAATCACAACTTCTTACATCATTTGGACAACTACAGTAAGTTCATTCTTCATGAAAAGGATCCCAGTTCAATCCAGCTTTAAGTATGGTTTCCTCATATAACATAACATATCACAACTCCTGTCTTCATCAGCAGAACAGGGGACCACGTGGGTAAGACGCTGGCTCGCTAGCCTGGAGGTCGGGTGTTCGATCCCTGCATTGGCCGAGAAAGTTCATCCAGATTTTCCGGCGTGGTACCCCCTTGTCAGTGATGCAGGACGGAGGGCCTGACAAAGACAGCTGTCTAGTCCTTGGGATGAGACAAAAAACCGAGATCCTGTGTATACATTGGAATGCACGTAAAAGATCCCTTGGCAGTTGGAATTCGATATAAGAGTAGGCGATAGTGCCGCTGCCCGGGCAAAATTTCCCTCATAGCACACTGTATGGCGTATGCCCGTCTTCATTAGCCCAGGTTAGGAGCAGAACAGTAGGACGTTAAACCCCATTTCATTTCATCAGCAGAACAGAAAGACATTATACCCCATTTAATTAGTGACACATGTTTATTGATTAGGTTATCTGAATAGATCTACCAAAATCTTATATTTTAAATCATGATTAATTTAACAATGAATTTATATTTTACAGACAAGATTACCTGGCATCAAGAGAAAATCTTAAAGAAACCCAGGATAGACATCGTACTACCATAGCTGGCAAAGATGAAGAACTAGATCAAGCTAAATATTTCTTACTACATCTGGATTCTAAAATTACAGCATATATAGACAAGTTGAAGAGCAAAATAAGTCATGAGGTAAAATAATGAACTGGATAAAAAGGTCTAAATATTTAATAAATTTTATTGAATTGTGTTTTGTATGCGGCATAGCAACCTGTGACAGTCAGTCCTCATTCCAGCTGGGAGTTATTGTATTCTTGAATTAAGGCACTAGAATCATGTATATATTGTTGATATATTGGTATTGCAATTTAATATTTGATTATGTTTTAGAGAAATGACATCTCAAAAAAGCCACCACATTCTGAAACATGAATGACCTTTCAGAGCTTTTAAATGAAAGACATTAAAATTGCATTACTGTCATAAAAAAATTTTAAGTTCACAAAATTTGAAAAGCTTGAGATGGTTATTGGAAACTTATTAGAATTCTGTACAGTATCTTATGAATTTGTTCCTTATATTTTCAGGTGTCGAACAGACGTAAATTATTTAGACAAGCTATTGATAATATTTCTGCTTCATCACAAGAGAGATTAGTGGATATAGGTGTTGAACCTATAGCTAGTTCTACACATGCCTCTCTCAGTATATTAGGTCCTAATGCTAAACCACATCGTCATGCTTCTAGTCTATCTCCTACTAAAGATACATTCCCATATAACTCATTTAATCAATCTCATAATTCATTAAATACATCTGTATATAATCATGTTACAACACAATCAAACACACCATCTAAATCATTCTCTATATCAGAAGAAACACAGCGATCTTGTCATAAGTTAGATCAACTTGTAGAACGCAGGAGGAGAAGTAGATCAAGTACAGCAGTAAAAAGTAACAGACATTTAGATTATGGTGAAGTAGCCAGTGAAAATGTGAAAGATTGTCCAGTATTATTTGATAGTTGTAAGGATGTTGATAGTTCAACAGATGTTTATAAAATGGTAGAAAGAAAATTTGATGAAGTAGAGAGATTAGTTGCAGCTTTAGAAAAGAATACAATTAAAACAATGGAAAATCTGACATCAGAAAAGTAAGTTTAGGATGAAGTATTTTATTTTTATATCCTAACTCTGAAATAATGCTGTTGTCCCCGTTGTTGACAATGTCTAATTTCGTCAATTTCTGATTGTAATTTGAGAGTTCTGGTCTTCTTCAAATTGTAAAAAATGAAATGAAATGGGGTTTAACGTCTTACTGTTTTGCTCCGAACTGGGCTAATGAAGACGGGCATCAATCAGGGAATGAAGGCATGAGGAAAAACTTATAGGAGAATCTAGGAACATCAAATACTTGTTTATAATTTGATTCTACTAATACCGACATTAATTGTGTAAACAAGTATAGTATTCCCTATTTTCAGGGATGATCTAGAAGATATAAAATATAGATTAGAACGACAAGTACATCTGTTAAAGAGTGAAATAGCTGTAAGGTCAGAAGCTATTAGTCAAGTGAATGAAGAGAAGACCAGATTAGATAATAAAGTACAGGAATTGACAGATTGTCTTGTTAAATATTCTGATCAACATGAACAAATAAAGGTACATTCCCAACCTGCTGTTTCCACTGCTCTAGAACTATTTTAGCCAAGACAGCTGAAGAATTATGAACAGATTTCTCGGAAGTCATCAAAGTGGTTGCTGATGTGTTATGATATTGTCATATCACAGCCAGCTTTGATGAGTTCTTGGTTTTACACATTAACAAATATTTGTATCTCGTCTCCATCTATGCAATTTAAATTTGCCCATTGTAATCCAGTAATAGCAGTGTTATTGTTGAAGATATTATTTCAAAGTGGTTGCTGATGTGTTATGATATTGTCATATCACAGCCAGCTTTGATGAGTTCTTGGTTTTACACATCAACAAATATTTATATCCTCTCGTCACCATCTATGAAGATTTGATAGATATAAGAATTAAATTTCCCCATTGTAATCCAGTAATATCAGTGTTATTTTTGAAGATATTATTTCAAAGTGGTTGCTGATGTGTAATAATAATATCATATCACAGCCAGCTTTGATGAGTTCTTGATTTCACATTTCAACAGATATTTACATCTCCTCTCGTCACCATCTTTTAAGTTTTGATAAATTTTAGAATTTGTTCATTGTAGTCCGGTAATAGCAGTGTTATTGTTGAAGATATTACTTCAAATAATTTAGTTACAACATCATTAGAAAAAGGATATCTAGAATTGAACTAGACAGCAATAAGAGTTAAGAAATTTAAGATGGCTATAACAGATTGAACTATGGTCATTTATGATTTTTATACACTCGCATTGAAATGTCATATATTGTCGTGGCTCCTGTCCATCCGATGTCCACAGTTGTTTGTGGAAACTCTAGAGGCTAAGTTAATATCCAATTGACTTTAAATTTATACACAGTGATTTAACATCATAAGACAAATAAACCTATTGATTTATAATATGAACATGAATGTCGAAATAGGCTAAAATTATATTATGAAAAATTTAGTTTGCTTTATTTGTCAAATCTAAACTTTTACCTTTCGTTAATTGGTCGGGTGTTCGATCCCTGCATTGGCCAAGAAAGTTCATCCCGATTTTCTGGCGTGGTCCCCTTGTCAGTGATGCAGGACGGAGGGCCTGACGAGGACAGCTGTCTAGGATGGGATGAAAAACCGAGGTCCGGTGTACACATTGGCATGCACGTAAAAGATCTCGACAGTTGGAATTCGGTATAAGAGTAGGCCATAGTGCCGCTGTCCGGGCAAAATTTCCCTCATAGCACACTGTATGGTGTATACCCGTCCTCATTAGCCCAGTTCGGAGCAGAACAGTAGGTCATTAAAACCCCATTTCATTTATTTGTCAAATCAAAACTTTTACCTTACGTGTTAAATCATTAATTAGCCTATTTAGATATATTTGTTCATATCATAAAAGACTTCCAATTTCTGACTCATTTTGCTATGGGCTATACTATGTACCGGAAAACACCATGTTATACTGAATACCGGAAAACACCCTAAACAGGTAACCCGGAGAAGGGCTATACTATAAACCGGAAACTGACCCTAACCCAGGCACAGAGGACCAGCCTCCGGGTTAACCTATTTAGGGTATTTTCCGGTATTTAGTGTTTTTCCGGTATTCAGTATAACCTGTAGTTTTCCAGTATGTTTGCTATCACAGGTCTCAAATAATTGTGTGTTATTACATTGTGATGAGTTGTTATTGGAGTGAATGATGTGTATATTATAGATACATGAGAGGAATAATGAGAAGTTAAATTTAGATTTACAATGTCAGAAAGATGAGATTAAATTATTAACAGAAGAACTTGATATGCTGTTTAGCAAAACACGGAGACTAAACAGTAATGGTTCGGATGATCAACAGCAGTTATTTGAACTAAAACGAAAGGTAAAATTCATTGTTCATCTATATCTTTGTCAAGTGGTGTTTAAATTTTGAAATATTGCATTTCTTGATTTATAAGATTACTTTCCTTCAAAGGATTGTAAACAAATTTCAACATTAGTACACCAGATTAAAGTAAAACAAGCAATAAACAATGTCAATACTAGTCGGTCAGTAATTGGTTATCTTTATTAATTTAGAATAATGTAAATTTCAATCATATAATTGTCTTTTGGATGGCATGAAAATTTCTGTGAACAGTGACATTAATTTAAGAGTTTATGAATTTTAGCTGAAGTAGCCAGTTATTGATAGCTTGATGACAAGAAATTTACCTTGTTACATGTCTGTTATTTGTCTAATTTATATTCCTATTCAGAATCAACAACTACGTATGAAGATAATAGAAGATTATAATAGTTATATAGAATCAGACAGTCAGAATAAGAGAAAGGTAGGTTTTCATATAAAGACTAATACTATTACTGTTGGAGAATTTTACTATTCCTGCCCACTTTCCCACAGACATGCTAGTACATGTGTCTTCCACATGATTTTAGTTTCAAGGATTGAGCAGAACCATACTATTAATTATTTTCATACAATATATTTCTACTATAGTCTGCTTCAACTGGGGGGTTGGATGGCCGAATGGTTAGCATGTGCGTGCTGTATCATAAAGCCTGTCATTGAGTCAACTTGCGTGGTTTCAAATCCCCGGTTGTACGTGACAAGGAGAGGGTCGTCTGTCCAACCTCGTGGGTTTTCTCCGGTTTCCTCCCACTGCTATAAGACCCCTATGCGAATTATTGAAATAAAATTAAATCATATGTTAGTCCCGAAATGACATAGTTTGTGTCGAGTGGGTGTTGAACCCCATTTCTCTCTCTGTCTGCTTCTATTAAGTTTGTTACTGTTGTTATAGATGCAGACATTAGAAGATAACTGGTTACAATCTAAAGCTGAAGTTAGTCGATACAGTGAACTTGTTGATACTATCAAAGAGGTGGGTATAACTATCATCAGATTGAAAGATTGTCATTGGGGAAAAACACTTCTACAGGCAATAACTGGATATGTTGAGTGGATTTGACTATTACCAGCTAGGTAAAAACCGCTACTGTAGCTGGTACAATAGTCATGAGTCTTTATCAGCTCTACATCTAGTCTGGAAGGTGCAATCAAAGCCCCACATTTAGAATAGATTTGACAGAATTAAATTTAAAATAAATGGTTTTTTTTATTTTTGTTGCAGACTTTGAAAACTAATAAAGATTATATAGAGGAGGTACCAAGTTTAAATCAATTGTTAAACATTATTAAAGGATCTGATATTACTGCAACCACACCAGCAACAGATATATTTCACTCATTCTATGATAGCTTTATGTTTTAAGATATTTATATTCAAACCTTTATGTAAACAATAGTTGGCATTTAAACCATAAATATGTGTGAAACTGTATGAGAATGACTGCTTGTAAAAGTAAACCTTACTACAAACTCCCGCTATTGGGGTTATTACCTTGCATGTGCCATAATACCTTTAAATTGTTTTCATTCTTTAAAATATACTTTTATTTTCATGGTACTCGAATCATTGTACATTTATCTAGCCCATATATATATCTATGTATGTTATGTATTATTTGAAGTGCAATTACAAGATGGTCATATAAAATATTTCCAGTTCAAACCCAGAATGTAGATCAAATCGTTTATTTATCGTTATCAAATTATATTTATATACTTTATCAAAAAATAGTCATTTTCATCAACTTCTAGTTTTCTTTTTCTTTAATAAATAGCCTCATAAAATGGGTTTGTCCGTCAGTCACATTTCTAATTTATCAAAATAAGTCTAGCCAGTTTGGGGAATAAAAAGTTAGATCTGTAAGAACATTCACAAGGTAGTCCAGTCAATTTATGAAAAAAAGGGGGGCAACCCCCAAATAATTGCAAGAAAAGTTTTTTTTTGATGGTTTGTGGTAACGTTGGGTATACTGAATGACATCCTAAAGGTTTTGAGGGTAAAGTTCGGGATTTAAGCCCTTTCCTATAAAAGGTACAACTTCCGACAAACAAAAAGTCGTCAATTTTTAAGAGAAGCACATGAAACAGGGCTTGCATTAGGCTGTCGGGTCACTTTTTATACGCCCACATTTTCATGTGGACGTATATTGTCGTCGCCCCTGTCCGTCCGTCCGTCCGTCCACAATTGTTTGTGAACAGTCTACAGGTCAGAATTTTTATCTGATTTCAATGAAACTTGAAATATAGGTTTATCACCCTAAGATCTCCGTTCCTTTCGATATTGGCATCTATCGGACCATAACTTCATGGATTATGGCCCCTGATTGTACGAAAAATCACGTTTTTGGCTTGTGAACACTGTAGAGGTCACAATTTTTATCCGATTTTGTTGAAACTTAAAATGTAAGTTTATAACTCAAAGGTCTTGGTTCCTTTCGATATTTGCGCATATCGAATTGTAATTTCCTGAATTATGGCCCTTGATTGTAGGAAAAATCACTTTCGTTTTAGCTTGTTTTCTATCCATCTCTCGAAAATGTGGGCGTATCCTGCCTGGCAGCCGCTGGTTTTATATGGCATGGTTTTCAATGCTCTCTTGAACCATTTTCTGGGATTTCATTACCCGAGAAACATGCTGCCCAGAATCCAAATTTATAAAGGGGCACATCATAAAATAGCAATTTTAGTCTCAAAATTAATATTTTTGGGGCCATTATTTCATTTGAAGATATGACCAGTCCTTATACCATTTTTGGGAATCCGCTACCCCAAATAGTTTTCATGTATGATCAAAATAATTATAAACATCTACGTGCGCGCAAAGCGCACACACACACCTCTTCATCTCTTGCGTTGGCCTCTCTCTCTCCCATTCTTCTATTTTGATCATACATGAAATTAAATTGCCTCTACCATATGTTTGAAAAAAAAAACCACTTACTACTTTGGTTCAATGTAATGTCTATTAAAAGATATAGGGGTGTCAGTTGTCGGGGACTAAAAATAGATACTGTAAAATTAATAATTTGAAAATTTCATCTAAAATTACTCTTGCGAGCGAAGATATTAGCCTTTGAAGGTTTGACAGCACACAATTGATACTCAGCACACATATCACAGTTTTCATGGAAGTAAGTAATCAAATGAAATGGAATGGGGTTTAACGTCCGACTGTTCTGCTCCTAAACTGGGCTAATGAAGACGAGCATACACAATACAGTGTGCTATGAGGGAAATTTTGCCCGGGCAGCGGCGCTACGGTCTACTCTTATATCAAATTCCAACTGCCAAGGGATCTTTAACTTGCTTGCCAATATGTACACGGGACCTCGGTTTTTCGTCCCATCCAAACGACTAGACAGCTGTCCATGTCAGGCCCTCCGTCCTGCATCACTGACAAGGGGAAACCACGCCGGAAAATCTGGATGAACTTTCTCGGCATAAGTAATTAAAGACACATAATGTAAGATTTGTATTAAAAGCTGGCTGTTTTTGCTATAATATTTCAAAATTATACAAATGAACATATTGAAAATTTCATTAAAATTGCTTTATTTTGAGCGACATTATCACTGTTTGTAGTTTTGACAAGATGGGTGCAGTGATTGTAACTGCGGTACTGGCCATTCAGTCTTAGCCTAACTTCTCCATTTTTAAATTAAATCATTAAATGACCGAACCATTCTAATGTACTTAAAATCGGAGTCATCTGACATCTGATGGCTTCCAGAGTTGATTATGGTCTTGTCATTATATTAAATGTCTAATAGCCCAAAGAAAGACCTGCAATAATGCCTGTTTAAGGGGGTTATAGGCCAGTAACTTTTTTGTAATCGAACGATGACAAAACATGCTCAAAGGAAGTCCTTAGAACGATCCACGAATGTGGCTGGAGTAAGACGAAAGACATCAGTAGTGGAAACATTTAAGTAACCTACACTAAAGTAAAATCTTTGATACTTTTAGGTAAATCTGTACAGCATTTACAACTGTATTGTGACTTAATAATTTAATTATTAAATCCAATCTATATCCAATTTCTATAACATTTGAGGCCTAAAGAAAGACCTGCAGTAAGCCGATTTAGCTCTTGAATATTGCTCCTTTAAACAGATTGGATAACAAAATACAACCACATTATCAAGTTGAACATATTATACAAATGATATATATGGGGATCTCGCTGGGTAAGACGCTGGCTTGCTAGCCTGGAGGTCGGGTGTTCGATCCCTGCATTGGCCGAGAAAGTTCATCCAGATTTCCTGGCGTGGTTCCCCAATCGTCAGTGATGCAGGATGGAGGTCCTGACAAGGACAGCTGTCTAGTCATTCGGATGAGACAAAAAAACTGAGGTCCCGTGTACACATTGGCGTGCACGTAAAAGATCCCTTGACAGTTGGAATTCGATATAAGAGTAGGCCGTAGTGCCGCTGTCAGGACAAAATTTCCCCTCCTAGCACACTGTATGGCACATGCCCATCTTATTAGCCCAGTTTGGAGCAGAACAGTAGGACGTTAAACCCCATTTCATTTCATACAAATGATATAGTCACAGTTAGCATTTAGACTGCCCAGCTGGTCAGAAAGTTATTCATATATTGTTGTCAAATAGCTATCTGGGTGTATCACTTTTCATCAAGGAACTGAAGTAGCCAATATTTACATATATAAAGGGATATCAAAGTAGACAAGACAATATTTAGGTTTGTTTTTAAATGAAATATATTTTATTAAATTTAATATAACATGACTTTTTCATGACAAAAATTAAAATATTTTTTAACTGCAATCTTAACAATTTAGTTTACACTAATAAATAACATTTAAATTATGGCAAAATATCAAAATATCCACACTTTTCTGTATACCAGTATTTATATATTACTTGGGGTCCTATTTAGAAGAATAAACCCCATTTCATTTCCTATTTAAAAGTTCTATTACATAGATTTGGCAAATTTGCCTACCTTTTAATTCATAGATTTGACAAATTTGCCTACCCTCTACCGTTTGATGTTTAGATATTGCAAAATTCAGAACATTGTGATATATAGTTCAGAAGTAAAATAGTTTTTCTTTTTGAGATTCTCCTATCTTTTTGTTGAAATAAACTGTTGGCTGCAGTATATCATACTTAAAGTAACAATATTATTAGTTTATAAAAAACAACCACCATAAACCTTTGCACTACAAACTTATTAAATCTTACAAACCTCTCCAATTCTCAAGTAACCTACGTTGGAAAATCCATCTTATATTGATAGGCTACCAAAATAACATTTGTTAACAGTAAGTGATGTTATAGTGAGATAAACACGGGGTATTATTCAAGAATACAGCAAGTACCAGAGCTTACACTGTTACAATTTTTAAATTAATATTCATATTCAACAATTAGTATGATTAAAACTGATTTATAACAACAAATTATTCTGGTTTGCATTGACATATTACCCATTTAAGGCTCTGCAACAATCTTGCTTTAGCTCATGTTGTACTTTACTTAAATGTTATAATCATAAAGCATTAAAACTTGAAAATTCAAAATCACCAAAGTATGACTTTCACTAAACTAAGACTTGCATACAGCCTTTTCTTCTCTAGAGGCACATTAATTAGGACTGGCAATCGATACTGGTTTTAAGTATTGATAATCAGAGACCAATCAATAATGGATAATATCAAGGAACTACTTTTACTTACACTTGTTTTCAAAACATTCATAATTTGTATATCAATTACGAATTATATTTGAGGTTATGCTGCAATATCAGTAAGTGTGTGTGTGTTTAATGACTTTGTGTTTAATTAGTTACTTAGATAGGTGCAAGCACGTGCGATGTAAAGATTACTGTGATACAGATTATCTTTTTATCCTTTGTGAATTTCTTCTTACAAGTGGCTACCTATAATTGTGATATTATCGATATTTTAAATCTGTATCAATTATTGATCTTCAAACGCTTTACAGACGATTATCGGCAATATCGATATTTTCGGCCAGCCCTAACATTAATGTTTTTGTTTGTGATGAGGAATATATCATGATTACTGGGGTACTTAAAGCAAAGTCATTTGGCAACCCCCTAGTAATTTATTCTACCAAATACGCCCCAATTACTGACTTTAAGAACCAAAATAATAATGCTGTGTTAGGATTGAACTCCAAACTAAATTTTCATGAAGGGTTGCATCTATCACTAGTCATTAGTACACCAACACCATTAGACATACATGATTAAATAAACAAAATAACTTTGGAATATAAATTGATTATTTAAAAAAAATGATATAATGCTATTTTCAGGAAAATATTTAAAACCTGTATAGCGATCCCATAAATAAATCGGTCTTTGGAAGAATAACATATTACATCATTTTCTGCTTATCTATTACCAGGCACATGTCCCTCCCCTGCTCACAGAGAATTTTTTACTCCGTACATTCATCATAATAATGTGGAAAAAACAAACATTTGAACCACTGATGTCATTTTGGCCCCATTCCACACTAATCCTATACATGTATGCATCTGAATGAACAGAAATCTTGCCTCTGAGCTTCTAATTTATAAAATTCTTTGGTAATCCTCCAGACCTCATGCCAAACTTGAGGCTGTCTTCATCTTGGACTTAGACCCCCCACCCCTCTGCTCAAATTCTATCATAGCAATAATCATGAAACTAGATTTACTTCAGTTATGTATAACATAAAAAAATTGTATATAATGACTATATTACACTTTGTGGATATATAGAGAATCTCCTACGAGTCTTTTTTGATATCAAAAAAGACCAGTAGAAGATTTAATTTTTAACCCAACCTTTTCTTACATGCACAAATAAACATAATTCTTTGAGTATAATTCAAATTCATGTAAAGGATATCTCCACTGTAGATATTGCTCAGTAGAATATGAAAATTATCACACAAGTGATATCTACTGTAGAATGTTTTATTGGATGATAAAAATTAGCATCTCCACATGTATCCTCTCTGTTAAAGAGTCAGTTTTGTCCCTGACATTTGACCTGTCCAGTCAAAATGAATATACGTGTGGTTTGATCTTTAAGATGTTCAAGTGTACATGTATGATATTTTCAACATATTTAGAATGATCATCATAGATATAGGTAGGACAATATTTATACAAATTGATGCATTCTAAGTAGAGAGTTATCTTCTTTATTCTAAGATAACATGATTTATATGACAGTATTTAATCCACCAATTTATTGCAACTCATCAACTGTATTATTACAAATATGTGATAGCAAAATGAGTCGGAAATCTCAAGTTTTTTATAATATGAACAAAAATGTTAAAAAAAGCTAAAAAATATCTTGAAATTAAACAAGAGCCAAATTTTCCTATTGCAGGTCTTTCTTTAGGACTTAAATGTTATATAAATTATTAATTAGACATTAATTAAATTATCAAGACAATAATCAAATATTGATGCCATCGGATAGCTCATATATTAAGCAGATTTAAATACATATTGTGGTTGATGAAAATGTATAATTAAGACTTTGTTTATTATTGTAGCAATGACAATCGAGGCTATACTGTTATTGTATCACAGATAACAAGGCTCGGAATGAAGTAATTTGACTGAAACTTTGAACATATTCCCTTTTCATAACTATTATAGCGAGAACTGTCGGCTCTTTATCTAATCTTACCTAATGTCATGATATAACACGAAAGATAAAAGTTTACATTTGACAAATAAAGCAAACTAATATTTTCTTTATATTTTTAGCCAATTTAGTTCACATGTATATCTTAAACAATCACTTGCGACTTCCGATTCATTTTACTGTCACTGGTCACATATAATCAATTAGGTGCTTTACTTCGCTCATAGTAAGTATAATTAAATTTGTTCATTTCATTGTCCTATATACCTTCTTGAACGGGGCTTAAAGAGAAGGGATGAGTTATAAATTATTACCCCTCTATAAAGCTGGAAGAAAATGCTTCTTTTTGGAAGGTCATAATGAATCATCTAAATTATAAATTAGATCAAATGAAGCATCTAAATAATAAATTAAATGAACCATCTAAATAATGAATTAAATCAAATGAGCCATCTAAATAATAAATTAAATCAAATGAAAATATGTTGGGTAAAAAAAGAAAAAAACAAATTGTTCTGTCAAACATTAAAACAACAGTGACTAATACTTCAATAGAAGTAAAAATATAATTATTAATAATAATAATAAAAAGCGAGCATTTTGGTATAAGTACATAGAAGTGTATCTTCATATCACAGTTTTAAAATTATGACTTGTGTGATTTACTGAACAAACTTTTCTTCACTGGTTTATCTTGACCAGCCTAAAATATAGAAATAGAACATACATAGTTAACATTGAAGTGCTATATTGTGGTAATGGGGTGTATATGCCACAAAATGGCCTTAATTGTTTATGACAATCAGAAGGGCTAATTAAAAACAGCCATCTAACATTTTACTCCATCCCAGAATTCCATCTAGGATCAAAGCCTTTTATTAATCAAGGGAAGTAACTCGATTAACACAAAAACCTCAAGAAGACTTCAGACCACTATTCCTTAATAATATGAATAAGTTTGTTTAGTAATGAATTATATGACAATATGAAAGACTAATTTATTTGTTGTGGGTATAGATCATATGGAATCTCTATAGCTCAATAGTAATAAAACAACTGCCACCCTATCATATCTACCATATTTATAAATTGAAATCTTTATTGTAGCTATCTTCAGTTTTCTCTTCATAAATATTTCAAAGCTAGTCCGACTTGAATTATACACAGTTCACAATTTAATTGACTTCAATTAATGCCTATTAATGAGTGAGGTTTTAACTAGACAAAGATTAAGGAACCTAGTCGAAACATCACTCAGTAATAAGCAATAATTGTATTCCACAGAATAGTGACCTGTGTATTCCAGTTCAATTAATAAATGCCATTGAAACAATTTATGTACTTTGTTACCATCTGTTTGAAAAGTTATATATGTGAAAATAATGATCTTTCACAGGACATTGAAATGTACATACCAATAATTTAGCACCCAATAACATCTTAGCTTTATCTTCTTCTTGTTGAACATCTGTTAATGGTGGTTCATCAGCTCGCGATTTCATATGTAACTTTTGTTTTATAGCCTAAAATAAAATATATAAATCATTTTAGATTGTTAACTTGGAAACTTACATGTTGTTACAGTGATACTGCCAAATAGCTGTGTCTAACATGTAATTTGTAATGGAGACAAAAGCTAACATGAGTTGTTAATGCCCCAAACATATCTCATTGAGAATTGTTATCTGTAAGTCTTTATCCTTATTTCGACTTAATTTCTTTCCTGTGAATGTTTTGTGTCTGGTTTATTGGGGTAACTTTATTAAATCTCAAATCTATGATGTGCGAAATAAAACTATGATTATCTTGGCAATGTTTATTTTCAAACTGTATCAAGTTTACAGTCATTAATATTGAAAGAGGTAATATTCTGAAATCATCTTTAGATGGTAATGAATGGAGCTTAACATCTTGCTACAACAATACTTCAGTTATTTTCAGACTAACATACAGTCGTCCATTTTCTCTGGTCATACGCTTAGGAGGAGAATTCTGTCCAGACATAGATTATTGAGGGTAACAAAGATATTTTTGCAGGATGCTCTATATCAATTGACACAATTTGAACCAAATAACACAAGTTTGGATTTTTCTCTGCCGGTGTTAGCCGAGAAAGTTCATCAGGATTTTCCAGTGTTGTTCCGCCTTGTTGGTGGTGCAGGATGGAGAGCCTTATTCGTTTGAATTCCACTTCTTTTACGTGTAACCAAATGTTTAAACAGGTGGACCTTGTCCCCGTCTACACATCCAGACACACTTTTGTTCCCAGTCCTGCTAGTGCTACCCCTGACAAGTGGGAACTAAGGCTCCGCAAATTTGATTTTCTGTTCTTTGGGAAAAAATGTAAAAAATAATAATTCTTATTTCTTCGGGAAAAAGACATTTAAAAACCAAAAGTACTTGGTTGTGCTGTTCAAAGTCTTTTAGTTCCAAATTTTTAAGTTTTGAAATTTTAAACAAAAATTTATCCAAACCCTGAAGAACAGAAAATCAAATCAAAAGCTTGAAATATATCAAAATTTATATTGTTGAGCTTGAAATTAATAGTGAAATATCTCAAAGTTACTGATTTTGGTAATGATTTCTAGTAAAATATATGGTTACCTGTGACAATAAAATTCTTTTACTATGGTTCTTCATTGCCATAAGTAAATCAAACCATGTCCAGATACGGTTATGTTGTTCTAATGTTGGCAAAACAAAACTAAAATCATGAACATCTTCAATATTTTTATCTTTTTCTCCCTGAAAATGATAAGATTGAATACTTTGTTATATGTTGTTCTTAGACTCATTTATAGTGGTGTTACAAAATGTTGGCTTAATGTGGACATGATGGAAAGAATCAAAGATGAGGACATGCTTTTGAATCTTAACCCTTTAAACACAGAGTAATGGATGTCTTCCAAATCGGGTTCCTGGCAATAGTTAACTAGGAATAATTCTGCATTTTTATCTTAGTGTTTGACATCAGCAATTATAAATCCAGCTATAGTCTATTTTGATTTTTAAGTTTTCAAGAACTTATAGAAATAGACCAGCCTTCTGAAATGTGTGAATCATTCCTGAGAAATGATAAAATAAGTATCGATATTTAAACCAAATTACAAGTTAAATTATAACCTTATCCAAATTAAAAGTCAAATATAATAAACAGAATACCTTATAACTAACACGTAATAAAACTTCTGGTATTTTAATATAAAGAAAGGTATTGTTGTTAGCTGCTCTTGCCTGAAAAAAAATATAAAGATATTTATTTGAAATAAAGTCAAAAATAAATATTAGTAAGCAGAATCATTGGACACGAAGTAGAGAAATTGTGAGTGTACTGAAGCTGGTTATTCATAGCATAATATTCTTTCGTGGTAGGGTTTGATCAATATGGGCCTATGAGAATGATTCTTAAAGACTTAATGCATGATTTTAGCAGTAAAACATCCCTTGCAAACTAAAATATTGTGAAATATGTATCTTTGATAAGAATATCAGTCCAAAAATAGTTCAAATCCGTATCTACAAAGATATGATGAATTGAAAATTCTATCCATCTAAGCTGTTCACTATGTAACCAAATGGCTGCCATCTTTATTAGCCACAAACCAAATTGTTGGGCCCGTTTTAAATCCGACTGAATACAAACCAGGACATTATCTAGTGTTCGTATTTTCTTCATTTAATGTTAAATAATCAATCTGAGTACATATTAGCGTGGATTAAATTGTGAGAAAATTGATATTTTCAAAAAACTTGCAAATCAAGTAATTTCCTGTAATTAGAATAGATGCATATAGTCTTTAATATTTTAATATATCACTACCTTCATTTTATCTATATCATCAGCACTTGTAAATGATGGACTTTTCTTCATAGCTGATTCTCTTTCTTTTCTCTCTCTTTCTCTCAAACTTGCCTTTTTATCTACTTTTTTCTTCTGTCCATCCATTTCCTCCTCTACAAAAAAAATAGGATTTAATCATTTATGTATATTCTCTGTTCTAACATAAGTAACAATCAGATTTAAATAATTATAATTTTTATGATTGGGAGAAGGTTTACTTTTATAGTATACAAACGTAATAAAATGAAATGTGGTTTAACGTCCTACTTTTCTGAGCCTATTGGGCTAATAAAGACATGCATCTGACATAGTGTTCTATGAGGGAAATTGTACCGTGACAGCAACGCTACAACTTACTCTTATATTGAATTTAAACTGTCAAGGGTTCTGTTCATGCACGCCAATGTGTACACAGGACCTTGGTTTTTTGTATTCTTCAAACAACTAGACACTGTCCTTGCCAGGCCCTCCATCATGCACCACTGGTATGAGGAAAAGTCGCTGGAAGATCTTGAGGAAATGAAATGCAATGGGGTTTAACGTCCTACTGTTCTGCTCCGAACTAGGCTAATGAAGACGGTGATCTTGAGGAACTTTCTTGGCTAACACCAGGAGCAAACACAAGACTTTCTAGATAGCGAGACAGCGTCTTACTCACCAAACCACTGCGGCTCCCACAAAAAGTAATACAATATAGATGTACAGGAATTATCAAAAAGAAAAGAGCAATTAATTGCTGCTTGCCTAGATCAACAAACTTGACAAATAAGGTTTAAGATATATTCCCTTCAGCATAACTACCCCTAAATTAATTTTATTTCTCAATGCCACAATAACTTAAATTAATTAAGTTAATTAATAGAGAGCATCAACCACTGTTTGGGCCATGTTTGGGTAATGTCAGTGGTTTGGTCCATTCTTCATCTGTCAACACAGTCAAGTGTTCTAAATAATGGTAGTTACATTAAAACATAAAGATTGTCCAAAATGCTTTCTTCAACAATTTTGGTAACAACTTTATTTTTCTCTTATATTATGCTTATTTTTTCTGATTGATTGAATATTTTGGGATCAGGAAATTTTATTTATGATATATGATCCTACAATTCCAAGATGGCTGGATATTTTTCCAGGCGATAGTTATGCAACTGTCATGGAAATATATCTTTAATGTTCCAGCTTATTCATTGTAAGGATACTTCTACCAACTGTCCACTATATGGAACCAATGGTAGGAATGATTGATACAGACCATGTTGACACCAAACAATAATCCACTTACCTTGATCGTCTGTTTCAATATTTTTATCAGGGAAGAAGAAAGCCATGACAGCTTTATAGAAATGATATGTTAATTGTAGTTGCATTGGTACCACATTTACTTCAAAATGTTCTTTAACTGCTATACCACCAACTAAAAATATAATTTATAATACTTATATTAGTTTAACTGCTATACCACCAACTAAAAATATAATTTATAATACCACCAACTAAAATTATAATTTATAATACTTATATTAGTTTAACTGCTATACCACCAACTAAAATTATAATTTATAATACTTATATTAGTTTAACTGCTATACCAACAACTAAAATTATAATTTATAATACTTATATTAGTTTAACTGCTACACCACCAACTAAAAATATAATTTATAATACTTATATTAGTTTAACTGCTATACCACCAACTAAAATTATAATTTATAATACTTATATACCACCAACTAAAATTAGTAATTTATAATACTTATATTAGTTTAACTGCTATACCACCAACTAAAATTAGTATTTTATAATACTTATATTAGTTTAACTGCTATACCACCAACTAAAATTATAATTTACAATACTTATATTAGTTTAACTGCTATACCACCAACTAAAATTATAATTCTTAATATTTATTTTAGTTTAACTTCTATACCACCAACTTAAATTATAATTCATAATACTTATATTAGTTTAACTGCTATACCACCAACTAGAATTGTAATTTATAATACTTATATTAGTTTAACTGCTCTACCTCAAACGAATATGGAGCCACAGTGAGCAAGACGTTGGTTTGCTAACATGGAGGTCCCATGTTCGATCTGGTGTTGACCGAGAAATTTTATCTGGGTTTTCTGTCATGGTTCCCTCTTGTCAGTGGTGCAGGACAGAAGGCCTGGCAAGAGACAATGTATAGTTGTTCAGATGGGTCAAAAACTGAGGTCCTGTGTACACATTAACAAGCACGTAAAAGAACCCCTGGCAATTGGAATTTGATTTAAGTCTTATCTAGTTTGTTGTTTTGGAGGAAATTAATAATAGACTTTAATGTCCTACTTTTCTGCTCCATCCAGGCTAGTGAAGACAGGCATATGGCACAGTGTGCTACAGTTTACTCTTATTGTAAATTCCAACTGTCAATGGTTCTTTTACGTCCACGGCAAAGTGTACACTGGACCTCAGTTTTTCATCCCATCCGAATGAGTAGATGCTGTATCTTGTCAGGCCATTCATCCTGCACCACTGACAAGGGGAAATCCAGAGAAACTTTCTTAGCCAACACCAGAACCTCCTGGTTAGCGAGCCGGCATCTTACTCACAGAGACACCGCTACTCACTAGTTTTGGAGGATTAGTACAGGTGTTCATAATATTAAATTAGTACAATAATTGTATACCTGGCGGTCGTTCACTACACAGAATACGTAATGTCATCTGTCTGTTTTCTTTCTCTATGGGATCTCGAGGTATTAAAACATCTTTATATATAGAATTAGGTAATAAATTTGTCATTTTAACCCAACCTAATTCTAACTGATGAGTCCATGCATCATCATCACGGTTTGTCTTTGTATATCTAAATTTAAACAGAAACAAATTGTCTTGTTAACACACTTCCACAGGCATGTTCAGGAATTTGAACAGTGGGGGATCAAAGATGGAGACAAAGTCAGGTTTGGCATGAGGTCTAGGGATGACCCGAGAATTCTATAAAATCAGAACTCCGAGACAACATTTCTGCTTATTTAGATGCATATATGTATAGGATTAGAGTAGAGTGAGGCACAAACGACAGCCACGATTCACACAAATATGCCTCTCTCTCATACTCCTCACAGTGTTTCGTTTGATTAGACCTAATCCCACTCAAACACTGCCATACTCAGCGCAAATTTCTGTCGCAAATTATGACTGGTTAACAGTCCATCAACAACCAGTACATAACGTCGTAACAAAATCAATCAGAATTAACCAGAGCTCTAAATATGTTACCGTAAAGTATCTGGTGCCAAACGTGACTACATTACTTTCAGAACGCGTGAATTGTATTACCCTGAATTAACCAGTACATAACAGAATATTGCAGAGAAACTAATTGTGTGATAAACGAGGCTATCCAAAATAGCTATAATGTAAACATTTGGTAATCACCGCCCACATGGAATCTTTTTATCATCTCTTGAACCACACAGAAGTTCAAAGAGAAGGGCTGTCATGTTGCATATTGTATTTCAACAAACTGGATAGAAATACAACATGTGCTTTTTTGATAAAATGAATAATTCATGGATTTTTTTCACAAAAATGGATAAATATTATCAAATATTTAAAGGTGGGCAGTAATAATTATTACACGTTTATAGAATTTATATCAGAGATTTGCGTCAAAGAATTTTCATTTTAATAGTGAGTTTCAGCCAAATTTACTTATGCGAGCATCAATGTTTGTTCCCGATGTATCCAAGTGTAAAATTTTTCTTGAAATCAGCACTGACAAACATTAGGATTGTTTTTAAAGAGGTCACCCCGGTTAAGTCATGAAAATTCCCTATATTTTACTCAGAAGAGATTTGATTGGGCGATGAGAATGGAACGCTCCGTCAAAGATTCAAGTTTTTAGTCTCAATACAGCAATGGCTAGAAAGGGATTTCTCGGACCATTGCTTCAGGTATATGCTCCCCTCTGGACGCGCCCGACTTCTACGGCTGATATATTTCCTTCAGTTTAGTGTGCAATGCAAGGGAGAGACTTGTGCAGGTACAATGTTTCAAACTACACAAGGTATTTTATACATGCACTACACAGGAACTTGTTTTACCCATGACAACTAGGAACCATAATCAATTAACTTTCTTAAAATAACTTTTCCTTCTTACATAACATATTTACTTCTATTTAGCTCAGAAAAGTTCAGGAATCTTATCTAAGGCTAAGCTGAGGTTTTTTATCTCTTGAATTATCATATTGAATACAGGTCATCTTAAATCTTAAATCAGTGATTCTCAACCAGTGAACGGCACACTAAAAAAATCACTCACTAAAGAAGCCAGCTATTAGACTGATGAAATTCAAAAAACTGCAATAAAGTAAGTTCATAGCTGTGTTTTTCTTTATTTAGTTTGAGTCATTCTATGTGCCTATGACTAGTCTGTGTCTACCGTTGTATGCCGTCTACGACTTGCCATGTTTTTATTTTGCAAAATTCAAATATTTTTCATATGTATTTAGCCAGGTGTGCCGCTATTTTTTCATGTGTTCCAAGCTGTGCTGTTGGCTAAAAAAAGATTGAGAACCACTGTCTTAAATCTAAGGTGGAATTATACTTTAAGGTAGTTATTCAAGTTTATTATACTTTACGGTAGTTATTCAAGTTTAAGGTAGTTACTTGAATATGGTCCCAAGATTGAAAATGTATTTCAGAACAAAATAGAAACAGCATTTAATTTGTGTTCTTTCAATTAAATACAGCCTATACCTTTGAAACAAAGATGGTCAAAATTGAACTGTATATAGATCAATTACACAAAATATCCCATTACTTACAAAAATATCCCATTGCTTACAATAAATATCTCATTACTTATACAAAAAATATTTGAATACTTACACAAAATATCCAATTACTTACAGGCTATCCCATAACTTACACAAAATATCCCATAACTTACACAAAATATTTAATTACTTATACAAAATATGCCCAAATTTACACAAAATATCCCATTACTTATACACAAAATATCCCATTACTTACACTTACACAAACTACCCAATTACTTACAATCTATCCCAGTACTTACACAAAATATCCCAATACTTACACAAAATATCCAATTACTTACAAACTATTCCATTACTTACACAAAATATCCCATTTCATGCACAAAATATCCCAATACTTACACAAAATAACCCATTACCTACAAAATATTCCAATACTTACACAAAATATCCCATAACTTACACAAAATATCCCAATACTTACAAAATATCCCATTACTAATTCACATTACTTATACAAAAATATCCCATTACTTACACAAAATATCCCATTACTAATTCACATTACTTATACAAAAATACCACATTACTTACACAAAATTTCTTAGAGTGATATCAGTTATACCAAGCTGTCCATCTTTTTCTGTCAATCTCCACTGAGCAAATTTAAAACAAACCTCATTTCTTCTGACCACATCTGCATGTTGAGCTGAAATAATCAAGAAAAAATTTAAATGCCTAGTTAAAATCATAAATACACTGGTAACAGAATTGAGACATCATGGAGATCCAAAAACAATAACGCTGTGTGGGTCTGGAGTAATCGATTGAACATTTGTGAAGTCAGTTGAATTCCGCAAAAGAGACAATCGAGTAACAAGCAGCAACTGAATTATCTCCGGGAATCACCACAAGTGAAACATTTCAACCAAGATCAATTATGTGACAATTCAACTGACAACCGCATCTGTTATCAGGCCACAGTTAAAGATAACATCTAATTACTTAAACATACATCATGCAAGAGCTAAATCTGCCTATTGCAGGTCTTTCTTTAGGCCTGAAATGTTATCTAAATTATTAATTAGATATTAATTAACATATTCAGATCCTAATCAACTCTCGATGTCACCGCTAGCCTGCAGTGTTTTGCTGTTCAACTTCCATTCATAATTTAATCATGAGATGGATAATCGAGACTATGTTTTTCATCGTACCGACTTTAGTAATGTTGATCGAGGCTAGGCCGAAAATTCAATCGCTAAAATCTTGGTTCAGAGTGGATTAATTTGACTGAAATTTTCAGCAAATTGCCTTTACATTATCTAGTTTTTAACTATTATAGTGAGCATGCTGCAAAATTATCTTTATTACCATCATTAATCCATGTTTTATCGATTGAACTAATGATTGATTTAAAACAATTATTCAAAATTAAAATCTTAAACCAACCTTTTTCCATTTTCATTTGTTGTTTAACTTGTAGCTGACTTTCTTTATAACAACTGATTCTGATTGACAGTTCTTCATTCAGTTTATATACATCTGTTTTAGATCTATTTAACTGTACTTGTAGATCTCGACTTTCCTCTAATAATCTACAAAAAAACAAACTCATCTTAAAGTGCATCATTTGAATATCAAATTTCTCACGGCTTAATCCACAATTGATTATTTAATATTCAATTAAACATACATTATGCAAGAGCTAAATCTGCCTATTGCGGGTCTTTCTTTAGGTCTGAAATGTTATATAAACTATTAATTAGACATTTATTAACAAAACAAGACCATAATCAACTCTGGATGGCATTGGATACTCAAGATTTTAACTAGATTAAAACGGTTTGCCATTTAAAAATATAATTTAAAAATGGGAAAGCGAGACTAAGTCCCGATTATACCAGTGCCCTGGTTACCACTGTGCACACATCTTGTCAAAACTACAAACAACGATAACTTGGCAGAGAATGAAGTAATTTGAATGAAATTTTCATTATTTTCTTTTTTTATCATCTATTTTTGAATTATTATAGCAAGAATCACCAACTCTTTATTAAACTCTTAACTAATGTATCTTTAAGAAAACAGAATCAAAATACCAACGCTAGATAATCTTCTGGTTTGGATTTAAACTAGGCACATCAGTTTTCTTTGCTTCCATGGGAGCATAGATCGATTAGATTTCAATTAAACATATCTATATAAATACTGAAAGGAATTGAACTATTTTTGGACTGATATTCTTATTAGATATCCACCTGTCACAATATTGTAGTTTGTAAGGGATTCTATAGCACTAAAAGGATGCCATGAGACTTTAACATTATACTACAGTTTCACTCAGGGGCTTCGATCAGTCATATTTGTCATTTCAGACAGACTAGCCATGAAATTGATCAGTTGACAAATTTACCAATTAGTCAATTTACATTTGATAGAATTTGAATTTCAACGAATTTAACATTAAAGCACAATAAATACACAAATTTAACCTTAAGACACTATAAATACACCATAAATACACAATAAATATATACACAAGTTTAACCTTAAAACATAACCTTAAAAGTGATAATGCTAAAATTTCTGAAGAAAAAAATACCTTACAAGACACTGGATTTTATTCAAAGTGACTCCTCGATCATTTCACCATGCAAATATTATTTTATTTTGATGTCTCCCAGTCAAAACCATACAAAATTTTATAAAGATGAAAGTTTTAGACAGTCTTATATATAAATAGATAATTGGATGCATTAGCTTACCATACAACTCCAAATAATCTACAATGGTCATGAAGTAAACTTACTGAGATTCAGATGGGAATTCATCAATTTCTTTCTGCAGTTTATGTAATTCTTTCTCATGACGTCTCAATTCTAAAGCTTTTGATCTGAAAAATAACAAAATAAAATAAACAATTAGCCAAAGATTAGCAAGCAATCTATCAACAACATACCATACCCCTATCTCCCGGCCATCCCCACACCCCCAAAACAAACAACATTTGCATGAAAAAATACTTACCTCACTTTTTCCTGTAACTGAAGAATAGGTGTTTTTTGATCTTCAACTCTAGACAACTGGAGTCGAAATCTCATACTCTGTAGATTTTCTTTCTATTAGGGATAAATAAAATATCAAAGTACATTATGGTTAGTGAATAAAAGATAACATTTCTTAGTAACACTTTGTACAATTTTCCAGTAGAATTTACTATGACTAAAACATAAAGAAGTTAAGTAAAGTTGGTTTTCTTACCTTTTCTTTGGGTTCCACATATAATAACAAATTATTAACAATATCTAATATAATGGTGTATTGTAACTAAAAAATAAAATAAAATAAAAATCTCTTATTATAAATACATTAATATATGCTATTTGTATATTTTAAAAGTTATTAGCACTTTAAATATCTTTGCCAGTATATAAAATAAGAATTTATTATTTGATAGGATTAGAATTTGTTAGAATTGTCATGTAATATAATAAATTACAGGATCAGAACACATCTTATACTCACGATGTAATAGTGTAACTTACAAGATTTGAACACATGTTACGATATAATAGTGTAATTGACAGGATTAGAACACATTACGATTGTGATGTAATACTGTAACTAAATGTTAAGATCATTATGTAATTGCAACTTATATGGATACAACACATATTACGATCGTGCTGCAGTATAAAAACTTACAGGAATAGAACACATGTTAAGATCGTGATGTAATAGTGTAACTTACAGGATTAGAAATTAGAACACATGTTAAGATTGTGATAGTGTAACTTACAGGATTAGAACACATGTTAAGACCATGATGTAATATTGTAACTTACAGGAATAGAACACATGATCGTGATGTAATAATGTAACTTACAGGATTAGAACACATGTTAAGATCGTGATGTAATATTGTAACTTACAGGAATAGAACACATGATAAGATCGCGATGTAATAATGTAACTTACAGGATTAGAACACATGTTAAGATCATGATGTAATATTGTAAAGGTATCTATTCCTTCCTCCATATCCATCATATCACTCTCATCATTTGGCTAAAACAAAGGAGGTTCACAGTTGTAATAGTTTGTACTTACAAGGTGTAATAATAAAACAGTAAAATAATATTTTTCATTTAACTATTCCTTTAATCATAGCAGTCAATTTTTTTTAAAATACTGATATATTTTTGGTAAAAACTGAATGAAAAAAGAAAGACAGAACAAACTATACATAGTTATAGTATTATTAGATACGTATTATCAGAGAAAACATACTAAATTGAACCAGAAAAACTCCTGAACATTCACTAAAAGATTTGACCAAACTGACATTTTTTTTCTTGCATTTTGCTACAAAATAGTTTGGCAATAATTTATTAACTTCAGCTGTGTTTTATTGTATTTAGATCAAGATGAAGTGGAGTAAGCAACCAGAAATAAAACTGAACATAACATTTATATAATTATAATTAGACTACAATTGACTACAGTATATAATACATATAAGATTGTACTTACCGGTAAGGGCACTTCTGGTAATTCATTAGGTTTGAGATCACCATAATTAGCATAGAAAAACTGACATTTACATCTAGATATAATTCTTTGTAATTGTATAGTATCACCAGATTTCTTAAATAAATATAAATACCTTGATTTACATGGAGAAATTAACATATATACAGTATAGCAAGCTTTTTACATAATTTAAGTGCAATTAAGTTCACTTTTAGAATTAACTGATAGCTACATTTCAGAGCTGGTCATTAACCGGCATAATGGCCTAAATTCATCAGTCTGCATGTATCCAGAAATAATCCTCCTGCCAATGGCATTGGTTACAGTGCATCCTCATTGTTTAAGGGTAAACTGAACTCCTGTCATTTATTTTTTTTTAACAATATTTTATTCAGAAATTGAAAGGGATTGAGGAACAGGCATAGCCTTTATGACCTTTCTCTTGAACTCCTGCCATTGAATCATTATATTCATAAAAAATTTGAAATCCATTAGGGTTTTTCCTAATAATCTAATGGGCAATCTCACTTAGCTTTTAAAAATTCTATAAACAATGTTCTGTATCACATTTACAAGATTTCGTAAGTCCAAATGTAAATGGGAATATTACTCTGAAATTTGAGATGCAAAAATCTGACAAAAACTGTAGTCTGTGGAATATTCATAAGACAATGTCATAAATCCCCCTCATGTTGCTGCTAACCTGATCGGAAGGTCCAACAGTATTACTAATAACACCACCAACACTTTGTCCACTACCAACCATCTCTGGTACACCTGATAAATCAGCTTCAAATCTATCTTCTACATTCTCTTTACCTAACCATGGTATCTCATCATCATCAAAATCATCACCTGGATCAACTGTAGCATAGTACTGTAATAAACATTAGATCACCCGTTAGCAAAGTACTCTAATATAATATATACATTAGATCAACTGTAAAATCAACAGTATAATTCTTTGCATAATGACAACACATACTCATGACCTCATCTCTTTTCTATGTTAGATGGATCATCAAATCATCAAATGAATCCCATGTAAATCAATTGTGTCATATGGAAATCAATATAAATCAATTGGGTCCTAAGTAAATCAATTTTGCCCTAAGTAAATCATTATGTAAATCAAATTGGTCTTATATAAATTGACTGGGTCCTAAGTATATTGTGTACTATGTAAATCAATTGGGTCCTATATAAATTAATTGTGTCTTATGTAAATCAATTGGTTCCTAGGTAAATTGGTCCTAAGTAAATCAGTTGGGTCTTATGTAAATCAATTTTGTTCTAAGTAAATCAATTGGGTCTTAAGTAAATAAATCAGATTTTATGTAATCAATTGGGTTCCACGTAAATCTTACCTGCATACATTCTACTGATCCTACCCAGGTAGTTTTACTCCGTAATTGTCCGTTTCTCCAGATAGGGTGATGTAAACATGATAATATCTGAGCTTTAGCTGCACTCACTATAACATAACCTGGTGATTCACAACCTTTTAATATAATCTGACTATTGTGAAGCTCAACTAGAAAATAAATAAACAGTTCTCATAAATAACATAGTTTGAAACCAGAGCTTGGTTATAGGTTTTCACCTATTAGGCATATTTTACACTGTCAAAAGACAAAACAAAGGTTTAAGTCCTCTTAGGGTTTATTATGCCCAAAATCAGAAACGCCAATGCCCAACTGCCCCACAGAGAGAGAGAGAGAGTCTAATGTCCATTCAACAAACTAGGTCATTTTGGGACTAACATATGGTTCAATTTTATTTAAAGAATTCGCTAGTGCGTAGGGCTCTTTAGCAGTAGGAGGAAATTCGAGAGGGCCCAGAGAAAACCCACTGGGTTGGACAGGCAATTCTACTCCTTGTCACATACAAGCGGGGATTCAAAACCACACCATTTGAATCAATGACAGACCTTATGATCAAATGCGCCACACAACCCCCCTTTTGTCTTAAGAATGTAGTTTACCAATACCTATTAATTATATTAATTATGTAATATCATAATAAATCTTACTCAGCCAATTTTTCTGTACAACATCATCTGTTTGACAAGCTCTGATACCATGTAACTGTTCCATGTTAGAACTTGATGGCTAAAATATATTGTCTATTTTATCAATTTAAACATATTGTAAAGGAAATTGTTTAAATTGTTTAAAATAAATCTGCTATTAGGTCACTCTGAGAAAACAGAGACATTCATATGTTAATCTTTTTAAAAATTACTATGATTTTATGAAATGTTAGAAAGATTATGCTCAAATAAAACTGGAGTTATGGTACTCTTCTTAATTTTCTTATTGCTTGGGTTTTTACTGTGTAAACCTTTAGTGTAATATTAATAAATACTAGGATGAGTGTCATCAACAATATAGAGATATAATAAGTACAAAATAGAATAATAAATAAAATACCTCTTCTGTAAAAGCCACTGATTTACTGTCAGACTCAGAGACTAGTTTCATTAACATTGATAGAGCATGACCTGTCTGTAGTTTAGATAATGGACTAGTAGCAACAACTGGACTACCAGGTGGTCCAGATACCAGTGATGACATCGATGTAGTTTTCTGTAACAAAAAAATAATAAAAAATTTAAACACTATTTGTCCAGACTGATGGAAAGGCGGACGGCATAATACACCATAGCTGAAAGGGGGCATATATAATAATTTATTGACATCAATTTATTTCAGCTTAGTGTCACAAATAACCAAGAAGAATAAATTCTTACACTATTTCCATGATCTTTGCCTTCAACTTTGAAACCTTTAAGAGCTTCTGATGAGAGATTCCGTCTTAAAGATTGCGCCTTCTGGTAACTATCATATATACCAATTAAAACCAGTCGATTCTTCTTAGTCCATGATCCTTTCATATCATGAACCTGTACACTGTGAGTCGGTATTATCTTTAATACAAAATAATACAATAAAACAATAAAAAAAATTGTTAGCTATGCGAACTTGCCATATATCAGAAAGTGGTATTAGATGCTCTATAAAGGATAAGCATAACCTGCCTCAATGGTTAACCAGAATCTTGTATAATTAGGATTTATCTGACCACACCTGGGTTTAACTATTTTTCTGCACCGATTGGACTTAGACGTAACTCTGTTTGAAGACATCCATCAATAAAATGCACATTTCATACTCTGTTTATTCAGGAGATTTTATAATCATATCTAACAATCATATTCTAATCAGATTACAAACTCAATTCATATAATCCCAAAAGAAATCAACAACTTCCACATGTACCTTTTTATAAAGCATCAAGAAAATTCTCACTATCGAACTTAGTCAAGGTTTTGATGTAATGATATCATAAACAAAAATGCTCTAACATTATGATAAACCATTAGTTTATAAAAATGAAATGAAATGGGGTTTTAACGACCTACTGTTCTGCTCTGACTCGGCTAATGAAGAGGGTTATACGCCATACAGTATGCTATGAGGGACATTTTGCCCAGACAGTGGCAATATGTCCTACTTTTATATTGAATTCCAAATGCCAAGGGATCTTTTACGTGCACGCCAATGTGTACACAGGATCTTGGTTTTTCGTCACATCCGAACGACTAAGACAGCTGTCCTTGTCAGGCCCTCTGTCCTGCACCAATGACCAGGGGGAAACCACACCGTAAAATCCAGATGAACTTTCTCTGCCAACACATTAGTTTATAAAAGAAATGTATTACTTACATGGTCTGATTCTCCATCTTTAGCAGCTTTCTTTTTCGATTTCTCTCCTCTTTTATAAGTTACCCTAAAAATATATACATTATATCATAACCACAATAACCATCATCACATGCTATCATAATCACAGTACCTAACATATATATCATCCTTGAACAATCTAAACAAAATTCACCTGTAGAACCTAAAAAGATTTTTACAGTTATCTGGTTTTATGTAAAGGAGTTAAACCCTTTTAATTTAAACTTAGGTTGATTTGATATATTATTTTGATTACTGATGGAGCAAGCTCTATATAATTAAATTTGATGCTTAATTTGATGCTTTATTTAGCGCTAGGAATCCCTTGCAAACTACATATCTGTAAAGCACATTTCACTCAGTAACTAAAAGTAATAGATTTTTGAGCGACTGGCTAACCTTTATCCTAAAAAAACTTAGAAATCAACCAGGAAAAAAAAACATTCAGAAATATAACACTTAATATTTATCTTGAAGTGAAACTTGAGTTGATTAGCAGATACATTAAATTATTTTACCTTGCTACGCTAAGGAAGAAACTTTTATCAACAGGTCCTCTCATTGACATGTTTAACTAAAAAAAAAAACAGGTTACATCATCTTACTCTTTGGTTTATAAATGAATACATCTAGTTATAATTTGGTGGAAATCAAGAAGAATCAAGATGTATTTGACTATTATTACCGAATATCATTAGACACTGATTTAGCCAAATATAGCCTATGATTGACATTCACAATTTTTACGAAGAATACATATATTGATAATATTGGTAAAATTTGTAGTACCATAGAATGGAATATTAGTCATTAATTTGACCACTGATGTTCAAAAAGTGTTGAGTAGAAAAATAGAAGGGCAATGATTGCATGAATTTCTTTGACCACCTTGCCCGAATTAATATTGGGGAGTGGCATGGTGCTCCACTTCCCAACCCTACTCGAATGCCACTAATTTTAGTAATGATAGAATTAGTGACAGTATTACCAGCATTGAAAAGCTATCTTCATTGGCAGCGAAATTATTTCACTGTTACAGCCCAGTTTTTAATTTTTTTACAGCCAGTTAAATATCTTACCAGATTTTCTTCACCATCTTCAGACATAGCTTGACACAACCATATTTTGGTGTTACCTAAGTTACAGATGAAATATGAAACACTCCACTCAGATGCTGGTCGATGTATTAAACCATCTTCTATTCGACGTAGTGCCAGTTTATTGCACATATTTAAGGTAAAAGAATCAGACAGCAGCTCAAAACCATGTTGTTTGGCAAACGACATCCAATAACGAATTAAAAACTGATGAAAGTTTACGGACATTTTAATTTTCCTGTTGAGAAAAGAATTTGACATTAAAGTGCATTATCTTTGTCAGGCAATTCTTTCTTGAATGGTATTATCAATGGAATAGGCCTACATGTCTGTAAGGGACAATCTTGTGGGAACAGGCCCCAAGACCACGAAGCATTCTCAGACTTAAGTTAAGAATTTACTCAACTTTCAATCACTGTTTATGAGAAATATCTTTGATCCAGAAACATGACACTTTGCACATAGTTTCTATTTGATGTATTTGATACATTAAACAACAAATGTTTTATAAAGAACTATATTTTAGTTAACATAAGGCGAACAATTTTGAGTAAATTCTTAACTTAAGTCTGAGAATGATTTGTGAACTTTGGGCCAGCACTCTTGTCACATTGAGCCTACATTTAAAAGCATAAACATCATCATTTGGAAAGCATGGGAGACGACATAACTCATTAATATATATGCAATGTCCTTTTATCCAGGTAGATTCTTATAAGGTTAATAATCACTTAAATCAGACAGAGAGAGAGAGAAATGGAGTTTAACATCCACTCGACACAAACAAGGTCATTTCGGGACTAACATATGGTTTAATTTTATTTCAATAAATCGCTAGCATGTAGGGAAATGGACAGTATTTACTAACCTATAATGTCGACTAAGCTGTAGCTTTCTTCTGGTGGTAGTTTTAAAATAAGTACCTCTTCTGATTGGTCTCGTTGTACTTAGTAAACAACTCTAGAATAATATAATTATCATAAAAACTAATTTTTTGGTATTAGCACGATTGTTACAATAGTTTTTACCTGGACATGAAATTCTATTGATCATGTTTATCTACAGCACTAAGTCAATTTACTGATCTATATAAGTCATTAGAGTGAGACACGATGGCTCAGTGAGGAAGATGCTCGCTCATTTACCAGAAGGTGCAAGTTTCAATCCTGGAGTCGGCTGGGGAAGTTCCTTAGGATATTCCAGCATCATTTCCCCCCTTGTCAGTGGTAGCAAGTGTCTAGTATTTTGGATGGGATAAAAAAAACAGAGTTCCCGTGCACACATTGTCGTGCACGTATAAGAACCCTTGGCAGATGGAATTGACAAAGAGTAAGCAAAAATAAAGCGAAATGAAATGGGGTTTATCGTCCTACTGTTCTGCTCCCACTGGGCTAATGAAGACTGGAGTAAGCAGAAACATTGCTGTTCCGACAAAGTTTCCTTATAGAACACTGCACGACATAAGCCGTCTTCATTAATCTGGTCAGTGTAGAAGAGTCAGATGTTAAACCCCATTTCATTTCATAAGCTATTGGCTTGTTGCAATACATTTAAATTTTTTCAAATCAATAAGGCAAGGGTATAATACTTTCATTGCTGACATATGGCTGACAGAAAGTGGCGCAATATATCCCGGTTGGAGCTGACGTGCCATAAAACCATATTTCATTCATTCATTCTGACAGAAAGTGCCCCTTTACTTCTAATACCAACCATCCTTTCAAATTTCTGTACATCCTAATGTCGGCAGTCATCACTCACCTTAATTTTATCAATAACGCAAAGGTATAATACTACTATTGCAGACACATGGCTGACAGAAAGTGGCGCAACATAGCCCGGTTGGAGCCGACGTGCCATAAAACCATATTTCATTCATTTATTCTGACAGAAAGTGCCCCTGTACTTCTAACACCAACCATCCTCTCAAATTTCTGTACATCCTAATGTCGGCAGTCATCACTCACCTTAATTTTATCCATAAATCTAAGAGTACTCGCATAGAAATAACAACTGGGTATATCATCTTGATTTTCTTTAATTAACTGTGTTTCTAGACTTATATCTAGATTTAATTTATCTGATCTAAAGGCTCGGAATGAATCATGTTCCTGAAATATACATATATCCATTCATACATCTCAAAATGATTATACACAAAATAAGTCAGATGTCATAAGTCTTTATTTATTTATTTATTCTTCCAAGAGGCATATCATACATGACAATATAGATGATCATATGAAGTTACATGATAATAAGATGAGAAAATTTTGATGAGAGAAAAAGTAATGATGTCATGGATGACCAGCCTCTTGAGGATAACCCATAAAAACCTGCTTAAAATAAAACTAGGTTTATTTCCAATGGGGTCCTTGGAGGAGGATCAGGTTATGTCATCATAGAGGGGCAGATTCATTTATGAAAGATGAAGGATGGAATATGACAATAAATAGTGAAATGTGTGTGTACCATAAGGGATGTGAAGTCATTGTCTTACAATGTGAACAAAAAATTGATTCAGGCTAAAAAATATATTTTTAATGATTTAACATGAAAGGTGAAATTTTAGATTTAACAAATAAAGCAAACTAAAAAATACATTTGAGTAGTTTTGTTAATCCAAAAGTGTCATCTCAAGTGAAGAAGTATTCTATGATCCAGAAAGAGTAAGATTTGCCAAATATTATCTTTTTGTCAAATACAGCAATATGAACATCATCTTCACAACATCAAGGTATCTTCTTCACAGACATGGTGTTATGACATATGTCTGATACTTTGACTTCATTAGCTGTTGTATCACCATAGTTATCTGAATACTGTGTGCCACATATTTGGCTAATGTAGTCAAGATATTAGATGCATACTGTAATACCTTAACACTGTGAAGATCAATGAATAATATAAATACCTCCATGGAATAATCTGGTATTTTATCAGGAGCACATGGCATGACGGAATGATGATCATTAGGATCACCTAAACACAACCAATCTAACCGAACACTGAAAAACAATTACATTATAAATAGGTGTACTACAACATCACATTAAATGTTGGCAATTATGTTCTTTATTACCGGTAGTTTTAATTCAATTCTGTTGAGTCCAGCTGCGGAGTGAGGTTTTGACATCAAGCTTGTACAGGAAATAAAGTAGGATCGCCTGCCAAACCTTGTGGGTTTTCTACCAGGTCTTCTGGTTTCCGACCACTTTTAAAGTTCCTTGAGTGCAAGTGAATTTTCGAAATAAAGATGTACTATAGGCCTCATCTTCAATAGAAGCCTTGATCTCGCTTTAACTACGTTGATATTATCAAGGCCTTCACGTAATACCCTGCATATTTCGGCACTAATTTCGATTGGGTACAAGCCCAACTTGTGAGCCTATCAGATTCCTCGATCGTCGCAAATACCAAGTCTCGTGCTTTCAGGCTAAAATGTCTACCTGTGATAATCGAGTTGCAAAGTTCAAGGTTCATTCAAAGTCATGGTTTCTGTCGAGGTCACAATGTCACAACCTCTGATTGGACGCTACTGCTCACGTGTCTGCAGATAACATAGCTATAAGTTCGGGAATTGTGAAGTAAACAAGCAACAGCCAGATGTTGTGAAACTCGCAGTTGTTGCTTCAGGAACATGTATAGGCCTTTGCTAGCCCGGCAATACCCTAGTTTGTGTTGAGACGATATTAAACCCAATTCCATTTTGAAAAGAAAGCAAACAAACATAATAATAGGCCTAATTTCTGTTTCTTTTAATTCATGAATAATTAGGAAGGAATGAAAATTTTGAAAAACTCACCAAAATCTGAGATTAGGTAAATGGAGCATTTTACAGTCATCATATTTAGATTCTGTTTTAGCCGAGATGTCAAGATCACCTTTCAATAAAAATTTACCTGGAATAAAAAAAACAGGTTAGTGTCATCTAAGAAATGAAACAGACGAAAAGTAATCAAATGACTGTGTCTTGAAATTAAAAATTGATAGCTAAATGTATCTCTTCACCTCTACCTCTTCAACATACCTAATTTTAAAAAATTAATGAAATAGAATTTTCTTACCATTTGTCCAATCTAAGACAACATTGGTCCACGTCCAGTCCATTAGTTCCGTATTATTGAATGGATCTAACTGGGCGTGGTACAACCAACTCATTTTACCAATAGACATCGTCCAGCGACCATGAAATAAAAGTCGTATTTTATCCCAGAATGGTAATGGTTGACTGGGATCTATAGAAGGCTTGTTGATATTGTCCATACAGATGTTGTACTGTGCGAAGGCAGCTTCCCAACAAACACCATATGCCATTGTAAGAACATTCATATCTAGTAAATAGATAAATAGGTAATAATTTATAATTAAGGCCAAACCAATGTAATTTTCAGTTCTTCGTGGGTCTTGATAAATAAATAGCCACTTGAATCCCATGAAAGATGTTTATGTTAAAATTTCAAGTAATTTTCATTTTTAAATTAGTCTTTGTCCAGAAAAAATAAGAAGAAAAATTTTAACTGGTGTTCCTGAAAAACAGAAAATCAATTTAGTATGGCCTAACAGACATTCTTAGAGTATTACTGAAGTAGTACCCCGGTACATGTCCCCTGCGTACTCCAACAAATCATATGATGCAGTTTGCAGTGTACCAATCTACAATCAATGTTCAACCTAAAATAATTTTGAAAAACAAATTTTTCATTGATTTTACATCAGTGTAGGGCTATAATTAAGTAAAAATTAACAGAATCCCATATCACATATGACAGACCTTATGATCTAAAATGCATGCATTAAAGCACTCAGCCATCTGTATTACTATTTTAATAGTAATACAGATGGCCGAGTAGTTTATTCTAATACAATTTATACATGTTAAAATCTTACCACAACTAAAATCATGATAGTATTTTAATGGTGGAAGACTTCTTTCAACTTTCATATCTCCCCATGGTTTATTTACTTCTACAACACAACTTCTTCTGGCTATAAATATATAAATAAAACATATCAAAAAAATAAATATCAGGTATGAAACATCTTAGGAAGTAAGAGAAAACGTATCCATGAATTGAACATTTTTAGATAATCCTTATAGTGAAATCTGTAATCATTTCTAAATGAATACATACTGCGTGAACTTGATGTATATATTTGACCAATCATATATGATTGGTCTTCCTATGTAACTTAATACTGTCTCTAAAAGATTGGTTGCCAGGCAACATCCCCCACCCCCATGTAACTTAATACTGTCTCTAAAAGATAGGTTGCCAGGCAACATACCCCCCCCCCCAAACCACCACCACTACCCCCCAAAATGTCAATCAAGAGATGCAGTAATTCATTTAACCAGCAATTGAACCAGGAATCGACCATGACATCATCGCAGGCATCATGGAATTGTGACATCCTATCAAAGATTGAAGTCCATCAATCAATGCACAGATGTCTAAAGAATACGCATGCCAAGTCTCAAGTGTCGCCCCAAAAAACAAGAACAAGAAGAAGATTACCAAGTTTATGGAACCAGTTCCAAGTTCAAAAATCTATGAATTATAGACGTAAATCATGTTCTTACCTCTTTTTGTAGCTTCTTGTTCTGCTCCAATCAGTCGTCCCCATACATGCATATCTCTAACATCTAACATAGGTAGTGGATAATCTCTTAATCTAACTAACCATGTTTTAACATTAAAACTAACAGATCGACACCATAATGTTGAAAACTCTAAACCTTCTGGTGGAAAAGGACTGAAAATAATATAAATATATGTAAGTGAATAGTGAGAAATAAACAATGCATGTTGTTGCCAACTGATTACAACTGCTTTCTGGGGAGTCCATTAAAGTATAAACTACCTATGGCCCCCATCTTCAATAGAAGGCTTGATCTCGCTTTAACTACGTACATCTTATCAAGGCCTTCACGTAATACCCTGCATATTTCAGCACTAATTTCGATTGGGTACAAGCCCAACTTGTGAGCCTATCAGATTCCTCGATCGTCGCGAATACCAAGTCTAGCGCTTTCAAGCTAAAATGTCTACCTGTAATAATCGAGTTGCAAAGTTCACGGTTCATTCAATGTCAAGGTTTCCGTGGAGGTTGCGATGTCACAACCTCTGATTGGACGCTACTGCTCACGTGTCTGCAGATAACATACCTATGAGTTCGGAAATGAAATGAAATGGAGTTTAACGTCCTACTGTTCTGCTCCTAACCTGGGCTAATGAAGACGGGCATACGCCATACAGTGTGCTATGAGGGAAATTTTGCCCGGACAGCGGCACTACGGCCTACTCTTATATCGAATTCCAACTGCCAAGGGATCTTTTACGTGCACGCCAATGTGTACACGGGACCTCGGTTTTTCGTCCCATCCGAACGACTAGACAGCTTTCCTTGTCAGCCCCTCCGTCCTGCATCACTGACAAGGGAGAACCACGCCGGAAAATCTGGATGAACTTTCTCGGCCAATGCAGGGATCGAACACCCGACCTCCTGGCTAGCGAGCTAGCGTCTTACCCACTTAGCCACGTGATCCCCCTATGAGTTCGGGAATTGTGAAATAAACAAGCATTGGCCAGATGTTGTGAAACTTACAGTCGTTGCTTCAGGAACATGCTATGGCCCTAAATCCTGTTTCATGAAGCATGCATAAAGTTCCTCAGGATTTCCAACCAGGTTTCCCCTTGTCCATGGTGCATTATGAAGAGCATGTTATGGAAAAATCTTCTAGTTGTTTGGATGGATCACAAAAGTGAGGTCCACGTGTGTACTCATTGGCGTGGACGTAAAAGAACCCCAATAAATACGGTATGTCACACTTGCATCACAGAGGGCATGGTATGAAAAAAACCTTCTAGTTGTTAGGATGGATCACAAAACCGAGGTCCACATGTGTACTCATTGGCGTCAATGCAGATTTAAAGACAAAGTCCTGACTTATACCCAAAATAATACAGCATTAATTATATATATACCTATCAGAGTCTATTTCTTGCATATGTCGTACCACATTATCTTTACCATGATAATTAAGATCAGCTAAAGCTGTTATTTCTACATTCTCCATAGTCCAGGTAAATAGTTTGGTTCTAAGTGGTGCTGTATAATATTGTTTAGATCTCTGTATATAAATATCACCACTCTTTCTAGATAAACTAGCATATAAATCTTCTACACGACTAGCTGTAATATAAATATATTATACCACATTTCATCTTTTCTGGTTCATACGAGGCATTTTAATCCACTGAAACTAATATCCAAGCACCGATAAAAGACAACGAGAGAGAAATGGGCTTTAAAGCCTAATTGACACAAACTAGGTCATTTCGGGACTAACATATGGTTCAATTTTATTTCAATAATTCGCTTGCATGTACGGTTCTTTAGCTGTGGGAGAAAACCGGAGGATAGGGGCAACCCTACTTCTTGTCACGCATAAGTGTGGGATCCAAACCACACCACATAAAGATACATTATGGGAGATTACATAAAGAGCTGGTAGTTCTCACTATAATAGTTAAAAACAAGATAATGTAAAGGGAATTTGCTGAAAATTTCAGTCAAATTGATCCACCCTGAACCCAGTATTTAGCGATTGAATTTTGGGCCTGGCCTCGATCATCATTACTAAAGTCGGTACGATAAAAAACATAGTCTCGATTATGTCTAATTAATAATTTAGGTAACATTTCAGACCTAAAGAAAGACCTGCAATTGGCAGATTTAGCTCTTGCATAATGTATGTTTAACTTAATAACATACCTTATGATCTCAGCCTACGTGATAAAAGACAGCCATAAAATAAAACAGAAAATGTAACAGACAATACAAGAAAACTCCATGTGAAATGATAACAAAATGCAAGAAAAATAAACATACTACTACCATTAATACAAGCGTGAATAATATGAATACAATGATAATAGAAATCATACCTGGTATTATACCATGTTGACGTTGTAAATCAGCTATTTTAGCATCTAGCACATCTTTTCTATTGATACTTTCATAATATTCATCTTTTAATAACTACAATATATAATTCAACGTATCTTTTAATAACTATAGTATATAATTCAACGTATCTTTTAACAACTACAATACTTAATATCTTTTAATAAGTACAGTACATAATTCAACATATCTTTTAACGACTACAATACATAATTCAATGTATCAATTAGATCTCTTTTATTAGACCTGTTGTAGAAGGGATTTTTCTAACACTATTTATTCAGTAAATAAATAAATAATATAAAGATACTATTTATTCAGTAAATAATTACATAACATAAAGCTACTATATATAATTATGGAATATGAAAACAAGCCAAGGCTTATACAACTTCATCTCTTGTATATTTGTGTGATAGAAAAGTTTCTGAAGATGTGAAACATAATAATAATATCCATCAAATATTTATCATACCTCATAATTATCACCAAGTTTAACTTCAAACGGATCATCTGATAACTGGATACTAAAGTTCTGCAATAAAAAATAAAAGTTTTAAATTTAATATTTTGAGAATAAATGTATCTAAAACAATTTAAAATTCTAATAAATCAGTTATTTTGTCTATTCAAATACAGATTTTACAAGAGGAGAGAAGAAACATTATTTCTGATGTTGATATTATATTTGATGGTAGTGATATATTACCTTGACTAGTATACGTAAATCAGGTGGTAATTTACTATCTATTGTAAATGGTTTCTTCTGTATCTTATGTACCAGTTTTAACCATTTAAACGTATTCACAACCTAGTAATGATACAAATATAATAGTTTTATTTCATACTTGTATATTAATAATGTCTAGATATTTACAGCAATGATGATAAGATTCAACTCTTTTCGACCTCAACTAAACATAATTTTTCGTCAAAATTAGCATACAACCCTGACAACTATACCCAATCACATTAACATGTGGGCATTAAACATAGACAGAAATCAAATTAGGCTTAACGCCCTACTTTTCTGCACAAACCCAGCTAATGTAGACAGGCACATGCCATTCAGTGTGTTAAGGCACAAACTGTTAGGACAGTGACATTTCCATCTACTCTTCATCAAAGGGTTCTTTCACATGCACTCAAACTTGACATGTGACCTCCGTTTTATGTTCCCAATCAAACCTCTAGATGTTCCTTGTAATACCCATCCTTCCTGCACCACTGACAAAGGGAAAATCATGGTGAAAATTTACAAGGAAATATCTTCGCAAACCCCAGGATTGAAAACCGCACTTCCTGGCTAGTGAGCCAGCACTTTACTCGCTGAGCCACTGCAGCTCCCAAAAGTAAAAATTTTCTTTTCATATAGAAAGTTTCCTTTAACAAATAAATATTACAAATGACACTTTAAAAATAATGATGATTTACCTCTTCAAAACAGGCAGCAAAATTATAATTATATGGGAACACAAATCGAAATATATCAAAAGAAAAGCCCCTGAAAGAAGAATAAATAATTTAGAATATTAAAACCGAAATATTATTTTGACTACTTTAACTGAAGCCACAAATATACTGATGGAGTACTATATTAAAGCACATATTCCTGTTTCATATAAATGAAATGTCACAAAGAAAGTCCATAATAATAATAATAACAGTTCTACGTGGCTTTTGTTTCAATGATATTTACCAGCTCAACTGACTGGCAATGAAATTGACTTGTTTGAAAACTTAATGATCAATGAATGTACATGCCATGTACATGTACCTGTGTGGCATCATACAATAGTCAGTTTGTTAGTAACAAAGATAAAGCAACAGATCCAACAATAAAAATAAACATTGAATCTTACCATGTTCTGTTTGTAGCCAATTGTAATGTACCAACAGCTTGTCGTTCTCTCTGTAGTACGGTCGGTAACAAGGTTTCAAATACCATGTCCTATAAAATATGTAACCCAAAATTTATTCTTTATATAACCTTATTTATCATGTCTGTTTTAATCTTTATCATTTTATCAATGTTTCATAATCAAAATATAAAACTTTTTCAAACAGTCAATAATAAAAAATATAATCTTGTATCTTGTGTTAATCTAAATGGAAAATAATTTGTTGTATGTTTTGTTTATAATAATTGTTTACTATATAAATCCACAATTATGAATGTAATTATTCATTTATATACCACCTGAAATACAACACGATATCAGTCTGTATATCAAACCACTACCAATATTAACATTTAAAACATAGAGAATTAATTCAAACAATAGTTAGTATATTAATAAACTTACTTTAAGCTTAACTATACAATGTTGATCACAGTTTATAAAAAGATGGCTGATTTCCATCAGGCAGCTGGGTAATTTACCAGTAAGTAGTATACTATCTGTATGAATAGTCATCCTAGAAATATAGTTTATACATGGATTAAAGGCATGCTATGTTCTCAGCATGATTCATTAATCCTCCACAGATTATTAATAGATCTTCCATCAAAAATTGGGAGGGGTTGGGTGTGATGCACTTTAGATCATAAGGTCTGTCATTGAGTCAAGTGGTGTGGTTTCCATTCCCAGCTTGTATGTGACAAGGAGTAGGGTCGTCTGTCCAACCTCATGGGTTTTTGACCAATTCAGCCACCAAATTAACAAGTTTATGTGTGGTTTAAAGGTCGGAGTGAAACATTAAGTATTACATTGATGCTGCACGAGGGTAATTTATTACACAATGTTTTACTTGAGACCTTTAACCCGTTAAGTGTGACGTTTTTAAAACATTAACTACCCCATATTGTGTAATTAATTTGACGAAGTGACGAAGAACTATGTACTATGTTCTAAGAATAGGTTGGGGAAAATACCTCCAAGGCGTTATATTACGCCCTACACACAGTGAGTGGCAGTTGTCCAGGACGTAATATAACGTCTTACACATGCTGCGATCGTGGGGGAATTCCCAAGGGATTCCCCATAGTGACGAATTATGTTCTAAGAATAGGTTGGGGAAAATACCTCCAAAGCGTTATATTACGCCCTACACACAGTGAATGGCCGTTGTCCAGGACGTTATATAATGACCTACGCACTTAACGGGTTAAACCATTCAAAATACAGATAAATCATCATGTGACCGCCATCTTCTATAAATAGTATATTGATTGGCTAAGTACCCATATCAATATTTGAAATAATGGTTTGCTAACATCAAAAGATGGACATGACATCTATGAAATAAATATAAAGTAGTATATTAATATGTAAACTTACTCATGTTGTTTAGATAATTTTGTTGTTAATTTAACATCAGCATGTATAACTATATTTACTTGTAGTCTGTTTGCTTGAGTTTTAATATTACTCACTTTTACTTCATCCTCTCCTTTTTTACTATCAAAATAACCTGAAAATATGATTAGACATTATCAGAGATTATTAGAGATTATTAGTAAATAACCTGAAAATATGATTAGACATTATCAGTAAATAACCTGAAGATATCATTAGAGATTATCAGTAAATAACCTGTATTATTAGAGTTCAATTTTATTTCAATAATTTGCTTACGGTCTTTAACAGTGGGAGGAAACCGGAGGAGCCAGAGAAAAACCACAAGGTTGGACAGGCGAGATTATCAGTAAATAAATAGTCTATTGTGAGAAATAAACCCTAAAAAAAATCTTTAATTACTATTTTTCTTCGTACCTTTTGTTTTCTTTATTAAAGTTTGAGCGTCTTGAACACCTTGATAAAAACACATGTGGGCATGAGTTGTCCAAACAACTAACAATTCCTTCTTAACTTGTACAGTCATATCCTACAAGTAGAAACACATATAAAATACAATAGTACAACAAAAACGATTAACTGTGTCCAAATTCTTGTTGCATTATAAGAAGAGTTGGGTGTGGTGCATGAGACAAGGTATGCTTTCTCTTTCTAGAACACCTGATACCACCACATGACTCAAAATAACAGGTATTTGTATAGTTTTATATGATATTAAAGTAATAAATCTAATCACATTTCTATATCACTTGATACTTGTTGTTTCAAAAAATATATTCTTAGAAAAAAATCCTTTATTCAAAAAATGTACAGCAGATATATATGGACCTCTTTAAAATATGTATATTGGTTGAAGTCTTATTAACTATGCCTGACAACACAAAGTCTTGTTATATATTTGAAATTTTGCACTTAAGACTTGTTATAATTTAGAAATTCTGCAGATTGAAAACTTTATATTCATCTATTTACCTTTTCATCATGTTTATAAACAAGTCGTATTTCTTTTATACTTGCTACTGGTTTCTGTAGATCAACAGATCGACTTAAACTCTGAAACTAATAAATATATTTCAGTTTAAAGATACATTATGGCAGATTTAATAACGAGTTGACAGTTCTCACTATAATAGTTAAAAACTAGATTATGTAAAGGCAATTTGATGAAAATTTCAGTCAAATTGATCCACTATGAACCGAGAAATAAGCGATCAAATGTTCCGCATAGCATCGGTCATCATTACTAAAGTCGGTACAATAAAAAATCATAGCCTTGATTATCCATTTAATCGTTAAATCGAGAAGGAAAGTTGTGCAGCAAATCGGATCATAATACAACAAATATTGCAGGCTAGCGTTAACATCGAGAGTTGATTATGGTCTGGATACGTTAATTAATGTCTAATTAATAGTTTATATAAGATTTCAGACTCAAAGAAAGACCTACAATAGGCAGATTTAGCTCTTGCATAATGTATGTTTAATACAAGGCATTCTCTTTGTTTAGTTAATATAACTAACAGTTTTATTCACAATTACAAAAAAAACTTGTGAGGTTGGACAGACAACCCTATTCCTTGTCATGTACAAGCTGGGAATCAGAACCACACCACTTGACTCAATAACATACCTTCTGATCTAAAACACACCATTAGACCATTCAACCACAAAGCCCATCTGACTTGACAGGATTCAGCAGAATTTTGTTTGTTAAAAAACAGTCAGGTATGTATAGTGAATTTTAATAAATGTTTGAATGCTTGTACACTCCAACATTCTGTACAGCCCACCCTCTCTATTTAGAATCATAAAAGTATATTAATATATAAACTTACAGGTTCTTGTATGTGTAAATAAACTAGTTTTAAACCAGTAAATCCTACAGTTGATCTATTAGCTTGATGTTCTACACTAATACTATCTGTCCTTAACATTAAACAAACTGTAATATATAATATATAAATAATACTATCTGTCCTTAACATTAAACAAACTGTAATATATAAATAACCTCAGTATTAACTAAACAAAAGAAAGAAAATAGGTGATTTTGGGACTAACATAAGAAAATTCTTTACTAATGAAATAATTTGCTTGAGTGCTGAGCTCTTAAACATTGGGAGTTTTGGTGACATACCTTAGATCCAAAGCACAATGCTTTAGACCAAGGATGACCAACTCCCACCTGCATGCGCCAAACATGGTGCAATAGATGATTAGAAGTGGCGCAATGCATCCCTGTGATAATAATAAAGTAGTACAGTAAGCCTACTCCTTATTTTTAGCGATTTTATTATTTCATGCACATCCTTTTTATCTACTAGGCATTATTATGTAAGGGGGGTCACTCTGTTTGGTTATTAAAGACTTCCTGTTCAGCCATTACGTTTTTTAAGCCTACAAACATTAACACCCTCAAACCCCTACTCTTGGTAATATAAAAATATATACACAGAGTTCAAATATTTACCTTTTAAATCATTAGCAATAAATATATTCATATTACTAATATCAAACTTTAATGACAGACGGGTATCGTATATAGAAGGAAGTTTGATACGGGAACCTTTAGGTTGTGGAAATGTGTTGAACTGATTAGAACTGTTGTCTGTGGGTGGTATATTTAATGGCAACTGTTGACGAGATTTAAAGAGACTAGACATTAAGAGTAGTAGAGTATTTAAAGTATTTGTCGACCACTCTATCTGTAAATTATCTTTCATGCCCTCAATTTTTAAAATCGTGCCCAACTTTTTGACCTGAAACACAAAATATCACAAATGGTAAGACAATATAAATGCAAAAGGTTTTGCGTCCTCCCTTTCTGCACCAACACATTCTTGTGTAGTACGAACAAGACATTTGAATCCTTAATTTACAAATAGGGAAATTCACCATTTCGGGACTAACATATGGTTCAATTTTAATTCAATAAATAAGTTGCTTGCATGTAGGGGTCATTAGCAGTGGGAGGAAACCGGAGGACCCAAAGATAAACCAATAAGATAAACCTTATTCCTTGTCAAGTAAAAGTGGAGAACCAAAATCATGCCACTCGACTCAATGATACACCTCATGATCTAAAGTGCATACGTCAACTCAATCGGCCACCCACCTCCCCCATAATAACAAGCTTCGTAAAACAAAGTCGTTTTCCTCTACTTACTTTTATCATCATCATTTCTAGATAGAGAATATGATCCCAATGATGTTTCTTTTTACCAAGTATATTAACCGCTACACCAGCGTCTATATGCCAACAATATACACAGCTTACGTCTGCTTCTATTGATATATCATGGGACTCCAAAAAATCTTTAGATCCTGCATTACCTACACACAAAATACAACCAACATGCATTGAGGTCATTAGTGAAGGTGATTTGACGTTTCATAATAGACTTTCTGTCTGCAAAATTTGGAGACGCAATGACAGACCTTATGATTTAAAGCTGGCACATTAAACCATTCAGCCGTGTATCCCCCGTTCTGGAAATAATAATCATATACTGGTAGTATATATATGAGCTTTTTTGAATGTTAAAATGTTGGTGGAAGTAATATAGATCTAAAAGATTTCATTAGCTATTAGCCATAAGTGGTGGCTATCATATAGCAGATTACTCTTTCTTGAAGACCTGACAGAACATCTGGTTTTAACATAAACCTGTATCATTGACTGTACAGTGCAGTGGACACTTACGGCTGGTGCTCGGATCCATTCACTTGATTTGATATTTGTTGTTAATATCTGTGTAGTTTGTCTTGTCTGCAGGTTTGTCTTATCAGTTTTGCTTGTGTGTAGTGCAGTCCTTCTGCACTTACTATTAGTAGAAAAGTTGAAATATCTAACAAATTATATAGTAGAGTAAAATGTAAAATCTTACCAAATGTAGGTTTCAGACTTCCTGATAATCTGAAGAGTGATACACCTCCATGGAAACCAGAACATGATGCCGACGAGATTGTAGAAGAAAGATCAGATAACTCTATTTCATATTCTATTTTCTTTTCGCTCACCCATTTTACTGCACTTTTTCTGTAATACACAATTATAGTATAGTAGACAGGACTTTTTACTAAACATCAGTAACAGCTGAATTTACCTTTAATACGATTTATTTTAACGTCTCATTCATTGCGTTATTTTAGTGCAATATGAATCCCTTGCAAACAACAATATTGTGAAAGACAGATCTCTAATAAGAATATATAAGTCCACTAATGGTTCAATTCTGTTCACTTACAAAGATATGTTGAATTGAAATTTAATTTTTCTATGATAATAACCCTGCCATTTTGTTGCTTGTGAACATAATAGCTGGACCTGTTTTAAATCCGATTGAATCCAAGCTGGGAGATTATCTTGCGTTAGTAATTTGATTTGGTTTTCTTAATCAAATTTAACATTTTAGTGAAAATTGGACTTTAAAGGCACAATCAGCCAGATTGATAGAATATATTTCAAACGTAAAACAAAATGTAAAGACTTTTTTAAATAATGTAATTAAGAGCATCTTAAAGAAAAGAATGGGCAGATTTGTATGAAATAAATACCACAATTATTATGACTTTATTTGTCTAAGACAGATATGGCAGCGTGAAATCAAGAAATCAGTAGCAATCGATGAAAACTTAGAATGACAATAAATGAAATTAGAATTTATTGATTTGAATAATGTTTGATATAAACGTTTTTTCATAATATAGTACATTTGAATGGTGTATGGTCTTAACCTCTATATAACTGACATGTTTGGACTTTAAACTCCCACCCTTTATCAGAGGTGGGAACAGGTCATGGGACCTTGAGTCTGTGTCAAGTCCAAGTCACGGCACCTCAAGTCGGAGTCAAGTCCCAAGTACCATGAAGTTGCCAGTTCATCAAATGAGTCATAAATTCATGGTGAATAAGGCAAGCTAGAGTTATATCACATAGGCATCAACGTGACTCCTAGTCCTTAGTGCTTTCAAGTCACAAGTCGAGTTTCGATAAATATTGTAGGTTGGGCCTTTGATGCAACTTAAGTCAACTTTGGAGTTATCCAGGTAGTAGCCAGACCTTATATGTTTCACATATTTTGTTTATCTCTCAATAACAAGAATTTTCACAAACAAATTAATTTTTCACATGTTTTTACAACAAAAAATATGAAATCAACTGTAGTGCTGGGCATTGCCACTGTAGTCATGATACGATACACATTGCAATTGTATGATACAATTCACAATTCATAACCAGGTCAATGATATATCGTGAAAATATCTAAATTCCCCTGCTTGTCAGTCTCAATATCAGTCTGTCAAATGACTAAAACAAGAGCTCAGCATTCACAGTGGTGAACATTGAGAAAAAAAAAAACACTAACAAAGAAACATAAAACACTTACTTATATTTAGCTGTTTGTGTTGGCGGTGGGTTGGAGAACTTCTGGTATGATTTTATTTCTGACTCTTGTAATATATTCTGTAGAACTGTTGTCCAGTACTGTATTTCGTCATGATGGTAATGAAAGAAGGCACCTTTTACACAAGACCGATTGATTAGGTTATCTTTTATAACCTAAAATAATAAACACAAGAAACTGATCAGTTACTGGTAATCCACTGTATAGTATTCTGTCAACTAGTACAGACTTGATCATCCAGTTCAAACTTATCTCTGATATGGAATGGATCTGTTTTTCAAGATATCTGAATATTGATCATCCTACCTTCATTTTTATATCTACTTTTGTTACACCAGCAAATCTTGCTTGAGATGAACTGGTTTGGAAATCTGTTGAAAAATTAATAAAGTACAGTAATATAAGGGACAATCAGAAAATCTCAACACTTGCGTCAAAACAAATGACACCGGACATAGAAAATGATAAATTAAATGGTGAATCATTAACGGAAATATGTCAACATTTCCTTACTCTATCAGCGCAGACGGGTGGGTGGCAGGGTTGGTTGATATCTGTCTGCACGAATCGGCAGGTGGGTTGGTGGTTCGAGATCTGTCCGCGCGTTATTTATTTGGACGCAAGTGTTCAAATTCACAACTGTTCCTAAATATATACTTACTTGTTTCTGAATTTTATTTAGCAAAGTCACTGGTCACCATTTGGAGAATATCTAATATTTCACAGTTTATTATTTAAGATTTAATAGAAGCTAAATCACCATCAATATTGCCTACTGTAATTAATCTCTCGGCATGGATTTATTTGAATTAAAAAAGGGTCCATCAACTGATTTACTTTTTAATTATTACATTTCCTTGACATATGTTTTTCTATTTAAATTGCCATTTAACCTGTGTTTGTTTTGCTGTTTTCAGGAAGAGTCTATTTTAATAAATTTTTCCAACTATATTTTGTATTATTATGAAATATTTGATTTCTAAATATAATCTAGATAAACTTACCGTCTAAACGTAAATTACAGGAGATATCTAAGTTATTAGTACTCTCGTTATGAAAGCCTAGATGAAACAATGTTAGACCAACAGATAGACTCCTGAAATAACAATAATATACTTATCATTTTATTGTTTATCTATACTAGAGAGAGAGAGAGAGAGAGAGAGAGAGAGAGAGTAATGGGGTTTAACGGCCACTTGACACAATTTAGGTCATTTCGGGACTAACAAGTTTATTTCAATAATTCACTTGCTCGTAGGGGTCTTTAGCTGTGGGAGGAAACCGGAGTCCCAGGAGAAAACCCACAAGGTTGGACAGGTGACCCTACCCCTTGTCATGTACAACCGGAGAATCGAAACTACGCCAGTTGACTCAATGACAGACCTTATGATACAGTGCGCATGTTTATCTATACTAACATTTGTGAATATTGTTTGTCTGTTCAGGGTAGGCAGTTACACTAGGGTTGTCCCGAGACTGAAATTTGGTGTAATGGGGTAGTTCGGACCGGGGAGTAACATAGGCTAATTGGCTTTGGCCTACCGCTTCTAGTTTCGGAGTAAAGGGCACAACCCGGGCAGCGGCAGGTTATTGGCTAGTAACTATTATTTTCCAAAAATGTAATGTGAGTGTTTGGTAATGCACCTGCTAAACACAACGGAAGTTAAAATATGTTGTGTTGATACTGAACTGGAACTGGGTAAATACAAATATTTTGTGTTTTATATTGAACACAACCCGAGTTAAAATATTTTTGTTTCATACTGAACCGTGTAAACACACCCGGAGTTAAATATTTTGTGTTTCATTCTAAATCTGCTAAATAAAAGCCAGGGAAAAATATTTTGTGTTTTATACTGAACAAAGTAAACATAATCCGAGTTCAAATATTTTGAGCTTAATACTGAACCGGATAAACAGAACCCGAGTTAAAATAATTCAAGTTACCTTTGTTTCTTTTCTCTTAATATCTTCAGATGAAGTTCAGAACAATCAAAACTAACTTCTTGCTGAAAGAGAATAAACATCAGATTTATAAATAAAATATTACCCTCCATACAGTCTTTTCTAATGGAAAACACACTTCTTTACAACATTTTGGTTCTCAGATCACTTAAAAAGGGCCGAATTACTCATTCTTATTTCAAAAAATTAAAAATAATAACAGTCTCGTTAATTACTTCCCGTAAATATTTTACCCAGTTTAAAGAGGGTAAGGATCCAGAAATATCACATAGTCTTATTTATCAAGTATGCAACCCTGTTAAATATTACTGACAATCATAAATGAGACTGGATAATTATGATATGGTATAATCTAAACTACCGGTCAATACCATTTTGATAGATTCCTGATTAAATCAGAGATATTAGAAGTTGATTCACACCATATTGATCGAGTATTGGTTTTATCTGTGATAATATATATTGAATACCAAAGATGCTAAAATTGTGTGTTATCTAATTCACACTTCAATAATTGTATCTTGGTAATTTCACACCTTATTGATTGTATATTAGTTAAATCAGTAGTTATAAACTGTATATTTCTCAATTGTGTATTAATTATTTCACACCTTCTTGATTGTATATTGGTTAAATCAGTAGTAATAAACTATATATCCATGATTTATGTAATGTGTATTAATCATTTCACACTTTATTGATTGTATATTGGTTAAATGAATTATGTAATGTGTATTAATCATTTCACACCTTATTGATTGTAGATTGGTTAGAGTTGTGACTATAAACTGCATATTGTAGCAAGTCTATTAATCTTTTCACAGCTTATTGATTGTATATTGGTTAAATCAGTAATTATAAACCATATATTTCTCTTAATTGTGTATTACCTGCTCCACGCCTTACTGATTGCGTGTTAGTTTAATATGTGTAATACTGTACAACGTAGGTTACTTCCTGATATTTTCCTAAGAAATAGCTTTAATGTCTGATTCAACATTGAAGTGAAATTGTAAACAACCATAAGGTCTACTTCAAAAGAAAATTTCGAAAATTTCTGCCAGCTGTTATTGCACTGCATATTTTTTAAACGTTTGTATTTTTTTCACAAATGTAGCCTGACATTGAAAGGGAAGTAACTCCTCAACATACCATTATTGTCTCCCCTTTAACCACATAATGGAGAAAAACCCGATTGAAAGTTCCCAAATTGAATTCTTTCAATCCCCAATAGTATCAATCAAGTGAAAAGTGGGATTTTGGGTTATAATGCATGTGCCAACTGCATAAGAAAACATCTCCATCAACCATGACAGCTGAAACATATTCGTTGTGTTTAAATATGTCACAATTCTACTCACACCACCTCAGTAGTCGGGACTGAAAAAAAAATGTGACCGGACTGAACTCCTTGTCACTCCTTGTCAATTCTGGACGTTCCTGACTGACAATCGAGCATCCCCAATATATCTAGCCACCCAACTTTCACGTTATCTTGTATATTAATACATAATTATCAACTTGTTAATTAAAGTGAACTGACATGTGAAAGTGTCTATTTTTAGATATATAATTATAATTGTGTGAACATTGTTACTTTACTAAATTGGCATAAATGATATTAATTCATAAATTATCAAATTTAACACGACAATTTTAATGATATGATACAAAAACAAGCTAAAAGCTTATATAAATTTAGCTTCATATATTTACTTTGTGATATTTCAAGAATCTATTTTTACATAGTAATGGTTGATATTTCAAGAATCTATTTTTTACATAGTAATGGTTGATATTTCAAGAATCTATTTTTTACATAGTAATGGTTGATATTTCAAGAATCTATTTTTTACATAGTAACGGTTGATGGTAAATGTTTCATGATGAAAAAAGGAGAGAGAAATGGTGTTTAACACCCACTCAACACAAACTAGATAATTTCGGGACTAACATATGGTTCAATTTTATTTCAATAATTCTATTGCACGTATGGGTCTTTAGTAGTGAGAGGAAACTGGAGGACCCAGAGAAAACCCACACGGTTGGACAGGCGATCCTTCTCCTTCTCAAGTACAACCGGGGAATCGAAACCACGCCAGTTGACTCAATGACAGACCTTATGATACAGCAGGCACATGCTAACATTTCGGCTATCCAACCCCCCTAATTCTAAATAAATAATGTATATAAATAAATAGTGACAAATAAATGAGTAATAGTCCAGTCTAATTGGTTAATTAAAATGATTAGTAGTTAATTGAATTGTTTATTAATTTTTATAAGGGAACAGGTTTTTACATTTTCTACACCAGTTCTCCAATCCCATTCAGATAACCTGAATAAAATATTGTTATAACTGCATATAAAGGTGTTTATAGATTTTAATGAACAGGGACATATCTTCATACTTACTGCCACACTGCACACTGTCTGCCAAGCTACTACAAGAGTGTCTATTGTTACATTTCATAGAGAACCCCCTGGTACTTGGATGATACACACCCCTCGTTTCCAACATTTCTATACTAAGCAATCAGAAAATAATAATTATAAAAGCAATCTACTTACCAAATATTTAAATCTATTGAGATCAAGGGTGTTTTCTTCCTGTGTATCTTTAAATAAAAAAGTAACAATCATTACTCCTGGTATATCAATTTTAAATGGTCACCTAAATAAATGACAAGTGGTATCAGGTGTTCTAAAAACACCTTGCACACCCTTCATGTTTTGCACATCCCACTAGATACTATCAGTACTTACTGTTAAAGAGAGAGACCGATTGGACTATCCGATTAAGATTTCAAGAGCAGGGACAGAAGCTACAGGCTAAGTTTTTTTTGGTTTTTTGAGACAAATAAATTACAAAAATTGTTACCTATCCAGTTATTAAGAACTAGGACATTGTCCAATTAAAAACCAATAAATCTTAAAACAATTCCTGATACTTACAATGGTGTGTACAATAAATATATAATAAGGCCACACCAATTCGATTTTCTGTTCTTTGAGAACATCTATTAAAATTGTTCTTATTTCTTTAGGAAAAAGACTAATTTAAAAAACTAAAACTACTTTGTTACACTGTTCAAAAGCTTTTAGTTCCAAATATTTTAATCTTGAAATTTAAACTTAATATCATTTTTCATTATCTATTTTTGAACTATTATAGCAAGAACGGCCAGCTTTTTATCGAAATCTTACATAATGCATTTTTAAAAATAAATACCTGGATTACTTGAAACTTCATATTTTGATTGGCCCACACTTGTTTTTATACCCTGAAGACTCTGTAAAAATCCTGAAATTACAAAATTAATCAAATCATTATATACTACTGAAATGGAGTTTAACCTCCTACTTTTCTGCACTGTCTGGGATTAATGAAGACAGCCTTAGGCCATTCAGTGGGCTATGAAATAAATATTGCCCAGACACTGGCGTTCAGCCTACTCTTATTTCCAATTCAATCTGTCAAGGGAACTTGACTGTTCGTCCCATCCAAACGACTTCCCTTGTCCTAGCCAGGCTATATACTAATGGACAATGAACATGCATACAACATGTTTTGCTCATAAGAATTATGCAATTCCAGTTAATAAGAATATGGCCAAAGATGGTAATTACATTAAATTTAAAATTTGAAATTTCTTCATAGAAAATAGTCTCACCTTCTGTCATCATAATTTGTGGCTTAGATACCAGAAACCTAAGTACCTGTATAAAACAAATACTTATAAATTAATTTTCTACTATTAAGATTTTTATGTGCCTCTAAATGAGAGTTCATTAACAAAGGATTCTATATTTCTGTCTTTATTAATATCTCTGAGCACTCTCAACGACCTATTTTTAAAAACTAAACTCCCTAGACCCGGTGAAGAATCAAATCCCAACTTCAGCAATAAGTAGTCATATTCATTTTTTTTATATATACATTTACAAGGTTTGTAATTTCTTTCATGTAAATTTTACATATTAGATTACTGTACCTTAAGTTTTTTCGGGTCTTTTTTATCCACTTTTAATTCTGTGAATACACTGACAGACACCTCTGCTAAACATGGCTGACTTGTGGAATCCTGGAAGTATCAGAATTAAGAGTTTGACGAATCAGACAAAATAATTCTAATAGTTTAAATTTTTAAATACAGATTTAAGAACTAATATTTTTTTTGATTAAATTCTTGTTTTCCTAAAAAAAGTATCAGTCAATTTAATCAGATATTAAATCGATTTCTATGCCTACATGCATCTCTTATTTGTAGTTTAGCTTATCTATTTTATATCTGCATTTACTTTTGTAAAGTGCACATGGAAAGTTAATCATCAAAGTTGTGCTCTATAAAAATGAACAATAACAATAATAATTATTATTATAAATAAAATGCTGACTTACAGAAATGCCTTCTTGAGATTTTAAAGCCTTACATGTGACACCAGATAGATTTAATGCCAAATCTAAACTGAAATAAAAAGCACATGGATGATTATTAATTTTTTCTCTGTGAAGTTATTTACTGTTCTTCAGTAATTGTAGCAGTAATATTGATGTTATTCAAGTTTTATCTATAAAGTTATTATCTTCAGCAATTGTAGCAGTAATTTTATTAAAGTTTTCTCTATAAAGTTATTTACCTATCTATAGTCACACTGATCAGCAGTGAATATTCGCTAGGCCAAAAATAATGAGCAAAAAAAATTAACTTTCTTCCTCCGACAAATTAAATTCTAAAACATTTTTTTTTTATGTATTAGAAAAATAAATAAAGACGTTTAAAGTATTTGTAGGTAAAAATTATTTCCTATTTAGTGTAAATGGGTATTAAAATGAGTAAAAGGCAGCATTCTACGCGCCACTGAGCCAATGATTGACGTCGCGTGATTTGACGTCACACGTTCAGGCAGTCATCTTTTACAGAGATATTAGAAGACTTTTGTAATCCTCTGTGAAACAGATTGATCTATAGTAGGCCTAATTGTTTCCACTATTATGTTATTTACCTATGTTCAGAAATTGTAACAGTAATTATATTCAATTTTGTTCTATAAAATAATTCACCTATCTTCAGTAGGCCTAATTGTTTTTTCTATAAACTTATTTACCTATCTTCAGTAATAGTAGCATCCACACTGATATCTTGTCCTTCAATGTGTATCAAACTATCAGGTAACATTGTCTTTAATAACATCACTGTCAGCTTCTCCACTCGAAATCCCAGAAATTGTACATAATGTAGCCATTTAGATATTCTTTCCACTTCTTCATTATGTGCAGTCGTAGCAGCATCTCTTGGACTCCTTCCTGGAGAATCTCTGTCTCGCCCTGACTCCACATTTTCTATGTTGGCCTGAATGCGCACCTCTTGAAAACAGAAGACCAGTGGTTTTCTGATAATTTGGAGAGAAAAAAAGTTTAAAGATGCATTATATAAGATTTAGATAAAGACCTGGTCATTCTTGTTATAATAGTTCAAAATAAATAATGAAAAATTAAAATTTCATTCAAATTACTTTACTCTAAGCGAAGCTATGAGTGTTGGAAGATGTAGAGTAGATTGTTTATTGTCATAGCAACAGTACTGGACAAATGAGACCAATTCTCGATTATCCATTTTATCAGTAAATTTTTAAACCTTGTGGGCATTCTAATCCATTGAAATCTTTGCCATCCGATGGTCTATAGAGTTGATTACGGGCTTGTCATGTTAATAAATGTCTAAATAATAGTTAATATAACATTTAAATCCAAAATAAAGACAGATTTAGTACTTCAATATTCGACTCTGACATATTAAAGTGTTTTAAATGATAGTAAATGGTATATGTGTAGGAGAAGCAAATTATTTTAAACAGAGACAAAAAGCAAATTGGATATTAGAGCATATTTAGCAAATACTAACAGAGAAAACAGGGGTTTTTTTGCCACTAAAAAACAGCTACTTTTTGGGAATAAGATTCCATAAATTTTTATTGCAGTAATTAAGTTGACAAGAAAACCCAAGAAATGACATATAACTGCGGGATCAAACTGTCATCTTGTGTAGCATTCTGCACATAGAGATCCATCTACTTCATTCCTTGAGAATAGATCTCTACCCTAAATGACGGCCATATCAAAAATTAGTATACTGTTTTGTAATGTGTTTCTACGCCGATTCACATCTGTGATACACACAAAGACTAAATAAACTTTATTAAATGGAAGTAGGATAAATACTCAACAAAATTCTCAAAGAAGGCCTGTAGTTTGTGTTTTCGACTAAAATCGTCAATTTAGGACTTAAAATGTTGGTCAACTAGCTTAATGTCTGTTCTCAAGAATAGCACTGCAGACAGACAGCTTAAGTTTAGTATGTTTGCATAGATGACAGACATGTGATCCACCTCAAGGTCAATTAGCTAAATATACAATAACAATCACAATTTACTTATACTTTCAAAGGTAACAGTTAATACACGATATTTGGCATTATCATAGTTGTGTCATCTCATGTACAAGGCAGGATATGCATATTACTTTATTTTGAATGCCTGATGACATTTTCTAGTAGGCTAATTTTAAAGGTATTTGCTTCCTGATATCTAGATTTAGTTTCAGTACTGAATGCTTTAATGTTGAAAATTTGTTTTGCATTTGAACATGGAAAACAACTGTTATGTATATACACACAATCATATGTTGGATAACAATGAATGAATTAATGCAGTAAGTTGATCTTCACCGAAATATCCACAAGTTATACTAAGTGGTTGTTTTCAATATAAATATGTTTTGTGTTGTGTCATGTTAACTTTAACATTAAAATGTTAGATTTCATAATGTCTTATTTCTTTACATATGTGTAATTCAAGAGGTCATACTACTTACCTTATTTCAGGATTAACAAAACAGCTAGACAACCATACTTGACCAATTTCCTGTAAACAAAATTTCAGCAGATGTTACATTTAAATAGAATAGAAAAAAACAATAGGTGTCTTCTTTGGTTATTAAGGAAGGCAGCCAAGAGAGATGTTTTATTGCTTTTAAATCATTTGTTAAATCCAATTAATCATTTGCATTTTCCGGACATTATATATTCCATAAACAGCTTAATCCATGCTAAAATGTACTTAAATTGATCATTAAAGTAGCCAAGTGTTTAACTCAGTATCATCTACAGTCTTCAATATTGTAAACACGACTTATTGGTCAATTTAAATCAACATTGATGTTGTTATCTTACCGTGAAAAGATGAGCTTCTGGTAGCTAATGATTAAGACACAATGAAAATTTTAAAATTGGCACGGGATTCGGGCGCAAGAATGCTTTTCAAGCAACAATTTGTAATGAAGCGATTCAATGAATGAGGCTTCCCACAAGGGAAGACTACCTGAATAGACGGGAATAACCAGACAGCAAAGACTGCCATCCAGTTTGCACTCTTGCAGTATTTTGCTGAACACAACTTAGCCTATTAGAAATTACAGTAAATACAGAAATGATTGAATGTAAATCAGTTTATATACAATCATATTACATTATTATATGCGCTGTGACCCATTTGTGTCCATTTCTAGTTGCCAAAGAATAGAGATTTAGCTCCTTTAACATATGTCTAAGAAACTAAGCTAAATTATCAATGGTAGATAATCTTTTGGCTAGAATTTTAAAATGTACAAAACAGTTATAGGTGGTGCTGGCTTGTTTATATCATATGCAGAGGTCGTAGAATGTTGCAAAATTTTCAATTCGGCACATCTAGGTACTTAATGACTGACATTCAACCATTTTTGGACTGATATTCCTGCTAAGAGATTCAAGTTTCAAAATTTCTCCAATTTTGATGACAATCAGCAGCTTTATAAGCCTTTGTTGACTTTATTACGCAGTGGAACTTCATTTACAAACAACTAACAAGAAGTGTAGCAGATCACATCATAACGAATTTATGCTACTCACTGATAGAAATGAAATGAAATGAGGTCTAAAAGAACACTTGCATGTTGAAATTCGAAATGAGTAGGCCATAGTGCTGCTGCCTGTGCATATGCCCATCTTCATTAGCCCAGTCAGTGCAGAAAATTAGGAATTTAAATTTATGTGCACGGCAATGTCTACAAGGGACCTCAGGTTTCTGTTCCATCCCAACAATTAGATACCGGGAGTTAGTCCGAAACTTTGTGGTTAGCGAGCCAGTATCTTAGTCATTGAGCCATTGGGTCACTGATGGAGAAATATTAATAAAACAGAAGAACAAAGAACTTACTACATTTAGACCTCTCTTGATAACAGCTTGTACATTTCCAAATCTAAATAAACCGATCTGTCCTACTTTAACTTGAACATCAAGGTAACGTTTCAGACACCATTGAAAAAGCCAGGCTACCAATCTGTTAATAAAATTATTTCTTAATAAAATAAGCTTATTATCTGTTAATGAAATAAGCTAATAACCTGTTAATAAAAAAACAACTTACCAATAGGTAATAAGAAAAGCTTATAGCCTTGTTTATCAAAAAAAAAGAGATTACATTTTGGTAATAAGAAAAGCTTAGAACCTGTTAATAAAGTAAGCCTAATAGTAATAAGAAAAGTCTAGAACCTGTTGATAAAATAAGCTTACAAATAGGTAATAAGAAAAGCTTATAACCTTGTTAAGTTAACTGTAGACACAGTCTAACTTTTGTATAGGGGCTAGGTTTAAGCTGTTAGATCAGTGATTGGACTTTCAAAAACTAAGTTAGCCTTAAGTTATTTCAAATATGTTATTCTAAAAAGGATAAAATATCATTGACCTTTACATTCAACTCTAGTCATTGAAAAATTGTATATGTATATGTTTTTGAAAACATTGGCTTTAATATGCCCACATTTAACATGGACATATACTTTTGTTACGTCCACACTTAATATGGACATATACTTTTGTTACGTATATACCTTGGTCATTTCCATTTTGGCGGGAACGTTTTAGGCACTACTATTCTTGTCAGATTTTTGGTCAGATCTGCAGGAATTGTGAGATGGAAGAACCCCATTGAAATGTAAAATTATTGATGGTTTGGACATAGGCACGATGAATGTTAGGGTGGGGGCAGAACCTGAAATGGCCAAAAAATTTGGGGGGCTACTGACGGCGGGGCCCATCATCTGTGAGAGACGAAGGAGCAGAGCTTACTGTGTAGGACTAACAGCCCCCCCCCCCCCCCAAGAAAATTTGGAACATTTGGCGACCCCACAAACGCGTTTTCCTGCTATTCCAGGACATAAATACATCAACCTGAAAGTGGTCTAATATAGCCTAACTTAGGTGGCTGACCCGAGTTATAATCATCCAATCAATCGTTTATAGTCCACAGAGATAGGTCCGTTGGAAGAAAATTTTGAAAATTTAACTGCAGCAAACACGTTTTGCTGCTATTCGAGCCCATGAATACAGCAACTTCAATGTGGTCCAAAATAACCTAGTCCAGGTAGTTGACCTGAATCCCAATCAATCAATTGTTGCAGGGTATGGGCGCTGGAATAGCAGTAACTTTAAAGTTTCCAATCGGATTGCAACCGAAATCCCACTCTATGCCGATTTGAATTCCAACCATCCAATCTGACTTTTGCAGCTGCATTCACAAATAATAACCGATGCCCGAAAAAAGTCACACAAAGTAGAGTGGCTCCTGACAAAATGTTTTAATCCACAGTCAATTCAGTGCAAATTCGTGGTATTCAATTAAAAGAAAAGTAAAATTAGTGTTTTATTAGATTTTGGGCACTTTATTTTGCCAACTAGATGAAATAATAATTTTTGTTTTGACTTTACCTGTCTGCCCGAATAGTTAGATTGCTCAAAAGTTTGGGGGTACCTGGCCCCCTCTACCACCCTGGCTTGTAAGCCTATGAGTTTTGACTTAAAGTTGCTAAGTCTCTAACTCAATATCATCCAAAATCTTCAACATTGAAAAGACGATTTATTTGTCAAATTAAATCAACATTCATGTTGTGATCTTACCGGAAAAAGATGGGCTTTTGATATCCAATATTTAAGACAAAATAAACATTTTACTATTGGTACACGAATCGTGTACCATAATGCACTTCAACCCCAGTTGTATCAAGAGACTCAAGGGACGAGGCTAGACACATTGCACCAAATAAAACGGCGTATGTAGACTGGAATAACCAGACGCTAGAAATTTGCACTCGCTTGAGACTGCTGGCGTATTTCGCCAAACATAACTGATTTTGAAATTGGAGTAAAAACGGAAACCATTGAATGTAAATCAGTTTATATACATTCATATTACAGTATTATATGCGTTGCGACCCACTTTTGTCAATTTCTAGGTCCCAAATGTTAGCAATTTAGCTCCTTTAAAATGTCTTAGTTGAAATTTTTCATTAGGCCATAAAAGAGGAATCCAACCAACATTCATAATATTTTGTTTGTAAATCACAGATAATATCTGACGATGAAAACAGTGTTAGTGACTCTTTTGTTTATATACTTTAATATTTATCGAGTGACAAACACTTCCGTATCGGATCCTTCGATCCATCGTTTTCATATTCCTGTTGGATGTGGATTCTACACGAGTTTTGAATGTTATGCTACAAAGTTTTGATTCTAAAAGCTTGCAAACTTGATAGAAGACAGTGTTCTATATCTATGAATTTTATTAATCCTTGGTGGAAATGTTCATCAAATATATAACATAGTTTTCTGTTCTACCCTTATTAGGGAGCCTGATAAGCCCATGTCAATGTTCATTAATAACACAAGGTATCAAAATCTCCTTTTCTTTTTTTTTTTTAAATCATTAAATTTTTATATGACACAAAAAAGTGATGGGCCTTGGCTGCATTGTCATAAAGATATAACATAGTAGTATAATCATATCATTTTCTGTATTCAAAAAATTTCCCTTTAATTACAAAGGGACAGTCTTATTAAAAACATTGTGTATTATTTAGCAGGGGTTATATAATATATGCACTGTGAGATATTGGGAAATAAATACTCTTATAATACACAGAAAACAGTGTGTATTGAACACTTTGTATATCATAATGTGTGGTTTATTTATTAATTAATGGACCCATATTGCACTGATTGAATTACCCAATTAATAAGTTTTTGAGTTGTTTTTTTACTTTGTTCATTTATACCTTAATTAAAGGGGCATTATGGGAGATTAGATAAAGAGCTGACAGTTCTCGCTATAATAGTTAAAGAATATGCTGAACCGAGCTATTAGAGATTGAATTTTAGGCTTAGCCTCAATCATCATTACTAATGTCAGTACGATAAAAAAAACAAAGTCTTGATTATCCATTTTGACGTTAAATCATCCATCACAAAATGTATTTAAATCCAGTAAATATCGCAAGCTAGTGATGGCATCAAGAGTTGAGTTTAGTCTAGATTTATAGTTAATTGATGTCTAATTAATATTTTAGATAACATTTCAGGCTCAGGCATAGGCAGATTTAGCTCTTGCATAATGTATGTTTCTTTAACTTTGTTTTTGCTTGCAAAACCATTATTTAATACATACTGAAATGTATACCCAGTCTGATTGATAATCCTTTTTAAAAATTCAATGCTGTGTAAGAAGGAGAAATATTAATAATTTTAATTACCGTTCCTATTACAATTAAAATAAATATTATATTTATTTTTACATTTTATTTTTACATTTTTTTCCAAAAGCTATTAATTTAATGGTAGTTAAATTATGAAGTTCAATGAGTTAAAAGTTAACTTTGTTTCAATGGGCGAATTCAATTTCTAAATGGGAAGTTTTATTGAACTACCGGTGAGTACTTTAGTTTAGTACTTCCCATTTACACATCTTTTATGGTGTGGTCTTCCTTTCCTAATGTATATTTATGTTATCTACAAATTATATTAAAAAAAAACTTGATAAACTCCATTTAGAAGCTTCATGATTTCAGATAAAATTGCCTTTTTTTGGCACATTCTTTAATTATTAAAGTTTAAGACTGGAATTATTTGGTCAGTTCAAAGGTGGAAAACAATCTTCTTTGATTGGTTAATAAAACTCTGTTCTGCATCGGTGGTCAGATTAACACCTTCCTTATGTGTGTGTAATCAACACCATCGTACCGCCAGTATGCAAGCCAGTGGCAGTGGCAATGCACGTCTTGGCATAACCGAGTAAAAAAAGTAAAAGTAGGCTAAATTGTTTCGGAAAAAAATCTGTCACTTATTCATTCAAAACAACTCGTTTAGTACCTCGTAATAGCCCACAGAGCCACGAAGACATACAATACTGTCCAGATATAATTTGGCATAATACTTCATAAAGACATAACAGTAACCATCAAACATGTCCCGATTAAATGTCACGAATAATAAATTGTATGAGCTGCAACAACACCGACATCTCCACTTCCATGATGGGTAAACATGCAAAGATGTGGGTCGAGACAAGTCACGTGGCTATTATAAGCCAATCAGATTTAGATAACCTTGCCGCTTCCCCGTTTTGCCCGTCCGCTTACTACCATACATCAGAGAATCAAAGTCGCCATCTTAGCTGCTTGTAAATTTGTCAAAATTAGTGGAATTTTATATAATCTGATGCTCTAGCGGAAAATTTGGATATAATTGGACGGTTTTATAATATGGAGTGACCATGAGTCACCCAAATCCTTCTGGAAACGGCTGTTCGCTGGAGGACTGCTACACAAATCTCTTCGCTTTGGTAAGTTTTGGGTTTAAATTTGAAGTATCTGATCATTGGATGGCCTATTGTTAGTGAAATGGCCATCAATACACTTGTTGTTTGTTTGTAAAATTCCACCTGGCTTCATTTTGGCTATAGCTGTGTTGATAAACAGCACCGTCTTTTTTATACAGAAGCTAAAATGTAACCGGTTTATATAGAATCGTTTTAGATGTCGGTGTAATTTTGGGGTCAAGAGTGAGAAAACGAGACTTGGTTGTGACTGTTATTTAGTTTATTCACGTCACTGTCTCCAGAACTCGATGTCTGTTGACCGCTTTCACAGCTTGAAAAGCGAGAAACACGAGAAAGACTGTTTGTATATAGCTGACAACCGTAATATGAGCAGATGAAAACCTAAAATTATTATAATTGATGGCTTTATTGATTTTATTGTCAAAATTGCGTGTTACATGATTTGTGTTGTGTGTATTTTGCAGACGGATTTGTGTGGGATTCGTTGGCGGAAGTTGACCCCTGAACCTGATTCACTGAAAATAGACCCTTTGGATGACCCAGTCTTGGTGGCATATTCAAAATGTGTTCGATCTGACATTTTGAGTGTTTGGAGGAGAGTTCCCGCAAGAAATACTGACAATAATAGCCATCACCATCATCATCATCATCACCCCCCTCCTCCACCTCCTCAGCAAGATCAACTGTCCTTTAGCAAGGAGTTATGGATATTTTGGTATGGTGATGAGCCGAAGGGTTTGGCAGATATTATCTCTACTGGACTCGCAGGTATGTGTACAATATTACAGTAAACTTACGCTTCAAATGTATTGAGCCAAAAATGCTGACATCAGTGTGTTATTGCAAGGGTTCAAGAAGTCAGCAACTGTTAACTACAAATTTCTAATTTGCTGATACCTTGAAATTAATGCGAAATAAATTAAAGGACAATTTATATCACTTTTGTCGTTTCATAAATTATTTACATGTATCACCAGTCATTGGTAGATAGGTGCCTAAATTCAGAGGAACAAAATAACCCTTGCTAGTTGAATATTTTCATGGCCACCCCCGGTTTCAGAAGGCCTGAAGGCCTATTGAAATGATGGCTAACATTGGTAGAGACTACAGGTAGCCAAATTCAGAGGAAATATTAACACTGGTTGACAGAATTTTTTCATGGCCATCCCCCAGTTCTAGAAGACTGCTGAAATGATGGCTGTATAGTTATTGTCTTATGAGCCATCCATTACAGTCCAAGGCTTTTGATCATTTAATGCCCATAATCTATGAATCTGAGCTTTAAATGGTAGCCTATCGTTGATTATTATCACAATGACATACCTCTTAATTGCAAACGATACAACCACCCACCAACCCTGAGCTGCAAAATTTGATTTTACGTTTGCCAAAACATTGGGCTTTTCTTTCTTTTTTTAAAAAAAAAAAAACCCAAAACAACTATGGCTTTGTCACATTAGTTCTAGCCATCACTTCTCTTAAATTCTTGTTTTAGTCGCTAAGGAATGATTTTGAACCTCTTGATTGCTTTATGACAGGTGGAAGATGTGCAATGATTGGAAAGCTATATGATAAGCAATAAGAAGTGTTCATATTCACAAGAAACATAAGACTGCATGATTATGCATTAAAATTTATCTTTTAAAAAGGTTATTTACTGGTTTATTGATATTTTTCAGAAATTGAATCTGGGTCATGGGACAAAGATAAGGATAAAGATAGCGGACTGTCCTATGAATGCAGAACACTACTTTTTAAAGCTTTACATAATCTTATTGAAAGGTAAGACTCATCTTCTAAATTTCATTTCTGACCTGATGTGGTAAGAAATCATTGGTTGTTTATTGAGAATAGTTTGGTTTTGTGTGTTGACAGGACAGCTTCATATTTATTTGATTTTAATACATCTTCTCAACCGTTAATTGTCAGACACTTTTTCTGCTTTAGTTCAATAAAGACAGAAATTATAATTTAATGCAGATGGATACATATTATTCTGGAATGTACTGTCAAGTTTGGTGTTTGGCAGAGTGGGAAATTATAATTCTTGTTCCAGTACTTGACATTTTGACCATAATATTTATAAAAAAAAAAAAAAAAAGGGACATGCCAGTCAAAATCACAGACACCAAAAAGGTTGTGCCTGTCTGGTGCCTTATATGCTTCCATACATATCAGACTGAACATCGAAGGGTGGTATCTGGTTATGATGGTGACAAATAGTATGTGAATTATACAAAAAAGGGTCCTTTTGACAGAAATTCCAAGATTTTTCTGGTAATCTATGTGTGCAGAGTTATAAGCCCACATTGAAATGTGGTTGTATATTATCGTTGCCCCCGTCCGTCCCTCTGTCCAATTTCCACAATTGCTTGTGGATGCTCTAGAGGCTAAAGATAATATCAGACTGTCAAATTTATACACAGTGTTTAAGGTCCTGAGATGAAGAAACCTATTGATTTTCAATGATATTCGATAGTTACTTGCCAGAGTTATGGCCTTTGATCACTTTGAAATATCTAGTGGATGCTCTAGAGGTTAAAGTTAATATCCGATTGACTGTAAGTTTATACACAGTGTTTAAGGTCATCAAACGAAGAATCCTATTGATTTTCAACTATTTCCGATAATTACTGCCAGAGTTATGACCCTTGATCACCTTGAAATATCTTGTGGATGCTCAAGAGCCTCAAATTAAAATTTGATTGACTTTAAATTTATACACAGTGTTTACCTTCATGAGATGGAAGAATCCTATTGATTTTCAACGTTTTCTGATAATTAGTGCCAGAGTTTTGATCCTTGATCACTTTGAAATATATTGTGTGTACGCTCTTAGGGTCTAAAGTTAATATCCGATTTGTACACAAGGTTTACTGTCATGAGATGAAGAAGCCTATTGATTTCCGATAATTACTGCCAGAGTTATGGCCCTTGATCACTTTAAAAATATCTTGTGGACGCTCTAGAGTTAATATCCGATTGACTTTAAAGTTATGCACAGTGTTTAAGTTCATTTGATGTTGAAATCTATTGATTAACGACTTCCGATAATTACTGCCAGAGATATGGCCCTTAATCACTTTGAAAAGTCTTTTGGATGCTCTGAAGACCAAAGTTATCTTCCGATTGATTTTGAATTTATACACCGGGTTTACAGTCATAGACGATGACACCTCTATACATGTATTATGAAGGGTTTCAAAAAATTACTGCCTGAGTTATGGCCCTTGATTACTAAGAAAAATATTGCGGATGCTGCACAGGCCTAAGTAATCATTTGATTGATTCCAATCAACTGTCACATTACTTGACTCCAGACACAAGCTACAAACAGAAACATTCTGATGTATCAGTACAAAACAAACCAAGATAAAAATTTACTCACCTCAGGTCTGAAACCAATCTGGAATCTGGTTGGAATCAGAAGTAGGGTGACCCACCATAAATAAATATCTCCATATATCTCGACAATTACGCCACAATATTTATATATATGCCAAGCCTCAAATCAGTTTCACACAATTATAGTCACTAAATAAACGATCATGTTGTACTTAATAAGCTATGACCATTAATCATGTATAAATAATAGACTGAAAACTGGTTCCAAGAGTCGTCCATAACATCCAGACACTTTTGAGTAAAAGATAGGTTACGTGCCCTTGTTTTGAAATTAGTCTCGCTTAACCAGTCTATTGACCATTCTACGTCTGATTGACAGGTCGGGATAATCAAGACTACTTTTTTACGAAACATAACAGAAAGCTAGAACAAGAAATTGAATTTAGAAATAAGCACGTTAGGTAGCTCAACAATCGTTTTAAGAAGCTTGTAAAAGTAAAATGAAACTACTGTTAGTATCATGTTCCTGTCTAACCCGAGTGATTCAGAGATATTATTTGTACTAAACCAAAAGATGACGCTCTTAACGGTACAGTTAATGATAAAGTAATTTAAAAAATGAAACGAATGTAATTTCTAAATCTGCTGTAATAACCAAGAAGCTTAATTTTACTGCTATTCAAAATTGTCAACAATAAATTTTTTACGGCTGTAATAGTTGATAGATTTGTAGAGAATTGCACGTGCCATGGCTATTTATAGTATCATACTGTCAGAAAGTTTGTCTCGGCACGGCGAATGTGCATGCTTCAGTGGTAGTCTCGAACTATCAGCGGTGGACTGTATTTCTGTGAGTACATGGGTCACCCTATCAGAAGGTTTACTCAGCAGAGTCTACTGTTGTTTTTAGATGTATTGTTACCGGGTACCCAATTTTGGTTGTAATTTTCTTCAACTTAAAATATTGATTAAATATTTCAATAATTCTTATAATAAAGGAAATAAAACAACAATCATATGTTAGTAGTTTTGTTTTAGCAAACTCAAATACTGCAGCAAGTCAATGATCATTCAGAGAATTAATAAAGAATTCACGATTTTCATACAAATGTCAAACATTTTCCTAAATTCTTCAGAGGAACTAATCTTCTTTATTTTTATTTCCATTTAGTTTTCAAAACAATATCTGTCCAGAGAATTAACAAAGAATTCACGATTTGTCATACAAATGTCAAATATTTTCCTAAATTCTTCAGAGGAACTAATCTTCTTGATTTTTATTTCCATTTAGTTTTCAAAACAATATCTGTCCATTCAGCCATAACAAATATTTATAGGTTATATTTGTATTTTATTTCCTGCAGTAGTTATATGAAGAGGGAACAAAAATGTTTCAAAAAGGAAATTGTTATTAAGTTCAAAGACTGAATTATTGGACTGAATTGAATGGTTGCGCAATACAAATAATGCTATTAATTGATTAATCATACAGTGTTAGATCTATGGCCAGTTTTTAAAAAGAAAGTATTAGGCCAAAAAAAAGGGTGTTGAAACGTTTCCTGTAAACAGAAGGAAAGTAGGGTAGTTTTTTTTTATTAAATTAGGTCTATAGATCTATTAGATCTACCGTATATGTGTGCAAAAATCTTTAATTTCATGCTACATGTAGGTTGAGTCAGCGTCTGTATCTGTCATGGAACATGAAAGACAAATAGATTGGTGGATGGAGTTCTTGAATAAACGCTTGGAATGTATAAGAGGCTAGTTTATGATTTTATATATTCTCTTTGGGGGCAAATGGACACATTTTAATCATTCTACGCTAAAAAAAAGCTAGCTTAGGGAGACCATTTTGTTACCATGGATACTTTGTTCAAGGGAAAGAACACACATAGAAATAGGTCCGTAATAAATTTAACTTGTCTTGTTTTAAATACTAATCGAGCAGGTTTTGTCTGCCTGTTTGAAATATATATACGTTTGATTGGTTTTGTCCAATTGCGTGCCGTTATTTATTAGAACGAAAGTTGTGGGGATATAGCTTTTCGGAATGTGTAAAGTGTATGCGTAAATCTATACAAAACCTGTAATCTCAATTTTCATGGCAGCAATCTCACCAACAGTAAGGGAGTTTTTAAATCGTATACTGTACCCGCCTATTCCGATCAGTGAACGCAGACTCAAAAAGGAAACTTACATGTATTGTACATGTGCTGAATAATAACGACAAGAGAATCATTGTTGAAATGTAGCTTTAATAGAAAATACAGTAATTGTTATCCATATAACTGCTGTTCTTATTTCACATTTGTATTCATTTATGACAACAAAATAAAGCCATTTTCACGAATCCAGGAGGCTTAGAGCAGGGTTGTAAACATGCGGCCCACCAAGGGTTTTAAAAAATGTGTCTCATGGCCGAACAAATTCCAACAAACAGATGTGTCAATAATTCATAGAAACTAGTGGTGGAAATTATTTATTATTGTTTTCCAGTTTCAGTACAACTCTGACTTCTGTACTGTATGTCATAGATATCTAAGTTGTACTTAATGCAAGAGAATATTGTGTTCAATAGTATATCTTATTGCATTATAATATGTAACGATTTTAGTCAAATGAATCAATAAAAATTTTCTTCATCTTGATATTTTTGCCTATCTCCGCTCTCCGGCCCACTTGATGTAAAATTTTAGTTCATGTGACCCCTGAATCGAAATGAGTTTGACACCTCTGGCTTAGAGTATTTGGAACGGTCAGTAAAATTTTTTAAACATTTGATAGGTTTTGTGATGGCTCGGTCGAGTTACAAGAAACAGAACATTTTGGCCTTAGGTTTTTCTATACATGTGGACAGTGTAGATTTTGTCTTTTCCGTTAATGCTGTGTTAGCAAGTTAACCATATATGCCACATTATCAAGTTTGTCACTATTAAATCAAAGACAGGGTTATGGTCAAGCAGGATATTCACACACCATAGAAAGAAGCAGTTTATAGAACAGAAAATCCTAACAATTAAGTTGATGCTCATGGTTGTCACACAAATTGTGTATTTGTTGGTCTATTCCAAGACATAAAACATTGACTAAAAAAAAGTGACTGGTCGAGAGGTTTTCACTAAGAAAACCAGGGAATAATGTTTTTGAATTGCTGTTCTAATATCATGCATGTCTATGCAATGTGACTGAGTGCAGACAAAATAGGCAATGTCTTTTCCGTTATAAATAATGATAATGGAAAAAACTTCTTGTATCGAGATAGACAAAACAAAAGGTATTTTGTTAAAATTATGTTGCGTTATCACCAGTGTTTCGACACAAACGTAGGCCGACTGATTTATCGGAGGACTCCTGGTTGCCTATTTCGCTCGAGTCCGTTGGGCCTTTGCCTTGTTATTTCGCATAGTTAATGTCCACATACAACAAGATATTAAAATAATTATTGGATCATGCATTTAATTGTTTCGCTGACCAGTCGTTAGTTAAATTTAAATCTTAGTTGAATATAATCTTTGGATAGAACACCGAATACATCGAGAAACCGTCATTAATAATATATTTTTCCGACCGGCGATGCTACATGTAGTTTTAGTTTTAAATAGCGTTTACTGTTATGATTTTTTATTTTATACACATGCTGCAGTAATTTATTCAGGAATATTACTGACATGAATTTCAAGCTGGAACGTGAATTATGGAAAAATTTCTGATTTGTAGCGGTAGGCCTACCTATTTGTCATTATTTTACGATATTCATAACAAATTATCAAGAATTATTTTTGTTGAAGTCTGGTTATATTAAAGTAGCTAAGTCTCTAACTCAATATCATCTAAAACCTTTGACATTGAAAACACGAATTAGTTGCCAATTTTAATCAACATTTGTGTTGTGATCTTACCGGGAAAAGATGGGCATCTGATTTCCAATATTTAAGACAAAATAAACATTTTACGATTGGTACACGAATCGTGTACCATAATGCGTTTCAGCGCAATTTATAACAAGCGACTCGAAGAACGAGGTTAGATATATTTAACAAGTCATGTCAAACGGTAACTCCATCTTCTTATCTGGAGAGCATGCACAATAAATACTATCGGTGTAGACTGGAATAACCAGACGCTAGAGATTGCCATTCGATTGAGACTTCTGGCGTATTTCGCCGAACATAACTGCTTTGAAATAAAATCAGTTTATTTACATTCATATTACATTATTATATACGTTGCGACCCATTTGTGCCAATTTGTAGGTCCCAAATATTAGCGATTTAGCTCCTTTAAAGGTAATGAAAGCATATAATTTTAAAACCATTTCCCACAGGAACCATTTGACCCACTTTTGGGCTATTGTGTTAACAATCTAGGGCGGGACAATCGAGTTTATGTCAATGCTATCGTGGCATTCGTCTACGTTATCGCCAGTTTACGTAGTTTAATAAGAAAAACCCTAAATTATGTAGCCCTAAATTTTGTTTCCATTAAATTAAAATGACGCACGAATTCGACAATGTTTCTTCTACATAGGCCTTTTGATATTAAAATCAACAGGTAAAAATGAATCAAAGGCTGTGTCAAGGGAGTATGTTGTCTGCCTTTAACTTTAAAGTACCAGTAGAGTTACATGTAGGCCTATTCTACATAAATGTATGAAATTTTCCATCTGGTAAAACTTTGGCAGAAAACTTTCATAATTGACTTGGTAGTACTAGATTGCTTGATTTCTTCTTTTGAGAATTATCGTGGGTGAATTTGAAGTAGGCCTACATACAGCTGCTTTCCTGCATATTTACTTAGGTAACCAGTTCCTTTAACCAACTGACAGGTCGCTTTTGAAAATTAAGTTTTAAAGTTGGATCAAATCTAATGATTTAGAGAATATTCCAATAGTAAAATCAGCATTTGATAGTCCACAAATAATTTTCTCTAAAGGAATGAAAGGTGTAAGTTAAGTTGAGGAGCTGGTTATTAAGTAAAATTACAGGAACTTTTTTAAGATAATGCACTGTAGGGGCTTCGGGATATCAGATAGAACCCGTGTTCTACAGTTATTGATTTGTGTTGAAAGGCCAACAGTACAAGCTAATAATACTAATAATGACAGTAGAAATACATGTAGCCTAGTGTAAGTAAGCCACCTTATACATACCAATACTTCAAGGCTAGTGCACATTCCTATTAAGATGTAGGTCAATACTTATTTCAAATACCAACACACAGTGTGAAGTTTTGGATCATGAACAAGATAACACAAAGGCAACCACTGAAAAATCTCATCCCACTTTGATTTCAATGTGTAAGCTTGAATAATATTTGAGGATTGAGTAATAATTAATTTGAATGTATAGGCCTAATTGTTGTGAGATTTGGTGTAGATCTACTTTGTGTAAGTGAATGATGTGTAGTATCTTGACTTGTTGGCAGTCAATGGAGATTTGTTTCAATTGACTACTTCCAACAGTCATTTATAATATAGTTCTTGGCTCTCATCAGTTCATTGGGCCAGCATACATGACCTACATGCACAAGTACATGTACTGGCACATTTGATTTAAGACACTGCAAGTTGTCAAATTTTATATATAAAAAAAGATAAATTATTGCAGATGCTCTGATAGGAAATTAAGTAATTGCATGAATTATTAAACATCAGAGTGTTTATGTTATAAGTCATTATTGATCTATAGACAAACCACACTGTAATAAACAGATACATGTATATGTCAACAGAAATTCACCTAATAAATCAACTTTTTATTTTATGAATTGAATCAGTTTGAAATCGGTCTATGATTGCCATGAAAACATGTTAACCACTCCTACCAACCAAGCTGTTACTGAAATTGCTTATCATTGCACTAAACAATGTTTTTGTTAGCAATTATTACTCAAACATATATATATTACATGTATTCCACACTATAAATTACTTCTGCTTGTGAAATTATCTGTTTGATCATTGACTATTGACTGTGAAATATATGCATGGCTGATGGCCATTAATCGATATAAATATAAGTCTAAAATATGGCAAAAAGTTACTATTGTTGTGAATGGTTAAAATAAAAGCTGGAATGTAGGAAGATGGACATTTTAATTTTAAGTGTGCCCATAAATATGCCATTTTTAACATCATTAAATTCATTCTTTACACTAAGCTTATTTCTTTCTTTTCTTCATTCTTCAGATGTTTGTTGTCAAAGAATTTCATCCGTTTAGGGCATTGGTTTGTCCGACCTTATGATCAGTACACAACTACTGAGAGAAGGTAAGATCTTAATCTTTTTATAAAACATGGATTGGCATCTTTGTCATTAATCTTTTTATGTCACAATGTTGAAGGTCAATCACAAAATATATACAGATAATGATTTTTATGGCCTGGATGCTTTTGGGCATGTTTTGTGGCTGGAAAACAACTTTTTGCCTATTTATACATACATTGTATGTAATTGTTTTGAAAGTGAACACATGTTTATTACAACTTAGTGTCCATTTCAAGGTCTTCTCAAACAACTGTGATTGACCACATCATTACTGTGACACAAAAAGGTTCTAGTTGACACCAATTTACATGGTTAGTGTCAAGTGTGCAATAAATAACATTTATGAAATGTATATTAATATTATATTGAATATTATTATCTATGATTCAGCTAAATTAATATTGACATGCTTCTGTAAAATGATTTTGTGAACATTTTATATAGTATCATTATTTGCTTTCCTCAAATGTTTTGCCATTATTACCACATATCCCAAGTTCAGATAATCTTTTTTATGGGAAAATGATTATGTTATCAGCTCGCAGGACCTCAAGTTTTGTGCATTGATCTAGAGAGAACACAGCATTTAATCTAAATATAGTTTGCGAACAGTTTAATGTTTTTCTGCTAACAACAAGGATAGTTCAATTGATTTAATGGATATCCTCAACTTGTTAGTTAATTAGAAATGTGTTTTGCATGGTAGTCAATATCAGTAGCCAATCTTTCTTTCTTAATGTTTTTTAAAATACATGGGGGGGGGGGGATAGTCTAATGTGTGTTAGACCATAAGGTCCGTCATTGAGCCAAGTGTAGTGGTTTCGATTACCAGCTTGTATGCGACAAAGGATAGGGCCGTCTGTCCAACAACGTGAGTTTTCTCAGGGTCCTCCGATTTCCAGCCACTGCTATAGACCCTATGCACAAGCTAATTATTGAAATAAAATTGAACCATATGTTGGTCCCGAAATGACTTAATGTGTGTCAAATGGAAATGAAACCACATTTCTCTCCCTTTGAAATATTCTGCTCACAAAATTTTACGTTTTACTGGGAATAAAGTATTTTCTCTATCTGAAACACCGATATATATTTTTTTCGTCTGTGTTCACTTATCTACTATACATTTTTTTTAAAAATATGTTATAAGATATTGATGAGCAAGCGACAACCTAATGTTTTACAACTTACGAAGCCATTAACTGTTTCAATTTCAGACGTTTCACTAATCATTTCTAATCCTAATCCTGTTCTCATTCTCACTTTATATTTATAATTTTAAAGAGGTTTTTTTTTTTAGGTCATAAGTATCTTATGTTTGCTTGATATTAATTATGTATTCTCCTAGAACTTGTTGATTTACTGCTAAATACAAAGTATTGATTTTGGTCGTAGAGCATCTCAATCCTTTGACATTCAGCCAACAAATTACTTGAGGATAAAATGCTGTCACTTGACGGGTGCCGATAGACAAGATGTAGAAAATTAATGTTCATCTTACAGACACTACACCATTAGTTGCTCGCACTGGATAAATAGTTTAATTTTATTTCATCAGTTTTCAGATCTGTTAAAATTTAGTTAGAAAACATACTTTTATTGTTTAAAATAGAAAAAGTGCTTTGAATTTTCATTAGAAAAATATAAATAGTTTTATTATATTACAACTGTTTTCAGGATTCATAATTTTTTCTAAAATTCTGTATAACAAAATGTACTTTCATTGCATAAAATAGTACTTTATATTTACATCAGAAAAAAACCCCTATATTCTATCACTCATTTTGCTAAAGCTCAATATGGATTGTCATATTTTTTTCACTTTCAGTGCTCATTTGTCCTTCCGATTCCATTTCTTCCTGCATGGTGAAAGTCAAGTTTGTGCAAGTATAGAAGTAAAGCAACATCCCCCTGTATGGAGACTTACACCCCAATACCTATCACTGATACAAGAAAACCAAGCTAATTTCCAAGGTTAGTTTGTGTCTTATTTATTTTCATATTATTTTGAGCCAAAACTTGTTTTCCTTGAATTAAATGATCATATGAAAATAAAATTTTCATTTTTTTTTTCTGCATTATCTATGATAAATAGTATAATTAGTTGAATATTAAACATAAATTTACTAACTAATAATATTGTTTACGTAAGATTATGTGAAAAGAAAAGGATGGACAGTTAACTGATCTGTTTTGTGTGTGATTTAGTCATGTTCTGAGTTTTTCAAACTGTAAAGGTAAACTGGTTAAATCAAGTTGTTCATAAACACTTGTGTTGACTTAGTTTGTGGTTGTATAGGTCACAGTCAACAAGTTGATTACTAAATATAAATACATGCTAGCTAACCATACTGTTACAACTTTATTTAATTGCTGTCATTTCATAAAGACATTAAAGATATACAATAGTTTAATACATATTTATAAATATTTCATAGAAAAATATTGCTACGATGGGTTTGTTTATGATATGGGATTGATCTATTTGTAAGACGGCTAAAAGTAACAAAATAATGGCTGGTTTAGATTTAGAAAAACAATTTCTACTCTGTCTGGGGAAACCTGGTGTTGAGGAATTGTCATGACAAAACTTTTCCAAGATTAAGTATGCAGGGCCTACTGTTGGTTAAAATAAATTAGTCTGCTGCTGAGGTGTAAACTGTAAGCTAATTATAAAAAGATTGTTTCTGTTTTATCATTCTGTGGTAAGGACTGTATCTCTTGTGCAATGATGAAATTTATTGTCAGGATTTGATCAGAATTATGCCATTAGGTTCTTTTGTATATAAATAACATGACCAGCAGCATTTGTAACTCATTACCAAAGGAGAAAAAGTCTCTTTCACTTGTGTGCTCCTCTCCGGTTGGTACAAGTGATGTGTTGAATATATCAATCACACATGCGGAAGTGCAGCAAAAAGACAAAAACAATCAAAATAGTACAATATTATGTATGAATAGTATATAATATCCATAGACTGGAGGCCAGTCTACAATTTCGTTTAATTTGCATTTTGAAGTGCTGATTCATATATAAATGTTTTTAAAAGAAGCATGACTCCATTTTTCTTGTAAACATGTAATTGAAAAAGAGTTAATTATAATATGACAAGAAACCAGGCTGATAAACTATTAATTTGTCAAGTTGAAATCTGGAAATGAAATTGAGTTGTTGAAGCGAATCATTTTGCAACGGATGGTAGTTTTAACTTGAGCATCGGATTGTTTTTCCTTTTCTATTAAATTTTAATTCAACTCTTGATGTCAGACTTGTTAGATGTACATGTAGTACATGTGTCAGTAATTTTTATTTAGTTGTAAAACCAAACATTGACAAATTAATGTAATAATATTTCTTTATATTACTGCTAAATAAATGTATGTAACTACATGTAGCTATAGATTTGTCAGCTAAACAGCTCTATTTATAAACAGATTGAAATTTAACAATAGCTGTAACTAGTAGACTTAACATGTATTTTTAGAGAATTAGGACTGTTGAAGATCAATTTACATTAACAAGCTGATATTTAATGCTGAGACACACAGTCTGTCCTCAATAGATTTAGATAGTGAATGTTCATTTATTTAGATTCTAGAATGTGCAGACAGTTTGATGTTATAGTCTACTTGAAAGAATATCAGACATGTTAATAAGAGTCATTATTCAGTTAGTGCTGAATGTCAGAGTGATATGAATATAGAGAGAATAAACAAGTGTTTTTCGTAATCATCCAAGTAATGAGTAAAGAATTCAGTTAAATATTAATTGCAAAACTAAATATTTTTCTATAAAAATGAAGAGAGAGCTTACAGTTTTTGCATGTTTATTTAATTTTATTCATAAACATGTTCCAGCACATTTAGCATTTGTGGGCTGTGCATGTAAACATTTTTGCTTGCTAATACAGTTAACTATGTTATAATATTATTCATAGTGTTAAAACCCAGATGTATATTTATAAGTTAGGTTTAGTATTACATTGTTTAAACAGGTTGTTTATTCTATTTAAAGTCTACTTTAACAAAAATTGAAAACATACCATAATGCTAGTTGACTAAACAATAAATTATTATGAACAGAAAATCTAACCCACTAAGATTCTTTTGGTATGAAAGAAATTTGGGTATTGAAAGTGTATTAAAATTAAAAAAGAGAAAAAAAGGAGAAATTATCATTAGCTAAAATTAATAATTCATTTAGTAATTATCAAATAAAAACTTAGAGGATCATTAACCACGTTTGTGCGGATGATAAGATATCCGGTTTAATGCACTCTCAGCTGACAGATTGCGATGTTTCTGGCAAACGAAAATAAAGTGACATTTAAGTAGTAACGGTAAAATCCCATATGGATATGAGTATTTGATATTAATTTTCTGAACCGATGTGATTAAATATGGACAACATAGGGTAATAAAAAAAAAATTGTGTGTGTTTGTTATAAACATGGCTTATTATATAAACATTTAAATTATATAGCCACTGATAGTCATCTGAATGTTGAATCCCGAAAAGGAATATCAGTTCAAAATGGTTCGATTCTGTTCAGTATTTAAATGAATATAGATAAATTGAAAGAGTCTGCCACATTTTAACCAAATGTCCCGGGTAAAATCTTTTGATGGGCCTCTTTTTTTTTCATCTGTTTGTATCCTAGTTGCAACATTATCTGCTGTTAATATTTTTTTAACTAATTGTTAATGAATATGAGATAATTTTTGGCGTGGATTAAGTTGGAATATTTAAATATTGCATGAACAAGAACTGGAAATTTAACGGTAGTTTTTGATCATTTACACCCTGCAGCTGAACTGACAAGTTTTGGAAGGTGTTTGATAAAAATCCAAATGTATAAATTGAGATAACTGATCTTGACCCAATCTGTCTGATTACTAGTAAACCTGTTTGTTTACCCTGTAAGCACACAGCCATAAATCTCAATCAATAGACTTCATTCATAACCTATGACCTTTCACTGTTGACCGTTAATACAGCTAGTTGATTGGTGGAGAGTTAATTAGTCTAGCCAGACTATGTGAGTATTGGGAGGTACAATAGATTAGAGAAGCGTATTGTATGGTTAGTTAGAATCCCAGGTTCTTAGAATAAATTAAGAGAGTTGATTATTGATTTTTTTTTATAGGACTAGGACAGATTGATAAATGATTATAGAAGTGGGGGAATCTCTTCTGGTTATCGATCTAGTGTGGTGTTTGTGTGAAATGACTTTAGGCACATGAATATAGATTAGATGGAAATAAAATATCTCTAGTAAACACTTCCTCTATTGGTCCATATATGCTTTAATCTTATTTAGATCTCGGCACTTGATATTTCCTTTATAGCATTGAGACTTGTGGGTCTAAATAGTACAGTGGTAATTGTATCACACTGGTCTGTTGATTAATATTATAATAATGAGTTAAAACATGGTGAAGACAAGCTGGAAGTCAAAACAAGAACCAAGCACATCCATGTTATTGTTGTCTATTGATATAAAGTCATTATGAATTACTAATTTATTATTTCCCTATGAATAATTGATTCTATACAAATTTTATCACAATAAACGTGTAAAAATCATGGCTTCTCAATTCAATTTCTGCTGAAACACAGTAAATCAATAAGAAAATTGTCATTAAGGATGATTTGACGAAACATGAACAAACATTAGAAATATGCAACAATGTGAAAGGTTATGTGCAGCAAAAATAAACTACCTAAAAATGTAATAGACCTATTAGATCAACTGGAAATATCCATTTCCTTTCCATTTCACATTGTTGCTAAAAGCAGATGTAGGGAAAATTTCCATTTTTGTCTTAAAAAGATGTGAATGGCTCTTTTAGATGGATGCTTTTATAAATTATAATGGTTGAATTGAATGACGATCTCTAAGAGTACATTGACCCATCTTTATTCTTGTTATTATACTGTGTATTTGATTACCCCTTTATTATATATTTTGTTATATTATTTCAGTTATTCTTGCACCATATGGGTTAAATGGTCAGTTAACGGGTCACTCCTACAGAGAGAGTGACCAGTCAAGTAGGAGGTTGTTTGAAGAATGGCGCCAGTTTTATCCTGTAGACACCCAGGAAGTCAAAGAAAGCGATGCTAATAATAAACTCCCAAATATGGTGGAGGTTATTGTTGGTGAGTTTTGAATTTTCCTTAAATGAAGATCATTATTTAGGCCACAAAAAAATATTCTGGCCAAAAAAATGATGTGAGAGAATGTTTTTATTTGTCCCCAGCCTGTTGGCTTGTTTGTTTTTATTTTGTCAAAATCCTGCTGTTTTGGGGGTTTTTTTTTCAGTTTTAAGAAACTCACAAAATTATTAAAAATTTAATATTTATTTAACTCTTTATATAAGAAAAAAAAAAAATTGAAATAACAGCCAAATAATTCTGTGACTTTATCCAGATTAATTCCTGGGAAAATGTTTAAATTCACTGGGTTTTTTTTGTCTATTTATTGGTGACTATTACGTAGTACCAATACTATGCTCATTGTCAAAGCATGGATTTTGCTGGCGCTTTAAATCGATGTCTGTGCCCTCAATACTTTCAGTCATCTCTTTCATTCACATTGTGATAGATCTTGCGAATGATAGAATAGTCCACTGGAGAAGGCATTATGATCGTACAGACAGACAAATTGACAGCGAAAATTTTGACATCATTGTGAATAACAAATTAACAATCCATTGTCCAGTGCCATTTGTGATTACGTACTTGATAGCCGTCTAGTGTACAGTAGAGTTCCTTCCCTTGATCGTAGGAAATACGAATGTGCAGAAATTAGTTGATTCAGCGGTATCTGAGAACCAGATTTTTTTGTGTGTGTATTGCCTTAGTTACTGTTTCATCTTAAAGTAAGTTCTGATACTAGCCAAGAATTTGGGAGGTTCCATGCCAGCATTCTATGGAGATTATCAGAATAAAAATAATAATTACAATAAAACTTGAAGTTTCTGTACATTTTGTAAATTAATCAAGACGTTGTCAGTTTAAATTTTCATATCTACATGTGTAGCACATGGCTTAGTGCCAACTTTAAGTCTGTCTTTTAAAATCTTAACTGTGACTGCCAATATTGTTCCAATCACTACCTTGTAGTTTTCTTAACATGAAAATTAGTTGGTCTAAAGCCAAATTCATATTCTGTAATTTATTTCTAAGAAATAATAATTGTTGGAGAAAAGATTTTTGTAAGTCAATGATTTAGTTATTATATTATTTATATTGTTGTTTCAGCTGGTGTCAGGATGAAGTATCCTTCATGTTATGTAATGATATGTGACAATGATGATGCTCCTGTCAGGGTTCAGCCATTGTCTGTAGCAACAGGTACATCTCCACGCTCCCAGTACAACTCATCTATGATGACCCCACCAGCATCACCTTGTGATCCTAGCCTAATGTCAGATGTCAATGTTAAATTGGTGCCAAATACACCTGTAAATGGTGGCCTAGGAGACGGAGGGCAGTATACAACTACTGGAACAGCCAATGCTTTAAGTCATCACATTCTCGAAAGGGTTTCTCATCATGCTTGTGTTAATTCAGGCATGGCTAAGAGGTATGTATAAAGTTTTATCTATGACACTGTTGCACTAACCACATGCTTGTTGTACACATGTAACCAAAGCTTTTACTAGGGTAATAAGTCAATGGAAACCAGAATAATTTGTCATCATTAATCAGCTTTTAATCATACTAATGGCTGAATATATTTTCATTTAGAAATTCTAAGTAACAGACTAATCTCTAGTTACTGTACTATTCTTAAATAATTGGGTTTAGCATACAATCAAATAACTAGGTCATATCAGGACTACTTCTCTTAAAAACACTTGTCTGTATGCTCGTTATGTGCAAATTAAAGGAAGTAAAACATAAGAGCTGTTTAAAAAATGCTAAATTTATAGTCAAGATAAAACAAAATATTCTGTACATTTTCAGAGCAAATGAGTCTAATGATGAACCTGCAGCTGGGATCTGGAATTTTGGAGAAGCTACTAATAAAATGGCATGTAACTGTGTCAGGTAATATAATAATCTTTTTCAGTAAAGAAAAGTATTGTTCTGCGAAAGAAAATTTTATTTTATGAAAGGAGTCGCAGATGATTATACTAGGAATTTGCAAATTTAAAGTTGATGATGTTCTTAAAAGCCGAAGTTGAAGATGTTCTTGAGAACTGAAGTTGATGGTGATCTTGAGAACATGCCCTGGGGCTTACAGCTATTGTAATTTCATGTGTATTTTGTTTGTAATGATTATTGATCTAAAACATTATGTAATCTTTAAATTGGATTTGATTCTTATGTTTTCAGGCACAGGAAAATGAAGTCAGGAGGGCAAGGAAAAAATATATCAGGAAAGCATGCGAAAAGTGATAAGCTTGATAAACTAGAAAGACAACAATCACGTCATGGACGTAATGTGACTCCATTTCATAGACGTTCACTTGTAACGGACGATATGTTACAGTTTGATATGAACATAATGATAAATCAGCCCCAAACAAACCCTAATTTCTGTGGGTCTGGGGCCAATAACTTACCTCCTGGTCAAAGTACCCCTAATGATCCAAACATAGACACTCCCTCTTCCCCTCCCTCACCTCTCGATGAACCTCAGCCATTGGTGAACTCAAATATGGAACCTCCAATGCCTACATTGAGTCCCCATCCACCATCAAAAAACAATGCAGAGAAAGAATTTAGTGCAAAAAATCCTAATGTGACGGATATTACTAACAGTGTTTGTGTCCCTAATGGGGAGTTTTTTCCGAAACAAGAGGATCAACCGTTACCTGGAAACAAACTGGAGCAAAGTGATAATAATTACACATGCACTCAAAGTGAAGCCAAGCGTGAAAGTGTTAATAGTTGGCTTCAGTCTCAACAAAAACAAGTCGAAAATCATGGATTAAAACGACCACCATTATTACCTACATTTGAGGGAGATAAAGGACAAGAAGATCTAGTCACTGATTCTTTATATAATTTTGATCCTTTAAATGCTTGGTAGGTACATTTGTTTTTGACTAATCATATTTTAGACTTTGGACAAGCTCTTACCTACAGTGTGTTTAAAAGATTGTTCTGGGTTGTGTCAGACAAAAATATTAAATCAAATAGGCTTATATATTATTTAAATCAAATATGCCAATATGTTTATTATTTTAAAAAGGTATTAAAAAATCAAATGTTATTTAAAAAAGTATTAAATCAAATATTGTTACATGTCTGCCATATCATTTGTTAAATTGAATGAACGATTACGTTCTATTGCTTGACAAATCTTGACAAATAGTCGTCAAATCATAAGAGAGAGAGAGTGTAATTACACGTCTTAACCCTTCGAGAGAAGCCACTGCACTGACTTGGCGCACAGCTAATCTGCTATCTCACGTAATCACTCAATCAGGTGATTGACTGATGAAACCATTGAATGTGTTTCAAAATTGAGCAGCATGGACAGAAAATAAGAAACTATATTTTTCATTTTTGACTTGAAGGCAACTGGGAGAGAAGTTGTCTATTTGATCTTATTGTTGGAAATCATCACTTAAATATTAATTCAAAAAATTTGATTCACTTGAAATGACCAATATTTTGACCATCTTAATATTTCCATAAACAGAATGCTTTCAAATCAATATATTTACGTTTTATCTGTTTTACTTTTACCTGTCTTCATTATCCCAGTCAGTGCAGAAAAAAAGGATGTTTAACCCAACTTCATTTCATGTTTTAGTATTTACCTTTATTTTTGATAGGTATTGTTTGAACGTGTGATATAACAATTCTTATTGATGACTCATTTCTAGATTTATTTTCACAAATTGCAACATCATCAGAAGTGTAATATGATTGTATATTTTTACTATTGTAGGATTGAACTGCCAGTAAAGAAATCTCGTATTGATTGCTCCAACTCTCCTTCTCATTTCTCAGACCTAACATCACCCACACATTCCGATGCACCCAAAGCCCCTACTCCCCCTCCACCAGCACCCGATCCTTACGAATTCTCAGATGAGGCTTCCTTTAATCCTAATCCTTTAAAAAGTAGATCAAGAAAAAGTCGTGATGATATTATGCCTCGTCAATCACCATGTGGTAAATCGGTAAGTACATTTAATTGTCATGTCCTAAAGCAACAGATCCCATGCAAACGATAACATTGTGAAGGTTTTGTAACAAAGATATGATGGATTGTGCAACATTTATCATGCTCTACAGGCAATGTAAACATCTTTAAATAGACCTCTTTTTAATCTGTTTGATATTTTAGTTTTGATCAAATCGACACTTTAGTGTTTAACACAAAACAATGATACCTCATTTATCAATAATTTATCAATCTTATTTAAAGATAATTTATTTAATCCATTCTTTTATTGACTATAATCTGTATTTGTACTGATATATAATACATGTCTCTTCTTGTAAATTTCAACAGGATGACGACTCTGGTCGACCAGGAGGTAAGTCATTTTATGTTACCCTTAGGATGAAATAACTACTGGTATTCAGTTTGAAAAAATCTATTCGTAGAGGATAGGTCTGCCCTAAAAAAAAGTAAAAATTTACATCTGTGATTAGTAAGAATTGCTCTCTAATAGGACTTTTTAAGGTTAATTTAACTTATTGTAAAGCAAGAAAACTTGATTTCCATACTTGAACTTTTTTGTAGACCAAGTAAAAAGTGATAAAATGAATCAAAGAGTTTATCATGAAAATATGAAGAGTAATAAATAGTCATTCTCATTAAAGTCATGATGCGCCATAAGCAATAGGAATTCCTTACAAACTACGGTATTGTGAAAGATGAATCTCTGATATGAATTGTTTAATTCCGGTTCAGCATATACAAAGATACGTAGAATTGGAATTTCATTGCCTACATTTTGTTGTCCATGAAAATGTTCTGTTTTAAATCCAATTGAATCCAAGCTAGGACGTTATCTTCCGATGGTATTTTGAATTTATTTAATTGAATGTTAGATTAAGCTGAGAGAAATTTGATATTTTTTAGAAAAATACATGGCGCATTGTTACTTTAATCTTTAAGTAGTGAAGCCTTCAAGAAGGATGATCTGCAACCAGCAAATTCATTACAAATAGTAATAGTAGAAACTGTTCACTTAGAAATTATTTACCAAACTCGATAGCATGTTTGGGTTATGGTTTAATATTTATTTTTATGTATTAAATTAATCCTTTTTGATTTGTGTTTTAGAAATGGGTCCATTTGGTTCCCCTCCTACACCTAGTGGTAGTCTGATGCGTGTTGGGGATCTCGTAGTGCAGAGTACAGATCTTGACCACATGTTTGACTCTGAAGATTCGTCCGACGGAGATGATGCTGGGGTTAGTGTTCATGCCCTAATAAACTTTGATGACGATTTCGTGAGTGAGACCAAATTTTACATCAATTATTGTAACTTCTGCTATAGATAACAGTTTAGTTTCTGAACTAACTAGTGTGACTCTTTAGTTGATATTATCGTATGCTGTGGAAGTTAATAATTTTCATTTCATGTCTTTTTTTTTATATAGTCTTTTCATTAGTGTCACTCTGTTTTTGTTTGTATCTCGTCTTTTGTTTATATCGCTGTTGGTATCTGTGTGTTGTCAGTTATTCTGTACATTCAAGTAGGCCTATCTCTCTGTATTCTTTTTTGGCCTATATCTGTGTATTCTCTTTTGTCTGTGACCAAAGTTGCAGTTGAGCTTAGGTCTTATTATTAATGCTCTGTTCATCTATCCTAGTTGTGTGTGTGTGTTTTCATCACATTATCTGTTGATCATATCAGCATCACTTGCTCATTAACATTCAGTTTAACAATTTCTATACAGCCTACCATTCTATAAAAACATTAATGAAATGTGAAGGAAATCATGCAATTCTATGCTTTGGGTGATCTTCTCTTTATTTTCTATTGGCTTTCCTTTATTTCTAATTATTGACTTTGTAATACTGGATTAATTCCTTTGAGATTGATTAATTCATCTTGAAGTTTATTTTATAATCATATTTATTAATTAAAATTTTATGATGAACACTAAGCAATGATAAGATCTAAATATTTCGCTTCTTTACACTGGAATTAAGGTGTTTTATATGTAAATCATCATTCTCACATCTCATTATATGTCATTATATGTCATCATCTTCATCATGTCTGTATGTTTTGTGTGTAAGATAATAATTTAAGTTTGCAGTATACATATACATCAATGTATTTTGTAGATGAGCGAACTTGGGACATCAAAACGTTTAGAGGAAGACATGAAACATCGGGCATGCCCAGGAAATATTGGTAGGTATTGGAAAGCTTTATAACGTTATGGAAACATTTGTAACGTTGTTGAAAATATTGATTTATTCTAAATTGTTAATTTATCCATATAGTTAGCATAGGAGATATTGATGTGTCAACTATATTATTCATAGCATTTCATTTGAGTTACAGATAAGTTCTTCCATGTCAAAGAAAGATAACTCTAGTTTTATAAGCTAAAATTGTGAGATCTAACTGTAAACCCTGCGATGTTAAATCCCAGTCAGCTAGATGACCAATATGCTGCAACATTGTCCAGCAGATATTCCTATGGAAGAGAAATGAATAGGCAATGTCATTTAAGTCTGTGCTGTGTATGAGAATCTGTGATGTAATTTTTCACACATTTTTGTTTTCAGCACCTTCCGAATTGGCTCGCATGTTTCCTACTCCACCATCATTAGAAACTCATAAAGTTCAGTCACCAGAGGTTGATATGATTCATGACACAACACAGTCAATAACAGAAACAATATGTTACCGTTCTGAGGTCAGCAGATTTACCCCTCCAGAAGATATGTCTAGGGTAAGTAAAATATACTTACAAGAAATTAATCTTGTAAATACAACAAACTCCTCAGGGACAGACTTATTTAACCAAAAGCAATAATTTGCTTTATCAGTGTATCTTGGTTTTGAGTCTGGGAGTACTCAAATCGTCAATTAACATAGCTGTAGTAAAATTGATTATTTTTACTGACCTTCGTTGAGCATCATTCATTTGAATTTAAAGTTTGTATTTAAAGTAAATATTTCTGTATTCAGGGTATAATTTTGTATTCAAAGTAAATATTTCTTTATTCAAGGTATAAATTTGTATTTAAAGTAAATGTTTTTTATTTAGGGTATAAGTTAATGTATGTTTTATTATTACAATTACAGCAAGATGTATTTAAACCACCAAAGACTGCCAAATTTCTTAGTGCTCCCAAATATGCTCCAATAGAACTGCCAAGTCGTCAGTTATCACCTGTTAGTACAGCTCCTGGATATAAACCATCTTGGCAGTATCCTATGTCAGTTCTACCCATGGAAAAACAACAGCCAGTCATCAGGTATGACAGGTAAACATTACCCAAATAATTATTCTCATCTTTTATAGCCAAGGATTTTTTTTCTGCTCCTTCCCAGTCGGATCACTGAGATCAAGACTCCCTTACACTGTTATAGGATTCTTCCACCCTTCTAGCACTTTCTGTGAAAGGTTTATTTATCAATGCCTTGACATGTTAAGGTTGGGTTTCCACTTGATGGATCTGTAACTTTAAGCTTTTAGTATAATGGCCTCATATCATTGGGGAGGGGTGGTTTAAATGGTAAAATGTGTGAGCTTTGGACTATACGGTCTTCATTTGAGTCAATTGGTGTAGTTTTCATCCCAATCTTGTACATGACAAGGAGTAGGGTCACCTCCCACCCACTACTAGAGACACACAAGTGAATTATTGAAATAAAAGTCCCTAAATATGTTCATTGGCCGAGTGATAAAATATACCAACACAGGTGTTAACTATCAGCCAATGAACAGGGTATATTTGTTAACATAAATTGTGTAACTTGTTTGTTTCAGTAGTTATATCAACATCCCGTCCATAGAGAACGTCTCGAGTTGTATGTCAAGAAACATCCCATCACCCGCCACCTTCACAAACATCAACAGTAATCAACAGCGTACACCTATGAGTTATGAACTCCAATCACCTGCTTCCAATGCATCTTCTTATTTAAATAAAACTCTAAATTCTGTTGACAATCAGGGCACAAATCATCAAATACCTGAAGTCAACAGTTTATTAGTGAATGTTATTCTGTCAGACTCATTATTGAATCTTTATAAAGATCATAATTTCGACAGTTGTAATATTTGTGTGTGTAATTTCGATATTAAGGGAGCGGACGTTGGACCATATTTACCGGATATCGGCAATTCAGAATCTTCGTTTAAGTGTATATGTGGTTTTAGTGCTGTGGTCAACAGAAAATATGGCTATCATTCCGGCTTATTTTACGAAGACGAAGTGGACATTACTGGCATCCGAGACAATAGATTTGATAAACGGAAACATTCTTTATTAGGGATTGACTGGGATAATGGTTTAACTATGAGTGATAAGGAAGAAGATGATATACCTCATGAGATAATCAGACTCTTAATAGATCAGTTTACTGTGCCGTTCTTAACAAATGTGTCGGAACAACGCCTAGCCAAGTTAAATATGATGGCTGCAACGTCACTTGTGTCTACAACTTGGGATGCTTTACAGTTACAAGGTAAAAATATGTCTCATGATTAATGCTATGCTTCTACATTGTATTTATAATCCAACGTTTTATTAACTGCTGAGATATAAATAACTTCATTCATAATCCAATTTTGTATTAATTGCTGATTGGGGTGAGATGCGGATTGGGGTTAGATGCCTAAAGAAAGCTTGCAATATAAATAACTGCTGTTAATGTTGCTCATTCGTAACATGGTACATTGGACATATTAAGGCAGATCAAATAAAATTCAATTTTTCGAGACAAAATTTTTATGTAGACCTCAATGGAAATGATAAGGGTTATTTTAGTAACTGTAATCCTTGTCTTGAAAAATTTTATAAGCCACAGTTCATCATAGCTCTCAAGCATGTTATTGTGAAACATTTGGGTAAAATAGATGGTCTCAATATTATATAGGGTAGGTGTATTCAGTAAAACAATGCATCAGTGTAACTTCTGAAAATGTTTTTTTTTGGGAGTGGGGGGCATAGAGGACTTATCTGCATTATGAATTTTAAATGAAATGGTAGGACCTCTCGGAATTGTGAATTTTAAATAAAATGTTTCTATTTTTAGATGGTAATGATATAAGTTACAATGCTCTGGAACAAGGAATACAATCCATGGAAAATACCTCACCTACAAAACTTGATGATCCTTCCATGAGAACATCATGTTTGCATAAATGGCCTTTCTTGAGAGGTATGTGGTATTTCTATATCATAATGTCTGTATAAAATATAAATTTGTTATTATTATCCAGGTATTAATGTCATAATTTTTTTAAGGATCAGTAAGGCTGCAACGATACACTAATCTCACGATACAATACAATACGTATCACAGTATTTTTAATATTTAAATATACTTAAAAATAAGTACAGGATATTTAATGGTGACACATCACATTATTAGCTACAACTTTTCCATCTGGTGTGATATGTGGTGTACTGGAGGTGAATGTTTCATCGACCAGAAGCTATCTTTCCTCCTTGCAGCCCTAGGACCAGGTCCCTTATGCACACACTTAGGCTAAAAGTTAAAACATTTTAAAAATTACACCCTTCATTGGCCAAGGAGGGTCGCCTGTCAAATCCTCATAGGTTTTCTTTTAGTTCTGTGGGTTCCTCCCACTGCTTAAGACTCCTACAAGCAAGGGAGTTATTGAAATAAAATTGAACCATATGTTAGTCCCAAAATGACCTAGTTCATGTCAAGTGGATGTTAAAACTCATTTCTCAATCATATGTTGGGTCTTCCAGACACTGATATTACAAAAATCCTAACTTCATGAATATACAATAACTTAGATCTGTGTTTTAAGGATATTGATTTGCTAAGAGAAGGTTAGATTTTTTTCATTACACAATATTTGTTTTGTAGGTGCCAGTCGTATTCCGGTCAGTTCTCAAGACGTCGTCAATCTCCATAAATCTCTACAACCTATTTTACAAGATGCTATTCAAAATAAACGAGTCACAAGAATGTGGGAACACTCTTATAAATTACAAGGACCACTGAGTTGGAAAGATTTTCATCAACTTGCTGGACGAGGTAAGTATTAGAGTATAATAGAAATTCAATTCCTTAATGTCATGTTGAAAATAATGCTTAAAGGAGCTATGAAGGTACATACTCTATACGATTGACTTATCATTTTGGATTTTAAATGGAATTTAGTTTACTAAGTTTTAGTATCACTTTCTGCCTTTGCTAAAACTATTGTCAGTTAACACAAAATTTGTTTAATAAACATTGGCAGTATGTGAATATCAAATTTAAAAAAAAAAAAAAAAAGTCTGATCGTCACTTCAGAAAACAAATCAAGTTATAATTCTTTTATCTTAAGTAATGAGGATCTGTGACTACTGAGTGTTTGGTGTGTTTCCAGACTGGAATATTGGTGATTTATTATATAACTTGAAGATGTCTAATTGTTTTTATATTTATGTCTAGGATCTGATGAAAATTGTGAACCACAACCCATACCTTTCTTTCTGGTCAGTAATGATGGTGATTGGTTATCTGTATCACCTTATAGTGTACGATTCTGGGTAGGTTATATAAATTTACATGTTATTTCATTGACTGAATTAAAGAATATTCTGTGTCTGACAATTTGTCCCTGTTTCAAGTCTCGATACTGCGTCATTCGACTTGCTTTATTGTATGTTGAAAACATTTCCTTGTTACAAGCAAAACGCTACTTTTTTTGTTGGCTGACAGGTATAATTGGTGAAAGGATTAAAGCTATTTGCCAAGGCATTTTTTTACTGTTAAAATATTTTAAGTTGTAATTTTCGTATTAATCAAAGAAATTATCAAGTAAATGTTTTTAATTTTCAGGATAAACAGTTTGTGGAACCTTTTGCCAAATCTCGAGATATTGCTTATGTTGTTGTTGCACCAGAAAATGACTTTATTTTATCGAATGTACGAGATTTCTTTAAAGAATTAAGTACTGTGTATAAACTGTGTCGATTAGGTAAACATTGTCCTATAGCCAAGATCAGAGATGGTATTATGCGTGTTGGTAAAACAAGAGCACAGAAACTATCAGACGAATCTGTCCTAGACGATGAATGGTTTAAAAATATTGGTAAGCATTAATTGGTTAATATAGACATAAAAGTCTTTTGACAATTTGGATAGATCTATTAGGGCCAATACTGACAGTGTCGGAACCCCATTATTTGAAATGATATAGTAGCTGAAGTGGTCTAGAAAATAGATATCAGATAATAGATATCAGTGTTTTATATATATATGAAGTACTTAAAAAGGAAAGTCTTGAATCATTAATTACACTAAATCCTCATATTAAATGCTGAAGGGCCGTTACCAGTCTTCAATTTCAGATGCACCAAGAGTGCACATATATAAACCCCAATAGTTGAAATTGGAAGGAAAATAGGCAAAAATATTTTACATTGATCCTGTATTTTTCAGGTGATTCTCAAGTAGCAGAGAAGTTAAGATTATATGCTAGAGTATGTAGGTATATATTAGGACCTTATCTGAATCAACAGAAATTAGATAGTGCTTTATTTGAAGCCCCTGAAGCCCCTAAACCACAGTTTAAAACACCAGAACCTACTTCCACGCATCCTCCAACACCAGAAAATCCATCATCTAATAATACAGAAGAGAAAGGTAAGAGATCATTTTCTGCACATTCATTACCATTGTTATCTTAATATGGGGGAGGGGGGATGTTATTAGTCAAGTGGCATAGTTTTGACCAGGAGTAAGCTTGCCTGTCCAACCTTGTGGGTTTTCTCTGCCTCTTACTGTTAAAGACCCCTACATGCAAGCCAAATATTAAATTTAAATTGAACCATATGTTAGTCCCGAAATGACATAGTTTGTGTCGAGTGGACATTGAACCCAATTTTTCTCCCTCTCTATATTAATAATTTAATGCTTTGGTCAAACACTGCAGTTCTACCATATTGATCATTCAGCAAATCCGCTTGTCCTAGGTTCTAAACCCAAAAAAGGCTGTGAAAACCGTTATCATTTTCAAAGCCCAGAAAGTGTGTGTATTCTTTTGGATACGCCAACCTTTTCAAGCAGAGACTTGAGTATTGTAAATGTGCTATTAATGTTAACAGTACTACATGAGCCCAGTTAATACAGATAACTAGGATGTTAAACTCCACTTTATTTCTGATATTTATTTGTTTATTATTGTTGTTACAGATTCGACACCTAGTGAAAGTACAAATCAAGAGAAAGCAGAAAATCATGATATTGATTCTGATGATACTAATATACCAGCTATAGTTGTCTATATGATAGATCCCTTTACCTATGACAATGACTGGGATGAGTTAAATCGATTATCAATGATTGGTCTACTCAGATGCTATCGGGAAATGGTTAAAATTCTACCTGAACATTTGAAGAACAATATTTCCCTACAGGTGAGTCCTTTACTGGAATCTCTTTATTTTACTATTGTTATTTCTGTCACTAGTTGAATTTGTTAGTCGATTTTCACATTTGATATCTTATCAAGAAATATGCCTAGTCATTCTGATGGGACAAAAAATGCAAAGGTCCACCTGTGTCAAAGAATCTGTGACAATAGGAATTCTATAAAGAGTAGGTATGACCATAGAAACAAAAATAACCATATGTTAGTCTCAAAATGACCATACTATTGTGATGAGAAGACATGAACTCCATTCCTTTCCTTTAAGACCTGAATGACTTATGTGAACTCGTACATTGGTTAAGAAGAAACTTAAATATATTTTAAGTATTGTTCTCACTATTTAAAAATAAATTCCTTTGATTATTCTCTTTAACTAAGTATGATTGGTTTTTGTATTTCAGATTATACCACTAAAGACTATTTTAGGCCATAAAGAAAACAGTGGTCAATTCCAGTCTCTGAAATCTATTGCATTTTCTATATTCACTACATGTAGATGGAACTTGTCTCATACTATCATGGGTAGATCTCTGACAGGATTTGGTCCAGCAGCTGCAGCAGAAGTAATTGTTAAACGTAAAGAGGTAAGATGACAGGGCTGAATGGTTGAACTATTCAAACCCTATATTTTGTCAGTTATGCTGTTTTGATTTTTAGTTGAAACATGATCATAAATTGGTTTTTAAACAGAACTTGAAAAAAGATTCAGTATCACTTTGTGTTAATAGACTTGAGAGCTTATTCCATAAAAAAGGGAGGCTCATATAACTTAAAGAAACATTATGGGAGATTCGGTAACGAGTTGGCAGTTCTCACTATAATAGTTAAAAACTAGATAATGTAAAGGCAATTTGGTGAAAATTTCATTCAAATTGAAGCACTATGAACCGAGAACTAAGCGACTGAAATTCCCATAAGCCTCGGTCATCATTACTAAAGTCAGTACGATAATCAGCATAGTCTCAATTATCCATTTAATCATTTAATAGAGAAGGAAAGTTATGCAGTAAATCGGCTTACAATCCACTAAAGATCGCAGGCTAGCGCTGCCATCTAGAGTTGATTATAGCCTGGATAGGTTAATTAATGTCTAATTAATAATTTAGATAACATTTCAGGCCTAAAGAAAGACCTGAAATAGACAGATTTAGCTCTTGCATAATGTATGTTTAAGAGCTTATTCCATAAAAAGGGAGGCTCAAAAAACTTGAGAGCTTATTCTATATAAAGTCAGGCTCAAAAAACTTGAGTGTTTATTCCATAAAAAGGGAGTCATAACAAGAAAGTAAAGTGTAAATGATTAAATGTGGACAAATTGTTAACCAAAAATTCTTATTTGTATTTCAGGTTGATAAGGGTGGCTCACAAAGACTTTATGCCCCTCCATTTATCTTGGCACCATTAAAAGATAAACAGGCTCAATTAGCGGAGAGTTGTGGTGGTAAAACAGAGAATGGAAATGTGTTATTTTGTGGTTATTGTTTATCAGAGGATCAAAGATGGTTATTATCAGTAGTGACAGATGAACGTGGCGAACTGATGGAAACATGTGTTGTTAATATTGAAATTCCTAACCGAAATCGCAGGAAAAAAGCATCTGCAAGGAAAATCGGATTACGCAAATTGTGGGATTTTTTAGTGGGTGTAGTTTCTATGTCGAATATGGCAGCAAGACTTGTGATAGGGCGATTTGGTAGAATAGGACATGGTGAATTGAAAGGTAAGAATTAAGGCATTGTGTTATATAAATGAATATATTGGATTGAAACAGATCTCAAACTACCAAGAAAACTATGTCTGTTGCTTGATGACTATTTCAAATCTGAAAATGTGAGTTTTAGCACATCATTTAGAGATTTCTTTGAGTAAAATATCTTTGGCCATGCGTCTTTAGCATGCATAGAAGATATTGACTATACTTGTCATACTTAGTTATTTACAGAGAATGCCTTCATAATATATATTTATATGTGGTAAATGTACTCATCACATTCATCATGTAATTTTACTTATTCATGGTGGCTCAGTGAGAAAGGCGCTGGCTCACTGACCAGTAGGTGCAGGGTTTAATCCCAGTGTTGACTGTGAAAGTGCCCCAGGATTCTCCAGCGTTGTATCCTCCTTGTCAGTTGTGCAGGAAGATGTGTCTGGCAAGGACAGCATCACATCCTTCTTTCGGATGGACGAAAAATTGTGCTCACATTGGAGTGCACTTAGAAGAACTCTTGACAGTTTGAATTCAAAATAAGAGTAGGCCATAGCGTCACTGTGCAAAAATGTCCTTCATACCCCATTGGGTGCAGAAAAGGAGGATATTAAAAACCATTTATTTCACCTATTTCTGAGAAATAAGTTTGGTGATGCTATATGCCTGAAATGTTTATTGCTAATATATATATGTCCACACAGGAAATATGTAACAAAGTTTTTTCATTCTCAACAAATTTCATTTTTTGAATATTTCAGGTTGGTCAGGTTTGTTAAGTAAAAAGAACTTAGCAGCTGTTAGTCATAAACTAAAGGATATGTGTGGACAATGTGAAGTATTAAATAATGGTGCTGTACCTAGTATTCTTAGTGCTTGTCTAGTGTCCTTGGAACCACATTCCAGTTTTCAGATCATGGCTGATGCCCTCAAAGCAGAAGAAAAAATGAGCAGTAATTGTCCGTTACAAACACCTAGAGATGCTTCAGCTACTCATATATTAGTTTTCCCGATATCTGCTACCGCACAGGTAATATTACTTTTTTTCTAATGATAACTATCATATCAACAAAGAGAATACTCAGTCATAAAAGAAGAGTTATGTTCTCTAGTCCTATTCATGAAAATTTAAAATAAATTTAGAAAATTGATTTACAAATGTTAGCTCTTGGTTAGTAAAGAGACTGCATTCTTAGAACATTTTTAGTTTGATATTCAGTTTATATATAAAGTTAAACCTCAAGTGAAAGGACGTCAGCAATTAAGATGTTAATTCTCATGCCAAATAAACAGATGTTCTTTTTGTAAACTTTTTACACTAGTTTATAAAAACTTCCACAGTGGAGACAAAATTGAGTAATTTCCACTTATGGAAGGAACATAGTACTCAAGCTAGAATAACTATAGACTGTCGACTAGATTGTCATGGGTTTTCAAGACCTGTTCCTGCTTGTCAGTGTTGGCAAACAAGGAAATGGCATGAAAGATTGAGACCCATATTGGCATGCTTGTGGGAAGTGGTATCGAAGTTCTATAAAGAATTTTCATCTTTTTTTTTTTAGTCCAGATAAGTTAACAAAGATAAAATGTCAAAGAATAAAACGATGTTCATTGCTAAAATTTGTATTGAATTTTTCAGGCTAATTCCATGCCATTACAACCAGAAGGTCAGATAGATTTTAACAATACTCAGTTAGATTTCAATGATGATATTGGATTATTTGGTGGTATTAAAGATGAAGATTTAGGTAATATGGATCAAGGAATGGAAATGTTTGCTGATGTATTTAGTGGTTTTGATCAGATGGATTATCCAGTGGGATCTGGTAACTCACCCCCAGGTTCACCATCAGGTGAAGGTCATGGACGACAAAACTCCAGATCCAATGGTCCTTCAACGGTAAGTAAATAGTTAAAAATAAAAATTTAAAATAGATTGCTCAAACTATTGTTTGTGACTATGGTCCAGAGTAAATGAAATTTGGATTCATTAGTTCGACCATAGTCAAGAAATCATGATAACTGAAGGTCGTCCAGATTGCAGCCATGTTGTAGCAGGTATCCTGTAATGGCTTCAATTTAACACTGTTGAAAGCCATATTACAAAGGGACCCCAGCTAGAATATTTTAATAATACAACTTGGCCAATAAAAATTGCTATAATATTCTTAAACTACTGGTAATAAGAGTTTTTATGAAACTGCCCCTGTGAAAACCAGTATCAATTAGGATTAAATGATAACAGTATAATAAATATGTTAAGTTTTCGCTTGTATTAATTGAATATTATGTTTTTGTAGGGAAGTTGTAGTACCAACCAGTCCGATCCACAAGAAGAGGTTAATTTATTACAACAGCCCCTAGCTATGGGTTATTATGTATCCACAGCACGACCTGGACCCATGCCAAAATGGTTCTGGTCTGGAAGTCCGGAAAATGCTCATGTTTGTCCAAATACCTTCAAGGTGATTATTTTATTACTTTTATAATTACCAATTGGTGATTACCAGAGAGTATAGATTCATATTTGTAATATTACAATAAACATTCTTGCTAAATCGTTCTGCTAATGTCTGGTATAGTGGTCTATTATCATCTATAGATATCTACATGATCAACAAATTTAGATAAGTACTCATACATTTAATCAGTTGTCCCATGCACACAACATGGGGGTGGAATTATTAAATGTTATAATATAACCAATTTGAGTAAGTTTTAATGTGGATAAAGCCATTGAAAATTAGATATTTTCAAAAAAATACAAATAAAACTTAGAACCAGAAAAAAGTATACCAGATGGCGCTAAAAAGCAGTATATCTTTAAATGAGACTCTCAATAGAGATGTCATTAATTTGTGTATCATTAATTATAGATATATTTATAAAGATGAAATGTGTCTGGGAACTAAGCACAAAAATCAATATTGAAATATGAGGCGAGTTATAGTTTGAATTCCATTAAATACAAGAGCATCGCTAACGCAGCAATATACGTCCACATTCCTGTTTTGTTTGATATGGTCCAGTTTGCATTGAGGGTCTGTGAAATAAAACTGGGTTGTAGGACTGCTATCAGTTTAACACTTCGTTCACATTAACAGAACACAATTTTATTTTAAAACAATCGATGTCTTTATTCTAAAAGCATGGCGTTTCGAATAGGTATGCAAAGTTTCAAAAGGATCTGTTAAGAATTGCGGTCTGTAGGCAAAACACAAGACACACAAACATTAGGCGTGGCTCTGTCCCAAGGGGTCGAGCATGCACCAAAAATAATAATAGAGGTCGGCCTTAGGATTAAGGAATAAGTATAAATAGTAGCCTTAGGCTATAAGGAATAAGTATAAAAAAGTTTTCAAGATGATCGATTAAGAAATGCGGTCTGCAAGTGACACACAGACATAAAAAAAGAAAATGGGCGTAGCTCTGCCCCTGGGGGTTGGGTATTCACCACAAATAATAGGGATGTTCCTTAGGACAGAAGGAATATGTATGCTAGGTTTCAAGGTGATACGATAAAAAAATGCGATCTGTAGATGACAAACAAATAAATAAATATAATGGATGGGCGTGGCTATGCCCCTGGCGGTCGGGCATGCACCAAAAACAATAGGGATCATCGTTAGGGTATAAGCAATTCATATGAAATTTTTTCAAGACGATTAAGAATTGTGGCCTGTAGGTGACACACAGACAGAAAAAGAAAAGAAAATGGGCGTGGCTCTGCCCCTGGGGGTAAAAAAAACAATAGGGATCATCGTTAGGGTATAAGCAATTCATATGAAAAAATTTCAAGACGATTGATTAAGAATTGTGGCCTGTAGGCGACACACAGACATAAAAAAGAAAATAGCCGTGGCTTTGCCCCTGGGTGTTGGGCATGCACCCAAAACGATAGGGATGTTCCTTAGGGTACAAAGAATAAGTATGCAAAGTTTCAAGATGATACGTTAAGAAATGTGGCCTGTAGACGACAAACAAACAAATACAAAAAATGGGCGTGGCTCTGCCCCGGGGAGGCGAGCATGCACCAAAAACAATAGGGATCTTCCTTGGGGTATAAGGAATAAGTATACCAAGTTTGAAGAAAATCCAGTAAGAATTGCGCCCTGTAGGCGACACAAAGACACACGAAAAGAAAATGGGAAATGGGCGTGGCTCTGCCCCTGGGGGTTGGGCATGTACCCCAAACGATAGGGATGTTCCTTAGGGTACAAAGAATGTGTATGCAAGATTATAAGTTAAGAAATGTGGCCTGTAGACGACAAACAAACAAATACTAGAAATGGGCGTGGCTCTGCCCCTGGGGGTCGGGCATGCACCAAAAACAATAGGGATCTTCCTTGGGGTATAAGGAATAAGTATACCAAGTTTGAAGAAAATCCAGTAAGAATTGCGCCCTGTAGGCGACACAAAGACACACGAAAAGAAAATGGGCGTGGCTCTGCCCCTGGGGGTTGGGCATGCACCCCAAACGATAGGGATGTTCCTTAGGGTACAAAGAATGTGTATGCAAAGTTTCAAGATTATTAGTTAAGAAATGTGGCCTGTAGACGACAAACAAACAAATACTAGAAATGGGCGTGGCTCTGCCCCGGGGGGTCGGGCATGCACCAAAAACAATAGGGATCTTCCTTGGGGTATAAGGAATAAGTATACCAAGTTTGAAGAAAATCCATGAAGAATTGCGCCCTGTAGGCGAACCACAGACACACACACACACACACATACATACACACACACACACACACACACACAGACAGGGGCGACGGCATAATACGTTCACATTATGAATGTGGACGTATAAAAATGACAATTAGTTATCTGTAACCTGAAACAAACGGCTGAATTTATAATTCTTATGATTATTTTTTTTCAGGCTGCCTTACATGTCCACTGTTCATCTAGCCATGATGAATTTTATAACCATTCCCATGCCAGTAGAAATACACATCCACTTGATTCTCATCTTACCTGTGATGTTCTCCGGTAAGTTTACTTTTACAATTTATCATGGGTTTGAGGGTTTTTTTTTTTAAATAAAAAATATATGGACTCAAGTAGAAAGCCTTTACATTTGATTATCAAAAATCTGAGGGATTATATTTCTTCCTGCTAACTGATGCAGTGTGATATAAAAGTGCTTGAATTCATGAAATTTAAGATCAAACCATCGAAACCTGTCAATTACCAAAACAAGTGTCTTCTACTTTTATGATAAGTTATGGGTCTTTTTGTAACAAACAAATAAAAAGAGATCCCTCCTGATAAATAAACACAAAATATCTGATTATTCATCTAAATCAATAAGGTTATAGATTGTTTAATGAAAAATCTTACATTGGTGGTTCCTTTTTTTTTCAGATTTGTCTTGGAGAATTACAATGCATTATCTTGGTTGACCTATGACCCTGGTAAAAATGATCGGCGGTCGTGTTTACCGGTACATCTAGATATGTTGATGCAGATGTATCATGCTGTAAGTGCTTTCATCTAGGAATCGTGATGTATTAAAAGTGCTGATTCTCTACGGAAACAACACACGGTGCAATAGTCGTAATGGATGTTACTTTAATTCTCAGGGAAAGTGTTTTTTTGTTTGTATAAATACATAGTCACATAGACTGTATCAACAGTCAGCAATACAGTCAAACAGATTATTGACCTTGTATAAGTAAAGCAAGTCAAAGTGTGTATATAAATCTATAATGTACAAGTGGTGATATGAACTGTGAAGTGATAAACACTATTATATATATATATATCTAATGTTAACTATTATCCATATATCATATTATCTTCGACTTCTCTCTTTCTCATGATATGATCTCATTAATAATTTTACTTTGTCAGGCACAACAATTAAATAACTACTACAGTAGAATTTGTACGAGCAGCCGCTCCTATTCTGCGATATCTTCTTGTAAGCGGTCACGATAAATTCCCCCCATAAAAATTCTATTGTTTCATCTCTTTAATCAGCGGTCACTCTAACGCAGCCAGCGGTCACTGTTTTAGTTATTAATTAATAAAACGTCGGCCATTCCTCCGCTAATCCTGTGATTAATAATTATCTGGCTCCCCACCAATCAGGTAAAAAGAACTATGAAAATAACAATAAACCCTGGATTATCTGTTAATTAATTTTTTGTTTTACTAAATATCTGACCCCCCCACCGATCAGGTAAAAAGAACTGAAAATAACAATAAACTCGAGTTTATCTGTTAATCTTTTGATTTACTAAATGACACGTAATGAAACATTTAATACTGATTGAACAATCTGATTAAAACACAGACCCTATTGTAAGAGTTGTTATATAACAGGCGTTCTACTTGATGTGAGGAATTAGCCAATGAAACGGTCTGTTACGGCGAGTTCTTGGCCTTTTTATGCACGGAACTGTGGGTAAACCACTAGAAACGTCAACGCTGATTAATTAATCAATGTCTGACATTGTAGGGTCAAAAGCCACTCGTTTAACCTCTGACGTGAACTCCCACTATAACTTGTCAGATCTTCATGTAGTTTAGGCCATCGAAAGTATAAAAAATGAAACGAAATGTAGATCTGTGTTTTAATCAGATTGCTGATTGAATAAACTAAAAGTGCCATCAAAGCCGAAGTTTTAGCACCTCCTATATTACATACAGAGTTACACCTCCCTGAAAATCGATGTTAAATTCAGGGATGTTTTTTTGAAAATGTGCTTTTTTGATAAAATAAAATTCATTCATGGATTTTCTTCACAAAAATGGGTAAATATTATCGAATACATTATAATGGTAGACAGTAGTATCAATTATGGTAAAAAAAAAAACACATTTACAGAAGTTATATCAGAGATTTGAGTCACAGAATTTTCGTTCCAAGTGAGTTTCAGTGATGGCCAAATTTACCGATGCAAGTATTGATGTTTGCTCCCGATGCATCCAAGCATAAAATTTACTTGATGACAGCACTAATAATAATAAATACTGAGATTTTATTAAGAGGTCACGTCCGTTAAGCGGTCAGTCATGAAATGTCCTTGAATGGCTGCTTAATACAGATTCTACTGTACATTAGTCTATCCACAAGACACTATTTACTGGTTTCAACAATCTTTAAACCAGGTTCCCACTTTTTATGGGTAAATAAATCTAGTCGTTTCGATTGGATAAAAGTCTGTGGTACAAATTTGTAGTTAACAGAAAAGACCTCTTGGCATTTAAAACTTTAGGAACTCCACCTTGCATTACACCTGCAAGCACAGAAAACTATAGTTGGTCTCAAAATGACCCCAGTATTGAATCATCAAATCATCTGATCATCTTATATCAATCAAAAGGAAATCTTGATAATACCAAATATCTAATTTATTAAAAACATGTAGGCTAGAACATATAAAGCATTCAGTCTCTTCTATATAATTTTCAGATTTTACTTAAATCTATTTTCATTATACATCAGTGCCTCCAAATGTTAAAAAAAATTTCCCAAAATTTTATTTTATCAAGCAAAATCATCAATTAGTAATGTTTTTACATTGTTAGAATTCAAACATTAAATATAAATCTCACCTTGTGCTGTTTAAAGTGTGGCCTGTCAACCAGTCTTGAAGTAAGTGCCTGTCACAAATATAAATTTTACTTTTATAAAGTAGATTTTTCCATGAGTGTTGAATAAAATCTGTAAATGCATGATTAAGACAAGTCCATTATTGAAGTGTGGATACAGGATTCTGAGAGAAAAAGAAAAGTGGGCAGGCCTAACAATAGACTTTGTAAGGGGGAAAAAAATGTGTTTGTGCACCTCTTGAAACCCATCTTTGGTTATGTTATGACAGGTACTTATTTCAAGCATTTTAATTTATACATTCTTGATGTCGTAGATCTTAGAAGTATACATTTGTAATTTAGTCCTGTAAACTTTTATTAATCTAGTCAGTAGTCGATATCATTTAAGGGAAAACTCATTGAAAATGTCATCCATTGTTTTGTGTTCAAGGCCTATAATAGTTTATCAAATACAGAATTGTATTAAGCAGAATTTAATTGTCACAAAACACTATGACACATCTGAAATCAGAAGTGACATTGGGTGTTCTAGTAGGAACAGGCACTGTCTATTCCCATATCACAAAATTGCTTTTATACACCCATTCGTCTCATTTAGAATATGTAATGTGAGCATATTGATATTTTAATGACATAAATAAAACATTTCAAAGTTGAGGATGAAAATCAAATTGTTTAATGTTTTAAAACTGTTTCAGTTAATTGTAATCTTATTAAATTCAATATAAACGATACATATTTGTCAATAATTTAAATACTTAGTTGTCTAAATACATTGATTACTTACTTACTCATTACGAATTGTACTTATTAATTTAAATACCAGAAATAGTTAATTTGGTTTGACATTCTGAATATTCAATGCAGAGAAAGTATTGTTTGAAATTCTCATTAGCTACAGGTAGGAACTATGAGTAGAACAGAAATTGATATTTGACTTCTGGCAAATCAAAGAAACCATCTCATTTTGATTTGAATATGGTGTTTTGTTTAGTACATATCCATTGGGTAGATTTTGTTAGACATTTTACTGCTGTATCAAACTGGCTTATTAGTACAAATATGTACATATAAATGTATGTATTTATTTTGATTTGTTAAAATATGCAAGATTGGGTTCCTCAGAAACTTACTTCAATTATTTATTTATGATTATATACTCAGAATAAAACTCATAAGTATTTATTTTACTTTCATATAATCATTTTAATATCTCAGATATTATTTTTTTGAGAACAAGTTTTATCCCAGATTTCATAAAGCGTTTCTTTGGTAAACAAAAAAAAATATATCAGGAATCAATTGGTTTTAAGTTTTTTTAGAATCCAATGGGAGCTGTAGTTATTATATTGTATTACAATGGGAATAAAAACCAAGTTAATTTCTAGATCTCCAGCTTATTACAAGAAAATAAACTTGATGAAATACTGATAAAAACTTGTTGAGAAATACATTATTCTTATCTCAAGAAATGGCAATTTTGTCTCATGAGTGGTTTCTAAATTAAATGGTAAATATTAAAATATAGAGATTTCTCGTAATATTTACAGATTAGTAGATCATTTCTTATAATGTCAATTGGAATTGGTGTATAAGTTTTATTATGACAAACAGAATGTTATTACTGTCTCAGGCTTCTCTAACTTAATACCTTTTAGAAAATTTATTTTACATAATCTTTAGTGGTTTTCAGAAATGATGGTGTGACTCTCATTGAGAGAACATCTGGGTAAATCAAAAGTTAAATTAATACATGGCTGCTAAGCGAGAAGTGTTGTGTACCTTTAAGATCCTTGGATGTAAAGTAAAATATTTTCTGAAATTCACTCATGTTCATCAGTCTTTAATGATTGATCTTCAACAGCAATTTATTCTTATCCAGTCTGAGAGTTTATTTGTCAAGACTGATGTTGCTGTGGCAAGCAAATCCCATTGCCAACTTGTCACGTTTCCGTATCTTTGATATTATACATATTCTTTATGGAATAGCTCTTTTAAATGAACAAATGGTTAAATGTTGGTACAGGTTTCCTTTTTTAATCAATTGAATTAATTTAAAATTTTCACAATTACATTTCTCTCTGATTTCTTGTTATTAATTTGAGAGATATGTTACATTGTTGCTGAACTGTTGTCTTTATAATTATTTACATACAGAATTCCACTGGAATATTTATTTCTCGACATCATATCATTAAAATAATTTCAAAAAGAGATCTGTTAAGTCATTTGTGATGACTAGTTATAGTGTATTTATTGTACAGCAAATCAACCAAATTTATTTTTCATTATAAAAGCATTCATACCCAGAAAGCATAAAGTCATTATAGGATATATCAGTCATCACTGTAATCATGAAAAAAAAGAAAATAACCAATTGAACACATTTTGTTAATTTATTTTTTATTTATTCAATTATGCATAATCCAAAAATTAAACTTTGAAAAATATACTGGTTGTCAGTTAATCTAATATGATTATGACTTGTTGGTATTGTGATTCATTTGATAGTCATTTAAATAATTGATTTCATATTTCATTTACATATGAGCTTCCAGGACTTGTTCTGAGCAAATGCAATTTAAACCCAGATAAATGTGACCTCACTTCCTTCATCCAGTCTTCTGTTAATCATTCATTCATTCTTCTATCGATGTTATTTATCTGTTTATCATTTTTGTTGTCAAATATTTGTTCATTGTTTAATTATGTCAAAGGTGAAAAGCCTTATTACTGGACTAAGATGGAGACTTGATTGTATTGTATTTGTATTATATATATATATATATAGTATGTGTAGATAACTTTTGATAAAAGGTAGTCTTTTTCTATATTTTGATAATTAATTTGTATTGTGTATACAATTTTGAAAATGTCACAAGTCAGTCCAAATGAGTTATTATTTTGTGTACAGAAAAGGTTAAAAATGTAGCTATTTTTTAGGAAACATTGAAAGAAAATATATAAGTATATATTAAAGAATCATGTGTCATTTTTTTGTAAAGCTCAACTGTATTTTCCTCATGTTTATATATAAATATTACATATATATTGACAGTTTATATATATACATTGTAAATCTGTGTGTATATAACTGGGCTTCTTATTGGATGTACATAATTTGTGAAAATCATTGATGAAAACCGTTAAAATTATTATCTCGTTGATATTGATGCCATGAAAAATACCCACAAAAATGTTGACATGTGCACAAGTCAGTATTACTCAATGGTGCATGAGTGAAAAGAAATCAGAGAATTTGTTCATCCTTTACTAACATTTACTACAATATGTCTGGCGCTCGAGATGCAATCCTATTTTGTACATAGATTATAAAATCATGACTTGCAACTACCATTGAAACGTATTTAAACCAAAATTTGATCATAAGTTATTTTTGTAGCTAGTAAATACTCTTTACAAAAACTAGCTGTGTAAAATAAATATATGACTAAAATTAAACTATTGTCTTTTTATCTGTTTGTTTCTATTCTCTGCTGTCCAGAATATCAACTTAAAAAGTTTACTTGCAGTGGCACTGCACCAATCATAATAGATTAGATCAATGCCTAGTAATTACGTGTTAAAATAATAACCCAGATTGAAGGTGATATTTGGCTCAAGTTGATGACCTTTAACACCCCATCCATCATAACAGTTGAAGGCAGAATAGTACTACCCGTATAGTAATACATAATACAGCATGCAGGGAATTACTAAATTAGAATTAATAGTTAGGAAGCATTGACTCTTTATTATCACCATTGACTTGGATGTTAATTCTTGTCTCCTTTGCCTGGTTCTTGTTGGGTTCAATGCATTCTACTACAGATGAAGCAACATGTGGCAAAAACTTGCCCAAAAGCATGTATGAGGTTCAGGGTGGAAATTCTGAGATAAACAAACTAGAAGTAGAATATTAGTAAACACACAACTATATGGCTCACATTGTAACACTACCAATTTGTTACCCTTGTTGGGGGGGGGGGGGGGCGGGAGGAATGATCTAACACCTTATACATGACAAGCAACAGGGTATCCTTTCCAACATTGTGGGGTTTTTTTCTGGTTTCCTTCACTGCTAAAGAAAGACCACTACACGCAAGCGAATTATTGAAATAAAATTGAACCATGTTAGTCCCAGAATGATCTAATTTGTGTCAAGTGGACATTAAACCCCATTTCTCTATCAATAACACTTGTCATCCTTGGTCTCAAAACCATGAATATCACAAGGGAAAAGAGAGAGGATTAAAAATAGAAGGAAATGGATTTTTTTTTTTAAATTCAAGGTCCATAGAAACATGTGTCACTCTGTTAATCAGTCTCTAAAAGATCATATTCCAAACTAATTTGGATTTCACTGTCCAGATTTAATAGATTTTCACAATGTCAAGTTATTACTGACATAATTATACATCTGTACCATGACTGCATTATCTGCTTTTATTATACCATGGACCTTATATTACGAGCCGCATATCGTTTTACCATGATAATTTGCAGAGGTTGGTTATTTTGAAATTATTGAAATGGGTGGGTATTTTACAAGTATTACAATTTAATTTTTTGGGGGGAAGCATATTTGCAGTCAAAAGCTATATAGGTCAACATATCCCTTAGTTATATAAATTAAGATCTCATAACATTTACAAAATACGAAAATAACCAATTCCAAGATTAAATAGGGTTTTAATTTATCTACCAGAAGCTGTATATTTAAATAATGTTCAGTGTTATTTCTTGGTTACCATTTCTGTCTTTTGTAGAAAAATGGGACAGTTATGGAGGGGAGGTAACTCTACGGATGTAAACACAAAAGAGTTCCAAAACGTAGTCGGTGCGCGAAGCTGGCGTTGAAATTTGAAGAAGAGAAATTGTCTTTGTTCTATCCGTTTCCATCGTATTTATACAGAACATCTTTATATCTCTTTGTAGTGTATCTTGTTGCTAAATATTCAGAATGTCTATTGGAGTGCCAATTAAAGTTCTACACGAAGCCGAAGGTCACATAGTTACATGTGAAACAACGACTGGAGAAGTTTACCGAGGAAAATTAATAGAAGCAGAAGATAACATGAATTGTCAAATGAACAATATAACCGTTACCTACAGGGATGGGCGTGTAGCACAGTTAGAAAATGTATACATCAGAGGCAGCAAAATCAGATTTTTGATTTTACCGGACATGTTAAAAAATGCACCGATGTTTAAAAAAGTTAGCAAAGGAAGCGGTTCAGCTGCCGGAAGAGGAAAATCCGCCATATTACGGGCGCAAGGTAAACAAATACTGTAACAGTAAATTATTAATAAATCTTTTATTAGTCGAGACAATTCCGTACTTCGATAGGCCTAGAGGTTCTGTCTGTCGATGATTGTTTTAAAGACCAATTCGACAGATTAAACGCAAAGAAGGTGTTTTTTTTTTTGTTTTCTTTTTTTTTTCTCTTTTGCTTGCATTCAGCTTTCAAATTTAATTAGCCTAGTCAAGAGCCAGATTGCGGAAACGGCTTCTATTTATCAGTAATAAAAGGGTACATTTCAGTAAAGGGGCATTTAATGAGAAAGACCGTGGTTACCTCGCTGGCTAAACAGATATCCTTATGTCGAGTAGCTTGGTCTCATGATTGCTGTTTAAACGCACAAATTGAAGAACATTAGGGACAGAAAATGAAATGTAGGTGTTGTCTACGATATCACCCTAGGTGGAAGTGACGTAAAACTCTAGAAACGAACGAAATGTAGGTATAGTAAGGGTTTGTACCTGACAAGGTGTATTGTAGCCAATCAAAACTTGTCAGCGTTGTGGGCTTTCATATGATTTCCTCTCGCTACTAAAGACTTATGCATATGCAAATTATTAAATATAAAAATTGCCATGAGTGATCTAGTTTGTGTTGAATATATGTTAAACCCTATATCCCAACTGTAATATTGTTTTTGTAATTTTTCAGCTGCGAGAGGAAGGGGTAGAGCACAACCTGGGCGTGGAAATGTTTTTCAGAAAAGACGGTGAAGTGTTTAATTTAACATGTGTACATAAACAGTCTGTGTAAAGACTTAAGACTATGATGAGCAGTAAAAACTATCATTATGAAGAGTTGAGAATTCTTTTCCAAATTTCATTTTCAAATGAATTGAAATGACCTGTAATTGAATACTGACAAAGTTATATTGAATGAATGTAGCGGAATTGTATTGTACTGTAAAGAATTGCTGAAATGATTCTCTTTTATGAACATTCATTAAATGTTTTACTTTGTTAGTGGTATATTTTATGTACATCTATGGTAGTATACATTGATTATAATGTAAAGTGATAGAAAAAGCCATTAAATGAACGGTATGAAAAAAATAACAAAAATTAACACTATAAGACCAATGTGATCTAAGTGTGGTAAGCTATCATAGGATTTAAGTTTCAGCAATCATTGAAATCTGCAGTTCTGTGTTTGGAATGTATTCCATGTCCAGACAAGTATTGTCATCTAGTGTCTAATCAGTTGTCACATTTTTTTTATTATTGGCTTTAAAAATGTTTCAGAAAAGAACATTTTCATGAATGTGTATATATAATGCATTTTTTGCATCACAATGTTATCACTGTAATCATTATTCATTTGTATATTTTATGCATCAGGTATGATGTTGAACATTTAAAAATTGTAAACAAGAGTTCCTTTTTTGTTTTTATATGCTTAGCTATCAGAAACCATAATAAAAATGGCCTTATGACTCCTTAGTCCTATCCTGCATTCTTACAGTAACTATGCCAGTCTTGAATAAATACAGTCCTGTGGTTGAGGTTTCCGCTTTAAATATAAACTAATGCAGCAGTAGAACCACATTAAACCGTGGTGACTTTTGGATACTTAACAATCAATTGAATGTAACGGCCAGTGAATGGGTGTCCCACCATAAATAAATACATGTATCTCCAAATATCTTGACAATTACACCACAATATTTATTTATATTTATACTGAGCTCCATGGAAAACGCATCACTTAGTTTTTCGTATAACAAAATGATCCTGTAAACATTTGCTTCTTATTGTGAACAATATTCACATCAATAACAAACCAAAAGTACACCACATATATGCCACTAGCGCGTGTGTCCTCCACAGGCCATCATCACAGTAGGCTACAGCATTAACGCACCCCCTGCAAATGTAGTAGGGCGGTCCAGTGATGAAATGTGAAGCCTCCCCATACCATTACACTTCCCCCACCCCATCGATTCATTTTGACGACGCAGCAGTCTGCAAGACGTCTCCACACACGTTGACGGCCATCAGCGTGATAAAGATGAAAGCGACTCTCATCACTGAAGAACCTTGTATAAGTAAAATGAAACTACTGCTCGTATCATGTTCTTGCCTAACCCGAATGTTTCAGAGATATTATTTGTACTAAACCAAAAGATGCCGCTCTTACAGGTACAGTTAATGATAAAGCAATTTAAACCAGCGGCTGCCAGGCAGGATACGCCCACATTTTGCATGAAATGGATAGAGAACAATTAAAAACAAAAACGATTTTTTGTACGATAAGGGGTGAAAATCCAGAAAGTTATGGTCTGAAATGCGCAAATATCAAAAGGGACTGGGATTTTTGGAATATAAAGATATGCTTTAATTAAACATGCATTATTCAAGAGCAAAATCTGCTTATTACAAGTCTTTCTTTAGGCCTGAAATGTTATCTAAATTATCAATTAGATATTAATTAACTTATCCAGACCATAATAAACTCTCGATGTCAAGGCTAGCCTTCGATGTAGGCTGGATTAGATTCCTATATGCCGCTAACGGCCAAAGATAATTAAATTAGAAAAAGTGGATAATCGAGACTATGCTGTTTATATTAATGATAACCGAGACTATGCAAAAATTTCACCGGCTTCTTTCTCGGCTCATAGTGGATCAATTTGACTGAAATTTTCAGCAAATTACCTTTACACTATCTAGTTTTTAACTATTATAGCGAGAACTGCCATCTCTTTATCTTATCTCCCATAATGTATCTTTAAGTTCCATCAAAATTGGATAAAAAATTATGACCTCTAGAGGATCCATAACCTTTGTATTACATACTTATACACAATTTGCGTTTTATTTCGATTTTCCTGAAATTCCAACTCAACTTTCATTATGGTGGAGTTTTACTCTGTGATATATCTAAACGGTTTTTAAAACCGGAAAAAAAATTGTGACCTCTAGAGAATACACAAGCTAAAATTGCGATTTGTCGACCAATCAGGGGCCATAATCCAGGAGGTTACGATCCAATATGCGCGAATATCGAAAGTAGCCAAGATCTTTATGATAAAAAATAATATTTAAAGTGTGACCTCTACAGGGTTAACAACCTTGATATACCATATTTTTACACTATTCGTGTACAAGCGGCGGCCATTTTGTCCAGCAGTTTTGGTCCCAACCCTTTTCACGAAATTCGTAGTCAAACTTCATTACGGTGTAACGGTGATATAATCAATCGGTTTTTAAAATCAGATAATAATTGTGACCTCCAGAGGGACCACAAGCTAAAAAAAAGCTTTGGCGATTTTTCGTATAATCAGGGGCCATAATTCAGGAAGTTACGATCCGATATGCGCAAATATCGACGGGATTCAAGATCTTTGGGTTATAAACATGCATTTCAAGTTTCACCAAAATAGGATTAAAATTGTGACCTCTACAGGGTCCACAACGTTGATATACCATATTTTTGACACTATTCGCGCAAAAGCGGCGGCCATTTTGTCCGGCAATTTTGGTCCGATTTTTACGAAAATCGAATTCAACCTTCATTACGGTGTAACAGTGATATAATAAAAAATTTTTTTAAATTGGATAATAATTGTGACCTCTAGAGGGACCACAAGCTAACATACGCCCACAGCAGTTAAATCGTCCGGCAAGTCAACAAGGTTGTCGCATTTTTTTACTTTATTCGGTAATGAAACATTTATAATACATTAAAATCTGATTTAGAGTAACAACAAATTAAGTAATTATCAGAAAACCATTAGAAAATTGTTTGGTTTTTATAAAGTTCTGCGAAACTTTTAACATCATGGATTTAGCTGTTCACGTCATAAAAATTAATTGAAAATCAATACACTTGTTCGTCTCATGACCTTAAACTCTGTGTATCAATCTGAAGTCAATCGGATGATAACTTTATAGTCTAGAGCGCCACAAGATTTTTCAAAGTGATCAATGGCCATAACTTTGGTAGTAATTATCGAAAATCGTTGAAAATCAATAAGATCCTTCGTCTTCTCAAACACTGTGTTTAGATTTAAAGTCAATCGGATATTAACTTTAGCCTCTAGAGCATTTACAAGATTTTTCAAAGTGATCAAGGGCCATAACTCTGGCAGTAATTATCGGAAATCGCTGAAAATCAATAGGCTTTCTTCGTCTCATGACCTTAAACAATGTGTATAAATTTAACGTCAATCGGATATTAATTTTGGCCCCAAGAGCGCCCACAAGATATTTTGAATTGATCAAGGGACATAACTTTGGCAGTAATTATCGAAAATCGCTGTAAATGAATAGACTTCTTCGTCTCATGACCCTAAACACTGTATAAATTTAAAGTCAATCGGATATTAATTTTAGCCTCCAGAGCGTCCACAACATTTTTTGAAGTGATCAAGGGCCACAACTCTGACAGTAATTATCGGAATCGCTGAAAATCAATAGGATTCTTCGTTTCATGGCCTGAAACACTGTATATAAATTTAAAGTCAATCGGATATTAATTTTAACCTCTAGAGCGTCCACAAACAATTGTTGACGACGGACGGACGGACGGACGGTGCGACGACAATATACGACCACATTTCAATGTGGACTTATAAAAAGCTAAATATTACTGCTATTCAGAATCGCCAACAATAGATTTTTTTACGGCTGTAATGGTTGATAGATGTGTAGAGAATTGCACGTGCAATGGCTATTTATAGACTCACTGCGCGATTAGCCAGAAATCACTTAGAGACATGCCTTTGAAGCGTGCACATTCGCCGTGTCGAGTTCAACTTTCTGTAGGGAAAATTTTCGCTGCACGGGGCACCCCAGCTCTGGTATATTTTCTTCACCTGGGGAAATAACTATGTAAAAGGAAATTATAGGCAAATGAATCCTCCTTGTGCAAAAAAACTGAGCTGCAGGTGGTTCACAAGGATTCGGTATATTGCCTAATAATGAGAATTGATATGGTTCCACAATGTAACAATATTTATGAAGAACCTGTTAGTTGGCAACCAATATAACGTTGTTAGTGTAAGGGAGGTTATTCTGGGATAATCGGAGGCAAATCACCATTAAATTTACAAATTTTTTGTTGATTTTTTGGTCTAGAATGGACGAAGAGGGTTTGAATTAAAATTTTCTGCCAGGTTTGGGTAATTATTCATGATTTTGAGGTGGAAGGATAACAGAGTTATCAGGTTGGTTACAGTGATATGTACGGGAACTAGTTACATGTTTTTACTATGATTCTTCAAGTTTGTGTATCTCAAAATTTTGGTGGTCAACCTCATACAAATTTTAGTGCAAAGACATGATCATTTGTTCCTCTGTAGTGAAAAGCATTAAGCCCAACGAAAAGTTGGAGGTGGGGAAAGTTGGAGGCGGGCAAAGAGGCCAGAATTGGGGGTCTGCCTCTAAACAGTATTGTAACAGTGCATATTGACAAAATATGCACAATATTTTATTTTAGATATTTTATTTTTATGTATTTTAAGGAATGTATATTTTATAGATTATTTAGTTTATTTTAAATTCATATATGTTTATTAAAGATGTCGAGGCTAGAATGCAGTAAAAGCATAAATTAACCTTGACGCTGATAAGGTGTCGATAGATTTTAAACAATATTATATTGTATACCTGTATAAAAGAGCTTTAATGGAGGGTCCTTTATTGTTTGTTTATCTATACGTAATTAAGGAAGATTAATGGTGACAGCTTAAACTTTTAAAACAATACGCTAGGATTAAACTAACGCTATAACTCAATGTCGTTACCTGACATATTTAACCAAGCTAGTCTCGATCTGGCCAATCAGACTTCGTATCGAGAAATGGGCGTCTTTCGTTAATTGTTTTCCACCAATCAAAAATGAGTTTAATCTTACACGTGGCATCCTTAACAGTACCGCGACTTTTGGAAGATATAAATAAGCTAGCTCAAAGTTACCATTTATCTTCACGTAATAAATTACTTAGAAACTTCAATATTGGATCTCTGTTATATTCAGATAACAACACCCGAACAAACCACTGTTACAGTATTCCTTATTCCAGAATATCACACGTACGGCCAACAGAATGTATCAAACCTGCAGACGATAAAGATATTAATAAATGCTCAGGCACTTGAAGGGATTAAAATAAAACCTCTTACTACTCTTTGACTATATATTACAGTCAAAGAGTAGTAAGAAGTTTTATTTTAATCCCTTCAAGTGCCTGTGGGTGAATGAGCACCGACAGTGTGCTCATCTGGAAGTGGAACCTAATCCCTTTACCATTTTGCAGGTTTGGGATTTAACATCGTACTTTCTGCACCAACCGGATTACTGATTATGCAGTGCGCTACATATATACGACAGAAATTATAATTTCTGTTGAAAACTGCCAGGGGACATTTAATGCATTGCATTTACTTGGGTCTTTTGTTCTGCAACAGTGACGAGGTGAAATCACGCCCGAAAAATCGGTTTCGGAACGGTCTCTAGACGAACGAAGTAAACTGCAATGTGAAAATATCGCTCTACCCCACCTTTATTTCTAGACAATTTTTGAGCCTTTAATTTTATTGCTATAGTGGTTTTTTTTAGTTCTATGAAAGGTGCTCTGTTTAATATATTGAAGTGGTTAACTCCGGACAATTTCACAATTTATGTCTGAATTAGATGAGACTTAAAATACGTGTTGAGGATTAAAAGATCTCGGATGCGGTGGATTTTGGTACGCATTAGACCTTCAGTTCCGGAGTTATGCCCCTTTTTTCGAAAACCTTGTAACCGCGATAGAGGCCGTTTTGATGTACTGGGGAAATGAGAGAACGAACCTTATCGATAACCATTCAGTTCCAGGGGTATGGGGCGCCCAGGGGTAAAAATTGGTGTGAAGCTTTGGGGTTACGGTTACGAGATGATGCGGATTGGTGTGGTTTAGTAGATACAGAAATTACATGTATCTAGCCTGAACATGCCAAGAACTCACCAACCTGTTTCAGATTGGAAGGCGAAAAAACACGCATGTGACCAGATCTTAGGGTATTTTCAGATAGTCTACACCAAAGTTATCATGTTGGCACTGTCTTGCTTTAATTGTTTTTACTAATTTAGTTATTATGTAAACAGCCAAAATAATCCTTATAAATCAGATTATTGAGTTCTTAGTTGTGCCGACTTGTTAGGGGGGGAGGGGGTAAATGTTGTGTTGTCGTTCATCGGTTAGTAAAGTTTGTGAATTGAACAGCAAATTGGATGTGACAAACAAGATATTTTTTGTTGAAGTAAACTTTATATAAAATTCGTCAAATTATATTTTAATTCTGGTACAGTATATTTGTATGCCATTTAGTTTTTCTTCCATAGTCGATTATGAATTAAAATTACAATATCTTCTAATACACCTTTGATTTCTTCTCTGTTGACACATTCTACAGTGCATGGCAGCTACGGTACCGAAAAATAATCCAGGGCGACCACCTGTGTCTGATGAATCTAGAGAATAAAAATATAGTATTATGCTAGTTAGTTTTGCTTCTATAGTCTATTATGAACAATAATTACACGATACAGGAAAAATTCACGTGGGCCCATTGGTCAACCGAAAACATAAATATACACCGACAGCTAAGTAATCCGCGTAGTCCATAAATCCTACTGCACGCCCTCCACCCCCCCCCCCCACCCCCCCAAAAAAAATACCATTAGATAACCCTGCGGACAAATTGACACACAGATTACACAGACATTGCAAGCAATTACCAATAAACCTACATATATATAAACCAAATCGAGTGAATATCATTGTCTGACAAGAATCAATGACTCAACCAAGGTCAATAACTCTATAAGTAATAATCAGATATTGTTGTAATTGTTATTCCTCGCAATAAAGTAGATAGGGTGATGACTTTCGCAGTTAAGACATTTACAGTTTTCTACAGAATGAGCAAGTGATAGTTACCTGGGACATGTAAATCGTCGTCTAGTCCAGGTAAACCTGGAAGTCCATAGCTTCCCCCTCCTAAGCTTCTTGGTCCTCTGATGTTAACAATATGTGGTGGACCTTCCGGACCATCATTTCTGAAAAGTAGACAATAAAACGCAAAGAATGTAACGTAGTGACAATATCCCGGGCTCCAATTCAGGCTCAATCTGGAGAATCTCGGTTTCAATCTGATCAAAACCAGATGTAACATACGCAATGTTTTATTTTTATATGTTGCAGTCCAATTGACCATTTTCTTTAAAGCTGGTGTTCAGTTTGCGTGAATTTATTGACCAATCAAATTGTTTGTGTATTAGCTGCAATATAATTGTCTTATTCAAGGCTACAACTGATAAACTATTCGAGGCATTGCGCATGCCAAATTAGGTTCAATTGCAACATTTCTAACACTTATAATCACAATTTGCATGGAAATAAGTAATTAGGCCTATGTTACAAATAGTGAAAAGTGGATCACTGAAATCTTAATCTTATCTTACCGAACAGTTTTTCTCTATTATGGAGGTGATGTGAAATCACGTGCGTGTTCTAATTCTGGTTCGGCGGCCAATTTAAAATTGACAGAAATTTCACGTAGCAGTTGGATTTTATCAAATCATATAATTATGCGGTAAAGTTTCACCTTTATTTCAATGGGAATTGGTTTATGATTTGTTAAGCTATGTGCAGTACAGTTTGGGGTCAGTGTAATTGAAAATTTCATGTAGCATTTGTATTTTTTCAAATCATATAATTATGCGGTAAAGTTTCACCTTTATTTCAATGGGAATTGGTTTATGATTTGTTAAGCTATGTGCAGTACAGTTTGGGGTCAGTGTAATTGAAAATTAAGGGATTTATAGGCCAGTAACCTTTTTGTAGTCAAATGACTACAAAACTTGCTCAAGGGCTTAGAACGATCCACTACTGTGACTGGACCATGTGTGTACATGCCTTCGTTGTGGGAATTTTAAAATTGAAGAGGAAATATAGCCGTGATTCTGTTTGTATTAAGAGTTAGTATAATTTGTAAATCGAACTCACACTAAAAGACTTAAATTGAAAGTTTACACTTGCCCCCCTCTTGTCAGACGCATCTGGTCGAATTGACACACTGTGACACGAATTCAAAGAAGCTCGAATTAATTACATCACTTCAATCGGAATAATTTTTTAGGGAGAAAATGAAAGTAAATATTATTATTTTGCAAATGAATAAGGTATTGAAATATACAAGAATTATTCAATGTTATTATATATGCTCTGTCACCTTTGCCATCATATTGTCGTATCATTCTATAGCTTACTTTCAAACTACACAGTAAATAGAAAATATTTTGGTTGGATATTTTGATTGTGTTACAAGTGCCATTAACAAGTGGATAATAAAATATTTACCCCAATTTAAAAGCAAAAGACTTTTCTTCAGCTACATCAATTTTGTCTAAATCTTCTTTGTCAGACTGAACAAATATCAGATCTGAGTTGACCTGCGACAGTACTGGAAGTAAAATGACCGAAAATACAATTATACAGAACAGAGACGAGTTATTTAATACACTTGGCGCCATTGCTATATATACCCCTTCCTTGGAAATATCTCATCGCTCGGTTGTGTTGTGCGTTTTAACTTTATGATCCTAGAACTATACGGAAGACCGTTTAAACATAAGAAATTTAAACTTTATAAAGTGTTGAAATATGAAATTCATTGTTTTTGAGGAAATTTGTAATATTCCACATCCAATTCATCAATGTTTTGTGAGAGTCGAAAATATAGACGTTATCTTCGTCTTTTATCTATTTAGTACTAAACTAGAACAGCGATTTCCATTTGTTCCATAACGCCCACCACCATTTGACCGCAACTCAATTTCTACATCTGTTGATGCGTGTCAAGGGCGGGTATTACATTTCACTAAAGAGGCTTTCAGAAGTTTCTATTTAAGTATTTTATATAACCCACAAACTTTGTCAGAAACCCCTTTTGTGAAACGGGAACCATGGCGTACGGGCCCGTAGCCACGGAGTGGCTGTGGGGTGGCTACCCCCCCCCCCCTAAAAAAAAATCGAAATAGCCACACCCGTAGGCTTGTAGCATGGCCCACCGAGGTCTGCCTGACATCATCACCTCCTGATCCTCTTGTCTTGATACGTGCGTCGTACATAAATACTGTGAGGCGTGTTGGTCTACTGAACACGTGTACTCGCTCATCACACTCACGTACCCGTCGAGTGGCCGGCTTAGCTCGCCACACAGCCCCTCCAAAAAATTCCATATAGCCCCACCAAATTTTACGAGCTGGCTATAACGGGTCCGATGGTGTATGTGGGGCTCCGGGTGAGGGTAAATTCTAGAGGGCGTTAAATTAAATAATAATTAAAATACAGCATTTAGCGGCAATATAGTACGTACCCCTTTTACATTTCAGGGCTTTTTAGCGAGGAATTGTTATTTTGTGATTGCAGTTTACAAACAGCTAGCCACCACGTAAATCAATCTTTATCTTATCCCAGGTTTAGTAGCTCTGACTTTGAATTTCTGTGTTATTTCTAAAAAGCGTTTCATACCAAACATATGACGCAAAACCAACCATTTATGCACACAACTTACAAATTCGTTACTTTACGTTGCACAATTCTATAGATGATGTAGAAATAAATAAATCTAATCCCCAGTTATCTTGGACAACAGCCAGCTCCGGATTAACATGATCTAGAGGCCATGGGGCCCTGAGCACGTGGCCGCTCCCCAACTAATACAAGTGGCCAGAACTTTGACAGTATTATTCCACACATATGAATATAACTACATCAAGGCTAATATGAAGTCGGTCATATCCGCGAACATTCTAAACATCAGAAATGAAATGAAATGAAATGGGGTTTAACGTCCTACTGTTCTGCTCCTAAACTGGGCTAATGAAGACGGGCATACGCCATACAGTGTGCTATAAGGGAAATTGTGCCCGGGCAGCGACGCTACGGCCTACAGTGCCTACTCTTATATCGAATTCCAACTGCCAAGGGATATTTTACGTGCACGCCAATATGTACACGGGACCTCGGTTTTTCGTCCCATCCGAATGACTAGACAGCTGTCAGGCCCTGCGTCCTGCATCACTATCAAGGGGAAACCACACCGGAAAATGCTGGGATCGAACACCCGACCTTCAGGCTAGCGAGCCAGCGTCTTACCCACTTAGCCACGTGATCCCCATAAAAAAGCAAAGCCAGCTACCATTTAATTTTTGTACGTTAGTTACGTACGATCCACGAAGGCCGTAACGTTTCGACATAGTAACCGGTCGGAGTCGATTTTTGATGAACGTCGAACACTGTAAGACCCATACGATAATACGAGATTCAGTCAAGAAATCAGACCATTTCTTCATCAAAGTTACGGCTGATGTATGATAAACTGCCCCCAACACTCGAAGAAAATGGATCATATAATCCTCATCCTAGCCTGACCCAAATTTAAATGCGCTTTGGTGGAGCCAAAACGCAAAATATCGTATACGGAAACTACCCATTAATATACACACCAAATTATCAAATAATTATAGTCAGGGGTCGAACGTCGAAGACGTTTCTCGATTAACCGGCAACAAAAAGAAAAGCAGCGGCTGCCAGGCAGGATACGCCCACATTTTGCAAGAGATGGATAGAGAACAAGCTGAAAACAAAAATGTTTTTTTTTGTACTGGGGCCATAATCCAGAAAGTTATGGTCAGAAATGCGCAAATATCAAGGGACTGGGATTTTTGAAATATTAAGATATGTTTTAAGTTTCATCAAAATTGGATATAAATTGTGACCTCTAGTGGGTCCATAACAATCTGATTCACAGAGAATTGCGAGTCTTCTAATACCTTTGTAAAAAAATTACTGCTTTTAACACGTGCCGTCACAGCATTGATGTCACCCTTATCAGTGATTGGACTAGCGAATATTCACTTCTGATCAGTGTGGGTCATACTTATTATCCAATTTGCATATAAAGAGCGGCCATTTTGTCGGGCAGTTTCATTTCGATTTTCTCGAAATTCCAATTCAACCTTCATTATGGTGGAATGGTGATATATCTAAACGGTTTTTAAAATCGGAAAAAAAAATTGTGACCTCTAGAGAATTCACAAGCTAAAAATGCGATTTTTCGAACAGTTAGGGACCATAATCCAGGAAGTTACGATCCAATTTTATTATTAATATGCGCGAATATCGAAAGTAGCCAAGCTCTTTGGGTTATTAACATGCATCAAAATCGGATTAAAATTGTGACCTCTACAGGTCCACAACCTTGATATACCATATTTTTTACACTATTCGCGAAGCGGCGGCCATTTTGTCCGGCAGTTTTTGTCCGAATTTCAGGAAGTTACGATCCGATATGCGCGAATATCGAAAGGAACCAAGATCTTCGGGTTGTAAACATGCCTTTCAAGTACTGATCAGCACTATCTGCTACACTAAAAGAATTAATTGTGATACCGGCCCGGTATCCAATTAATATTTGTACAATGTACCGCGGGGCTGGATAAAACTGAATAAAATTCTTATTCAATTCAAACTAAAATAGTCCTAAATCATTTACGGGATAAATTATTTTCTATGAACTTGAATTGGACAAATTTTGTCGGGGAATTTTGACCATGGCTTTCTCTATAATCTGAAGAATTTGGGCCGCTTATTACACTATATATAATATAAATAACATAGTATAAATTCATAACACTCTTGAATGAACTAAATGTACTACCGGTATTAGTAGAGTATTACCCTAATCTACGCATGTAAATTATCGGTGATCCATATCTCACGTGGTTTTTACACCATCACGTGATTCATAAGGAAAGACTGAATCAGTTGGATATTTTCGTTTGACAGAAGTAAGACTGCTGAACACTGAGTCGTGTTTACAGACAAAAATTATGATTGTTAAGATAGTATTGGTTGTTTGTTCACTGTTAGTTATTGTAGAAGGTGGAAAATGTCCCTGTGCTACACAAGATTTATGTGATCCTATAACTAACACTACAAGAAGAGAGGTGAGTCTTTATTAATAATAGACATCATAAAATGATCGTAGCCCATACACTCCGATAGCAATTGGGGCACCAGCTAGTTGTGGGCTTAATTTTATTTTTCATAGATTTTGAAATATTGGACCCAGCTAGGGCCCATGAGATGGGTTGGGGGAGACAGCTGATACACTTGTCGAGGGGCCCAAAGCATATAGAGGGCCCAAAGGTATACCCAGTAATGTTTTAAAAGAAATTTGTTGGTATAAAGTCATAAAAAATACAGTATACACGGTTACTTGATCGTAAAGTAGAAGAAAACAGTGATTTTCTGAATGTGGGTACTTAGTGGGATGGGTAAGATTAGAATCAGATTCTGTCAGTTCACTTTTTTTTTGAAAAATTGGTAAATTAAAAACTCTAAGCCACCTGCCAGGGCCCCCTTTATTTGGCCATCAGAATTTTTTATTTCCCAATCTTAAAGTTCCTTGATTAAAACAATATAATGCAGTTATGTCACTTTCAAAAAATGTTTGCGACCTCTGACCCTGCATAGACCTTCTGACCCTCATATCCCCTTAAGGACTCCACTTTCAGAAAACCTGCATAATGTCACGGCCACGGCACTGGTCCAGCTGTTTAATCTGATTGTTATTTTTTTATATTTCACATTATGTATGAGTTAAATTGAAATAAAAAAGATGTTTTATTTTCTTGCAGGTGTTTATCTTCTCTTTAAACAATGATAGAAATAGTTGGGAGAAATATGATTTTACAAAAGTTACTACTGTGGTTATGGTCGGATATGACAGTCCAGAATTAATGTGCCATGCTCACAAATTTGGAGTACGTGCTGTTACTATTGGTAAGTAGAACTTTTTATCGGAGTGTGTTACTTGTTGGTTTACGAAATAGGATTGATATTAACGTTAAATTTATGTTAACATTTGTCTAGCCTGGAATTAAAACTGATATTAACACTAAATTATATTAATATTTGTGTCTAGCCGACGAAAGGGATTGATCCCAAGCCTGGAATTAAGACAGATATTAACACCAAATTTATGTTAATATTTGTGTCTAGCAGACGAAAGGGATTAATCCCAAGCCTGGAATTAAGGCACCTGACACTGACAATGTCTGGCACAAATTTAGGCTTTGTCTGGCACAAACCTAGGATGCTTGTCATTTTGTCTGGCACTGATTTGGTTTAAGACTTTATAATACTTTCACAGAACCATTTCACTTCTTCTATGTAGAAATGTAATTAGGCATAAAACTATTTTAGAACTGATTGTTTTCTATTTCCCAAACCCTCGGTTCAGACAGCCAAATGAATTTTTGTATATGAAGAAAAGTCGACCTCAAAATGCCCAAGTTTTAAAGGGTTAACTTGGAGAGTTATCTGTACATTCCTTCTAGACTCTTAATCCATGAACAAGATTTAGCTAAACCTTTGGTATGAAGCACATGTTTAGATTGTTGAGACTAGAGCAAACTGTTAAATCTTTTGTTTATCTGTCCCCATGGTGACTGCAATGTTTCACCTGGTAAATAAAAAATAAAGGTTACCTTGACTTGAAATGGATATTCATTTTATGCTTTTCCGAGTTTAGTATGTTTGGGATTTCTAAAATCACCTGTGTTGTTATTGAAGAGAAATGAAAATGAAATAAAATGGGGTTTAACGTCCTACTGTTTTGCTCCGAACTGGGCTAATGAAGACGAGCAAAAGCCATACAGTGTGCTATGAGGGGAATTTCGCACGGACAGCGGCACTACGGCCTACTCATATATTGAATTGGAACTGTCAAGGGATCCTTTACATGCACGCCAATGTGTACACGGGACCTCAATTTTTCGTCGCAAATGACTAGACAGCTGTCCTTGTCAGGCCCTCCATCCTGCATCACTGACAACGGGAAACCACGGCGGAAAATCTGAATGAATTTTCTCGGCCAATGCAGGGATCGAACACCCGACCTTCCAACCTAGTGAGCCAGCATCTTACCCACTTAGCCACCGTGATCCCCGTTATTGAAGAGAAAACGAGACATAAAGTATTTCAGCCCACTACACCATTTTTTTCAGAGCACGGTTTTCTTATTTTCGAAGCACGTTATTTTAGGCCCTGGAGCGAGACACTGGCTCACTAACCAGGACGTCGCGGGTTCGCTCCCGTTGTTGGGTGAGAATGTTCCTTGAGATTTTCAGGTGCAGGAAAATCCCTTGACAGTTGTAATTTGAAATAAGAGTAGATTGTAGTGCTGCTGTCCGGGAAAAATTTACCTCATATTGCAGACGATATGGTGTAAGTCGGTCTTCATTAGCCGAGCCGGTGCAGAAAAGTAGGATGTTAAACCCCATTTCGTTTTATATTTCAATTGATAATAGAAATTGTTATTTAGCTATCAATAGAAATGAATATATACTTTTACTTCCTAGCTTAATAAATACTTATGAATGGGTTTTTTTTCTGCATTGTATTCCTTATAAAGTTGATGTTCCTTTTTGATGAGGAAAAGATGGGACACCTAGAAATCTACATCTAGAAATCTACATGTAAACTTTTTTTCTTTTATTGAAAGGATTATGAATGAACTTTTCATCTTTCAGCCAATTATCCTGTTGAAAAACTCACAAATGCTGCAGCTCGTACAGTATGGGTAAATAAAATGTTGGCAATTGTCAAAGAAAATTTCTTAGATGGAGTAAATATTGACTTTGAAGATCCGATATCTAAGAATGAAGTGAATTTAGAGAGAGGATATACATCTCTGGTAGCGGAAGCTAATCAAAGATTTAAACAAGAATTACCCTACTCTCAGGTGATTTATATTTTCAAATTCTTCCTCTTTTATATAGTGGTGGAAATTTTAGTCTTTTTAAAGCAAAAAATCTGTAACAGTATTATTAAAAAAGATGAATCCTATGAAATTCTAAATTATCAATGTCCCAAGAAGAGGAATATCAATGGTATCTGCACTCAAATAGTAAAAAAAATACAAATTACACAGTTGAAATATTTGACAATAGCTCATTTATGTTCACATCTGTTTTATACTCACACCTGTTTTATGCCCATCCCTGTTTTATGCTTACCCCTGTTTATGCTCCCCCTGTTTTATGCTCACACTTGTTTTATGCTAAGAAAAAAAAAAATACAACACAATTAATATGGAATACAATCACTGGTTTAATTATACACATATAGCACGTCGTTTCGACAAGTATTCTCTTATCGTACGATAACGATAAGAGAATACTTGTCGAAATATCGTGCTATATGTGTAAAAACCAGTGATTGTATTCCATATAAATTGTGTTGTGTTTTTTAATGTGCTCAATCACTAAATGCCACTCAAATGCTCACATTTGTTTTTTGCTCACACCCGTTTTATACTCAAATCTGTTTTATGCCACCCCTGTTCTATGCTCACCCCTGTTTTATGCTTGTCGCTGTTTTATGCCCATCCCTGTTTTATGCCCATCCCTGTTTTATGCTCATCCCTGTTTTATGTCGACCCCATTTATTATGCTCACACTTGTTTCATGCTTTATTAATGGGTCAGATATGTGAAAGAATTTTGAGATATGTGTTAATGTTAAAAGTATGAATTTGGATTGTTACACTATTGTGACTATATAATTGATTATTTCTTGGTTAAAATGAAATTCATGGCATATTAGATTTAAATTAATGTCACTGAAATTATAGAAAGTAGATTTCAACAAAATTACAAATATTTGTATATTTATTTTGTATGTAGAACTGATAACAAGCTGTCTATCTCTCAGTTTTTTTATGGAGTATGGAGAATATTCTCACTCATAGTAACTTAGTTTTAATTCTGAGCCAGCTTGATTGGAATATTATTGTATATTGTATCACTAACTTGAAATGGAATGAAAATACCGACATTTACAGAATTGGAACTATTTTTTTCTGTTTTTAAGATAACTGTTGATGTAGCATGGAGACAGCCTTGCATTGATGATAGATGCTATGATTATTCTGGACTATCAGCAGTTTCTGATTTTGTTTTTGTAATGGCATATGATGAACGGTCCCAGATTCTTGGAGAATGCATTGCTGGTGCCAATTCACCACTTGTAAATGCTCAGTTAGGTATGCAGCAAACTGCATGATTAGGTGGAGAATTCTGCCGTATACTGGAATTTTTATTAGATTGTGAATATTACCTAAAATAATATTTAGCTACTTTGTAGATCCCTAGTTGAGAGAGAGAAATAGTTTTTTTTAATGTCCACTTGACACAAATTAGGTAATTTCGGCACTAACATATGGAACAATTATATTTCAATAATTAGTAGTGGGAGAAATTGTGGACACTGAGAAAACAGACGAGGTTGGGCAGCCAACCATACTCCTTGTCACGTACAAGCTTGGGATCAAAACCATGCCACTTGACTCAATAACAGAATTTATAATCAAAAGCACACTAGACCACTTGAGTCAAGTGATCGACTTGACCATCCAACCCCCCACAGATCGCTAGTTGAACATAAACCCAAGGCCCCATGGTAATCTATGTATGTTATGATGTATGTTTTGTTAAATTGTTGCAAGCATCAATACAATATTCCAACAACTGGACCTGTCACAGCAAGAATGTAATATACCTTCTCACCTGTAATCTATGTCACAAGCAATATGTAGGCGAAACTAAAAGACTGTTCCGCATTAGGCTGAAGGAACACTACGCTGATATTACCCATAGGAGAGACACCCCAGTCGCCTCCCACTTCCATTTACCGAGACACTCCAGTCGAAACCTTGACTATCAAATAATTAAACAACTTGGCACAGACCCTGAGCTATATACTTCTACTACCAATAGACGCACAATCGAATTACATTGGATTATAAGATTAAAACCCTTTCGACCACACGGTATCAACGACAAAATCTGAACTTGCCCCCCCCCCTTTTCTTTGTTTTACATCAATACAATAAATATATGTTTAATTTTATCAACAATTTACATTTTATTCCTGTGAGTGATTGTGTAGCTAGGTGCCCCATACCCTTGCTTTGCCCGTGGGCCTATAATGCAAATAAGACAAGCCTGCATAAATCTTTGATAGATTTGTTGTCTAAATCTTGTGCTTACCTTAATATTATAATTCAGTTCCAGTGTGATAGTAGGAATGTACATATAGGTGACAAAGAATATGGTTCTCTATGAAACAGTTATAGCTCCTTTTTCAAAAATTTTAACAACTCTTTGAAACAGGAATTTATCATTTGTTTTCTGAAAGGAAATAGCTTAGTTATTTTCTGTATTTTTAATAGATACAAATAGATTTGAACACTTTTTCTATTGTAAGATATTTTTGTATTACCAGGTATTGAAAGTTATTTGAGTTTAAATATACCAGCATATAAGATGGTATTAGGAGTTCCATGGTATGGTTATCGTTATAAATGTTTAAAACTTGTAGAGGTAAGGACAGATTGGCGACCCGGTCTGCCAATTTAGAATTGATAGCAGAAATTGATTATTTAATCATTTTTGACATCCATCTAGTCATTTTGATGGTCACATCTCTTGGTATAGCTGAAGTGGGTATTGTAGTCGTGGAGGTGGGGTGGGGACGAGAACTGTCAGTCCATGATGCTCTTGGTCTACTGCTTTCAAAAATAAAGGTGATACAATTTACTTTTTTCACGAAAACAATGTTTTTTATTTAACAGTTTAAGGATGTTTGATTTGTATTGTGTAATGCGTGGTGGTTGTGGTCGGTGGTCAAATACTTTTAATGACCTAACTATCATCTTTTTTACATTTAAATATATTAAAATCTCCCAATTACAATTTTTAAGTTTTGTTACCATTTAGTCCATGCTAACACCTGTTAGACAGTGTCTAGTTGTTAATTAACTATTTTTGGTCTCTGAATAATTTTGACAGGATGTAAAATTTCATTTCGTTTAAATACATACAATACACATGTAACTCAGACACTGATAGCTACATGTATTTGAACTTCACAATATTGAAGAAGTGGTATCAGATGTTCTTGAATAGACTAAGCTTAAAGTTAGTAATATTTTGTATATTTATCCATCCATGCGTTATTTCAGAATAAATGCTCAATAGAAAAAAAAGCAGCTTCAAGGTGTAATATTTTGTTTATTTCTTCATACATTAATTATTTCAGAATAAATGTTCAATAGAGAAGAAGCCGTTTCGAGGTGTACCATGTAGTGATGCTGCCGGATCACAGATAGATTATCGTGCTATTGCCATACTTGTTAAAAAGAATCATATCAAGATTAATTTTGACAATTCTACAATGACACCATTCTTTAATTATCAGGTATAAAATATGTCATGTTATATTTATTCCTTTAGTGACTGTCACAAAATTTCAACAAATTTCAACATTTGCGTCCAAACAAATAATCCACGGATAGATCTTGAACCACCCACGCTGACATGCACATCTGCTCCAATGGAGTAAAATAATGTTATGTCAAATTTATTATTTTATATGGCTTGACAAAAAGTTAATATTGTGTTAGAAATACTCCTTTAAAGCCAGGAGCAATGGTGGTGCAGTGAATTAGGCGCTGGCTTGCTAACCAGTGTTGGCCATGAATGTACCTCAGGAAATTCCAGCTTGGTTCAGGGAACATGACAATTTCCCTCAGAGCCAGAGTTTATGCAGAAAAGTGGGACTTTAAACCCTGTTTGATTTCATTTTCTTTAAATAGGCTACTGACATTTATAAATATTGAGTTTAAGACCAAACACAATCAAAATTACTTATATTAAACAAGCAACTTTGTTGATCAAATCGATCAGTTCTAATTTAATAGACATGGCAAGGTTTGGGGGCAAAGGTTCGGAAAAGTGGACATTGAAATATTTATGAAACATTTTCTTTTTATTTCACTGGAACAATAATAGTTTATCCTATCATCTTGTAAGATGTGGGGAAAATATATTCTACAAAATATTATACTGTGGTGTTTTTCACCACAAGAGTTCCACAAGATATTGAACTTAGAAAAAAAATCATTTTTTTTTTCCAAAAAATTCTTCTCAGACCTCCCTATTTGCCTGTGTGGTACACCACATTCCACAAAATTTTCGACTTAGAATAATTTTGATACAGTGTTTTTGGTCTGTGGTGTTTTTCACCTCAAGAGTTCCACAAGATATTGTACTTAGACACAAAACACTGTATCAAAATTATTCTAAGTAGAAAATTTTGTCGAATGTGGTACCACACAGACACATAGGGAGGTCTGAGAAGAAAAAAATATTTTTTTTATCTAAGTCGAAAATCTTATGGAATGTGGTACCACATCGCCAGATTGGTTTAACGTGTGGGCTTTAGATGATAAGGTCTGTCTGTCATTGAGTCAAGTGACATGGTTTTGATTCCCATCTTGTACATAACAAGTCACCTGTATTTTCTTCTGGTCCTATGGTTTCCAGTTTCCCCCCCCCCCCCCCCCCACTGCTAAAGACTATTACTGTAGTAGTACTACGCGCAAGCGAATTATTGAAATAAACTTGGACCATATTATTATGTTAGTCCCAAAATAACCTAATTTGTGTCGAGTGGATGTTAAACCCCATTTCTCTCTCTCACCTTTTACATTAAAATAGCAAATGGTCTGACTTGTATTTTAAGTATAAATTATTAAAAAAATGACATTGAGGAAGTAAACCAGGATGTACATGTTTTGTAAGTGAGTTATGTCCATTAAAATTTGAATTTAGGGAAAACCCACACTCACTAAATGTTAGTGAAAGTTTAATGAAATAAAGTGGTTTAAAAGGCATTAGTTATTTTCCTGTCAGTAAATAAATGTTGATAATACTTTAAGTAGGTCTATGATTATTTGACATTAATCAAACTTTAAACACTAAATCTCCTGGCTTAGATTCAATCAGATTTAAACTAGGCCGATTAGGCTTCTTCACTGCCAATAAAGAGAGAGAGAGAAATGGGGTTTAACATCCACTCAACACAAACTATGTCATTTCGGGACTAACATATGGTTTAATTTTATTCCAATAATTCGCTGGCGCGTAGGGGTCTTTAGCAGTGGGAGGAAACCGGAGGACCCGGAGAAAACCCACGAGGTTGGATAGGCGACCCTACTCCTTGTCACGTACAACCGGGGATTCGAAACCACGCCAGTCGACTCAATGACAGACTTTATGATACAGCGCGCGCACGCTAACCAATAAAAGATGGCACCATCTTCTTACATAATAGTGAACAGCATAAATTGATGAGATTTCAATTCATCATAACTTTGTAAATACTGAATGGAATTGAATCATTTTTGGGCTGATATTCCTATTAGAGATTAAACTTTCACAACGTGTTAGTTTACAAGGGGTTCTTATAGCGCTAAATGACGCATCAAGCCTTTAAGGAATATTTGATCAAAGTACAGATACAGATACACAGCATCCTCCCCACCTTATTTATCTGTCAAATTATTTATATATGTCAACTGTATTATTATACAGATTGGCAATAATGTATTGTTATAATAATGTATTGTTTTATTATAGTAATATATTGTTATAATAATGTAGTGTATTATTATAGTAATGTATTGTTATAATAATGTATTGTTATAATAATGTATTGTTAAATCATGTATTATTATAATAATGTATTGTATTGTTATAATAATGTATTGTTTTATTATAATAATGTATTGTTATAGTAATGTATTGTATTATTATAATAATGTTTTGTATTATTATAGTAATGTATTGTTATAATAATGTATTGTTTTATTATAATAATGTATTGTTATAGTAATGTATTGTATTATTATAATAATGTATTGTATTATTATAATAATGTATTGTATTATTATAATAATGTATTGTATTATTATAATAATGTATTGTGTTATTATAATAATGTATTGTTATAATAATGTAATAATTTATTGTATTATTATAATAATATATTGTTATATTAGTTCATCCAGATTTTCCGGCGTGGTTCTCCCTTGTCAGTGATGCAGGATGGAGGGGCTGACAAGGAAAGCTGTCTAGTCGTTCGGATGGGACGAAAAACCGAGGTCCCGTGTACACATTGGCGTGCACGTAAAAGATCCATTGACAGTTGGAATTCGATATAAGAGTAGGCCGTAGTGCCGCTGCCCGGGCAAAATTTCCCTCATAGCACACTGTATGGCGTATGCCCATCTTCATTAGCCCAGGTTAGGAGCAGAACAGTAGGACGTTAAACCCCATTTCATTTCATTTATTGTTATATTAATGTATTGTTTTATTATAATAATGTATTGTTATAGTAATGTATTGTATTATTATAATAATGTATTGTATTATTATAATAATGTATTGTGTTATTATAATAATGTATTGTTATAATACTGATTGTTATAATAATGATTGGCATAATTTTAATTGTCTTCTTTTAGGATGCCAGTAATACAACATATCAAATTTGGTTTGACGGACCTAGGAGTTTAAAACTGAAGTATAGCCTGGCCGATAAGTATGGATTAAGAGGAGTTGGTATGTGGAATGCTGATTCATTAGATTACAGTGATACCATCAGTGCTCAATTACAGAGAAAAGAAATGTGGGGAGCACTACCTAACTACAGGAATGATTTCAATTAGATCTCACATAGGCCATACAAAAAAATATTCTGGTTCTCAGAAGTTTTTATTTTTGTGTCTTTATTTTATCAAAGTGTCACTGATTCACTACTTGGTTAAATGACTTCTTAATTCTCATACACATCAAATGTCAAGGCACTACATTATATCATCATGTTGTTTATAGGAGTGTATGATTATCCAGTATCATTTATGATTGCCATCAGGGTTGCGTACTTGATAAATGAGCCTATGGGTCCATTCAGATTTTTTTTATAGATTTACTTTCTGTAACCTGGGTGAAATATTTATGTGTGGTAATTAATAAGGCTGATTTTTTTTTCAAAATAAAAACAATTCATGCAGTCCTTTTTAAGTGATGAAGGATTATCTAAGAACCAGAATATATTTTTTATATGGCCATATTTATCTCTGTGTCACATATATCTGCTTGTTAAGTTTAAAAGCTTTTATTGGTGCAAATCATATTTCTTTTTTTTAATATACTACTATATTTTTAATCTAGTTGTATTCTTATGTAACATTATGTTTGTCTGGTCATCTAGCTGATCTGTTGGTTACAGCAAAGCCATACAGAGAGATTCTGGCCAATTTGTAATGTGCATCAAAATGGTTTTGTGTCTGATCTTATGTGCTGGCCAAGTACAGATTCTTACACAGTTCCAACCTCTGACCCACTGTATCTTATGTACAACCATCATTCAGTTTGTTGTCAACGGGGGTTTGGATGGCCAAATAGTTAGCATGTGCGCGCTGTATCATAAGATCTGTCATTGAGTCAATTGGCGCGGTTTCGATTCCCTGGTTGTACCTGACAAGGAGTAAGGTCGCCTGTTCAACCTTGTAGGTTTTCTCCAGGTCCTCCGGTTTCCTCCCACTGCTAAAACCCCTACGCACTAGCAAATTATTGAAATAAAATTGACCCATATGTTAGCCCCATAATGACCTAGTTTGTGTCAAGTGGACGTTAAACCCCATTTCTTAATCTCTCTTTTGTTTTCAATGACACCCATTATTTAATATTTGTTTAGGTCTAATGTTGATTTATTAAATCAACAGATTGGGTAAAAAAATGGCTGGAAATGGCCAGAGGTTTTTTATAGTTTTTGTTCCTCACTTGGATTCTTTAGTGATCTTTCATAAGGATGATGCCTATCAAAAATAATTGTGGTTATTCCCCTTGCCATTGAAGCATTTGAATCACCATATGGGTCAGTGTTAATTATTACTGTCAACATGCTGGATTGATTGGCAAGTGATCAGACAAATTTGATTAAAGTTTGGTTCATAAAAATCTTGTAATCACTCTGCAGGTCAGAGTTTTTGAGATCTTTCTTTGGAGCTGGCTGGCACAGAGGATTGCTGAGTTAGTGAAACCATGAATCTTATAATTCATATATAAGGTCCATGGTGAAATGGAGGAGTTTAAACGAATTTTCCACACTATTTTAGTCAGTATTTACTTCTTTAATTCAATCAAGAACCTTTTCATGTTTTGGGGTGTATGATTTGTTGCCTGGCAACATAAAGCTTCTTTTTTTATCCTGTGCCTGTGTTCAGCTATATACTGGTATTATTTATTATATTTTATAACATTTACGTTACTTTTTTTAGAAAATGAAGCAAGCAAATTCAGTTCATTTCCATTTTATGGACGTATCTGGTGATGGGTTTTCTAAAGTTATTTTTATATTATAATTGACATAACTATGAAATAATTGACATTCAGTCTTCGGTCGCTTTGATTTTTTACTACCTGTAATTTATTACAGAACACAATCTTTATGGAAAAAAATAAAAAATAACAGGTTGTATTATTATAATAAAATGATTCCCATAACAAATTGTGTTCTGTAATATAATATTTATCACAGTCAACCTTATTTATCAAAATATGGAGTGGCAGTTCATCCATAAAGTTTTATTTCCAATTTGATTAGTTAGTCTGTAGAGACATATTGGTATCTGTTTAGAGAACAAAACCTTTTTTAAGTTTTATGAAAATCTGTTTCATATCATGGTTTGTCCACAAGTAGGCTTTATATTGAACCATGCTATGTTTCTCATACTCAGACAAATCCATACCATTGTAGACATTCCATACATATCTTTTAAGTACAATGTATTGTTTTTGTGTAATACAATGTAACTTTCAAGTTATAGTTTGTTAATGATGTGTCTGTGATGTCTGTTAATAATGTAATATTTTATCAAATCAGTCTATTAATTATTTAACTGTTCATTGTGTTTTATTAAATTAGTTTAGTTATTCCTCAGTTCATCAGTTGTGCATATGTCATTTAATAGTGATCAATAATCCATTCATTTTTCATCAGTTCATTAATTATGCATATGTCTATTAATAATATAGTGAGTTTATTAATATGTAGCCTAACCATGTCCATTAATTATGTATCTGAGACCTGAGTCTATTAATTAATTACCAGTATTTATTTTTTGGAATTCACATTGTTAATTACAGGCCTTATTAAAAATGAAATCGGGTTTAACATCCTAATTTTCATTACCAACTGGGCTAATGAAGACATAATTTTTGTCCCATCCGCATGACTCGACACTGTCCTTGCCAGGCCCTCTGTCTTGCAAAGACTGACAAGGGGAAACCACGCCAGTAGATCCTCCAACACTGAGCAAATCCGAAACCTCTAGGTTAGCAAACCAGCATCTTACTCATGAGCCTGGTTTCCCCTTGTCAGTGATGCAGGACAGAGGACCTGAGACAAGGACAGCTGTCTAGTCATTCGGATGGGACGAAAAAATCAAGGTACCGTGTACATATTGGCGTGCACGTAACAGATCCCTTGGCAGTTGGAATTCGATATAAGAGTAGGCCATAGCGCCGCTGCCCTGGCAAAATTTCCCTCAAAGCATCCTGTATGGCGTATACCCGTCTTCATTAGCCCAGTTTAGGAGCAGAACAGTAGGACGTTAAACCCCATTTCATTTTATTTCAATTACTCATGAGCCACCCTGGCTCCCGATCTTATTAGATTAGTTAACTAATTATATATCCAAGTACGTAAGTCGGAGCAGAACAGTAAGACATTAAACCCCATTTCATTTCACATTAGTTAAGTATTATTGTATAGGTAATTAATTATAGTGATGCAATTAATATTTTATGGAAAATCTACTTTTGTTTTGTTTGTATCTAAACAATTTTATTTTGTTTATCTTGATCAAATTGAAATTGTACAATTGTGTTCATTCCTGATAAAGATAGTGTTTTCAAAAAGAGGACTCTTATTCACCCAAGTAACAGTTTAAATTGTTTACATTTGTTCACCAGGGGCCTGTTTCACAAAAATTTTAACTAAGATAAAATCCAAATTTTAGTAATTTGATTGGATAATATTAGATTGATTTTAGTGCTTAACCAATCAAAATTGAAGTATCTACTCAAATTTGGATTTTATCTTCAGTTAAGATTTCGAGAAACAGGGCCCAGTTCTTAGCCATATCAAACATATATTTCATACTAGTAATATCATTTTATATGTAATCTTTCAGAAAATATGTTTTTTTGAATTCATTGTTGAATTAAATCAAATTAAATTTTTATGTGTAGTCTTTCAAAAATATATTTTTTATAAATTCATTGTTGGAATTAAATTAGTTATGCCAAATTGATGTTTTTGTTTCAATATTGAGATACGTGTCAAAAAATTGTTTGTCTGTATATAACAGTGTGTTCATCTTTATCTTGTGAACGTTATGAAGAGAGTGCACACTTAGCAACAAATAATAGCAACACGCCAACACATCCTTTAATCTGCACACGTCATGTTCATAAAGTTGGTTTGACGGTTCCAACCACCATTGACATTCATAAAGCAATTTTGATTTGCTATTAACCATTCATATAATAATAATGCTGTTCACATGTGATGATTTCTTATATATTACATGAAAATCATATGCAACGAGCAAGGCTCTATTCTAAATTATCCCAGCATTTTCAGAATTTTTCAAGCCTGGCTATCTTTTAATAATGGCTGACAAGGAAAGTGTGCCTAGTGTACGTGAAAGAATCCTTGACAGTTGGAATTCAGTAAAGAGTAGACAGAAGTGCTTCAGTTCGAGTAAAATTCTCTTCACGCAATTACTACATTTCTGACTGAAAATGGGAAATTGGAGGATTCTTAATACAGATTACAGAAAATCACCCCAATCACCCCTAATGTAATTAAGAACAATAGAAAATATATTACAACGTATTTGAAAATGGATTGCTAAAAATATTTTCAAATTGAAACAAAATTTACATTGGAATCCCCATTTATTGCTTTTCACAGTCCAGACCAAGTTGTGGACCTTCAAATTATAAACCCCTGAATTATTCACACATATTGTTTGAACTCGCGTTGCTGGCTTCTGTTTATACTATTCGAGCACCCTGTCAGTGTTGTTGGGGTTACCAGGGTGTGTAGGCCTAGTGCTGATCAACTGATTGTTGAGATCTATGTTCTGGTATCCATATCAGAGGTGACTAGGATGTCTTGTCTTGTGCGGGATTGTGATGTTGTTTCGGTTCAGAACAATAAAGGGAAACTATATACACATAAGTGATTGTGTAATGTCTATGAGAGGGTCATAAGACCAAGTATAAATCCCAAATTTAGAACAACCAGAGGTAGGAGGTTGTAGAACAAAGTAAAATAAAGTTGGGTTACTCTATTTTATTTTGTTGTTGATTAATTCCTGATGGGGGCAGTATGTTGAATTACACTGTATTCCACATTTAAAAACCTTACCACATCATGCAATCAATGACAATATCTAAAGTTGGCCACCATATTACTTTATGTGACATATATTTAGTTATCAATCATTTCTCTATTAACCAGGTGATATCTAATCAGTTATCATTTACCTTGACCCATTTATTACCATGAGCAGCAGGTGTTAGTTTGTCTAATGTCCGTCCCATGTACATATTGACAGGCAGGTAAATGAAGCCTTGTTGTTAGAATTTGATATAAGAGTAGGCAGTAGTGCTGCTGTCCAGGCAAAACTTCCCTCAAAGCACACTGGATAGCATATGCTTTCTTCATTAGCCCAGTTGGTGCAGAAAATTGGACGGTAATCCCATTGCATTTTAATGTCAGGGATAATCTAATGTGTACCAGTTTACATTTAGTTAGCTATCATCTAGTGTTTACCAGTTAGGCTATCATCTAGTGTTTACCAGTTTCTATCACCTAGTGTTTACCAGTTAGGCTATCATCTAGTGGTTATAATTATTTAATATGCAGAGCATGTGTATATCTGCATGGTGGCTGACAAATTGATAGACCCTTCCCACCTCCACTCACCTACTTTTCTTGGGGCATTTAAGCCCCCCCCCCCCAAACCCCGCCCAAGTATATCTCACCATGTTACATTCACCTTTATTCACATGATTTGAATATCAATATAAAGACTGTTTTTTATTCAATTATACATTAATAAGTTCAGCATATCAATAAATCAAAAAACATAAACTCATATAATCCTTGAGTGGCACTTAGCAATTGAGCACATTAAAAAACACAACATATGTGTATAAACCAGTGATTGTTTTCCATATAAATTGTGTTGTGTTTTTTAATGAGTTAAACCTCATTGATTTAGGGGGGGTTGGATGGCAGAATGGTTAGCACCTGCACGCTGTATCATAAGGCCTGTCATTGAGTCAATTTGCGTGGTTTCGAATCCCTGGTTGTACGTGACAAGGAGTACGTGTAGGGTTTCCTGTCCAATCTCGTGGGTTTTCTCCAGGTTCTCCGTTTTCCATCCCACTGCTAAAGACCCCTACGCGCAAGCGAATTTTTGAAATAAAAATTAAACAATATGTTAGTCCCGAAATAACCTAGTTTGTGCCGAGTGGACGTTAAACCCAATCTCTCTCTCTCTCTCTCTCTCTCTCTCTCTCTCTCTCTCTCTCATTGATTTAGAGCAGAATGAATTATGTTAAACCTCAATGATTTAGAGCAGATTGAAGTATGTTGATACAATTATATTTTGGTTAAATGATGTTAAGCTGGAAACAAAATCAGATGTATCTAAACACTGGAGACCTGATATTTTAAATAAAGACTGATCTCCACTTAATTAAACAAATAAACACATCTAATTCAGTAAAATGGACGCTTTTTCTATAACCAGATCAAAAATAGCTCACCTAAACTAAGTTTCGGTCATGCATGTTTTCAATGTGTATCTTTTGTTACATGAAATAATAGATCTATTGTAAAATGTCTTAACAGAAATGATTTTATGTCACATGGTTTTCTTGTCATATGATATCATTTATACAATAGACCAACAATAAGTAATATTATTTAGAGCATATCACTGAACACTGAAGTATATATAACAGTTTGATATTGATGTTGATGTTTATATAGTTTCACAGTCAAGATATGATTATTAAGATAGTATTGGTTGTTTGTTCACTGTTAGTTATTGTAGAAGGTGAAACATGTCCCTGCCATGATGCACCAGATTTATGTAATCCTATAAAAGACACAACCAGAAAAGAGGTTAGTCTTTAATATTCTGTTCTCTGGGGAATGGAATCTTACTTTTCTGTACTGACTGGTCTACTGAAGACAGGCATACATCAACCAAACAGTCTGCAATGATGGAAAGTTTGCCCGGATAATGAGCAAGCCAATGTGTGGACACTGTCCTTGACGGGCCCTCCATCACTGACATGGGGAAACCGCACTGGAAAATCATGAGGATCTTTCTCAGATTACACTGGGAGCGAACCCAATACCTCCTGGTTAATGGAGGCAGCATCATAGACACTGGCTTCCCTTCTTGTTAACTAAAGCTTACTATGAAAATCTGAATTCTTATTGGGTTTCAGTGTATATCTAGGGAAGCTTAGAATGTGTCTCGGGGGGTTGGATGGCTGAATGGTTAGCGTGCGCGCGCTGTATCATACAGTCTGTCATTGAGTCGACTGGCGTGGTTTCGAATCCCCGGTTGTACGTGACAAGGAGTCGTGTCGTCTGTCCAACCTCGTGGGTTTTCTCCGGGTCCTCCGGTTTCCTCCCACTGCTAAAGACCCATACGCGCAAGCGAATTATTGAAATAAAATTAAACAACATGTTAGTCCCGAAATGAGTTAGTTTGTGTCGAGTGGACGTTAAACCCCATTTCTCTCTCTCTAGAATGTGTCTCAGGTCATGATTCATATTGACTTTAGTCAGGGGGATTCCCATGATTCATTTACAGGAGGTATATGAGTGTTATGCCTAAGTAAAGGTTGAAAGTTCAATTCCTGAGCAGACAGAAGCATTCTATCATATTAGCCCAAACTTATAGATAAGATACATGTATCATGTATTCAGTGGCAGCACCATAGTTCCCAATCCGCAACCACGCCCACGTACCCACCATCAGATGGCCTAAAAAAAATAATAATGATTGATATACATGTATTTACTTTTCATTCGAAACTAGCCATATCGAAGCTCCATCCGACAATTTTCCTTCTCTCTGATTAAAATGAAAAGTTAATGAGTTGATCTGTCAATTCTGCATACGGGAATCTTCTTACATTAGGCCCCTCATCCTATTCTATGTTTTCGCTTCCCTGCTTGTATGTGACAAGGAGTAGGTTCACCTGTCCAGCCTTATGGGTTTTCACCTGAGTCCTCCGGATTCCTCCCACACAAGTTAATTATTGAAATATTATTGAACCAAATGTTAGTCCCTAAATGACCTGGTTTCTATTTAGTGGACCTAAAACCCCATTTCTCACTCTCCCTCACTCCTATTCTATGCTATTTGCATATGTAAATAAGTGGAGTTCTGATTCTCCAAAAAATCTCGACCTGATTTTATGGCACTTGGTTATTCCTCTTTTCAGGTATTTGCCTTTTCTGTTAAAAATGACACCAATTATTGGTTGAAATATAATTTGACGAAAGTAACAACCATTGTTGCTTGTGGAGGTTATAATCGTCTGTTATTGTGCATTGCTCACACGTTAGGTATTAGAGTAGTAAGATTGGGTAAGTACAAAGATATTGGTAAAATAAATATTGTTGGCTATATAAACTGTTCAAACAATGGGAAATGGTATAATGCATTCTCTATCAGTAAATATACACTGCCTTGTACATGACCTCTGTCAAAAAACCTGCAATTGGTAGAGGGAGAAATGTGTGTAAAACTAATTTAAAAGACAAAGTTGAAAAAGGGACATCTTTCTCAATTTCCCACCAAATTTAGTCAATCAAAAACTGTCATTCTAAGTTCCATTTGACAGATTTTTTGCTAAAAATGGGGTAAGCCAGACTCACTGACTCTATCATTATGATCCACCATTGATTTAACTTGGAATTTAGAAGCGGAAACTATGTGGTAGACTGTAACCTCAGGGCAATATCCACAAGCTGATGAAACACAAATCAGGTCTAGCTGGAAAATGATTTCATTTTTCATGTACAATAATTTTTGTTCACGTTTATATACTATAAGCATGAAAGTTCATCCACATTTGCAGGAAGATGCCAGTATTGTGCGAGTGCATATAGTTGAAGTTTCTACAGAAATCATAAGAATGAAATTGTTGATAAACAGGCCTGGAAAATGTCAGGCACTGATGAAATGGTACCTGACATTTTCAACTTAGTGCTGGACATGTATTAATAATATCAATAAAAAACGACAAATCAGTGCCGGACAAAATGACAGGCACCAGAGGTTTAGTGCCTGACAAAGCCTGATTCTGTGCCTGACATTGTCAGTGACAGGTGCCTTATTTCCAATGATAAAAAATTATATTGTTTATCTTTCAGTCGATTTTCCTGTGACAACTCTCATGAATAAAACAGATCAAGAAGTATGGATCAATAACACATTGGCAGATGTGAGGACACATTTCTGGGATGGAATAAACATTGACTTCGAGAGTGCTATAGATGTTGTGAAAGTAGCTAAAGAGCTTACATCTTTTGTGACAAATATTTATCAAAGATTTAAACAAGAATTCCCCTATTTTCAGGTATAAACTTGTCCTTATGCATCAATTTTGTGGGGAAAGGGTGCAGGGCTTTCACTTCAAAACTTTGCCATCTGGTGATTTTTTGATGTATTTTGTTTAGAGATACATTATGTAAGATTTAGATAAAGAACTATACATGTTAAAAAATAGATAATTCAAAATTAATATATTGAAAATTTCATTCGAATAACTATATTCTGAGCCAAGTTATCACTGTTTGAAGTTTTGTCAGACTGTGGCAAGTATCGTTTATTATGTTAGCAACGTTACTTGTTAATCGAGACTCATCCTCGCTTCTCTATATTTAAATTAAATCATTAAATGGTGATCGCATTTCAATCAGTTTAAATCTCTGCCATCTGACTGCTTAGAGAGTTGATTATAGGCTTGTCATGTGAATAAATGTGTAAATGATAAATCCTCCCCATAGGAAACTACACAGCATATTATGTTCTTCTATATTAGCCCAGAAATGTAAGATGTTAATATAATATACTATTCAAAAAAAGTAGGGGATATTTGATTTTTAAGTGTTATTAAAGTCACCTGATGAAACTGACGAAGAAACAAATGACAAAATGAAATGAAGTTCACATTCATCGATTTATTCCAAATGATCGTTAGACTAAGTAAGGCACAGACTGACCATTATAAGGGTAAAATGATACCCGGGGTCAAACAGCAAAGTTACCACAGCATCACAACCAAGTCAGTAACGGGTAAATCCTCCTCTGTTTGCCAAACAAGCATTGATCCGACGTGGCATACTCCTAATGAGACGTCTAAGGTCATTTTGGTCCAGATTGTCCCATTCCTGTTGCAACGCAGCAGCAAGTTCTTGGACATTGGCAGGACGTTGATGACGTTGACGTAACCTCTGTCCAAGCATGTCCCAGACATGCTCGATGGGGGTGAGGTCGGGACTCAGTGCTGGCCATGGTAATGTGGTGATGTTCTGTTGTTGGAGGTAACCTGTAACGATCCTGGCCCTGTGACATCTTGCGTTGTCATCCTGGAAGATGAAACGGCGGCCATGACGTCGTGCGAACGGCACAACATGGACTGCCAAGATGTTGTCCCGGTAGTACTGGCCTGTAACACGCCCTGCAACAACATGTAAAGCCGTTCTTCCAGCAACAGTGATGCCTCCCCACACCATAACAGAACCACCCCCAAATCGATCATGTCTGATGACGTTAACGTCTTGGAAGCGCTCGTTTCGACGACGCCACACCCTCCTACGTCTGTCCAAAAAATCAACAGTGAACCTTGACTCATCTGAAAACATCACATTGCTCCAGCGTCGATTATCCCAGTGTTGACGATCCCTACACCAACGACGTCTTGCCTGAATGTGATGATCTCTCAAACAAGGGATCACGCGAGGACGTCGGGCGCGAAGGTGACCCCTATGCAGTCGATTCCGAATCGTCTGGCCACTCACTCTCACACCAGTGTCTGTTTGAAGACGAGCGCTGATCTGATTTGCTGTGATGACACGATTTCTCAAGGCCAAGGTACGGATAAATCGATCCTGGGCTTGAGTTGTCGCCCTTGGTCGACCTGAGCGTGGTCTGTCCTGTACAGATTGTGTATCACGGTATCTGGACCATAGCCTGCTTATGACAGATTGAGAAACATTCATCGTCCGCGCCACAACCGCCTGTGTTGTGCCGATCTGTAGCATGCCAAGGGCACGTAACCTTTCATTTTGGGTAAGCCGACGCATATCAAAATTTGTTTTCTGGTCACTAAAACAATTAAACTGATGTTTCCACCCTGGAATTCAATGCCACAATGACTGTAACATTCAAAGTCAGAGTCGTGCAAATCTTGGGTTGGACCCCCATGATGATCCCAAGCTTCACCTGCATTCCATGCGGTAGCTATTGGTGCGTTTGGGCGTCACATGTAACTGGAAATGTTTCTTCTGTTAGGTTCTATAGTGACTTTTTTCGTAGTCATTTGCATATTTTAGTATTATGCCCCAAAAATCAAATATCCCCTACTTTTTTTGAATAGTATATATATAAATATCAAGAATTTCTTCATTTGGAACATTCATATTGTTGCAAACTCAAATTACTTTTTCAACAGAGAGAGAAATGGGGTTTAACGTCCACTCGACACAGACTAGGTCATTTCGGGACTAAAATATTTTTTACTTTTATTTCAATAATTCGCTTGCACGTAGGGGTCTTTAGCAGTGGGAGGAAACCAGACTTTTTCAACAGTATCCTATATTGTATAAGATCTAGGAGTTAATGTACTGATAAAATACAACCAACTTTATTATGATTTTATATTATAAAATGTTGTTATCTTTTGTTTTTATATATAGATAACTATTGATGTCCCATATAAACAACCATGTGTCTATAATAGATGTTTTGAGTATGCTGCACTATCAAAGGTTACAGATTTCTTTGTGGTTATGGCATACGATGAACATTCAGGCAGAACAGCTGGTGCCAACTCACCTCTTGGAAATGAAGAAATAGGTGATGATTCTTTTATACAAAATTCCAGCAACAGTAAATATACCATTTGCAGTATATTAAAGAGACAGAGACAAATGGGGTTTAACGTCCACTTGACACAAACTAGGTCATTTTTGGGACTAACACATGGTTCAATTTTATTTCAATAATTCGCTTGTGTGTGGGGGTCTTTAGCAATGGGAGGAAACTGGAGGACCTACAGAAAACCCACAAGGTTGGACAGGCGACCCTACTCCTTGTCACGTACAATCGAAGAATCGAAACCCCGCCAGTTGACTCAACAAAAGACCTTATGATACAATGCGCACATGCTAACTATTTGGCTATCCAACCCCGCAGTAAATTAAAGATCCCTCGACAGTTGGAAAACGAAATAAGGGTATAAGTAGCACCGATGGGCATATAAAATTTCTCTCATTGCACACTTTGGTGCTAATGAGTAAGAAATTAAATCCCTTTTCAATTCAATTTGTAAGCTATGCAAACTTTTCAGGTGTTCTAGAAATAGTAAGCATACTCTTTTTAATACATAGCACTTGTCACCATTTTTGACTATTAATAGATAGTTAATTTTCGAAGTGTATTTAAAAAGCACCGATCAGAGGATAACTTGAGATTAATATTTCTTTGTTGTGATTCTGGTGAAATTCTTTTAAAAACTTGTAAACAGAAGCTTGAGGTCCACTTCAAGAATCACCAGATGAGTGGTTTAATTTCAAAAGTTTCTTAGCTATTTAAATTCCTCAGTGAGAATGTGTTAGGAGGTTCTCTAGAAAGAGTTAGGATACCCTGTCTTATACCACTGTCATTCAGTAATCTTTTAGGATAAAGGGAAATTTTTAGACATCATACGAACTCAAACAGAATATTCTCCATGAAAGTTATCAGCAGTGTCACCCTTTAAAGGTTTTTATTCTATTTTTTAGGAATCAAGAGTTATTTGAGTATAAATATACCCAAATCTAAACTTGTGTACGCTGCACCATGGTATGGTTATCGGTTTAGATGTTCAAAATTCTTAAAGGTATTACCAAGGCCAACGCTATTTTATTTTCATTTCTTCAGAGTTTTTATAAATAAATGGTTTGTTTACATTTCAAAAAATAGAATTTTGACTTAAAAGCCATCTAGATTTGCAACCACATGCTTTTTGTTTTTATTTTTTTTTTTCTCCAAGTAATAGGCTACAATATTTTAATAGGTATTCTTGAAGAACGGAAATTCAAATCAGTGTGGCTCGATATGGTTAATTACATATTAGCAACAGTATATACATTAAAATCGTGGAAATTTTTATTTTTGATCTGGCTTGATGTGCCTTTAACATATATAGAAAGAAACTATAATAAGTCGGATATATATGGGTGGGTATTTTTTTTATATCTTGGGATGTTATTTTACAAGTTGCTGATGGTTGTACATTTTGTTGAATGGCAAACTATTTTTCATATTTTTTTTGATGGTGTTAAGCATTGACCTGTCATTTGGATAGGACAGAAAACCGAGGTCCTGCTGTGTTATACATTGTGACTTGGTGTGCACGTGCAAACCCTCGACTGTGAAAATGAGAAGGATGAAAATCTGCTTTTTAGGCTTAATTTCACCCCTTTTCGCATTGCATACGATAGAAATAAAAAAAAAAACATATGTTAGTCTCAAATTGACCATAGTATTGTCACTATTGTGTGATGTGGACATTTCTTTCTTTTTTCGTCTACCATGTTATCAAATTTAATGTGTTTGAAATTTTAAAATTATAACTTATCCTCCAGATTTATCCATATCTTAAAAAATTTCTGTTTATGAATATATTTTAGAATCAATGTGTGATAGGAGAACAAAAGCCATTTCGAGGAAAGAGGCCATTTGGAAGTGCAGCTGAATCAGAGATACCATATATAGATATAGCTAACCTTATTGAAACTAAACATATCACGGTCAACTTTGATAACGCAACAATGACACCATTCTTTACCTATCAGGTACAGTTTAAAGTAGAAAATGTTCACATACAAGGTTACGTTAGATAAATACAGCAATAGATAAAAATATGTCTAGTTAAAACAAATACAAATACTTTTATATATATTTATGGAAGATAAAATTCAACAATGTTTACTTGTTCATTTTGATATACATCAACTGATATGCTAACAATCTTTCCTTAGGCATACCCAGAATTCAGGCCTGACGATTCGTTTGATAACGATGAAATAACATTTGAATTTTACTAAGAGAGTTAGATCGTATTATATACTTTTTCTTATATATATATATACTCTTCAAAAAAAGTAGGGGATATTGAAATGCAAATACCTATACAGGTTGTGATATGATAAATAGTCAAAGACATGACATGCTTTGAGAGTATGTTCACAGATGAAGAACTTATCGCCCCAACAGAACCACCGAGGTTCACATGTTTGCTTTCCTATCGGTTCTTGCATAAGATTTATTGTTTAGCGTATCTTTGCTTTAGTGTGTCACGTTTAATTTGATCGGGAGACGTGGTGTCAACCGACAACACTGCAAGAATTGGCCATGGCACTGCAAGAGAAGTGGGTCAGATTTCTCCAAATCGTGATTGGACGTTTGATTAGGAGCATGCCACGACGATTTGCTGAATGTTTGAGGATTGGTGGAGCAATTACTCATTATTAAGACAAAAATCAAAAACGTCAATTTTCACTTTTGACAGTGTATCTTTTTGCGAGTGAAATGGGGCCTTCAGGTAAGCCGCCCATATGAACTGTTTATGTTCATGTGTAGGCAATTGGCCTGTTATTAACATACACTGGTTACCTCTAATAAAAACAGCGGTGCATTTCCGCAGTTTTGTATTGTTTCTGAATATCCGCTACTTTTTTTGAAGAGTATACATATACAAGGGTAGGGACCCTTTGGGGCTAAAGTGGGATTGGATGACAGAATGGTTAGCATGTGCACACGCTGTATCACACGGTCTGTCATTGATTCATCTGGCGGGGTTTCGATTCCCCGGTTGTACGTGACAAGGAGTAGGGTCGCCTGTCCAACCTTGTGGGTTTTCTCTGGCAGCTCCGGTTTCCTCCCACTGCTAAAGACCCCTACGCGCAAGCAAATTATTGAAATAAAAAAACTGAACCATTATTAATCCCGAAATGACCTAGTTTGTGTCGAGTAGACGTTAAACCCCATTTCTATCTCTCTTTGAGGCTAAATCGTAATGTTATCCTAGTGGCATCCTTATTGTCACTATCTTGATCAATCTTGAAAAGTGCAATTACTTTTATCGAAACATTTCTATTTGTGTGCCCCCTTTCGGAGTAGATTGTAATGCAAATGGTCATGTCCAGATCCTGGTTATGGATTTTCAGCAGGTGGGGGGGGGGCGGAGGCTAGATATATCAGATCTCCATACTGAAGTGTTATAGTGACAATTAAAATATGTCTGTATTTTTAAATGCAATATCTTATTTTTCAAGACTTCATCTAGGCTAAACTTTACTCAAATTGATTATTTAATATTTTTAAAATTAAGAAAACAAAACTAATGCTAGATAATCTCCACCACTACTGGGATGAAATCAGATTAAAAAAGGGGCCTGTCAGAATATTTTATCCAATACTTATAATATGTAGCTCTGACTTGTCTATATTCATGTTATCTTTCATCTTCAATAGAAGGCCTGATCTCGCTTTAACTACGTACATCTTATCAAGGCCTTCACATAATACCCTGCAAATTTCAGCACAAATTTCGATTGGGTACAAGCCCAGCTTGTGAGCCTATCAAAGTCCTTGATCGTCGCGAATACCAAGTCTCACGCTTTTAAGCTAAAATGTCTACATGTGATAATCGAGTTGCAAAGTTCAAGGTTCGTTCAATGTCATAGTTTTTCCGTGGAGCTCGCTATATCACAACCTCTGATTGGACGCTACTGTTCACGTGTCTGTAGATAATATAGCTATAAATTCGGGAATTGTGAAGTAATCTAGCAGCGGCCAGATGTTGTAAAACTTGCAGTCTTTGCTTCAGGAACATGGATATCTTTGTAAATACAGAAAGAATTGTGCCATTTTTGATTGATATTCCATTCCCAGATTCAGTTTTTACAATCTAATATGCAAGAGATTCATAATCCTTTAAATGACCATCAGTTGTTCGAAGCCTGCCTTCAGTAGCCCAGTTGGTGCAGAAAAGTAAGAAATGCAATGAAATGGGGTTTAACATCCTACTGTTCTGATACGACTGGGCTAATGAAGGCAGGCATATGCCATACAGTGTGCTATGAGGGGAATTTTGCCCGGACAGCGGCGATATGGCCTACTCTTATATCGTATTCCAACTGCCAGGCGATGTTTTATGTGCACGCCATTGTGTACATGGGACCTCGCTTTTTTTTTTTATCCCATCCGAACAGCTAGACAGCTGTCTTTGCGAGGCCCTTAGTCCTGCCAGAAAAGTAGGACGATAAACCCTATTTCAATTCAATTGTTAGAAAGATACTCTTATTAAAGATGCTAATAATATGTTTTGTATATTGTTGCAGGAAGCTGATAATACAACTTACCAAATATGGTTTGATGATGCCCAGAGTTTAAAACTTAAATATGATATGGCAGTTCAGTTTGGATTAAGAGGTGTGAGCATGTGGACAGCCGATTCCATAGATTACAACAATACAGTCAGCGCCCTGGAGCAAAGAAGAGAAATATGGAGAACCATACCAAGTTACGGGATTGAATAACACAGTAGAACTGAATTAATTGATCAATTGAAATCCGGTTCAATGCTGAATCTATACTAATATTCGTGACTTTTGTTTTTTTGTTTGTCTGTTCAGGGTTGGCGGCTACACTAGTGTTGTCTCGGGGCTGAAATTTGGTGTATATGAATAGCTCAGACCGGGGAGTAACATAGGCCTGGTGGCGATGGTCTACCACTTTCAATTTTGCATTCTCCACACAAGTCGGAAGACAACTCTGTTTGAGAGATTGCCAATTTCGGAGTTATGTTACTTCCTATGCATGGCTAGTTAGTTAATAAAGTTGTTCTAGAAGACTAATCTGGAAAGTTGCTTGAACACTCTTCAGCAAATGATGTCTGATTTTTGAACATATTAGTGGGAATCAAATTTCTATGCATGCATCTAGGCTATAAACCAGATGTTATTTATAATGTTTTTTTAATTATTAAAAACTATATATACTTTGCTTCCTGCATTCTAACCCCCTTTGATCAAGTTATGTAGTTCTTGTAGAAATGAACGTCTTTAGTAAAACTGGACAGAGAAATCGAGAAAAATTTACTTCTTAGTTGTTAACACAATATGACCTCTTTAATTGTTTTTTCATGAAAGATAGTATTCTGTAAAATTGAAATAAAAGTTTGAAAATTATATTTTCGATTTTTTGCTATGAATATCATGGATGTTTGTGTATATCTTTCTTTTGTTAACTTAATAAGAGTATTCTGTACACAGATTCCAAGGTATCATCCTACTTCTGATGTTTTTTTCTGCAGCAGAAAGGGATTCAGATAAGCATAAGGCATCTTGAGATTATACATGATTGTTTTTAATGTGGGGAAGAATTTTGCACAGGCGTTGGTATTTATCTTTTATGGGCACTTCCAATGTATACACTAGACTAGCTGATGATAACCTCCTTGTAGTTGATAACAAAGACAAGTAAAAAAACTTTCCAAGATTCGGGAAGTAGTTTGGTGGCCAAATGGTTTAACATGTGCTCTTTAAATCATAAGGTCTGTCATTGAGTCAAGTGGCGTGGTTTCGATTCCCTGCTTGTACAAGACAAGGAGTAGTTAGTCCCAAAATGACCGAGTTTGTGTCCAGTGGACGTTCAACTGCATTTCTGTTTCCCTCTTGGTTCAATTTACGCCTGGATTCAAACCTTCAGTACATGACTGCCTACTATGAGACCTGGGCCCTGTTTCTCGAAATCTTAACTAGAGATAAAATCCAGATTTTAGTAGATACTTCAATTTTGATTGGCTAAGCACTAAAATAAATTTAATATTATCCAATCAAATTACTACAATTTGGATCTTATCTTAAATAAAATTTTGTGAAACAGGCCCCGGGCTGTACCTTTAGGACTTTTAAAAATTAATTTGTAAGACACAGAAAACAGAATTCTATACTGATACAATTTAATCACCATATTTATAAACAATATTTAATAATTAAAACAATGAAAGGGTTGAATTTAATTCTAAATTTTTCCATACATAGAAAAAAAAATTACCAAATATTTTTCATGGAAGCACATGAAGGTCCCTTACCAGTTTATCACATAAAAATGGCCGAATGATATCAATAGCCAACATTGGTTTCTGATTTCCTTTTAATAATATTTCATGGATCTAAAATACAGCAATGAATGGTTTGCTTCAGTAGATTATTGCAGATTGAGATATCCTTTAATTTCTCGGAACCCTGATTGTCAAGTGCAGAATTTCTATATGTAACCAATATAACATGATTTCTAGAAATTGACAATTTCAGAGACAAAATGATTACTTTGCATCCATCTTAGCATAAACAGTATGAATCTAGCAAACACATTAAAAAAAAAAAATTTAAGTCTATATTCCGAAATGTTTAAGATGTTCATGAGGAACGCCCTCCTATATTAAAGCCAGAAACACATTTTTTATAAAAATTCCACATTCCAAAGAAAATTCTGATCCGATGGGTGTAGTAAGATATCATACTGTGTTTTATATATACCATATATAATCAAATATATGCACAAAACAATCATCCCAAATATACAATAAAATATATATAACAAAACAAAATATATAATTAAAGATGTGAAATAATAAAATAAACAAAGATAAATAACAAAGTCTTTTTAGCTGGTTTTATTTGACTCCTTTCAAAGAAATATTTAAATACCGGTACTAAAAAATAAGATTTTATTTCTTATTCCAAAATAGAAATTTTATGTACACGAGACTGACAAAGTGGTAGAGACACATAAATGTACGATATCGTACCATAAAAAAATGATTTTTTTTTGCAAAGTTCCTGTGCCTTATCAAAATGACTCACAATTGTAGTGGAAGTCCTACTCATGTCCTGAGATCTTAGACTGTTAAAATAAAACCAGCTAAAAATGCTTTGCCTTCAAAACCGTTACTAAACTGTTTTAACTTTTCCCGAAATATAATAATATGTCAACTACAACACTTCAATATAATTTGTTGTTATGAGTTTGACAATAATTTCTACAGTCAGAACAAAATAATACCACAATGTAGGAAGGTACGCATAAAGAAAATTAAACAGATCTACTTTTAATTTTTATTACGTATCATTTACATTTTATAACTTTTCTATTTCTTACAATCTATTTTTAAAATATTATTTAGATCAAATCAGAAATAATAGTTACTTTCAGAGAGACAGTTTATAAGTAAAGAATTTACGATGTGTCTGAAATGTTCTTCTTCAGAGACAAGTTTTTAATAATGTAGAATATATTTTATTTTAAAGAGAAAAGAAACCTACAACAGTAAAAATAAATTTACTTATCAACATACATGTAACATTCATACAGGTTATTCTATAACTAATATACCTGGAATTGAAAATTAAAAAAAAAAGGGCAACAAATAAACCGGTACTTTTATATTTCATCTATTGGTAACTGACTGTAAAGGACAAAATGATCTTTTAACCCATATTTTAGCTGAAAAAAACAACTACTACATGTATATAGTGCAAGGAAAGAATTCTATACCATAGGAATTTTCTGAAATTAACACAACTCTCCATTGTTTTTGTTAATATCATGTAATATTAATACCCATTAATGTATAAAGTATTGATTTAAACACTTCTAAACTACTACATAAAATATTGTACACCACAGTGGAAAAATGCAATATGTATACATTATAAAATTTTACACATCAACGATTTTTATAGAAAAAAACTAAGTTATATCTTTTATGCTGAAATATGAGACCATCTATTATAATTTTATACAATTACAGCTAGTTTGTATGAAACAAAAAGTATCTTTATCTGCTTTATACAAACTTAAAATGGAATAAGCAACAACAATAAGCAACCTGGTTACATATCTCCAACAACAGGTCAACATCTATTTGTAAAAACAACACACATTATATCTAATTTTTCCCGATTTCCCATCAATCACAAATAAATGTCACAAATGATAGATTTCTAGAGGATCTAAATTAAATGCTTTATAATCAGATAATAAAAAAATCAAAATAAATAACAATGACGTGAACCATAAATTAATATTATATCAAACGTCAAATCTTTATTTCCATTAGAATAAAAACATCAAACTTTGGTACAACACAACATAAGTATTTGAAAAGGCAAGCACAGCTAACCAAAAAGGTCTTTCTTAACAGTTCAACTTATACTTAGATCCTTTTTTCAGTTGTTTTTATCTAGAATGACAATGTCAGGAAATTTAACCGAATGTTTCTTGAGAGGCATAGACAATGTATAGGAATCCATCTTCATCTTTTTCTTGTTCATAAACCTGTGATATAGGTGCTGTATTACTAACCATGCTGTGATTATTAACCAATAGATAGAAGGCTTGACTAGGATGTAGTTGTAATCGACGTCTACAAAACAAATATGTAGGTTTGTAAGTAATAATAAGACATTACAATTTACATGAAAACAAATTAAAAATTGCCTTCTTTTTGGTTGTGCTGTTCAAAAGCTTTTATTTTCCAAATTTTTAAGTTTTGAAATTTTAAACAAAACATCTTTCACATGATTCAAGTGGCTATTTATTTATCAAGGAGAGAGGATGAACAAAACTACTGTGTTCACTTTTGTGACCATATAAACAAACATTTCACAGTTGGAATGATTAGGGAACTGAACTTCTCAATTCCATTATAGGCCGTTAATGTATGCAAGACTGACAAGGAGAGCTTTTCCCGACCAATAGGATGGGATAACAAAAACTACTGTGTTCACAACAGTTGGAAATTTGAAAAAAAGAATATAGTCTGGCGTAATTCTCCCCCACCTTACACCGTAACCTGACTTTTTGAAATCAATTTTTGGTCTCAAAGAAAAGAAGTTAAAATAGATTTCTTTCTTGTTTATATTTGATCTTGATAAAAGAGAGAGAGAGAGAGAGAAATGGGGTTTAATGTCCACTCGACACAAACTAGGTCATTTCGGGACTAACATATGGTTTTTTAATTTTATTTCAATAATTCGTTTGCGCGTAGGGGTCTTTAGCAGTGGGAGGAAACCGGAGGACCCAGAGAAAACCCACGAGGTTGGACAGGCGACCCTACTCCTTGCCACGTACAACCGGGGATTTGAAACCACGCCAGTCGACTCAATGACAGACTTTATGATACAGCGCGTGCACGCTGACCAGTCAGCCATCCAACCCCCCTCTTGATAAAAAAGAAATCGGTTAAGAATGTACACAATCCCATATTCTTACCTGATAATTTTGACTAATTCAGACATATTCACATTATCTGGAACTAAAAATTTAGTTTTATCCAACATTGGTAGATTTTTTTCATTTTTGTATCTTTCAATAATAACCTGAAAAAAAAGTAAAATTGATTTCTGACGTGGAACATTGACCGAAAGTATTACACCACATAAGAGCTATTAAAATCTGAGAAGATTGACATTCTGATTAAAACACAGATCCTATTTCATTTCATTTTTTATAGTGCAAACTGTGTTTTATTTTTTTTCATGACAATGGCATCTGAAAGATTTTTTTAAACAAATCGTTTTCCAGCTGATGTGGGGGTTTATCTAAATACGAAAATCTTTATTAAAGCTGTATTCTCTGCACACAATATTTGAGACAAAAGATTAATACATTTTATGAGATTTTACAAGAAAAACTGGCTTTGATAGTCAGATACAATCTTTCTAAGTTCAAATGCCTTCATCATGTGACATCACATCACATCACAATGCGTCGATCACTGGCTCGATACTCGCGTGCATTGGTTGCACAAGACGTAGTAGTACAAACTAGTCATGGCAGAATGGTGCCTTTTACTCATTTTAAACATACATTATGCAAGAGCTAAATCTGCCAATTGCAGGTCTCTCTTTAGGCCTGAAATGTTATCTAAATTATTAATTAGACATTATTTAACTTATCCAGACCATAATCAACTCTTGGTGGCATCGCTAGCCTGCGATATTTAATGGATTAGAACCCGGTCTGCTGCTTCTGATTAAATCAAAAAATGGATAACCGAGACCATGTTTTTTATCGTACCGACTTTAGTAATGATGATAGAGGCTAGGTCCAAAATTCAATCACTGAATACTTGGTTCAGGGTAGTTCAATTTGACTTAAATTTTCAGCAAATTCCCTTTACATTATCTAGTTTTTAACTATTATAATGAGAACTACAAGCACTTTATCTAATCTCCCATAATGTATCTTTAATTACCCGTTTACGCAAAATAGGAAATATTTTTTATCAAGATATACTTCAAACACCTTTATTTATTTTTTCTAATACTTCAAATAAAAAAAATTGTTCTAAGCCACATCAATTTAGGCAACACCTAAATAAAAATGTTCCTTCGTATTTCTTCAGGAAAAAGACTTCCTTAAACACCAACAGTACTTGGTTGTTCTGTTCAAAAGCTTTTTAGTTCCAAATTTTTAAATTCTAAACAAAACATATTTCACATGATTCAAGCTGCTATTTATTTATCAGACCCAGAAGAACAGAAAATAAAATTGGTGTGGCCTTAAGACAATAAATCTTTTGACTTTATGCAATTATGCAAAACAATAATAACGACTAGGATTTCAAGACTTTAATTTCTAAAATCTGTATCAATTTTCTTCAAGAAATTATATATTTTTTTAATTTAACTTAAAAAATTGAAATTACATATTTTAATGATAAAATAAATTAAATGCATACTGGAATCTTTTCTGGGTGTTGTGATCTGATGGCTTCTACATCCTTTTCTCTCTGAGCTAAAATATATCAAATAGGCCTATTATTAAAGGCTCAATACCACTCTTGTTGTAACAGAATAACATGTCCCAATCTTTATTCTGGTCAACAAATTGTACTATACTATTCAAAAAAAGTAGGGGATATTTGATTTTTAAGTGTTATTAAAGTCACCTAATGAAACTGACGAAGAAACAAATGACAAAATGAAATGAAGTTCACATTCATCGATTTATTCCAAATGATCGTTAGACTAAGTAAGGCACAGACTGACCATTATAAGGGTAAAATGATACCCGGGGTCAAATAGCAAAGTTACCACAGCATCACAACCAAGTCAGTAACGGGTAAATCCTCCTCTGTTTGCCAAACAAGCATTGATCCGACGTGGCATACTCCTAATGAGACGTCTAAGGTCATTTTGGTCCAGATTGTCCCATTCCTGTTGCAACGCAGCGGCAAGTTCTTGGACATTGGCAGGACGTTGTTGACGTTGACGTAACCTCTGTCCAAGCATGTCCCAGACATGCTCGATGGGGGAGAGGTCGGGACTCAGTGCTGGCCAAGGTAATGTGGTGATGTTCTGTTGTTGGAGGTAACCTGTAACGATCCTGGCCCTGTGACATCTTGCGTTGTCATCCTGGAAGATGAAACGGCGGCCATGACGTCGTACGAACGGCACAACATGGACTGCCAAGATGTTGTCCCGGTAGTACTGGCCTGTAACACGCCCTGCAACAACATGTAAAGCCGTTCTTCCAGCAACAGTGATGCCTCCCCACACCATAACAGAACCACCCCCAAATCGATCATGTCTGATGACGTTAACGTCTTGGAAGCGCTCGTTTCGACGACGCCACACCCTCCTACGTCTGTCCAAAAAATCAACAGTGAACCTTGACTCATCTGAAAACATCACATTGCTCCAGCGTCGATTATCCCAGTGTTGACGATCCCTACACCAACGACGTCTTGCCTGAATGTGATGATCTCTCAAACAAGGAATCACGCGAGGACGTCGGGCGCGAAGGTGACCCCTATGCAGACGATTCGGAATCGACTGGCCACTCACTCTCACACCAGTGTCTGTTTAAAGACGAGCGCTGATCTGATTTGCTGTGATGACACGATTTCTCAAGGCCAAGGTACGGATAAATCGATCCTGGGCTTGAGTTGTTGCCCTTGGTCGACCTGAGCGTGGTCTGTCCTGTACAGATTGTGTATCACGGTATCTGGACCATAGCCTGCTTATGACAGACTGAGAAACATTCATCGTCCGCACCACAACCGCCTGTGTTGTGCCAATCTGTAGCATGCCAAGGGCACGTAACCTTTCATTTTGGGTAAGCCGACGCATATCAAAATTTGTTTTCTGGTCACTAAAACAATTAAACTGATGTTTCCACCCTGGAATTCAATGCCACAATGACTGTAACATTCAAAGTCAGAGTCGTGCAAATCTTGGGTTGGACCCCCATGATGATCCCAAGCATCACCTGCATTCCATGCGGTAGCTATTGGTGCGTTTGGGCGTCACATGTTACTGGAAATGTTTCTTCTGTTAGGTTCTATAGTGACTTTTTTCGTAGTCATTTGCATATTTTAGTATTATGCCCCCAAAATCAAATATCCCCTACTTTTTTTGAATAGTATATTTTAGAGTATTCCAATTAATTGATGATACAAATTTCATCTTAATAATACACCTAATTTAAAAAATTGGAAAAATTCAACTAAATGATTTGAAAAGCCTAACGTAAACCTTTTCAAATGTGACTTGGATTTAAAAATATTTTCGAAACCTCTGGACAAGTAAAATAGGATGTAATGGATAAATTACACAACAGGTAGGACACTTAAATATCTAATACTTAGAATAAGGCTAATATTTATTTACTGGAGCTGTCAAGCCAGCAAGAGTGTTATTGTCCCTTTAACTAAAAATTGTGTTGAGTCTATTAGACAATGCAGATCAGCCAATTAATCATTCATGAACACAACACAGACAGTTACAAACCTAGGGCTATTTTACTAAACAGTACACATACCATTTTTGGATATGGTATGTAAGTATATGATTGCCATACTTAAGTATCTAAACAATGCGATTTAAAGTCAAAATTTGTGATGTTTCTGATTAGCACAAAATCTACTACCCACTTAGGAAAACGGCTTGCCCATGCCCCCCCCCCCAAAAAAAAGGTAGGTTGCTAGGCAACGAAATATACACCCACAGCGACTATGGTTAAATGCATTTCATCCAAGTTATTTCCATAAAGGTGGTTAATACATAGGCCTACATGACTGTTAAGGTAAATAAACCGCCAAAATTCTATAGGGTTCTTTGTATCAGTAAGGTAGACAACATAATAATATTTTAAAATGATTTGACAATAAATGTTGTCTGTAGAGTGTTCACAGTAAATCGTCTACAACTAACAAAAAGATGACAAAATGAGCACCTTTCAATGTGTAAGCCGTAAGCTTATTTCAAAAACAAGACAGCTAAATCCTCAGAGAAAAAGTATTATATATAATGAAGGGATCACAATTGTAATTTTGTACGCCTCTGTCCCTCTTTGTTGGCTTTTAAGAAAAGATATTCGGACATTAGCCTTTAAATTAAGTACCGGTATAAGTAAGATAGATACATTTTTAACCAAATAATAAAATAAGCTAATGTAGATGGGATGTAGTCATAACGGCCCTATACATAACGGCCAAAAACAGGTTTTGTCAAAACGGCCTAACTTTAGTCATAACGGCCAAAGCTGCCAAACAGATGGTTTAGGGCCGTTATGTCTATAAGTATAACCCATGTAGACTCTGTTAGATCTAGATCTAGTATATATATATACGGTATATAATTTGATGGCATAACGAAAAAATCAAAAAAGAAAAAAACATATTTTACAAAACTAATTTTCATAAAAAAAAAATATGCTCCATAAATTTACTCAAGTAAAATACAAGTGTCAAGTGAAGTATTTCAAACAATTCAACAAACTTATTTCCTGGCCTTAATGACATCATAATCACCCAATTGGACTGAAATTTTGAAATCCGACATTTTTATCCGTCACTTTTTTGTGTCTGAACACAAAATTTACCTGAAACCCCTACGTTAACTACATCTTATGTTTCAAATTTCTACGCATAAACTTCACTTACAAAGTGTCCTTCTTTCTTTGAAGGTTTTCATGCTGTGGGACATCTTGAATTTAGTCAAATGTCCAAAAGAATGTGAAAAAATAATCTGCGTTGTTTACAAAATAGAGTTCAGAATAGTCTTGATTGTCATAAAATATTTACCAGTAAGATTTCTAACTAAAAGACTGGGTAATCGCTTCTTTTCAGTAGCCGGATGTTTTCGTCCCGTCATAACTCGGAATTACCCGAAGTCGAACGAATCTAAAAATAACTCAAGCACGCGTGATAAGTAGAGTTTTCTCCCTTTATTCATTGAGCCATTTTTTACAACTGAACGCGTTCACTGTGAAGTTACCAAATTTAATTGGCAAATAAAGTAAGCCTGTTAGTACTAGAAATATATATTTATAGTCCTATAATAGTTCAAACTTTTCCTGACAGTTTTGCTTTACAGCTAGGATATGAAGACCTAGAGAAAGAGTTATCCCACCGAAATAGTTTAGGACGTATCGATTTTTATAGATGTCGCCCGTTCTCTTGACGTCAAGCGATGTTTATCATAATCACGGTGCCCAACGAGGTAAGTTGACAATATTTCTGAAACTTTCTGCAAATTGACTAATTAATTGACCCCCCTTTGAAATTATAAGTAAATTTCTATATATTCGGATGTTATTACACGCAGTCCACGGATAGATTTGAAGGTATTTTCATTTTTAGGTTTAGCGCTTCCCAAATTTTCGCTTCGCCGCTTTCGTTCCATTCATTCGGTCGAAATATAGCAAAACATACGCCAGAAAGCGGCATCAATATTATAGCTAAGGCGTATGTCCAAAAATGTGTCTCTTATATAGTATAATATGGTCATTTATATAATCTACACGCGATTTATAATTATTTGTCATAGATAGGCTATTTAGAGAAAACTAAAAACGAACCAAATGCACAAAACGTTATATTAATATGGTATAATTTTTGATAATAATTATGATAGTATTAGGCCTAATTGAAATAGACATGGCATGAGCTAAAATATCTGCCTTAGACCTACCTTGGGCGATCAAAACATTTTCAAGATTATAAATTATTGACTGGCGTAGGCCAATATAATTTAGTAAGGGAAAAAGAACAATCCATGTTTTAAGAAAATTCATCGTGGTATTAGTATTAGTTTGTTTATCCTCTTAAAAAGAAAAAAGAAAATAATTAAAAAAATGGCATGAGTGTAATTAATTAATTTTATGAATTTTGAAAAGACATTTGTTGTCATCACATTCACAGATCCATTTTGTGGTAATGCCCTACTAAACATTTATTCATAATTTAGTTTTAGATGAGTTTGTCAAATTGAAATAAGCGCGAAGTCAAAATAAAGAACCGGAATTGATCATAATTTGTGTTTTATTTACTGACAGGGCAAACTTGTTCTATAAAAATGAATTTTTGTATTACAAGATTTATTAAGCGAAAGTCAGCTTGTTTACTAATTTTAGTTTCATTTTGACAGTGGAACAGAGAATCGGTTATCTCAAAACCGTAAATGTAAACTGTAAAACTATGGAATGAAATATTTTAGTAATCAAACTATTAGTGTTCAGACATTCATTGTGTTTAACACTTAAACACCTGTTTGTCCATATGTCATTTTTTGTATCTCTTTGAACTTTGATTAAACTGATTTTTACATTTATAATCTTTTCTTTCAAATATTTTGACTTGTGCCTGCTTTTTATAAACTATAGAAAATAAAAGCTTTTAGGTCAAATTAATCAAATCATTAGTGAGGCATTGTTTCTGTTTAATACCTGTTTGTGTCGCTAATTCTTTATGTACATATGTCATTTCTTTGATGAATTGATTACCTGTTTCATTAAAAGATTACATTAATGTATAACCTACAGTTACTTATTATCCTTTTTTCAGGGGATACCATGTTGTGAAAACTAATGGGCACCTTCCTACAGACTAACTTCCCCGAAGACTACTCGTTAACAACATGCCAGATAAATAGAGGAGGTCAACCAGCTAATTAATTATTTATGATAAACAGGTGGAGTTAGATGCTCTGGTCAGCAGACACAACGTCGAGAGCACTCCTGTCACAAGCAAGATGTCTGAACTACACAAGAAATATTTCTGTCCTCGACTTTTGGATTATATTGTAATAACAGGTAGCCGCAATCCAAATCATAACAACAATGTTGCTCAAACTCCAGAATTACTTCGAAGGTATCCACTAGAAGATCACAAAGACTTTCCACTTCCTACCGATGTGATATTTTTCTGTCAACCTGAAGGTTGTATTAGTGTAGGACCGAAACGAATGAGCTTGAGGGAAACTACTTCATTTGTGTTCACATTAACTGAAAAAGATTCTGGAATTGTAAGATATGGTATATGTGTGAATTTTTTTAGACCATTTGAAAAACGCAGCCATGCAAGTGACTGGCAAAAAAATGAACGAAACAGCTTAGCCAGCACACACTCTGTTGATACAGTTAGTTCTACGGAGAGTGATCGATCGAAATCTCCACGAACTCGAAGGAAAGGTGGACCTTCATGTCGTGTAAGAAACAATACATTAACGTCATTGTGTATAGTTAGTCATCATCCATTTTTCTCTACTTTTCGTGAATGTTTGTTTATTTTACGTCGTCTAATTGATGCCTGCCATGATAGAAGTTGTACCAGAAGAATAGGGGGTTCCAAAGGTGTAACAAGGTACAGTATTTTTTATTTACACTCACGGTACAACATGGTCAATTTGAAATGAAAGAAATGGGGTTTAACGTCTACTTGTACGTACTTTCCTGCACTGAGTTGGCTATTGAAGATGGAATATGTTCGTTTTGTTCAGCATTGAAATTATGTGTAGGCAAATGAATTTTGCTTTTATTTTATGTTAGGTGAAGGAGATAGCATATTTGTCATGAAATGTAATGAGAATGAAAATGCCCTTTTATTTGAAAATTGTCAGTAAAATTTGCGACAGACATGATAAACTTAATAAAACTTTTACAAATTGTGAAGGCTAATCCTGCACTGGTTTTGATAAATTGAAAATTGATATTCAAATACCGCTAAAAAGTTTATTCTTCGATGTTTAAAAGCTTTAAATGTTTTTTATTTTATTTTTCAGAGATACAGTATGGGGAGTATTGACTGGTCAGTGTAGTGACAATATTACCTCATTAGTTATGCATGATATTAGAGAGATCGAAACATGGATATTACGTCTGCTTAGTGCTCCCGTTCCTGTACCAGGCAAAACTAGAGTTGAGGTAAGAATTTATAGCAATGTTAATTTATGAAATTCTTGAGGCTTAAAGATATTGAATGGATTAAAACACTCTTGCCATTTAATAATTGCACGTTTAAATGGATAATCAAGATTTTGTTTATTATTGTAGCAATTTTACTTGACAATCAAGACGTTATTGTCAAAATGTCAAACACTCATATATGTAACTTCGCTTAAAAAAAATTAATTTGACTGTATTTTTCAATATAACATTATCATTATAGCAAGAATGGCCACCTCTTTATCAAAATCTTGCATAATGCATCTTTAATACACCAGATCATAAAGGATACCCTAGGCCTAACATCCCTAAATATAAATGACAAATTATGAAGCAAAATAAGTTACACTGCAAAGAGCCTAAGAGTAGACATGCCCTGTCTAGTACTTGGTACCCGCTGTGGCTATGAGACTCATTGTCTATAAGGGGTGTCTATCCAAGGAATAGGCTACATCACAGGCGTGGATTTAGGGGGGGATGGGGGGGGATGGGTCCCCCCTTAGAATCGGAAGGGGGGGGGGGGCGAATAGGTCTCTGTCCCCCCCATGATTTTGATAGCAAGGACAGATTTTCATGTTTATATCCACATGAATGTCCCGTTCTGAATGCTATCTAACCACTGCCTTGGGTCTCGCCACAGTAATTCATCGTCACGATATCTTCCTCCTTAATTGTACATGTAGGTAGTCAATTTTACCATATCGTCATCATATTACTCCTAGTTACAGCTTTCATCGAAATAACACTGGTAAATTGTTCGTAATTATTATTTTGGTTTGGTAATGAAAGGTTCCAGGGTTTGTCCGTCCCCCCCCCCCCTAAAAGTTATGACAAATCCACACTCTTGGGCTACATACGTACATATTGACAAAAGTAATTTATACTAATATTGACAATATGAGTACGGTATAGACTTCTTGGATTCATGAAGAAACCAACATGTACATGTACGAACGAATGTGATTGAGATGCTGGTAGTGAAGTACAGATACTATATCATAAAGAGGAAACAATCACTACCTTATTTACTACACAGAACAAGTTATTTAATTCCTCTTCGCCACCTCTTATCTTATGTTATGCTTATTTAGTGAAATATATATTCAGCTTTAAGGACAAAGCTTTTTGTCAATTTTTTTTTTTTTTATAAAACTTCAAAAACTCCATAAATGTTTATAGAGCTTTACGAAATGGTTAGAAGGGCTCTATTATGGCCTGAAATGTACCTATACAAAAATCCATAAAATAGCTACTGTGTTTTGCAGCCAGTTGAGATTTAAGATTTCCTTTAACAGTGTATACACTATGTGACTAAGAGTAAGACTAAGAGTGTAAATGTATCAAATCATCATAGGACTTTATGACACTTGGACAGAGGCTTTAGTAAAGTTTATAATTTGTAAGAAATTTTTTAAAATGCCTTGTTTACAGGACAAATTTCCTTGAAAGTACAATTATAATTAACTCTTTGTGAATTTTGCAATTTCTCTTATAGTACTAAGAAACTTAATAAAGTTTAATGGCGTTTTAATTATCCTAAGAAATGGATAAGGATTGTATTGTATGCATCTTAAAGTAGCTAAGTCTCTAACTCAATATCATCCAAAATCTTCGACATTGAAAACACAAATTATTTGTCAATATAAATCAACATTGATGTTTTGGTCTTACCGGGAAAAGATGGGCTTCGGATATCCAATATTTAAGACAAAATAAACATTTTACCATTGGTACACGAATCGCGTACCATAATGCGTTCCAGGCCCATTCTAACAAGGGACTCGAAGAACGAGGCTAGACATTCAACAAGTCATGTCAAACGGTGACGACATCTTCATATCGGGAGAGTATGCGCAATAAATACTATGTAGACTAGAATAACCAGACGCTAGAAATTTTCATTGGATTGAGACTTCAGACATATTTCGCCGAACGTAACTGATTTGAAATTAAGAGTAAAAATGGAAACGATTCAATGTAAATCAGTTTATATATATTCCTATTACATTATTATATGCGTTACGACCCATTTGTGTCAATTTCTAGGTCCAAAATATTAGCGATTTAGCTCCTTTAAACATTTTCAGGAATATTGCCCTTTTTGGAAATTGTCGAGTATATGGCATGTACATTTACATGCAGGTGGTTTGGCAACCCTTTGCAATTTTTAAAATTCATTAGATTTCAGATTATGTAGATTTCAGATTATGTAGATTTCAGATTATGTAGATTACATTGGATTTGCATTATGAATAATTAAGTTTGACTATTTTTAAGTAATTTAATTGGAGGTTTGATAGAGATTGATGTCGTAAATACATAGATGGCCGGCGCAGACTAGTTATATTATTGGTTAGAACCTACTTACATGTGATATTGATTTTTATTTTATTGATCACCAGATAGTGACAGATGGTTTATGGGCGTATATTATTATTCACATCTAACTAAGAAGTTTATCTATGGAGTTATTTGTTTACATGTCCGCATAAATATATTAAATAAAGTTAACTGGGTGAGCTAATGATAAATGGGCCTACTGTTGGTATTTAAGAAAATGCACAGTGTGGCTATTTTGTCTTATATACGCTTGGTTGGACATACTGCATTACTGCAATATCGGTTATTTATACCGGTAATTTAAATTTCACATCACCATCTTTGTACTTGCATCAAACATGTTCATTTGCTTTGTAAGAAATATAAACGTGAATCACCAATAGGAAAATGGGGTTGTCATGGCTCAGTGGTTAAGGTGATGACTTGTTCCTGGTGTTGGCCAAGAGAGCCCTTGGGATTTTCCAATGTAGTTTTTACCCCTTGTCAGTGGTGCAGGACAACGTGAAAGCACAGGTCCCATGTACATATTGAAATGCACATAAAAGAACACTTGACAGTTGGTATTCGAATTAAAGTCATAGCACACTTGGTGCAGAAAAGTAGGTTGTTTTAAACCCAATTTCATTTCCTGTAGAAAAGAATATTGATTAATTGTCTTATTTTCACCAAAATAAAAAAACCCCATTCTTCTTGAATTATATTATCCTTGGACATTGTTCAGAAATTTAGACAATCAATATTGTAGGCCATTCTTCTATTAACAGAAATCTAAAATTTCTAAGTAGAGAAACGTGTTTATAGTAATCACTCGTGAGGCTTTTAAAAGCTAATTTATCAGATAGAACATCTCGACTCTTCTTTATAATGTAGAATTGGCCACTACAGTAGAAAATCTTCATTATTTTTTAATGGAAAAGAGACTGCCTTATACAGTTAATTAAACAGGCATTATGCAAGAGCTACATGTAAATCTGCGTATTGCAGGTCTTTCTTTAGGCCTGAAATGTTATATAAACTTAATTAGACATTAACTTACGAAGACCGTAATCAACTCTTGATGCCATCGGATGGCTGTGATGTACTAGATTTGAATACGTTTTGTGGTCAATGCGGTTATCTTGAAAATGGATATTATCGTAACAACGGTAGTATCACTAGTAATGACAATCGAGGCTAGGCTATATCTAGGCTCAGAGTGAAGTAATTTGAAAGTTTCAGCATATCCTCTTTTCATTATCTATTTTTTAACTATACTATTATAACGAGAACTGTCAACTGTTTATCTAATCTTACCTAAAGCTGATTTAACTTTTGTCAATGAAAAATGAAGACTGGTATCTTGCTTGCCGTAGATTACTGTGTTTCTAGTTGTTATCAATCTTTAAGTGTTAAAAATATCTCAGTCTTTTACTTTACTTTTAGTGTAAGCTTATATGTGTTTAAAATATCCCTGGACCATTTTGCGTGTGTCACAGCTGTGCTTGTGCCGGAAGTGCAGTCTAAAGAAGCCTAGTTAGGGCATTTTCGAACAGTCTAAGCCAAAGTTCTAAATAAAGGGTTAAAACCGTTTACCAGTAGTAAATCTTCGAAAATTTGATAGTGAATAAGAAGCACTCACTAACCATTCGGCCATCCAACCCCCAAAGATATGTAATATAATATATACATGTATATAGTGTAATTGTTTGAAAATGTCCCAATATTCGCCATCCCCTGCAGACAATGTAAATATTTGCATCAATATTTTGAGTACATTTTATCATTGATTAAGCCATGAAAAATTAGAATTGTTGAAAAAATGCAAAATGATGATCAGCAGAGTTTACTGTATGTACATGTATGTAATTTTAATACCATAATGTACTATTTTTATGTCATTGGTTATAAATTTGAAACTAAAAAATTTACTTTGAGGTTATGGTTATCTGACAGTAAAAATGAATTGTGCAGATGTTTAACAACTAAATGGACTAAAATCTTTTCAATAGAACAGATGGTCTGAAATTTATGTACAATGTATATCATTTTACCTGAACACTTCTGGGTTTAATAGGAGGTTCAGATTTCTCTGCATGAATGAAGTTTGTCACTAATTTAGACTGGGGGTCAGGTATTTTGGACTACAATCAAATTTAAAGCTAAGGTTGATGAACATTTGACATTTTATTTGGACCTTGTCTTCCACATGGGAATCCAGTGTGAAAATTCAGTTGATATTGCCAGGTTAATGTCAACATAAGAAAGGACATTGAATTCTAGATTCTCTTGGGGCATGGTTTTAGCTTTCGTAAATTTCTAAAATCAGTCCATCTTTCATTGTGAAAGATCACAAATGAAATCTGATTACTGTCATGACAACTCACAACATGTAAGAAAAGTCATTCTAGATTCTCTGTATGCCATTCATTGTGAAAAATCTTGTCACTTACTTACAAGGAATTTCCTTTGACAGCTAATTCCCTGTTCCTAATGAGACATATAGATTTCTTATATTAATATGATGATATGATGGCAAATTAATTTCTATATTTGTACAGATTTTGAGATGAAGTTGGAGAAGTGTGTAATATCGTAGGTTTTATGGAGGAGTACATCCGTTAGACAACTGTGATATAAAGATTGTAATGACAGACTTGACAGGTTTGACATTTACAGACCCGGTCTTTAGTCAGCAACATATTGATATTTTGTGCCTGTGGGACTTCTGTAGCTACAATTTACACGATTACTTGTGCTTGAATTGCTTCTCTACAAACCCTTTTTAAAAAATAATGATTCATTTTCGCCATTTTCTGTCAGTTGCAGCCTCCGGCCTACGCACATGGCTATTTTCACTAGCATTTATAGTATTGTATTTTGATACTAAACGTGTTGTACCGTACAATTTTTAGCAAAAAGATTTAACTCACATTCTAAAACAGATCAAGAATTTTTATCAACTTACTCTACACACTATAGTAATTGCTATGAAAAAGACATTTCTTGAACATTGTTATTCCAATCTTTTTGGAAGACTTAGTGGCTCAGTGAGTAAGATGCTGGTTCGCTAACCAGGATTTCTCGGGTTAGCCCCCTGCGTTTGCAGAGAAATTACCTCAGATTTTTCTCCCATGGTCAGTAGAGCAGGACGGAGGGCCTGACAAGGAAGTGTCGACTAGTTGTTCAGATGGGACAAAAATCTGAGGTCCTGTGTACACATTGGCGTGCATGTAAAGAACCCTTGGCAGTTGTAATTCGAAATAATGGTGGGCCATAGTGCCACTGTCTGGGCCAAATTTCCCTCATACGCATAGCATACTGTAGGAAATTTGCCAGTATTCATAAGCTTAGTCGGTACAGAACAGTAGGACGTTAAACCACATTTCATTTCATTTCCAATCTTTTTCGTTTTGGAATCAATGCATACATATGTCTGTAGTGAAGAATTGAGTTGATTATTGATCGAGTTTATTTGGTTTGCTGAACATGAATATCATCTTTCTTGCCAGACTGATCTAAAAAGACAGGGGCGACTTTTCATAATTCAGATGTCAAGAATGATAAATGTTTGGTATTAAGTAATCGTCTTATGTTAAGGTTACTTAAAGGTTGACTTGCCATTCCCTGTGGAATAATAAGTATAATATTACATAATATCCCATGCTGGTACCAGTAATCCTGATAGAATAAGATAATAGATTATATTGATTGTAATGTAGTCAAAGGTATTTATCAGACTTAGTTTCATATTATTCCCATAAAATGACATTTATAACCATCAGACTGGAAAAAAAATTATACAGGCATTCTGAATATAAAAATTAAAGTTAAAACTTACTTACTGCTTTGAAAAAGTGTTCGTAACATTGAGAAAAATAGATCTATGAGATAAGGAGGTACATTGTACTTTAAATTCATTATAAATGTTTCAAAAATTTTGAAATTACAGTTTAGATATATATACCGGTAATCTTAGAAAAGGGAGTTTCTGGCAAGTCTTCTTTAAGCACCTTTGGCATTTTTGAAACCCTATTCTCACTTGTTGGTTGGCTGACAAACAGCTGACAACGGAAATGTGCCTAGTCCTTGGTATGGAATGAAATAATGAGGTTCCGATTGTTCATATATTGGTGTACATGTAAAAATAAAAACCCTTGGCAGTTTGAATTCGAAGAAGTAGGCGGAAACACTGCAGACAGGTTGTACGTGACAAGGAGTAGGGTCGACTGTCCGACCTCATGGGTTTTCCTCCGGGTCCTCTGGTTTCCTCCGCTGTAAAGACCCCCAAACGCAAGCGAATTATTGAAATAAAATTGAACCATGTGTTAGTCCCGATATGACATAGTTTACGTCGAGTGGACGTTAAACCCCATTTCTCTCTCTCTCTTACTCTCTTTGAAATGTGTCGGAAATCATTCTATGCCTCCAATAGCTATTTACAGAGATACATTGTACTAGCTGAAGATAATGGGTCAATAGTATTTATTTTTAGGTTCTGTAAAGTAAATTCAGTTACTGTAATTCTGTTAATGATGACATGCAAAATTGGTTTTAGCCATGAAAATGGAGTGTAAAAATCATTATTTGCTTCAAGTTCATGGTCTCTTTTCTGTCAATTTGGGCGTATGAGAAAATACGTTAATGTAAAATAAACCCACGCTGGCTTTCTAGATTATTTGAAGAACAGGCTCTGTCTATATTTCCTGCGCTTACACTATCGGTTGTCTCCGAATTTCTGAGAATGCATTATTTAAATACAAATTGGCTATAATTCAATATTCACATGAGCTTCAAGACTTTCTGGTAGAATTTCTGAGAATGTATTCTTAAAATACAAATTGCCTATAATTCAATATTCACATGAGCTTCAAGACTTTCTGGTAGATAGTTGCCTCAAAGGATATCATGGTTATTAGACACCAAAATAGCTTCGTTCTTGTAAGGATAGAACTTACTATAGCTGAACTACTGTAATTTAGTAGATGCTTTGCCAAGACCAGATAGTATCTTCCATAATGTGGGAAAAATCAATTGTGGGTCTGATACGATGGTTAATGGGTTCAGAACGTTGTGGACGTATTATTGATTTGTTATCTACTACTAGGCATGATATTATAATTAGGTGTAGAATTCTTACTCCTTGCTAACTATACCTATATATAAAGTAATTTTAACCTGATATGATACATGTATATTAACTAACATTATACATCAAGAGAATTCTGACTCCTTGCCGGCTTTATTTTTAGAGTATTTTTAACCTATTCATAATAGATTTATACTGGTTATTAAAAATGTTATTGATTTTATTTTTTTTCTAGAGGATAAATATAATAAACATTGTTGTATTAGTTATCAATTTTAACAATCATTTCCTCACTCCACATGATATAATTTTTACAGTCTGTAACAACAATAGATAATATATTGATTTATGATGACAGATCGAATTGTTTTATGATTTGACAAGAGTTTTATCAATAAAAAATCTCAATCAATAGGAAATATCAATAACGTCCAATTCAAGAGATATTGGTAATTTTGGCTGCAAAAAAAACAACAAAATATAGTCTATCCATCCAGTTAACTATCAGTTTTGACATGTCCACACTAAACTGATCACCATTAAACTAGACATATCAATGAGAGATCTGCCAGCTGGGATTCGATCAAATTAAAATAGAGGCCCTTCAAAAGATTTTACTCACACTTGTACATAACTATGGCTTGTTCATATTGTCTGTAGAGGATGTTGCAAAATTGTTCATTTCATGATATTTTTGTAAATACTTAACAGAATTGAAGCATTTTTTGACTGATATTCCTTTTAGAAATTCATCTGTCTCATTATTTAAAATCCATCTAATCATAATCAGCACCTCTCTAACATCTTTTGTCCATTCCAATCCTGAAACTTCACATTAATCACTGTTTTTGATTTGCAAAAAAAAAAGCTTGGTGACAATTGCAGTATTTTCATTTTAATAATTCAATACAGTTTCTAATTCTATGTCCACCTTTTTTAGGCTTTGAATTAAGTTAATTAATTCAAAAATAGATGCAGATTATTTTAAAAATAAATTAATCTTAGTTCTTTTTATACAATTTTAATTAATTTTATACTCATTGATTCACAAATCAGTATATTTTAGTCTTGGATTCTGATTCACTACACAGCGTATCTATAAAAATCACTCTTCTTAACTATTAATTTCTCTGAAAGATATTTACGTATTTCCTTGTTAGATCTCCACTTAATGTTGTACATGTGTATAGACTTCAATCAAAAATGGCCATAAAGATAATTTGATTCTATGGATTTATCTATTGATGAGGAGTCAGTAATTAGTAATTCTTCCGAATTCAGATTAATTCTATATATGGAATTACTTTGCCAACAATAAAATGCAATTACAGGAATGATATTTAAAGAGTTTTCAAATTAGTTCCAGGGAATTGTGTGGGATCCTGATTCGTGATGTGCATGTAATTATGATACCAGTATCTTTAGTTTGTTATGTGATTTGATTTCCTATATTTCAGGTGAATGTGTTGCCGAAAGATTTACAAGCACCGTTATTATTTGCACTGCCTGATAATACAAGATTTACCCTTATAGATTTCCCTCTACATTTACCATTAGAATTATTAGGTGTTGATACATGTCTTAAAGTTCTTACTGCTGTTATGCTGGAACACAAGGTACCCAAACTTTTCCATACTTTTGTTTCATTTTAAAATGTTCTTACACAAGTAGTTCATGTCATAAGTTTATATTTGGCTACATTCTTTAGGTCAGATCATACATATTCTTTCCACTTAGTGACAAACTGTGGAAATTGAGCTTTCAATATTGAAATAAAATTAGGTGTGACTTAAACTCGTGGCATAAAATTAGACTCAGGGTTTTGGTATATCATAAATGTACTTGAATTTAGTTCTCAATATTTAAAAACCCTTCTTCATCAGCCTATTTGGTGCAGAAAAGTGGTACTTTAATTCCCCATTTCATTGTAATATCTTAACACAATGCCATAATGGAGGGAAAATTAATTCTTGTTATTGCAAATTAGTACATTACTTCATTCATTCTTTTTACCATTTGACTTCAGGCACCTTATTGTAAATACATTTTCAGCATTAATTTGTTATCTCATGTCCTTGATTTTATTATATAAATGTAATTATTTCTGTTTTATCATATAGGTTATTTTACAATCAAGAGATTACAATGCTCTATCAATGAGTGTTATGGCCTTCGTGTCCATGCTATATCCATTAGAGTATATGTTTCCCGTTATTCCCTTATTACCTACATGTATGGCATCAGCTGAACAGGTAAGTATTCATTGTAAAAATGATATAACACACGTCTCAGCTATTATTCATGAAAACATTAAATCAGCACTTATTTACCATTGTGAACTCCTATTCTTAAAATAAGCTCTTGCTTATCATTCTGAACTACTGTTCTTAAAATCATCACTTACCATTGTGAGCTCCCAATCTTCAAAGATTATCTGTTAAAATTCTCAGTAGATTAAATTAATTAAAACAGTAGTTTGATATTCAGACCATGGAAGCATTTTAGAAATGTAACTACTAGTTATCCAGAGTTTTATAATGAAAGAAATATAAGGGTACATACATACATACATACTTTAAGAAATATACAATGTACTATTGAGAAAATTTTACTATATTTTTATTTTGTAGCTACTATCTGCCCCTACACCATATCTGATTGGTGTACCTGCCAGTTTTTTTCTCTACAAAAAAGGTTTTGTTTTACCAGATGATATATGGCTTGTTGATCTAGACTCAAATAAAGTAAGTTTGTGGTATACAACAGTAACAATTTCATATTTCATATACATTATATGTCGAGGACAAATTTCTCTTTATAAGAATTTAGATAGAGAACTGAGATAATACAAAAAAACAACCATCTGAAAATATTTGACATCAATGTCTGTGGTCAGGGATAAGCATCGAACGATCAGTTTGACTTCTGCTCACACAATAGAGGTTAATCACGAACCAGCAAGCAAGCAAGCAAGCAGGATTCACCATATTTGAGATCTTTGAAAAACACAAAACAATTTGATTGAATTTAATCTTTTATCCTGATAATGATAATCAGCCAAGTTGTTGTTAAAGAAATTGATTTTCATATATAAATAAATAATGTATGTTTATGTATCGAAGAGATAATTCTGTGCTGAGTTGTCTCAATGGCTTATCAGTAGTCAGTTTATAGTGAAAATTGTGTAAACATGGTCTGTAAGTTGGATCAATATGTGTAATCAATAGTTTCAGACATACGTCAAGATTGGACGGAATTCTTCACAGACTTTTTTTGTTCTCCTGTTTAAGTAACGAATACTATCCATTTACATTACTCGCTAGTCGTGCAGCATTTAACAAAAAGAAAAACCAACCATTTTTAAATGTCAGACTACATGACTTGTTACAGAATCAAAAAAGTTTTCATTTTTATACGCCCACATTTTCATGTGAACGTATATTGTCGTCGCCCCTGTCTGTCTGTCCATACTCAATTTGTTTGTGTACACTATTACAGATCACAATTTTTATCTGATTTTGACGAAACTTGAAATATAGGTCTATCTCCCAAAGATTTTGGTTCCTTTCGCAATTGGCATTTATCGGAGCACAACTTCATGGATTATGCCAATCATTGTACGAGAAATCGGATTTTGATGAAACTTCAAATGCGTGTTTATAACACAACCATCTTGGTTCCTTTGGATATCAGATCGTAACTTCCTTAATTATGGCCCCTGATTGTACGAAAAATTGTGTTTTTAGCTTGTGGTCCCTCAAGAGGTCACAATTTTTATCCGATTTAAAAAGCCGTTCGAATACGCAAATTGTGTAAAAGTATATAATACGAGGTCACAATTTTTATCCAATTTTGATGAAACTTAAAAGATATCTTTACATCCCAAAGATCTCAGTCCATTTCGATATTCGCACATTTCAGACCATAACTTTCTGGATTATGGCCCCTGATTGTATAAAAACTCACTTTTTTATTATTAGTATTAGCTTGTTCTCTATCCATGTGGGCGTATCTTGCCTGGCAACTGCTGGTTATTGATTATAGAACTTAAACTTATAAAGATAAATATTTTTAGATTCCCACACACAAACATTTGAGGTTTTTTGTTGAAATATCTACATGTACAAATCAATGTTACATTTCATGTTTGAATGGTTCAATAGTATAGAGAAAAGTTACAATTTCCTGTTTCAAATCTGAAAAGAAATCTTACTTTGTCATGTTTCGATTATAATAATATTCAGTGTCGTACAAAACTGGAAGGAAATAGTTAATTAGCTAAACATCTATTTAAGACAGATTCAAATTATCACAATGACGTTCACACCTCCTACACAGAGAAACATGTGAAAATATAATTAAAAGGCCATTGCCTACTGGACTAACAAGAATGAATATCTAGTCATATGGATGTATGAAAATATCGAGATCTTATGTACACATTGGCCCTTATATTAAAAAGTTTAGAATATTTGGTGAATCATAATCATGTATTAGAATAGTATAGGAAATACCCTGCAGGGCTGTCACTTTCAATATTTTGCCAGCTTGTCAATTTTTGCTATATTTTGTTTACCATAGTTAGCAAGTTATCTTTTCTAAAGAATATGACAATGTTTTAGCTGTATCACATTACAAGCTATACATAAAAATATACATTTAACTCTTTGTGTTCTAAGATTAAATTCTTTGAAATTCTAATTTTGTGCATGTAAATTGACTGACAGGTAAGTTCTCAAGCCAAGCCTGTCAAATATGACCTAAACAAGAGCCCTGGTACAGCCTAACATGTAGGTTACATGTAGGATATTTCGTGACTGACATATGGTTCAATTTTATTTCAATAACTCACTTGTGCGTAGGGGGTCTATAGCAGTTGGAGGAAACCCATGAGATTCGACAGGTTACATATAACCATACTATAATATTATTTTTAGATTCACCCTCCAACTAATGCGGAACCACTCCCCAATTTACCAGATCCTGAGGGTTCAGTTCTAAAGACACACCTTAAACAGGTCAGTATGGGTTAATTATATTAAAAATTATTTTTAAGATAAATCCATAATAGACGTGTAATTTATATGGGATGGGATTTTTTTTTTTTTTTTTTTTTTTATAGACAATTAAAAAAGTGAAGATAACATAAATGTCAGAAAAGTTTTAAAATATTCCAAGTCATTCATGTATGTAAACATGTCAAAGTATTCAATTTCAAACCATTACAAATTTATCTAAATATTTAAATATGTCTATCAAGTTATATTAATGTGTATTTATTCATGTTAAGTTATTAATCACAAAGACTTTCCCTTTGGCAAAATTAAGTACAGTTTTACAGTTTTAATGTGTTTACTTACGAGAGAGATACCATCTAAAAATTGCCAGTTTGAAAGATATCAAAAATAATTGGTATTTAAAAACTTGTTGATGTAAATTTTTGTGAAGATTATGTTAACGCTGACATAAATTTTTGCATTTGAATCAATTATACGTTGAAAATGTCAATGTTGAAAATGTCATTAAATTTCTTACTGCGTCATCTACAAACCAACTTGGTAAAATTAATTCTATTTCATTTATTCACAGAAATTTATTGTTGTTTAATGGCCAGCCAGACATTGTATAAAATGAAATAAAACTGTAGTTAATTAGACAAACGGTGGAATAGTCTTTGTGAGCCATGTGGGATTGTAGAGGCTAGTTTTGAGATGGTTACATAACATGTCTACTTGATTAATCTGCTATTCATCATTACTCATCATTTATTACTCTTTATTTTTAATCATCATTAATCTTAACGATTGATTTTATACATTGCATGATTCTTTATTTACTTTAACATTATTTAATTATGCCTGGTTGCATAACATTTATTAATATTTGTGATAGTCGAAATATTGTTAACATTTATTATCTTTAAAAAATTGCTTCCCCTTAGGAGATCATATGCGGGCTAGTATGACAAAACATATATTATACAATAACATTTAATATTTGTACTGTAAATCCAACATTTGAGAGGCAGACTCTGTACTTCAAGTAATATTTTGTCGAGTCGTTAAACACATTTGCTTTTTTATTGAATAGAATTTTATATTCTGGTGATTGGACTGAAATAGAATGATAATAAATACTGACATTACAAGCTGTTTAATTGATCACAATAATTGTTGTCACCTTGGTGATACAAGCTATTCTATAACATTTATAAATGACAAATGCTTTGGTTCAGCTGAAATAATTATAATCAATATTCAGATATAGAATTACTTCATAAGAATTCAATTAATGGGCAATGAATCAAAATAAAATCATCGATTTTTGATTTGAAATATTAAGCAACAAAAAAAAAAAAAAAAAAAAATGCAACAAAAAACATCTGTAATCTTTGGCTGATCATTTAATCTGTTTATGGTTAATCATTTAAAAAGAGAAAAATGAAATATATTTCAATTCCAAAGCAGCATCCTGAATGGATCGCTGATGAAAATACACGTTTATTTTGATACCAAATAGTAGCATTAATAGGCCATACAACTACTGATAAGACACAACTCTAGTTGAGTGTAAAACAAACCTGATCAATTTGTTTTATCAGGCTCTGTTGATAGCTTAACAAAGTTGTAAATCAAGTCAACTTATTGGCTGAATAATCACCCTAGTTTTATCTCGATCTGTTTATGATTAATCTTGATCTGTTTACTGTAGAGAAGAAGAATTAATTGACACTGGGGAAATCAATGTTTTAGCACTGATTGTTAGGTTAGACATTGTTCAAAATGTTATTCTTCCCCTAAAATCTAAAATAAAGCTCTTGTTTTCCATATCAAAATAATGTATAACCATCCATTCCAATGTTTAGAATATTTTTCATTAAAGAACTAGTCTATAAAATGTTAATACTAAACCTGTTGACAGTATAGGACAAGGATTAATTGTTATTTAACAAATATATTTTAGTATTGATATTAACGTTGAAAAATATTATTGTTTGCAGAAATATATAACCCTTGAAACAGATTGTGTTTTACTTTAGTTTGAGTTTTATGTTCGATGAAATAATATTTTATTTCATTAATTTAAAGAATAAAATGTTAGACAAAAATGTGAAAGTAATGTATATGTAGTAAAAAAATCAAATTACATTCATTAATTATTAGTAGTACAGCAAAAAAAGCAAATTAACTATAATTAGTATAATATTGTAGTAAATTAATTACACTTATGACATAAAATATGCGAAATTACTTAATGTAGTAAATTATTTAAACTTGTGACTTATCTTTAGTATATTCTAAATTACTTAAATATTGTAGCAAATTATTAAAACTCTAATAGCTTGACAGTTGAGATAGATAGCCAGTTTAACTTTACTGTCTGAGCTCAGATCTCAAGGAAATAAGCTAGCTTAAAAGCACCTGCTCTCAAGGTACATGTGGTTTAAAAAAGGTTATTCTAGCTTAACTTTCCTATCTGAACGGCTTAAATTTATCAGATTATCTGCTTTCTTGCATGCACTTTTCATTGCCTCCTGGGGTAAATGACAGTCGCCTGCACCATATGTGTAATTAATTATTGAACAACGTTAAGCAAATTATTTAAACATTTATACACATAAAAGATAGATTTATTCAAATACAAATATCTTGATAATTTTCATTCAACTTCTCTAGAAAGTTACAAAAATAGGGTTTGGTTAAAAGTTTTTAAAATGACATCATCAGATTCATCGGAAGTTATGACAGAGTTTGGGCTAAAAAAAGTTTAGAAAATTGAATCGTCAACTTTACTAGAAAGTTATGTAGGTTTTGGTTAAATGTTTGGAAAACAGAATCATCAACTTAAACTAGAAAATTATAATAGTGGTTGATTGGTTAAATGTTTAGAAACAGAATCATCAACTTCACTAGAAAATTATAAAAGGGGTTTGGTTAAAAATATAGAAATTGGAATCAGAATCATCATCTTTGAACATTAGAAAGTTTTGTTTTGGGTTTAATATAGTTATTTTGGTGACAGGGATTTTAGCTCATTAACCCCTAGCTAACCGCTTAACTTACAGGCTTTGGCAAGCATGAGCATGACACCTCAGCCAATCAAAAATCTTGATGCACTTGCTCAGAATGCTGAGATATGGCAACGTAGAGAAAGTTTTTCTTCTCAGACTGGCTTCAACCCGTTGATATATGGAAATGATGTAGATTCTGTAGATGTTGCTACTAGAGTAGCTATGGTAAGTACCCATCTATTTTATTACTTTTTAACATGTAAAATTTCACATTCATATTATAACTTTCCTGATTTGATCTTTTGTTCAAGTCATCATGGACTGTATTCAGCCTAGATGCATTATGTAAGAATAAAATCTGTCCATTGCAGGTTATTTTTTTCTAGCTTCAAATGTTATGTAAATCATTGTATGGAAATTTATTCACATTACAAACCCATAATCAACTCTCTAGAACATCAGATGACCTAGATATCTAATGGATTAGAACCCTTTTGACATTTAATAATTTGATGATAAAATGGATAATCGTAGCAATGGTACTTAACAATTAAGACTATCTTGTCAAATCTTCGAACACTTATAACTTCGCTCAGAATCTGAATACAGTAATTTGACTGCAATTTTCAATATAATTATTGAACCTTTATAGCAAGAACGGCCAGCTCTTTAATCTTACATAATGTATTTTTAATTGACATCTTCATGTAAATTAAAAAGCATCTAATCGCATTTCAATCTCATTTTTATTACGTTTACTGAGAGAAAAAACAAAGCAAATGGAACACTACTTTGACTTGATCAGCAAGAATTTACTTGATCATATCTAAAGCTGTACAGTAGATTGTAATTCATGCAACAGTGACTCCTGATTAGGATTCATGATAATCTACAATGACTGGTCATTGGAACTTAAATTAATGGGACCATTGCAATATTCTATCACATTGGATCAGTTTAAATCTGGCAAGAGGGATAGGGGATCAACATCTGCTTGACACAAATTAGGTCATTTTGAGAATAATATATTATTCAATGTTATTTCAATAATTGGCGTTGGGGTCTTTAGCAGTGGGAGGAATCCTGAGAACCTGGGGTAAACCCACCAGGTTGGATTGGTGGTGACCTTACTCCTCTCTTGCATGAGTGAATCAAAAACATGACACTTGACTCAATGGCAAATCTTATGATCTAAACTCTAAACCATTCGACAACCTAACCCTAGTTGAAGATTTGAGAAAGAAAATGATTTAACTTTAATACAGAAATGCAGAAAATGTAGAAATGTTATTGCTTATGTTGTAATTTGAGTGAAAATTGCTTCCATTTTGAAGTAAAAATAGTAGATATTGTATACAATTATCATTAATTCACATGTGTTTACGACTACTGAAATATTCATAGAATTTATAACTGCTGGATATGTTGATGAACTATTTTTACAGTGGAAATTATTATTCATACATAATATGTAACAGTCCATATAGCTCTACCTAATTGTCCAATCAAATATGTATTGATAATATTTAATTGAAGCCTACTAACAGTGAAGGCTAACGTACAACATTTAACACTTAACTGCAACTTACGAAAAGTTAAGGTCAAGAAGAACAATTATCATTTCATTAAATATACATTATGTAATGAGCAAAATCTGCCTGTTGCTGGGCCCTTATTCACGAAAACTTAAACTAAGATACAATCGAAATTTTAAGAAATACTGCAATTCGATTGGCTGACCAGTAAAATCAATTTGCATATATCCAATTTGCATATTGGTCAGCCAATCGAATTGCAGTATTTCTTAAAATTTCGATTGTATCTTAGTTTCAGTTTTCGTGAATAAGGGCCCAGATCTTTCTTTTGGCCTCAAATGTTATATGAATTATTAAGTAAACATTTATTAACATGACAAGCCCATAATCAACTCTCTAGATCATCAGATGGTTGTGGTTTTGAACGGATTGAAACTTGAGACTATGCCTTTCTTTAAACAGACGTAACATCGCTCAGAATTAATTTATTTGACTGAAATTTTCAATATATTCTGTTTTCATTATCTATTTTTATACGTCCACATTCATAATGTGAACGTATTATGCCGTCGCCCCTGTCTGTGTGTGTGTGTGTGTGTATGTATGTATGTGTGTGTGTGTGTGTGTGTGTGTGTGTGTGTGTGTGTGTGTCTGTGGTTCGCCTACAGGGCGCAATTCTTCATGGATTTTCTTCAAACTTGGTATACTTATTCCTTATACCCCAAGGAAGATCCCTATTGTTTTTGGTGCATGCCCGACCCCCCGGGGCAGAGCCACGCCCATTTCTAGTATTTGTTTGTTTGTCGTCTACAGGCCACATTTCTTAACTAATAATCTTGAAACTTTGCATACACATTCTTTGTACCCTAAGGAACATCCCTATCGTTTGGGGTGCATGCCCAACCCCCAGGGGCAGAGCCACGCCCATTTTCTTTTCGTGTGTCTTTGTGTCGCCTACAGGGCGCAATTCTTACTGGATTTTCTTCAAACTTGGTATACTTATTCCTTATACCCCAAGGAAGATCCCTATTGTTTTTGGTGCATGCCCGACCCCCAGGGGCAGAGCCACGCCCATTTCTAGTATTTGTTTGTTTGTCGTCTACAGGCCACATTTCTTAACTTATAATCTTGCATACACATTCTTTGTACCCTAAGGAACATCCCTATCGTTTGGGGTACATGCCCAACCCCCAGGGGCAGAGCCACGCCCATTTCCCATTTTCTTTTCGTGTGTCTTTGTGTCGCCTACAGGGCGCAATTCTTACTGGATTTTCTTCAAACTTGGTATACTTATTCCTTATACCCCAAGGAAGATCCCTATTGTTTTTGGTGCATGCCCGACCCCCAGGGGCAGAGCCACGCCCATTTCTAGTATTTGTTTGTTTGTCGTCTACAGGCCACAATTCTTAAGTGGTCATCTTGAATCTTTACATACTTCTTCCTTATATCCTAAGGATGATCCCTATTGTTTTTGGTGCATGCCCGAGCCCCAGGGGCAGAGCCACGCCCATTTTTTGTATTTGTTTGTCGTCTACAGGCCGCATTTTCTTAACGTATCATCTTAAAACTTTGCATACTTATTCTTTGTACCCTAAGTACCATCCCCATCGTTTGGGGTGCATGCCCAAATCCCAGGGACAGAGCCACGCCCAGTTTCTTTTTGTGTGTCTGTGTGTCGCCTACAGGCCACAATTCTTAATTGATGGTCTTGAAAAATATTCATATGAATTCCTTATACCCTAAGGATGATCCCTATTGTTTTTGGTGCATGCCCGACCCCCAGTGGCAAAACCACGCCCATTTCTTGTATTTATTTGTTTGTCATCTACAGACCTAGTGTGTTTTCTCCGGGTCCTCCGGTTTCCTTCCACTGCTAAAGACCCCTACGCGCAAGCGAATTATTGAAATAAAAATTTAAAAAAAAAAAATGTTAGTCCCGAAATGACCTAGTTTGTGTCTAGTGGACTTTAAACCCCACCTCTCTCTCTCGTCATCTACAGACGACATTTCTTAAAGGCTCAATACCACTCTTGTTGTAACTGAATAATATGTTAAAAATCTTTATTCTGGTCAATAAATTGCACTATTTTACAATATTCCAATTAATTGATGATACAAATTTCATCTTAACACACCTAATTTAAAAAATTGGAAAAATTCAACTAAATGATTTGAAAAGCCTTGACGTAAAGCTTTTCAAATGTGACTTGGATTTAAAAATATTTTTGAACCCTCTGTACAAGTAAAATAGGATTTAATGGATAATTTACGCAACAGGTAGGAGGACACTAACACACCTAGTACTTAGAATAAGGCTATTTTTTATTTTGTAAAGCTGTCAAGCCAGCAAGAGTGTTATTGTCCCTTTAACGTATCACCTTGAAACTTTGCATACTTATTCTTTTATCCTAAGGAACATCCCTATTGTTTGTGGTGAATCCCCCCCCCCCCCCGGGACAGAGCCAAGCCCATTTTCTTTTTGTGTGTCTGTATGTCACTTACAGCCTGCAATTCTTAATCGATCTTCTTGAAAACTTTTTTTATACTCATTCCTTATACCCTAAGGCTGACCTCTATTATTTTTTGTGTATGCCCGACCCCCTTGGACAGAGACACGCCCAATATTTGTGTGCCTACTGGCCGCAATTCTTAACATACCTATTTTGAAAATTTGCATACCTATTCCTTATACCCTAAGGATGCCCCCTGTTGTTTTTTTGTGATTGCACAACCCCCCGGGGCAGAGCCACACCCATCTTTTCTTTGTGTCTCTGTGAGTTGCCTACATGCCACGATTCTTAATGGATAGTCTTTGAACTTGGGATGTGTATTCCTTATAGCCTAAGGACGGCAACTGCATGTCCCGACTACCAGGGGCAGAGCCACTCCCAATTTTTGTGTTTATCGTTTACAGGCAGGAATTCTGAATGGATCAACTTGGTACTTGGCATATGTATGCCTTATAGCCTAAGGGCGTCAACTATTGATTTTGGTGAATGCCCCGAGCCCCAGGGACAGTGCCACGCCAAATTTTTGCCTTTAGCGCCCGAAGGCCACAATTCTGAATGGATTATCTTGGAACTTGGTATACGTATTCCTTATACCCTAAGGACGGCAACTATTGATGTTGTCATTTCAATAACAGGGTGGTAACTATTTACATTGTTCCATATCCAACCCCTACGGGCTGAGCCACACCCATTTTTTGTATTTATCGTCTACAGGCTGCAATTCTGAATGGATCATCTTAGAACTTATTTATTTCTTATACCGTAAAGACAGCGACTATTTATTTTGAGGCTTGCCCCGACCTCTTGGGGCAGTGTCACACCCACTTTTTTGTTAGTACTTTGTCAGTAAATTTGGAAAAACAAACCCAACGCCTAGCCTTCTTTGCCTCTGATCCCATTACAGCCATTTCATATTTCATTCTCTTCATTTTAAAAAGTACCATATCGATCAAAGCTGGAATGTGGACGTATATTGCAGCGTTAGCGGTGCTCTCGTTAAACTATATAATGAGAACGGTCTGCTCTTTATAAGAATCTTACATAATCCCTCACTATCTTAATGCCTGGATAACTTTGTCTACAAATTTGCATACACTGTAAGAAAAGTTATTTTGGTAATTATGAAGTCTATGATATAATGAACAGTGGTCTTCTTGTAATTGTATGAGTTACATAACCTCATTTCTGAATGGCTCAATATATTGAGCTGCCTCAAATTAAAGAAGGTATTTGGGTTATTTCACTTTTTGCCTATTGATTTATTAAAAGACACCCGGGCAATTCCATGCAAATGTGCAGGACATGGTTAGTGAAAAATGAAACAGCAATTAGAACCATTTTTTTTATGTTTGTCTGGTCTATATATTCTTTAGGGTTTGGAATTGTAAAGAAATTGTAAAAATTCTAGCGAACTTTTTATATATCTGTGGTTGGATTTATTTGAACTTATCCTGAAACATGTCATCACTTATAAAGTTTTATTTAAGTATTCTTTAGTTTTGTTTTTACAAAATGAATGTAACGTGAGTAACGTAACGTGAGTAACAACATTTTCTACACACTTCATTTAAAAAAAATCAGATCCTTTTCATATATTTATACTTTATTGCAAAGAAATAACTTAATAACATCCATACCTATTGCAATAAATACTTATTATAAATAAGAGATTAGACTTGAAGGTAATATTTATGTGCAAACAAAACATCAAAATTTTGGTGTCCATTTCATGTAACATGAGTAACACCATGTTTTTCAGATGTCACCCAAAAAAATTATTTCATTTTTGTTCAGTCTATCTTATTATTTCCTTCCATCACTGATGGATGCCCATACACAATATTTAACATATCAATGTAGATTGTAGTCTTTAATCTCAATATGGATGGGGTTCTTTAAATGTAACATGAATAACGCTGGAATTGCCCACCCCATGAAATCTGGTACATATATACTCATTTAATTATTTCATATAATAAATATTAAAAATGGCAAATATTATCGGTAAAACTAGTCCCAATACTGGCACAGATGTTAATTGATTCACATTGCAATTGGACCATATGCCTAAATCAGTGACTTTTTCTGTTTAGCTCACGGAACTGTGATCTCTGCTTTAAACATTTTAGTCTAAGCTCAAATATTTAATTTTTTGGCAGTAACTTGATCACGTATTGTAGCTGCGTAAACAAGCTTTTAAAAATGTATCTAGATTTCAATAAAGACTCTTTCGTCACTAGAAGTTGATCCTATAAAGATTAGAAGCTGGCCGATATTATATAGTGAAATATTCAGGGTTTATATAAACATTCCTGTACTATATTGATTTTATACCTACATTTGTATATCAATAAAATAATTTTATAGCTTATACTTGTGTGTTTATAATAAAACACAGTGTGTCCTAGATTATAAATATAACACCAGTAGATTTTATTTACCTGTAGGAGAATCATTTTTATTGCCAAATAAATGTTGATCACAGTGATGTAACCAATGCTTATCATGATATAGGGTATTCATAAAGGTCTTATTTTGAAGCTTATTAACAAGTATGACCGAACTATGAACCAGGAACCAGCCATCTTGGAATTGTGACATCTCATCAAAATCAAAGACAATTATTCAATGCACAAACATATCAAGTTTCATATCAATTGTACTCAAATTGGGTAAAGCCTTAGTCTTTTACCAATAGAATAGTATAAACCAGACACTTTCAGGAAATATGGCCAATAGGCTTCTATTACCTTTAATACTAACAGACTGCGTCAAAAAAATAGTTCTTGATTATATATGTAACCTTCCTCATAAATAACTGGGTCTTCGTTTAATTTATCAGTTCAAATGCAAATTCATCCTTCATTATAAAAGGTGATTTTTATGCGTGGGTACCAATATGGAGGCTTGATAATCAAACATTTAACTCCTGCCCTTTAGACATCTTTGTATATTTCATGTTAAAAACCGCCTTTAAAGATAAATGTCGCAATACCTTATCTAATCAATAGAGGACTACTTATTGATTTTTGGTGGTTTCTATCGTCAGTGAAGAAATGATGCTAATTTATATATATAACAAATCCTCAACTGAACTGTAACATTTCTTATCTGCTTGCAAATAAAAGCCTTGGAGAATTGCCTTAAATGAGAATCATATTACATATTCTGATGGATTTATGTGTGGACTCTCTTGAGGCTACAGACACATGATTAATGATTATGTATTTAGTTATCCTGGTGTAGCTAAGCAAAGATAATTTTTTTGTATTTGAATATTGAATATTCAGTGGTTGAATGATTGAGTTGTATAACGTGTGATTTAAGTCATACATTCTGTCATTGAGATAATTGCCATGAAATGTGGTAGGGTTGCCTGCCCAACCTTGCAGGTTTCCTCTGGGTCCTCTGGGTCTTCTGGGTTTCCTCCCACTTCTAAATACTGTACATGCAAATAAGTGAAATAAAATTGTACAATGTTAGTCCTGAAATGACATAGTTTATATGGAATGGACTTAGCCCCTCTCTCTGTCTAACTCACACACACACACATATGCTTTTTATGCCTAGCTTTAATATTTAAATAGCTGTTCAAAATATTATATTTTATCGCTTTAGTCTACTTTTATTTGGGTCAAAAACATAAATTGTCGATTTAATTAGATTCTATGTGTTGAATTGTTTTGTGGCATGACAATCTGTTGACACATTAAGCCAGAAATGATTTAAAAATTAATCAACAAACATGCTAACTGATCTTAAAAGTTTCATCACTACTTCAATAAATAGTTTCATCGGGAACTTGATAAATACATATATATATTATGATTTTAAACACCAAATATTAAATGAATAAATTAATAAATGCTAATGATGTCATTTAACAGGGCATTAAGTGTAGGAATCATTAGTTTCACATGAGTTGTATCACCTTTACACCGAAGTATCTCATTCCAAACCATAGTCTTGATGAATAAGACATCAATGAAAATAGACTTCACACATGTAATTGTGTTTTTTTTTTTCAGATCAGATTCTTCAACTCCACCAACATTTTAGGGAATTTCTGTGAACACACACGCACATTACGTTTATACCCGCGACCAGTAGTGGCCTTTCAGTTGTACAGTTTTCTTAAATCTCGACAGATTAGAACACATTTTTCTGTTCGTCTTGCCAGAACACAGGTAATTATTTTTCTTATTGTAGAAGATGCAACCTACTACCCATCATTTATTTCACGAGTAACCGAGCCAGCATCTTACTTACTGAGTCAATGTGGGCTCAAACTCAAAGCTGCTTAAGTAGAATATTTAAATAGAGTTACTGTTCTGTATTAGTCTCAAAATATTCACCCCCTGCCCCCCTTTATTTGTGTTCCTTTAAGCAAAAATATTACTGATCAGCAAATTTGTATATTTTATGAATGATTAACAACCAACCTGGGACATTAATTTAAAATCAATAACAAGGCACTATTTGTGATTTTAGTTTTACTATTCTTAGTGCAAGAAATTGGTGCCAGATGCAAGATTACAGATTTATAATTGTATATAAAGTTTATTTAATGTTGAATGTGGGAATTTCAAATCAACTGTAAATTAACATAATATTCATGAGGGCCTTAAAAAAGTGATTTACATAAGTCATTACTTATTGTTATTCTTCTTAATAACCACTGTTGGCTAAATACTGTTAAAAAATAGTTGATAATTTCAAGGTTAATAATGCTTTAAAAAGAAACAGCAATTATTTAAACACATATTGTTGTATTTTAGCCCTGTAGTGTTTTCATTTAATAATCTGCATAATTTAAACACTTTCGTATTCAGACAAAAACTATGAGCTTGTCTTAAATCCTAGTATTATTACTATTAAGTAAAAAGCAAATTAGAGAGTATACTGTATGTGTTGTGACCTCTGTGAATATAAGACTGCAAATTCTAATACAGTAGGCCCTAATCAGTCTTTTTCACTGAAAATATCTGGGTCACTGATCAATAGCACTGGACCTCAAATTATATACACAGTGTAATGCTTGTTCCAGTTTTATACATTCTACGTAACGGTATCTAAATCACATAAAACTGAACATTAATTGTTTATCCTCATGAACATGTGTGTTAAATATTTTGGGTGTGGGTGTTATATAGATATGTTAATATATACATACCTGTAAACAGGTTATATTGATTTCTGCTTTTTATTGTAGGTAAATGTCATTTGTAGGGAGGGGAGGGGGAAATAAACAATGACATTATGATTAACTGAACAAGGGGGAAATAAACAATGACATTATGATTAACTGAACAAAATACTGTATCGTAGGAGTTAATGTGATTATTATGAAAATTCCATCTCCTGCTTCACTTGTTCTGTGTCGTCTCTTGTTACGTAAGATTTCCTGTCGTCTGTTTTTTTTAAAAGGGATAATAAAAGGAAGTTAATTTAATTCCATTATTCATATGTTTAATGAATTATTCAAACTTTTGCAGACAGAATGACTGTCTGCTACAATCATCTTTTTGGGGGGTATTAATGACAATACAATTAATGTACATTGTAGGCTGTTGAATACTATGCAGAATGGTCATTATGTCCTCAAAATCTGGTTTATCTTCGTGTACAGACCGGTGTATATGATCCATCTTTAATAGGAGATAAACCAAAATGGTATGCCCACCAACTACAATCAGTGGAATTTCACGTCTACGATCCCAACTCCAGTTTAGGAGCAGCTCTGACATCTGTATCGGACGTTCTTAGTGATGAAATACCTACAGGTAATTAATATCCTGCTGTCGGCAGTTGATATTAAATTATTAATGCTGATCAGCTAGGAATTTAATGGTGATATATTTATAACTGACCCAGACAAGTATTTGACATAAGATTGTTTGATGAATTGACATTCCCATGTCCCCACATGAATGTTTTCCTTAAATACAATTGTTTTGGGTTTTTTTGATTGCCCTGAACTCAGACTTTGTATCTTAAGTACCATCTTTATTATTTGTTCTTTCCCTTGTTTTTGTTCTGTCCTGTAGTTTTTCCTGTATTGTCAATAAGTAAAATTAGAAAATATATCAGAATTGAAATATTTATTATATTATTTAATTATTCTCTGTCTTGGATTTATTTATTTCTCATTTACTGTATTTGACCGAATTAGTGCTTGTGTTTTTCCACTTTCATCAGCTATAGGAAGTATTGTATTTTAGAACCCTATCTGCAAGCGAATTACTGAGATAAAATTGAACGATATCTTAGTCCTGATTTGACTTAGCTAGTATTTCGTGGATGTTGAACCCCATATCTCTCTCTCTCTCTCTCTCTTTTGTCTTCTGTTATCTTTGGGCCCTGTTTCGTTTTAAAATATTGTCTTATGGTACGATATAGTAAACTTTTGTTGAGTTTGTTTTGTCTTAGTTTACAGTAAATATAGTATGATTAAAAAGCTAAACTTAAGATTCATCGAAATGTGAAGTTTGAATATTTGATTTAATTCTAAAAGTGCTAATGAAGACTGTTTAAAGTTTAAGTAAAATGCTAATAATGTATATATTATAGATGAAAGTGGTAGTGATAGTGAAGGTGCAGAGAGTACAAGTTCATCTTATTCATCATTAAGTGATTTTGTCACTGATATGGTTAATAGTGAAATAGATGGCGAAACACCAGGTAATTATTGCCTTACATGTATATTATTATAAATAATGGGATTCCACCATGTAGATATATAGACTAATATAAAATATTATTAACAATAATTCTATTTCATAGACTGGTATATTATAATTGTATGGAATATTATATTAATATTATACATGACTCATAATTTAATGTGATGAGGTTAGTGCATGAATGATATATAATCTTTCTATGAATGATACTTGAATTAACATTAACCAATGATTACAAAATATACATTTTCTTCCGAGAACCAAGTTGGTCATAAACAAAATAGACAGTGTTGCACAATTTATCACATTGTCTACATTGTGTAGTGTGTTCTATATATATGCTGTTTGTCCCAAGTGAATGAACTATATTATTTGATACAGTATTTCGTTGATAACTGTTTAGTTGTTTGACTCAAATTGTTTTGTATCTCTCGTTTGTTAGATATTTGGTTGATTCTCTTTCTAATCAGAGTCACTTGTGTTTTTCACAAGTTTACCTATTAAAAAAATAAGTTTTAAAATCTATTTCTGATAAACTTATAAGATAACGACTGTGTTTTTGGAATTTCTTTATTAACACTGAGCTTAACTGCTGTATGATTTATGAAGAACATAACATTGAAATGATGTTACTTATCAAGTAAAACGTGTTATCTCCGAAATCTTGTATTACAGCACCTTTCAATCAATTATTAATTAAAAACCGAAGGAAATGAGTTGTCTTTCCATCATAATTTAGTCCTTAAATGGAATGTAGAATGTTTCTAACAATAAACTAAACATCCCTCCCCTTTTAACAGCTTTTCTCCCTGAAAACCAAATACTAGCAGTAGATGAGTCGAAGGTATTCTGTCCTCCTGATAAACTGCATGTTCCTGATGTGAATGCTACTAACAGTGATTCCGCATTGTCTATGCCTGAAGATAGTGATGTAAGTTCGTCAGCCTCTTCAAGTCCTACATACAGCGATAATATACCTAGAGATAGGAGTCCTAAAGATTTAGAGGTATTCATTTTTAAGATCTGTGCATTTTATAGTTTTTAGTACCAGGGACCTCATTTTGTCACCCCCACTTTTCAGAATTCCTGTGTCTGCACTTGAAGTAGAAAGTAGTTAAATATAACAATTTTAGAAAATGTGGCCGATTTGTTTAAAAGTTGCCTGGAGTAGTTATTGAAACGTATTTCTGTTTACAGGAGGATGAAAATGATGGTCATGTATTCCGTTATGATTCTGGGAATGTAACAGCAACGAGTCTCACACCAAGCCGGTTTGTATCCTTTCTATTTTCTGAGAAGGAGTAGAGTAGTTTTGAAAACTACAAATATAACTAACTTAGCGAAAATGGGATTCCCCCATACTTTGATCTCTTTTACTATAAAAGACCACATGCCAAATAAGGTTATGTAAATTTGGTGAGAAAACTGCCTAATTTATGCATGCATGAATAATAGATAACAAGACCTGATAATTAATGTAAATCTGCTAAGCCTTTTGATTATTGATTAAGCTATCAATATAATTTAAAACAGTTTATATAAAGAAGATAAACAATGTTTGGATATTCTTACCATGGATATCACGCTTTTATTTGCTATTGTATGAATGATGACAGGGAATTATTGAGAAATATTATTGTCATGAACTTAAAACTGTACACAAATTTAATGTCAAGAACTATTTTTACGGAAGCCTGTTAAACAGATTGGAAGCTAATTGACTCTATTTCCTGAAGTTGACAACAACTTGAAGTAATCCAATTTTGGCCCCTGTTGACTCTAACTAAAAATATTTGACGGGCAAAATTTTAAAACATAAACCATGGTCTGAACTGTCAGCCGAATATTCTAAATTGCAGGAGTATGTCAGAAATTATGACATATATTTTGTTTGCAAATAATTATTTGATAATTTCTTAGTCTTTCATCACAGAAATGCTGAAGTGTATATGGAGAAGTACCCAGCATATAACAGACTTTATAATAACCTGATAAATTTGAATTATTCAATAATTAGACATTTATTATTGTATTACAGGAACGATAATTTTGGAGCAGGAAGTCCAGCGTCTGTAGATCTTCCACCAAGAAGTCCTAAATTACCTTCTTTTACTAAAAGTACTAATTCTGCATTTGATGTGTATGAAAAGCCCAAACCGTTATTAGCTCTTATTCCACCTAATCCAAATATGATGCGGGCACAGAGAGGAAGTATTTCTGGTTCATCTGGACCATCTGCTATTAAAGGCAATTTACGAGTCCCGGTAAGTATTTTATATCATTTTAACACAACACAGAGCGACAGTGGCTCAGTGAGTAACAAATGCCTGAAGATAATGATTTTTATTTTATCTAACAAGATGTCGTCCGCACTAGTACCTTTGAACCACGACATGTATTAAAATTACCTTTGAAAATACTGGAGATAGACAAATCTGTGCTTGAAAAAAAGACAGGCGCTATAAGGATTGTACCTGGCAAAGCGTGAATTTGTACATGACAGTGTCTGTGACAAGAGCCTTATTTCCAAGCTTGAGTATGTTGTGATTTGAATAAAATACTTGTGTTATATGATACTTCTATGAGAAGCATTTTTTATAAGTGTTCAAGCGAAAGAGATTTATTTATGCAAAATGACACTACACATTAAAAACAGTGGTGATCATTTTCTTTCACTGTATTATTGTAGACTATATTCTTTCACTGTGTTATATTGTTATTATAGAGTATAAGTGATCAAGATTCTGACAGATCCTCCTCCCCATCATCTATCATATCTACCATAAGTAACGAATTAACAGATATGGCCCAGTCAGCTACACATACAATGTCAGAATTATTTGGTGAGTAATAATAATTTAGGATGCTTACATTGCTTAATGTTACATGAATTTATTAATCAATTTGTCTGTCATTCTATCTTTACAATAAATCAGTTAAACTTGCCGATCCTGATTGAGTTATGTTTTTGACAATATCTAATTTTTCATGGCGTAATCCATGCTAAAATGGACTCAAATTGATTATTTATCATTAGATTAAGAAAAAATCAGAATTTCAGTGATAGATAATCCCTCAGCTTGGATTCAATCAAAATAAAAATAGGTCCCTAAAAAGGTTTTACCCAATACTTAAAAGGTGGCACTGGCTTGTTTATATCTACTGCAGAGGATGCTGAATGTTTGCAACTCATCATATCTTGAAGTAAATACTGATATTACTTTTAGACATACAACTATGACAATATTGTAGTTTATAAGTAATTTAAAATCCCTTAAATGATGATCAGTATTTATGTTGCAGTGAAGTACCAAATTAATCTTGAAAATGTTTAAACTATTAGGAACTATGCCAGACTGCATCCTGTAGTTGAAGAGCCACTTTAATTATGAGAGTTGATAGAGTTTACAATATCTAGAATGGATATATTTAAAATGTCACTTTAAATGTTAGAGTTGATATATTGTTATGAGATGTAGATATTGATCAATGTATGAATACAATGATATTACATACATGAATCATTTTAAGTGAAAATTATAAATGATATTCATTAGGGACTCATATATCATAAAATGTTTATTGATGCATTGGTCATGCAGTATCAATATATTTAAACAACTTAAATTACAGACACTATCCCACAGGTGCATTCAATGAAATTGTCACATGAGACCAATATTTCATCTAGTATAAAAAATTACGATTGAAATAATGGTATGCCAACATCAAAAGATGGTGTTACATATGTATTTTAATTAGATATATTGTAGGGCATATGAATAAATGTATAATGTTCTGTATATTTTGTTTATTATAGGTGGTAATAAACCTGGTAATAATAGTACATCAAACAAACCACCATCCAAACCTTTTACACCTCTAGGTACATATATTTCTTCAATGATACCCAGAGAGTTTTCTCTTAGCTCTCCAGTTACCACTACCTCCAACTTCTGATGACACCTTTCTCAAACTAATTAATGAAATAAAGATGTATGATATGTCCTTAGATAATCTGGCGGGTTGGGTGGCCGTGTGGCTAATGCGTGTGCATCATGAGGTCTGTCATTGAGTCAAGTGGCATGGTTTTGATTCCCTGCTTGTACATGACAAGGAGTAGGGTTGTCTGTCCAACCCCGTGGGTTTTCTCTAGGTCCTCCGGTTTTCTCGCTCTGCTAAGGACCCCTATGTGCAAGCAAATTAATGAAATAAAAATTGAACCGTATGTTAGTCCCGAAAGGACCTAGTTAATCCCCATTTCTCTCTATCTGTCTTTCTGTCTGAAATAACCTATCTTGTGTCAAGTTGTCATTGAACCCATCTAGGTCACTTGTGATTTGTTTTCAAATAGTGATTATAATATAAGGATAACCTGAATTTTACCTGTCGTTAATGCAAATGTCTTTTCTACAACACTAGAGTGTTTTGTGGATTTAAGTAATATTGAATAGTAATGTACTATAGATGTTAAAGTATAAAGTTTAATTTTCTATTTAAGGTAATCGAAAAGCTTCTGTTGAGAAATCTGGATTAGTAAAACATGCAGCTAGTATCAAGAAAAAAACAGAAGGAATCAAACCTTCACCAGCTGATGTTAGAAATTCTTCAAATAGGTAAACTAATTTTTCCTAGTAGATTTGTAACCATATTTTATCAGTCTGCCATCTACTGTGTTCAGTCTTATTTTTACATGTTGCGTTTAACCACAATGGTTTTCCCTGGGTTCTTTGGTTTCCTCCCCCTGCTAAAGACCTGCATGTAAGAAAATTATTGAAATAAAACATACCATGTTATTCTCAAAATCATATTGTTTCAGTTGAGTGAATGTTAAACCCCATTTCTCATTCTGTCCCTTATTCTTACTCATTAAATAAGGACCAGCCAACTGGACCTTTTACAATTACTACATCCATGTCATTCTTTTCGTATTACCATTGTGTTCTATTTATTTTTATAGTGAAAATCAACAGTTTTTAAAAGATGTTGTAAATTCTGTTATGGAGGGCCAAGGAACAAGTTGGTTAAAAATGGGTAAAATAAAAACTCTTATGGAAGATGAAAATTATCGCAACTTTGTAGTTAGCCGTTTAAATAAAAATCTAGATAAGAAATTAACAGATGAATCAGTACATATAGATGATGTGGTGAGTTTAATTTATTTTAAAATATGAAAATAGAACCAATAAATTTTGAGAAATGTAGAAATGGCATATATTATATCTGTTGATTAATCAGTGTTGACGTTTCTAGTGGATTACCCTCAGTTCCGTGCATCACACGCCAACAACTTGCCGTAACAGATCGTTTCATTGGCTAATCCCTCACTCCAACCAGAACGCCGGTGATATAACAACTCTTCCAGATCCTAGTGTAGTAAAGACAAGTAAAACATAATTTTGAACAATAAAAAATGAAACGAAATAGGATCTGTGTTTTAATTAGATTGTATTGTTCAAATCTTTATACACTATAAACGGGTCTCCACGAAAATTGTGAATTTTACTTGAATCATTGTTTTGTTTTTTATACGCCCACATTTTCATGTGAACGTATTATGCCGTCGCCCCTGTCCGTCCATTCGTCCGTCCACAATTGTTTGTGGACTCTCTACAGGTCACAATTCTTATCCGATTTTGATGAAACTTGAAATATAGGTTTATCCGATTTTGATGAAACTTGAAATATAGGTTTATCCCCAAAAGATCTTGGCTGCTTTCGATATTGGCATGTATCGGATCGAAACTTCATGGATTATGGCCCCTGATTGTACGAAAAATCACGTTTTTAGCTAGTGGACCCTATAGAGGTCACAATTTTTATCCGATTTTTTTGAAACTTGAAATATAAGTTTATAACCCAAAGAACTTGGTTCCTTTCGATATTCGCGCATATCGGACCGTAACTTCCTCAATTATGGCCCCTGATTGTACGAAAAATCGCGTTTTTAGCTTGTGGACCCTATAGAGGTCATAATTTTTATCCGATTTAAAAAACTGTATTATTATATCACCGTTACACCCTAAGGAAGGTTGAGTTTGAATTTCATGAAAATCGGCCCAAAATTGACAGACAAAATGGCCGCCGTTCGTTCTCAAATAGCGTAAAAATATGGTATATCAAGGTTGTGGACCCTATAGAGGTCACAATTTTTATCCGATTTTGTTGAAAATTGAAATGTAAGTTTATAACCCAAAGATCTCGTTTCCTTTCGATATTCGCGTATATCGGACTGTAACTTCCTGAATTATGGCCCCTGATTGTACGTAAAATCACGTTTTTAGCTTGTGGACCCTATAGAGGTCATAATTTTTATCCGATTTAAAAAAACGTATTATTATATCACCGTTACACCCTAAGGAAGGTTGAGTTTGAATTTGCGTGAAAATCGGCCCAAAATTGACAGACAAAATGGCCGCCGTTCGTTCTCAAATAGCTTAAGAATATGGTATATCAAGGTTGTGGACCTTATAGAGGTCACAATTTTTATCCGATTTTTTTGAAACTTGAAATGTAAGTTTATAACCCAAAGATCTCGGTTCCTTTTGATCTTCGCGCATATCGGACCAGAACTTCCTGAATTATGGCCCCTGATTGTACGAAAAATCGCGTTTTTAGCTTGTGGACCCTATAGAGGTCATAATTTTTATCCGATTTAATAAACCGTATTATTATATCACCGTTACACCCTAAGGAAGGTTGAGTTCGAATTTCGTGAAAATCGGCCCAAAATTGACAGATATAATGGCTGCCGTTCGTTCTCAAATAGCGTAAAAAATATGGTATATCAAGGTTGTGGACCCTTAGAGGTCACAATTTTTATCCAATTTTGTTGAAACTTGAAATGTAAGTTTATAACACAAAGATCTCAGTTCCTTTCGATATTCGCGCATATTGAATTGTAATTTCCTGAATTATGGCCCTTGATAGTAGGAAAAATCACCTTCTTTTTAGCTTGTTCTCTATCCATCTCTCGAAAATGTGGGCGTATCCTGCCTGGCAGCCGCTGGTTTAAACTAAAGGTGTTCCATGGAAAGTTATCTTTTTTATTTTTTTACTCTGTAATAGTGTGTACCACGACAAGTGTTCAAAGGAATGTTAGCGATGTTAAAAGCTATAATACATGGTCTAGAAAGAACGTTTCAGAATCATGGTCTTGGTGGGGCTGCTAGTGCCTATATGGTGTTAGAAATAGCACACACACATTATTGGTATAGAGAACCATCTGCTTATAAAAATGAATCAAGTTTAACACCAGATGTAAGTCTACTTTTATTTTATCGCAATAGTTTTCAAATCAGAGTTTTTACCTCCAGACATTTTTAAGTATGGTACATTTCGGACAGTTTAATCTAAAACAGCTAATTCTATAAAACTGGTGACCTTTTTCGGATCATATTATCCCAAACTAGCCCATTTGAAGTCTGTCTTGTTGTTTGGATGGGACAAAAAAAAAAAACTCCACAAAGTTCTTTGTATATCATTACATATTTAGTAAAGTGCCTTTAATGTCGCATATTGTTAATTTATTTATAGGTGCCGCCATTTTATGGTAGCCATGACAGTTTAACATCGCGAGATGATTATTGTCAGTCGATGATATCTGATGCCAAAAGTCTTCAAGATGACAATGTGGTGGCTTCTATAGGTATGATGTATTTACAAACCTGTCTCTGTATGTTAGAAGCTTTCAGTGTAGTTTAATTAGCACTGCTTTTAAATAATTTATTTTATTAAAGCTTTTTTTATTATCCTACCTAAAGTATGGTTCAAATTAGATTCACCCTCTATCATTGAGTCATCAACTTTATTTTTTTTTTTCAAATGCTATATTTCATTTTTATTATGAGATTAGAATTGGCATGACTTAGAAATTTGGAATCATTCTTCTATCTCGTTTTAATTAGCATGATTATGTCATATCATCAAATTCATCCATTTCTATAAGTTTATTGCCCTGTTAGACATAGATAGTTTGTAGTGGCTAGTTCATGCCTAGAATTCTGTAGGTATATCCTAATTATGTTCTTCACAATTATAGAATAGTTAGTTCAATTAGTGATGTTAATAAAACGGTCTTCAAATAAGATATTATATATGTTATGTAAGACCTAGCTGTTCACAATATATTATATTAAAGTACATCTGATTAAAACCAGTTCACTTTTGTGGTTGACATACTGACTGAATGATATGTTTTTGTGCTTATACTTTTTTTTTTCACCAACCCTTGCAAGCAATGATGAGACTGTATTTGTCAGATGTGTCAAGATGGTGTATTGATGACTAGCACAATGCATTTGGATCACATATTTTGCACTGTCCTTGACCTATAACTCATTATATTGATTAGATCTTTGCATATAATTTTGGAAATATCCATTATTATGGAAATTATTTAGAATAGATCATCTTCACATTGTCAAGTATGAAAAGTACAGTGACGTAGTCTGCCTTGATTACTATGGAGCTGTTTGTTTAAGGAGACACCCCCTACTGACTAAAATGACAAAAGAGAAGAGTGCGACTACATTAAGATCTCTGACATTAGCAAATCAGAATAAATGTATACAAAGTTGCCCTCATAGCACACTGCTTGGAGTATGCCCGTCTTCAGTAGCCAGGTTGGTGCATAAAACTTAGACGGTAAACCCTCGTTTCATTTTATCGGTTTCTAAGATTATGCTTGTGGGCAACTTGTTGGTCACATCAAATTAAAATATTCAGGCCACGTACTAGCTTTATATACTGTTGACACTTATATGAAGATTCATTTTTACATACTCTGTTTTAAACTAAAGGTAGCGTATAGTGTGTCAGCCATAGATGTGTTAGGTTGTATTAACATCTTTATAAATCCTTTTGTTAGTTTTAAACACTACGTATTACTCTGTAGGATCAAAACAGAGTGATTGGTCATTTGAACGCGAGAGACCATCTCCTCCTGGAGCCCCTAGCAACGAGCCGTTACATGAGTTATCTACCCCTAGTCCCAGTTCTGAAACAGGCAAGTAGTACACTAAACACTAACTGTGATGGTCCAAACCACTAATAAATATTGTCAACTGTTGTCTAATCTATCAGTCAACTTATATCAGCCATTTAAATAAAACCAAAAGGTTGTCTACTTCTATATTAAATAATTATATAAAATTACATTAATCTGCACCAATTTGATTTACTGTTCTTCAGGGCATTGGTAAATAAATAGCCACTTAAATGATGTGAAAGTTCAAAACATAATAATTTGGAACTAAAATCTCTTAAACAGCACAATCAAATACTTTGGGTTTTTGAATAAGTATTTTTCCCTTTAGAAATAAGAACGAAAATCTTTACAAGTGTTGCCCAAGGATAGAAAATCAAAATGGTGTGGCCTTATTGTTGATTATAAACTACCAGTTAACAACTCTGCATTATATTTTGGAGATGGCGCAGCCTTCTTTATATTTAGAAGGTGAAATAAAACATTATGAATTTTAAATTAATACAAGATGCTTAAATATTTGAACTTTCGGCCATGAAAATTAACTAAAAAATAGATCCTTGGTGGGGCATTGACTGGTTGAAAGGGCTGGTTGAAAACCATTGCACATAGTAAGAGTAAACTTTCAATATATGAGCAGGCAACCTTTTTGTTTTACTTACTAACCTATCTGTACTAACACGGCATGAGTATGAAAGAAAATATATTATGTAATTATTCGGTAATTATATATACATTTATTGCATGATTGCAAATACAATAAGAATGATCACCAAAGTTTGATTTCTTCACTTTACATATATTTTAAGTGCTGAGAATTGGATTACAGATTTATACTGTTTTAATTATGTAGATAGTGATTTCTGAGGGAATTTTATACAATAGATTGTCATGAAGACATCTTGAATTTAATGCAATAAGTTTCCAATTTCTTCAGATATTCTTATGTCTGTTCAGTTGAAAATGAATGATTCTAATAAATCACAAAAAGACGTCTTGATTCAGTTCTCAGCACAGTTTTATTAAAATCCTACCCATAATCTTACAAGGAAATTTCAATTTATGCCAAATTCTATTTAATAATTTTATCTTTTAAATTTAGGATGATATTTTCTGTTTACATTTTATGTGATGATTTTTATTTCTCCATATTGTATTTCTTTTAGTACTTATTTGTACTTATTTCATTCTTTTTCCTCTGCTGCATGTTTTCTGGGTATTAGAAGGAAGGATTCTTGGCGAGGGCATTGGTTGGTAAAATTCATATCTCGTAGAACTTAGATATACAATGAGACATCACTATAGCGCTGTTGGCTATAAGACACAGGTTTGGGTAAAAGACCTGGGTCAGATTGTCCCAACAGCGTTATTATAGTATGTACAGTGAAAACTGATTAAACTGACATTGATAGAAACTGAAGTGTGAAAAAAAAAAATTGTTTTCATCAATAATCTCAGTTTTAAGATGCCAGTGTACCCAAATTTGACTGTATTTAGGTTTTGGAATGAATTAATTGTAGACTAGTTTCAATATATAATTTAATGTTGTGGATAAAAACCTTTCCCAGCCATAACCCCTAGACCACCCCTACTGAATAATTGTCAAAAGCAGATTAAAAGTTGTAGAAACCCTAGAAACCCACTCCTACTTTAGCTAAAGGCATAATTTATTGTCATAATGAAGCTCAAAATTTACTGTCGAGTTTAGATTAAAAAGAAATACATTATGGGTAATTAAAAGATATTCTGGTTCTCAGACAATCCTTCAAAAAAAGCTGATGCCATAGGAAGATTTTTTGTTTGCTTCTGTGTCAGCTGTATGTGTTGGTCGAAGACTTGTCACAAACATCCCATATATGATACGAGAGCTAGAATATATTTTTCTTGTATGACCTTAATGAATGTCAAATATTCTAAGTTTGTATTCATTGAAAAATGCAAACAGTATGTATCTACTTCAGATTTTAAGAAGAAAAAAAAAAAAACCAATATGGTTTTCAAATCTAATTCTGAATTATTATTACTTCGGAATAATCATGAAGTGTGAAAAATAAAAGAATTGATACTCTCTGCTGTAATTCAGACATTTTAATCTTTGGTCAAGATGCAGAGATTTTAGATATTTTGTATGGATGAAATGACAATAATCAGATCCATTTTTGAACATTAATACATTAGTGTTTGGTTGTATTTTATTTCAATACCTTTTTTAAACAGGATCTCCGGTTATTGTGAATGGTGATGAATTTGAGAACATTGAAATTAATCGAGATATTAACTTAAATATGAGATCTTTAGACAACACAGGTGATTTAAATAGAAATACTCAGAAAGGTCATAGCTGTGACATCATCATAACAGATCATACAGATATACCAAGTGCTAATACACGATCGGGTGATATGTTACATGAAATGGTGAAGAACAAAGAACTAATTAAAACCAGCCGATTAGATAAATTCAGTAGTATGGATTCTGAAATGTCTGATGCTAGTACATTAGTTAGTACGAGTTCTGACAAAGACGATGATCGTAAGAAAACACGTATCAATCATCATTCTATTAGAAGTGCCATGTCTGATAGTGAAATGGATCCTTCTGGGGTAAGTTATGTGAATATTCGAAAAGCACTTAGAAATTTTGATAACTGTTTTAAGTGTATTGAGAAAATCTGAAATTTTCACAATTTAAAACAAAAACATGCCCCAAAACAATAATTTGGCTCCAAAGATGCTCAAAGACTTATCTGGAAGCTTGCATTGTAAAATTTGTGACCTACTGATTCAAATGAAATTCATAAGCTACCTCTTGAATTTAACTTCTTTGATAATGCTAGATTTTCTTAAAACAGATAGAGAGAGAAGACAAACTAGGTCATTTTGGGACTAACATATGGTTCAATTTTATTTCAATAATTCGCTTGCGGGTGGGGGTCTTTAGCAGTGGGAGGAAATCAGGGGACCTGGAGGAAACCACGAGGTTTGACAAGTGACCCTACTCCTTGTCACGTACAACCGGGGAATCGAAACTATGCCAGTCGACTCAATGACAGACCTTATGATACAGCGCGCATATGCTAACCATTCGGCCATCCAACCCCCCCTTTCTTAAAACAATACTTCTAACACTATGGTGATTGCCATTGTGGTTCAATGAGTATGCTGCTTGCTCACTAAGCAAGAGGTCCTGTGTTAGTTGAGGAAGTCCCTCATGATTTTCCATGTGGATTCTCCTTGTCGGCGGTCCAGGACAGAGGGCCTGGCAAAAAAACCTGAGGTTACATGTATATCATTGGGAGAATGTTGAAGATAACCAAACTGTTGGAAATTGAAAAAGTAGCCTATGGTATCATATAGTCGGGGCAATGTCTCTCATCTTAACTGCATACAATGTATATGCCTATCTCCATTATTCTAGTCATTGCAGAAAAAGAAGAATTTTAACTTGTTTCTTTCATTTCTTTATGAATTTTACCTATTTCAGTCTATGGTACGTCAGAATAAGCGTAATCGTTCCCCTAGTTTGTGGAGTAATAAGAGTAGTGTAAGTACAGGTTATAGATACAGAGAAGGTAAATTAATCAGCACATCATCAGCTGTATCCAACACAGAAACTGGCAGAACTTTCCTCTTTGAAGGTTTATTAGGTAGGTTACCAAATAATTTATATATTATTACAATATACTATAAAATCCCTTAATTCACACTCAACTGTGGGCTGAAAAAAAAATTACCATAAATCTCCTCCCTCTCATTGCAATCATAACTTTAAAATATCCCCTTTGTAAATAAGTAATTATCAAGACATTTTAATGTCTCCACCAAGAGCCACTTACATTAGACTCTGTGAAAGTTATTTCCTCGGCCTGCCTAACTTATTTCATTATAACAAAAATAATAAACTGTTACCTGACTTTATTATATAAGTTTAAGTAAAATGTTTAATTGAATGTTTTTATAGGAAAAGAACGCAGTAGACTTTGGGATCAAATGCAGTTCTGGGAAGATGTATTTTTAGATGCTGTGGCCCAAGAAAGAGATATTATTGGAATGGATCAAAGTCCTTCAGAAATGATGGACAGGTGAGTGATGTTACTAATCGATTGCAAACTAAACTTGCATAATAGACTGGATAAGGAGGAAGCCCTTATTGATTTTGAAGGTCATATTCAAAGTCATTATCAGCATTTATTCTAAATTGGTATAAAGACTTTCACAAATGAGTGCATCTTCTGATCGACATCTAACCCACAAACAAATTTGATGTTTTGGACGGTGGAAAAAAATATGTTTTTTTAATTCTCTACTTGTGAGGACAGAAATGTGTTTGATTGTCTGAAATATTCTTTTAATGCTATCATATTACATGTTGACATTAATTAGATCAATTCCTATGAAATACAGACAAATTGATTTCAGATGCCCACACTTCAAAATATCTGATTTAAAAAAATGGCAAAACAATAAAGATAATTACTAGAAATCAGGCATTTTTGCATCTGAACATCTTTAAGAAGTTATGAAATATTTTATAAATATAATTTTGACTTTGCAGGTATTCATCATTAGGTGAAATGGAGAGAAAACGATTAGAACATGATGAAGATAGAATACTGTCCACCATGTTGTTTAATTTAGTTAGTTTTATGATCATGTTGAGAGTTAATAAAGTAGAGATAAAGAAGAAAATTCGACGTTTATTAGGAAAATCTCATATTGGTCTCATACACAGTCAAGAAGTCAATACTCTACTAGACCAAATTAAAAATTTAGTAAGTATTTTTTACAAAAACAAGTGGTAACAAATCTTTGTTCTTTTAAATGAAAATCTATTTTTAGAAATGAACTCTTATAAAAATGAAATGGTACTTTTATTGTGGATTTATTTTGTATTCACACTGTACAATTTCTTTTGAATGCTCAACAGTTCAGATTTCATTGCAAGTTTTTCTTGAATACACTTCCAATGTTTTGATCCTAGTCTACTTGACATCCTTCAATATTGAGGGTGAGTCTATACCTCGAATCTCCAGAATCCAGATTGAAAAAAATAATACTGTGAATGTAACAGCCAATATATTATTTTACAGCATGGTAATGATATAGATCTGAAACCAATCTGTAGTAGACAGATGCAGAAACAATCATTTACAGTACATTGGGGAACAGATAACTCTGGTGATATGCTCTTCATGGAGGTAAGATATCTAGTCTAAACAATTACGATGTAGTCAGAACTTTCTAGAGTAAAAATCAGATACACAGGATTAGCTCGCTGATTTTTTTTTTGTCTCCGAAAATCATCAGTTCGATTCATATTAAATCATTTTACAAATACAAATTCAATTTATCTAAAAGAGGAAGTATTATGGCTTTAGGCATTGTTAATATAATTTTGTAAAAAAAATTCTAATTATATCTAGGTGTGTGATGATTGTTTATTGTTGAGAAGTGTAACAGGTTCTATACATGATAGATGGTGGTTTGAGAAACTAGTTAACATGACCTACTGTCCTAAAACTAAAGTTCTCTGTTTATGGAGAAAAAATGGTGAAAAAGTTCAACTTAATCAGTTTTACACAAAGAAGGTTAGTAATTTATTCTATACACACTGGCATTGAAATTAACCAGTTGGATAACTTACCTGTCAGTCAGTTGACATGCTATGCTATTAAATTAGAATTCGAATGAATTTTAGGGGTGGGGGTGGATGGCCGAATGGTTAGCATGTGCACGCTTTATCATACGGTCTGTCATTGAGTCAACTGGTGTTGTTTCGATTCCCCAGTTGTACATGACAAGGAATAGGGTTGCCTGTCAAACCTCGTGGGTTCTCTCGGGGTCCTCCAGTTTCCTCCCAATGCGCAGATGAATTATTGAAATAAAATTAAGCCATGTGTTAGTCCCGATATCACCTAGTTTGTGTCTAGTGGACGTTAAACCCCATTTCTCTCTCTCTCTCTGCAGTAAAAAGAAAAAGCCCCATCAAAATATGGTTTAGCTAGAAAATTTAACAAATTAAAGCCCTGCCCACAACTAATGAAATATTTATTACTACCATTGAGTTATAGTAATTGCATATGCACAGTTTTTTTCTCCAATAAAGCAACCTATCTTCATTAACCCAGTTCTTGCAGAAAAGTAGAATTTAAACCCCATTTCATATGATATCCTATATAACAAAACATAAATTAATTAATTATGACATATATTATGTATTTCTATATTTCTCTAGTGTAAAGAATTATATTTCTGTGTGAAGGAAGCTATGGAGAAGGCTGCTGCCAGAAACAGCGGCAAGCTTCCTGGTAAGTTGAACTTACTTTTCTTATAATAAAATATTTTTGCTTTTTGAAAATAATTCTGAGGACTATTTGTTTTTTTATTCTGCTCTGTTTAGCAGGGTTATCTATAATTAAAGTTGGCTATTCAAAAAACCTATTTCATTTTAAATGAATATTGTTTAAGGAAAAAAAATGATTTAAGAAAAGCAGCATATTTTCTTCTTTGCCAATTTGATAAAATTATTGAATAAACTGTGATAATAATCTGCTATCATTAGGTCCTGAACTCGGTGGAGAGTTCCCAGTCCAAGATCTGAAAACAGGACAAGGGGGACTACTCCAAGTATGTATGGAAGGTATTGGACTTCTGCTGGCTAACAGCAAGGTAGGTTATATTATAGAGGTTTTGTTACATCAATCTTATGTGTTTCTATTGTATTGTTTTGTTTTATTTGTGTATTTAACATCTTTGTCCGTGTATAAAATGTGTTGTAGTTAACTAACATGATCAAACATACACTATAAAACAAGAACATAATGTTGGCTTTTTATCAGGCTAAAAATAGCTTTTAAGCATTTATCGTACGTGACTCATGACTCAGTGTCGGGAATAAGGTACTGGGTTTGATCCCAGTTTTGCCCGAGAACGTTCTTCAGAATTTTTCAATTGGCTTCCCCTTGTCTTTGTAGAAGGATGGAGGGCTTGACGACAAGAAACGCTGACTAGTTGTTTAGATGGGTTTTAAACATGTTGGTGTGCATGTAAATAAACCCTTGACACAATTGTAATATGATGAAGAGCAGGCTGTAATCCTGTTGTCTGGACAACATTTCCCTCATAGCATATTGCATGGCATTATGCCTGTCTTCATTCGTCCGGTTGGTGAAGATAAGTAGGATGTTAAACCCCATTTCATTTGATTTTGTGTCTTGTCACCTTAGACTGTATTCAGTTGCAGTACTCTTATGAAAAATGTTGAATTCTCTAGGGATAAATTACACTGAAATTTTCTTTTCTGCAAGTCTGAAGACCATCATTTTTTTTATTTTGACAATAACTGTCTTAAACTGCACTGTGATATCTTTTAAGATCCTGTGATATCATTAGGAGCGAAGTTTTAAGATTTTTAGAGGTATAGAAATCAACTCAAGTATGTCATGTATATCCATTCACTCTGATTGATCATCGCATTTGAAGATGCAAGAAAGTATTGATGATCTCATATTCATTTAACATGGCTTTAAAAAAAAGTATATTTATGTTTCAGGAAATACTACCAGTAAGATTTTGATATCGATATCGTATAAATCTGAAATACTAGCACTTCGTAACACTCACTAGAAATACTTAACTTTACTTTAGATTTAGATGCTTTCAAAATATAGATTAAGTACCGGTACTCACAGAAAAATAATACCAATATTCATTAAACACTTAATAACACTGTAGCAGCTATTTATGGGCTATTTATTACTCAATTCACTAACAACGCTATGTAACATCAGTAAAAAAAAATGTTACTGTGTACAGTATGTTCATTGAATCGAGACAAATTTGAAATAAAACAGAAACTTTCAATGTTTGAATTAGTATATTAAAAGTATGCATATATTAGATGATTTTCCTATTAAATTAAATGATATACAATGTATTATTAATAATATATGCTTCTTGATGTTTTCTTTATCTAATAATATATCTGTTCATATCTGCATGATATTATTTATATACTAATATAATCAACTTTACTTATATTTAGCATCAAAATATAATCGCTACATTTCTTCACCTTGTAATCAGCCTCTCAAATAAAACACCTGAGATTGAAAATGAAGAAGCCTTTAATGTGGTCGTATATTGCGATTACCTTAGTCTGTCTAACTGTCGCTCACATTTAGAGGATATTGGTAGTCTTATCTCTTTGAAATTAAGAAGCTTATTGATTTTCAACACAATTTCAACTCCCTTTCGATAATATTCCTTTTGTTATGAAATCTTGTTAGTACATTAGAGGCTTCAAATATTATCTGATCTTTCTGAAATTTGTATTTTAACACATTCAAAGGAAGAAACCTTTTAATTTTCGAAGATAGTTATGCCCCTTTGTTAAGAAATTTTGTTAGTACCATAGAAGCTTCAGTTATGACCTCAACTTTGTTATAATCTGCTTAACTCATTCAAAGGAAGAAGCCTTTTCATTTTCAAGTTATGCCCCTTTGTTAGTGTGTCTACGTTCTTTGGTCTGTCATTGATATTTCATGTTACCGTAGCACAAAATACTACAAAAATCTATATATCACTATTGCTTGCAAGTTTGGATGTCTTTTAGTAACAGTGTCTTTCATTCATTCATTATATTTCATTAAATTCTTTTCCTAATTTGATAATGTTAATGCAAAAACCTCCATTAATAATGTGAATGACAAAGTTGCCATGCCTGAAAGTACAAAGCTAAATTTACATATGTGTGTTAATTCCTTGCTTTTACAAAAAAGAGTTTGATTTATAGCTCCTATTACAAAATTGATAAAATGGTGTTCCGATTTGCCTTTATTTCATATACTGAAGGGATCTCAAAGCCACTGGTGGGTGTTTGTTTTGCTGCCTGGCATCCTATGTTTAGAAATTTGTTGCTCAAAATGTACATAATTTATAAAATGCCAGTACTGCAATCTTGTACTTTGTCAAGATCTCATAAATTATTTGCACCGTAATATTTTTGTCATCATAAATCCTGTTGTTGGTTTAAGTGTAGTAAAAGATTCGACGAACATAATTTTCATATTTGGTTTTAGCATCTTGTGAATGAATTTTAAAACAGAAAATCCTAAAGTTAATATTTAACAATACGATAAGGAATATAAAGAGGTGAAGAAATGTATTTTTATCTAATTATCTGTTATAATAGCTATGAAACATATAAAGATTAAAATATCTTCTCGGCTACAGCTTGAGCGTTAAATGTCGTCAATATGGCTATTTATTCATTTTAATCCTATTACTGTCATAATCAGTTTCTGTCTTTTTTGTGATGTGCATTTCATTTATTCAAGTATTTCGTACAAAAGTTGAGTGATATGTTTCTTTTTCAGCAGCATTGTACACCAGTCTCTGTCATTCTTAAAACATAGCAAGCTGCACCATTATCAAGCAGCTTGAGTAATTCTTGGTCTACAAGTCTTATCTCACTAATATGCACTCAAACATTCGTATCTACCACATATATCACTTTCCATGTATAAAAGACCTGTAGATCAAGAATTACTTAATACTGTATATAATATTACACTTTACATTATTTGTCAGGCAAATATTCCTCACAGTCTTATTAACAAAAAAGAAATGGTTATATAATCAACCTATATTAAAAAAAAGTCAAGAGTCTGTTTGGCACACATCATTGTCTGACTATGCTATGTCATTTGGTAACAAGAAGTCAAAAAGTAGAAGCTAATGTTTTTGCTTTTAGCCTCTTAGAGAGATATTGAGAGCACATAAGTTTCTGCGTCGGGTGTATCATTCATAGAGCATGGCATTCTGTAAAGAAAACAAAACAGATACAAAAATCATTCAAAATTAGTTCGAGAATGCAAAAGATGCCTAATTACTTGTCTGCATTATATCCAGATCATTCATCGGCTATATAGTGTACATTTTATTTAAAACTGTAAAAAAATCATTTTCAAGATGTAATTCCCAGTATTACATTTTTAATAAACCATTAATCGCTCTTTATTACAATATAGTAAACTATCTCCATCGTAACAAAAATACTTCTGAATGTACATAATTATAATTATGTCAAATCTTTAAAGGATTAACCTGAAAGAGGAACTGCATAGTTACTCTCGGTACCATAACCATCATCATTTTACAACATAGACCAATATCATTTTATAAATCGTTTTATAAAATAGATCGATATCTTAACATAAACACATATTGATTGGAATCGGTGGGTTAGAATTATACAATAGTAGGCACCAACAAACCAATTTACTATGATAAATCCTGCATAATTATTATCCAATCTGATTAAAACACAGATCCTATTTCGTTTCATTTTTGTAGTTCAAAATTTCGTTTTACTTGTATTTACTACACTAGGATCTGGAAGAGTTGTTATCATTGATGTGTTCTGGATGATGTGAGGGATTAGCCAATGAAACGGTCTGTTACGGCGAGTTTTTGGCCTTTTGATGCACGGAACTGTGGGTAAACCACTAGAAACGTCAACGCTGATTGATTGATCAATATCTGACGTCATAGGGTCAAAAGCCGGTCGTTTGACCCCTGACGTGAACTTCCACTATAACTTGTCAGATCTACATGTAGTGTAGGCCATCGAAAGTATAAAAAAACGAAACGAAATATAGATCTGTATTTTAACCATATTGAATAATAAGCCCAAAGTAAAACTTGTCTGATGTTACTGAATGTGAACAAGAACAAAAGAAAGTTGCTGATTTTTGTTGTTGGAGCTTATCGTGTCCTTGCCACATCTGATATGATATCAGTATATTATGTCCTTGACCTAATCTCTCCCTTTCCCCATCAATATGAAGCTTTTTAACTAATCTGCTTGGTGGTATGGTACACATGCATATCTCTTCTAGGTTATATGAGTATATTATTCAGTTTGATTTTGGACAGATCTTTGGATCAAGTTCACCATTTTCAATGCATTAGAGACATAGAAATTGGTTTAATGGCGAACTGGTCAAAAGAAATGTCTAAAAGCAAATACGGTGTTGGATTGAAGGGTTTTTAACGCATTCCTTTCTTTTCTTTCCTCTTGCATCCTTCCAAACCACTGGCTTGGTGAAACAGGAGTTCGAGGTAATCTTATCTTATCTTGATGATATCAGTAGATATACAGCCATTATATAGCTCTATATAACTAATATACTACGTCTAGCAGCCATCTCAACTTCAGTTGTTGCATGAGTCGTCTTGCTTTTATTTTTATTTAGTTTGCACCTTGTATTATGTTTAGTTTTTTGTTTCTGTTTATCATTTTGTTTGCTTGTTTTTTATTTATTTTGTGTTTTTGTTTGCAAGTAGTAAGCTTCAACTAGGCTGTTACGATTGCAAAACACATAAATTACTGATTCCATACCAAATCAGTCGAAATACCACTTGTGCGAAAATGTATTTGCTGATTTATTTTCTGCTTCTTTCGAAAGACAGTGTTTCAATTTTACCAACTTTTAGTTCCGATTTTTCTATGAAATATTCCTTTTAGTTTCATTTTGTGCTGCCTCCATTTATCAAGTGCTTCCACTTTCAAATTGAATTTTTGGACAATTTTTTTTGTGGTTGCATTTCCTTAAGAATAAAATGGACAGCTTAAAATGGATGTCAGTTTTTGGATTTTCCCACAAGTGGTCCACAGGTTATTTGTAGTTAAGTTGCTGTCCACATTTATATTTCAGTTCTTTATTGAGCTAGCGCGTATCAGGAAATGTTTCACCCTGAAGGGAGGTATTTTTGTGCTAGAGGAATTTGGTAAGAGATTCATCAAATCATTTGATTACTAGTTTCCTCCCTTTTTTTACTATTTTTATTCTTGATTCTTCCCCCCCCCTTCCGAAATCTTACATTGATTACTTCATCCTCTTTACCTGCATGCTCAGCAATTTTTTGCATGATGTAGCAAACTTGAGTCGAGGTTGTGTTTTTGACTAAGTTCTTATAGATTTTTCTGTTAGGAGATGGTGTCCGCTTAGATTTTTTTCAGCATGGTCTCGCATGGACGCACAAAATCAGTCTTAGATAGATTTAAACAACAGTAAAGGTAAAGTATTGAAATAACAGAGAAAAACATAACTAAATCAATTTTGTATCAAACAAAACCAACTATATCAATAAAAACATGACAACTTTCCAGCAAAATTTGTTTTAAAACCTGTACAAGTTATATGGGTATAGTAAATAAAAAGTATTTATACTTTATGCACTTGCTTCTTGGAGTAGCAACCTTTTATATAAAAACTACACATTATTAAAAAACCCAAACATGCTGTCTGAGAGACCTATTGGCCATAGCGGTAAGTATTATTGTTATATCCCAGCTTTCCTAGACTTTTCATTTTGTGTTGCACATTACAATCCCTTTGTAATGATTATTATTTCTAAGTTAGTATTCTGGGGGTCGGAGTTCAGGGTGATGCATCTGATTTTAAAGACACAAGGTAAGGTACAGCTGTTGAACAAATAATGTATTCTAAAATATTTTTATTATCATCATTGTGCATGGCCATTTCTATAACCAACCTTGGTCAAGTTTTCAGATAGGTCCAATTCAACCTTCAGAAACATTTGTCCAAAGTGGATTACAGATCTATCAAATAGTTTGATTGAATCAACAAAGTATCTTTACATTGATGAATAATCCAAAGCTATCAAATTAAAATTAGATCGTTATTTTGTTACCTTTTATTTCTTTTGTGTGACTACACTGCATTGAAGATCTGAATACCTGTTCTGTTGAGCTCTACTTTGACCCTGCAAGAGATCTTAAACCTTTGAGAAAGCATGGATTGATTACCCACAAGTCTCCTTATCATGTCTTTAGACAAGACTATTTTACACTGAAGAGACAGCTTGTATTTTATTGGCAAGAAATAAATCATGCTGGGCTGATCGGAATCGGTGTCTCTTGGTTCTGTTTTTAGGTCTGACGTTTTGTTTAAAAGTAGACAAAAATTGTAAAGTGAAACAAAATTAATGGCTAATTTTAATTTAAGTGAATCAAGAAATAACTAGAGTAATGGCTTTCTAGATAAATGTTGTTATGTATTAAGATATTATATATATATGTGCATTGATCCACCTGGTATTCTGTTATCTGCACATTGTTGTTATTATTTTTTTTTTTTTTTTTTGCATTTTTATTTCAATATTGTAAATTGTAATAACATGGCTCCACACAGGAAAAATACCTGATTTGTCTTAAAAATAATTTACAGATCTTCATTTAATTCAAAACAAATAATGACAGATTTTTTACAAAGAAAATTTCGGCATCTTTCTATAAATGATTCTAATGAATATAATTAATTACTTCAATTATTTTCTTTTCCAGATACCAAAAATAAACAAATAATTCAGCACAAATTCAAATCCAGAATGGTGAGTTATTTATGTAATAAATTTGATAGGTAGAAGGTAAACAGCTAGTTTTATTTCCTCAGTTTTCACACACCATTAGTTTATTATTTGCTGTCTAGTTATAAATGTTGTGTATCCAGGTATTGTTTGTCTAGTCTAGGTATGTATTTGTGTATCTGATTAATTCCAGGTAGTTTTTATTTCATTTGCTACAAACCCTCATTTATTATAAAATGGCCATGATATGTTTTCTGCACAAGATAAACTTAATAACGTATTGAATTTTAAGGTTAATATTATGATTAAGTTACCGCCGCTATCGGTAGTATAAAATTAAAAGATAAACCATTATTTAACTTTAAGTTTTGGAACAGTATGTATGTTTACTTCATAATTTAATATAAACTAATAAAGGACTGAACTAAGTCAGTATTGAAAGTTAATAAAAATTAGCAGATAAAACAGTCTTGAACTTTAAATTTATGAACTTGTTTTTCATATTAAGTCTGTCAGATCATAATTAACAGTATGTTAACTCCATTCTACAGATCATAATGGGTATTGAATAAATATTATTCAATATCTTATTAACATATAATTTTACCTAACAATCTAATTTTGAATGATCAAAAATGTTTAAACTGCTTAGTAAAACCTAAATGAAAAAAAAATAATAGAGAGATCATTCCCCTTAAAATTTAAAAAGAAAATTACAAAAACATTAAAAGACATGTTCCTTTGTTATTTGAGACAAAATATATATGAATATGTTAAAACTGTTCAAGAATATTTATGAATTAAGATAAAAGATGTATTGAAATGGCAATTAATAATGACTGCGATGAATGAATAATCAGATATTCAGTATAAATCTAAATATCGGTAATCTCTCAGATATTCAATGTAAATCTGAATTTTCAATATTTTTGATATAGATAGGATTGATCAAAGTTTTCAGTGTAAATCTAAATGATCAAAATATTCAGTATAAATGTGACTGATCAAACTTAAACAGTACTAATCAGCATGATGTAAATATTCAGTAATAACAGAATAATCAAAATATTCAGTACAGACCTGAATGACAAAAACATTTAGTAATTTGTCCAATTTATTTAGTAATTTGCCCAATTTATTTAGTAATTTGTCCAATTTATTCAGTAATTTGTCAAATTTATTTAGTAATTCTGATTAAACTATTGAGCATAAATCTCAACGATACAATATGTTATGATAATCTTTTGGGATAAATCTGAATAATTAACATTTTCAGTTAGAAATCTGAATAATCAACATTTTCGGTTAGAAATCTGAATAATTAACATGTTCAGTTAGAAATCTGAATTGTATGAAAAAGTAATATCCACAATAAATATAAACCAAATGATAAACCTTAAAAATTTCTACTTGGATCATCCACATTACCCGGTAGTCCGGTACCCAACACAGACAAAAGACATGTTCAAAACCATGAAAATATGCATGTTAGAAGTAAAACATACTAGTTTACATGTACATAACTGAATATTGAAATGTACCATTGTCACCCTGAATGATAAAATAAAAAATCTACTTACCAACCAGAATTAGTTTCCTAGATTAAATCCAGTGGTAAAATGATAAGTGTCTCAGTGATTTTGGTCTGTAATTGTTGAATAGTTGATAAAATTCCAAATAAATAAGATATTAAGGATTAAGGTAGCTCAAATCAAACGTTTCAATAATTGAATACTTAAGATGTCAGAGTTTCAATACAGAACAGATTGATTTAAGTCACCTTGATTGTCAATTCTTTATTGGTAAATTGCATGTTTTATAATATGCTTCTTGGCTAAGGATAAAACTTTTTGATTTAGAATGAAATGCAATGGGTTCTAAGTTTAACCTTTTTTTGCTTAGCATAATCTAAGCCTCTTATTTTTAAGATTCAAAATAATGGAAAAGTAGAATAGAATTAGAAATAAAGTTATTTGATAAAAATTGAATAAGTAATTCAAGATATAAAATAAAGAGTAGTGATACAAAATTCACTTTTTTAATATTGTTTCTGGCACTATTATTGCATGATATTTAAAGGAGAATGAATTTTATGCATACCACAGGGTCTGAAAATGTGCAATTCGTGTTAATTTTAAACAACATTTTGTTGTTTTCTGATAGGAAAACCTGGCACAATCACAATAATCAAGTATGGAATGATGAACCAAACAAATCTTGGTTTCACTAGTATTAAATATGTAATAATAACCACACTGACAGAAATCATTGTCTCACATATCAAGTGCTTTTCATCGACCAATTTGTGAAATTAATCAGATAACTTGAATGTTTTCCAGAAATCAAATAAAACCAACTAAACACCTTAATGCAAATACTGAAACATTTATTGTGAAATAAGGGTGTATAAAACTGAAGCAATTTACATGTGTACATTTAGATTGTAAAACTTGTAAATTTCACAGAATGTCATCATCTGACAAATTAAACATCATCTTGGCCTTCCTCTTGGTTAGCTACAATTGGCTACCATCGGTAATCTTTAATATTATTTGATTGGAGATTGTTAAGAAATCTGTTAACATGGTCTTTAGTTTTGATCATCTTGATTGTACAGTAACACAGTAGTTCTATTTTAACGGTTACCAAAGGTTCTTAATTGTAGTGAACTCTGTAGGGTCAAGATACCACTAAATCACAAGTCCTCAAGAGCACCACTGATATAGACATAACTGAATCTTTGTAAAATACATTCAAAACTGTCATTCTGTAAGCTGATGGTATTAAAAGCTTTTATTTATTTTGAGGAAATGAATTGCAAAAACATTTGAGTGTTAGGTATATTAGGTACTTTAAATGGAGGCTTGTGTTATACACATTTTTACTGTTGTACTAAATACTATACTCATACACCAACTCATCAGGCTTAGATAGAGAACTTAGATACCAAATCCAAGCATTAATTTTATTTTGCAAATCTTTTTAATCTAAGCACTTGTTTATACAGAGACCTTGTGGTATTCAATTTTTAACTTTTCTGATTCAATATTTCACCCATAGTTTCTATGTCAATCTTCTTTTTGGACATTGTTGTATCCTTTAGGCGAATGAGGCAGCGTTAATGATGCACAGAATATTTGCGGTTAAATGGGCAAAGCTACAAAAGATGCAGAATAGATACCCTGATGAAAATGGCAACAGTATGCAAGCTACTTAAATGTATTGACCCGCTTATTTTTTGTTTTGTTTGGGTTTATTTTGTTGCCTAGAAAACCGTAGATGCCTAACCGTTGCTTATTCTTTTAATTTGATTATCTTCGTTGTCTAATATCGTATTCCATCCAAATTTGGAGCCATTTACTTGAAAAATTTAATCCACATTTTCAAATTTTGTAGTAAATTCTGTTGACAAATAGTCTATATAAATAAATATAAATGTTTATCCTAGCTTATGGTAATGAAAGATTTGTGATGGCGTTCAAATTTGGATAGGATCTTTATTGGGTCTTCAAATGTGACACTTTTAATATTAACATTTTGTTCTAGTTCGAGTGGCAATTTATAAACCAAGCTTACTAATTATTTCTTATGTATAAGCACGATTCCCTAACGTAGCTTATTTTTTTCATTTACAATAGAAGTAGCCACAAACCAAGTCTGTAATAATTTGCTTTTATTTCAGCATTTTAATTTGATTTTTACTCTAATGTTGTTAGATGTTTAGTTATGATGTTAGGCATTCTTAATTTTATTAGCTATTTTTATTATTAATTACTAAAAGTATCAGCTTGCCTTGTTGCTAAACCATCAAGAATTTTGGTAATTTGGGAAAATGTAATTATGCGTTCTGTGTATTAATTGGGATAATTAACACTGCCTTTCGTAATTGTGTAAAGCACTTCTTTCTCACGCTTACCCTTTTCTATATAATTCATCTTGTGAATTAAGATTTAACTAATTATACAACTTTATTCTCTACTTCTTGGAATACATAAGTTCATATTTGATATTAACAGATTATTTATTTTATTTAATTATTATAAAATATGGATTTTGATGAAAGAAATATTTTCAATGAAATATACTTGAACTTATAAAAATTATGAAGATAAATTTTTCTAAAATTATAATTAAATTTTAAACTAATATAGTTGATGATCTATATTTAATTATTTGTCTTGCTTGTGTTTCAGGCTGACCAAATGTGTTATGCAGTCTTATGTTTATTTTCCTATGTAGCAGCAGGGTTAGAGCAGAAGAAACAACAAACTTCCTGACAAAGTCTCCAGCCAATTTAATTATCCTGACAACAATTCTTCCAATTTGAGCATTCGGTAGAAACTTTGCTCAGATATTTCACATATTTATTTAATTGCTCATTACATAGAGAGAAAAGAAATATATCTAAATCTTATTCGTTATACTAAAGAAAACATTTATCTTTTATTAATTAATATTATGTATTATAAGATGATATAAATATTTAAAATATATATGTATACTGTATTAGTGACAAAGTATATATATATCTTGCTTGCTCCAAGCTGAGATTTATATGTCCAAGCTAAATTATTTTAAATACTGTTATATTGTATGTTTGAATACTATTTTAAGAAAAAGGTGCTTAATTATTATTTCTGTATATTTTGCATACTGTTTATTTATTGTCAGAGAGACAGGTCTTTCTGTGTATTGTGTATTTATTTCCTGTGTTAGACTTATTAAGTAGAAAGCTTGAGGCCCAAAGGATTGATTTCATGAACATCACCACCACATGATTTCTCACAATGGCATAAAGATGGGGGGGGGGGGGGGTCCACATGTTCTAACTTTAGTAAATCACATTTTGGGATTACTAGTAGGAGAATTAAAATCCAAAATCTTCTATGGAGCTGCCCCCTTTACAATATCCACATCTGGACTGTCGTATTAAACAGCACAGGCATATAGTATTCATATTAAGAGCGGTTACCTCTACAGAACCAATGGTGAATACACAATTATGAGATGTGAAATATTAAAACTCTCTCAGTTGTGCAAGGCTATGCTGGTCATGGTTCAAAATTTTTACAGCACAACCAATGCCTCTTGCTTTCTCTTAAAAATTAGTATTGGAATTTACATGTTTGTTTCATATTGTTGTCTTATTAGAGTCAATTAGATTTTATTTTTTGGAATCTCAGATTGTGAAATCCGTAATATGTTTAATTTAAATCTAAAATGGACAAGTCTGACTCGGCACACTGATGCATAATAAAATTAATCTTGATACATATGATGTATATAATTAAGGCCAAACCAATGTAATTTTCTGTTCTTCAATGGTCTTGATAAATAAATAGCCACTTGAATCATACAAAAGATGTTTAGTTTAAAATTTCAAAAATTTGAGACTAAAAGCTTTTGAACTGTTTTTGTTTTTAAATTGGTCCCTTTCCCAAAGAAAAAAGAAACATAAACAGGGGTTCCTGAAGAACAGATAATCAAATTGGTATGGACTGACTTTTTGGAGAAGTTTTAAGATCCACGTCCAGAATTGTGTCAAAAACAAATTGATAAATATATTGACTGGGACTTATAATAATGGTGCCTTGGTTTAGTGTTCGCATACATTTACCCATTTTTCTGTATTAATTTTCTGTTTTATTTGCTTGATTGAAAACATGAGCATTTAGCTTAAACTAACTGTAAGGTACACCAGATTATCCTGTCCTAAATTTGTAGAATCATTAGAGACTAGAAGTTTGGATATATTCAGTTTAAACATAATGTATTTATTAATAAACTAACAATGTTTCTTTAAATTATCAATTGTGATGTTGATAAATTTCTTAATTATATAAATAATAGACATAAGGAAATATAAATATATTATATTTTTGTCGATTTGCCTTCCATTTTCTCATACCACTGGATTTGAATTGTGTAATTATGAATTATTGTTAAAATATTACTGTAAATATTATATAAATATATATTATAAGTAGTATATAAATGCAATGTAGTTAAATCAATTGTATAATTGTAGAAAATTTTTAATTTGCAAAATCGACTGTAAGAATTTTGTGTGATATTGGACTTTTCTATCTCTGCATGAATTGACTGTTTCTTTCAATATTAAACTAACTAAAATTTTGTGATTTTCAAGAATTTTTCTAGTATTTTGTCTGTTTAATTGAAGAACGTTCCATTTACAACTTTGATAAATTTTGAATTCTGATATATATATAAAAAAAAAACAATTTTAATTCCAGTTGTAAATTATTATTAACTGATTTAATTGGAGAAATTGTGTATTTTAAGATGTTATTGTTTTGTTAAGAATTCTATAGATTTTGATTAATCTTGAATTTGTTTGGGAAGTTTTATAATGTTAAAAATTTGTGTAATGATCACACTTTGTTGAAATATAACAGTCAGCTCCTTCTAGTCATGGAATAAGTGTATATATAATGAAGCCCAAACTAATGTAATAGTTAGTTTTTCGGGATATATAAATAGGCATTTGAGATTGGTGTATGATGTTTTGTTTAATATGTCAAAAATTACAATTTTTGGGGTTAGGGGTAGATGGTCTAGTGGGTTAACACGTCCATATGGAATCACAAGGTCTGTCATTGAGTCAAGTGGGGTGGTTTTGATTCACCACTTGAACTGGACAAGAATTAGGGTCGTCTGTCGAACTTCGTGGGTTTTCTCTGTGTCCTCTGGATTCCTTCCACTGCTAAAGACCCCTAGGCTCAAACATTATTGAAATATAATTGAACCATATGTTAAACCCCATTCTCTCTCTCCCCAAAATTGTAAAAGGTGTTTCCGAAGGCCAAAAATTAAAATTGGTATGGCCTAACTGTATTAATAACAAGCATATTAGCAGAAATAGAAACAAGTTGCTAAAAGAATTTTTGAGATTAAAAACTTACTGTACACAGTTACAAAAAGAAGATAAGATCATAGCATTTAGCCAAAATGATATAGTGCATTTCTGAAATTCTAGTAAATTTGTGGAATTTTTCACTTCTTGGTTCAACCTTATGTGAAGATGAAATCTAGTCATAAGACCAATTTGGTACTTTCGGATCCTGGTTTTCTAGTGTTAACAAACAACATGCTTTCTAAGTTACCCATACAAAAAAAGAATATTACTGGCAGGAGAACCTATAACCGGGGACGAAAAAAAGTATCACAAGTGGTTGATTGAATTAACTTCTTTTTCATAAGGGTTAAAAATTGGCAAAAAGCTGTAAATTCCTACCTTCATTATACTTAGGGTATAGCAAGTACTGCCACTAGATTGTGATATTAACAAATATATTATTGGGTACGATTTGAGATAAAGGTTTTTATCAGTATTTATAAGTTATGCAATATGTTGAATATGGTAGACGAAATAAAATACAGATCGATTGATTGATGTGCACTTAGGTTGTGATATACATTTTAAATATACTATTAATTTCATTATTAAAAACTTTATACATATTTCTCAAATATCCCAATCTGATTAAAACACAGATCCTATTTTGTTTCATTTTTATAGTTCAAAATTTTGTTTTACTTGTCTTTACTACACTAGGATCTGGAAGAGTTGTTATCATTGACTGTTCTGAATGATGTGAGGGAAAAGCCAATGAAACGGTCTGTTACGGCGAGGTTTAAGCGTGTTTTGCACGGAACTGTGGGTAATTCACTAGTAACATCAATGCTGATTGGTTAATCAAATGTCTGAGGTCATAGGGTCAAAAGCTGTTCGTATGACCACTGACGCGACCTATCGTTACAACTGGTCAGATCTTCATGTAGTGTAGGCCATCGAAAGTATAAAAAACGAAACAAAATATAGATCTGTATTTTAATAAGATTGCAAATATCCAAAACCAGTGTCTTGAGAAAATTAAACAACTGGTGAAAAATTGTTAGGGGAGGTTCTAGACAATACTATCCGAGAACATCCTAGCCATATAGATGTGAACCCTTTTCTCAATTTGTCTAATTTGATCATAAATCAGAACAATATAATATTGCAGTGTAACCTGTTTGAAGATGCAGTATGTAAGATTTAGCTGGTCATGATAATCCATTCAATATCTAAGTCACACAATGGCCTAATATCTAATTGATATTATATAGCTGCAAAAAGACCTGCAATAGGCAGATAAAATTCTTACATAATGCATCTTTAAATTAAACTAGATTACATATTTTAATATTCAGACAATACACATTTAGCACAAAAAATCTGGAATGTGAATAATTTTTAATATTTTTGTCCGAGAAAAGGAGATCGGCTTGGATAAATTCTAAGTTAGTTCTGGTAATGTTTTCAGACTTCTAAGGAAATGTATGTAGATAAAAGGAATATTTTTTGAGAAATACTGTAATACTGTTTTTAATTTATAGTTGCATGTAATCTGATAGTTTAGACTTCCATGTATGTAGAGATAGGTGTGAGAATTATAATTTACTGCTTACCGAAATATAATATAGAATCACAAATGGAATCTTATAGGACTGTTCAGTCTTGTCTCATTCAGAGTTTAAACTCTCTTTAGCCCTGAGAAATATTCCAGAATAAGGGTTATAAATTTTAAATATAATAATCAGAAATATAGAATATAAACTTTATAACCAGAAATATAATTCTTAGTATAAAATTTAAATTATATACAACTATGCTGTTTAATCTTAAATCATGGAATTAACCAAACTTTAAAAAGATTTGAATCTTTAATGTCTAAATTTACCTTCATTTTCGAATTATTTGATAATTCAGGATAAAATGCATTTATTCATTAACTAATCCCTTTGATTAGTGTTGATAAAATATTTAAAAAATAATTCTGTTAAAATATTATAACTTCAACAATTAAAACAGCTAAATAACACTTTGTGATAACTTATTTTAGGGCCCATATGTAAACAAAAACACTAACCCGAAAGATTTGTTTTTATCTATTAAATAATTTGTTGAAATTATACCAAAGTATGTAGATCTGCATGCAACTTCTGTTGAATTGTTGAAGATTTTATATAATACCATCAGTACTTATCTGTTATAATCTCAGTTACTATGTTAAATATCTCTCCTCTTACTTTACCTAATGTAGTATAAGAAATGAATAAATAACATTCCAATAACTCGTATCTTGGGTTGTCTGTTATTAATACACAAGTCTAGTTGTTCAGATGGGACAAAAAAGAGACCCCTTGTGTACTTGTAAATAAGTCCCTAACAATTTAGTTTGATGAAGAGTAGTGGGAAAAACTACTGTTGTCTTTTAAAGTTTCCCTCGTAGCACACCGCATGGCATATGATCGTTTTCATTATGCTGGTTGGTGCAGAAAATTAGGAGGTTAAAAACACGTTATTTCATTAATATATAAAGTGTGTTGAATCCTGCATATTGTGATATAAAAAATCAATACACCATCCATTACTTCCCCAATGGGGTAGGCCTATGGTGTACCACGCGGATCTGTTTTGGGGCCCTTGTTGTTTATTGATATGCTACTGGACATAATGTCTATTACCACTGAAAATGGGAGTTTGGGCTGGTGCATAGATAGTCCCTTTCCTCGACATGTATATGTTTGTTCACTACACTTTATTATGTTGGGGTTTTCTGGGATTCTTTCCGGATTATCGCCCTTATTAGTAAAATTGTTTGACGTTTTAACTGGTAGACTATCGCCATTCAAGATACGACCATCGTCAAGATAGGTCGCAATATTTACGTCTTTCTTGTAAATCATTTTCTTTTTCATTTTGAGTGAAGCCTGTATCATTACAGGCCGGAGACTGTACAGCACAGTGAAAGCTAACGGCTGACTCCCGGATCCGTTCACGTGATTTGATATTTGTTGTTCATTTCTTGCAATGTCAGTGTAATTTGTCTTGTCCGCAGGTTTGTCTTTTCGGGTTTGTTTTGCGTGTAGTTCGGTCCTCCAGCACTTACTATACTATGCACATAATACATTGATAGTAATTTTCCCTGTATGAATAACGCCCAGTTCTTCATTATGTGTTTTTGTTGTGTGGAAATGAGGTCCAGTATTGCAGTCGCACTTGTTCGCTTTGCAGAATTTCCTGAACGCAGTGGATTGCATGAAGCATTATGAGAAGATAATGGGCAACTACTTATTTCGGATTAAAGCAAAATTGGCTTGTTGCTGTTGATTATGTTCTAAAATATTGCCAAGTTAACTCTCCGGTGATGTTTTTCAGTACAACGATTTTACTTTTTATTTACATAAAGAACAGGACGACAACCTTTATGAAGTCGCATAGAACTTTGTGTAGGTTTCGTTTAACCCGAGCGGTTAACCGATCTTCTGTTTCTTGCAATGTGTTGCCGAATAAAATACAATAGCTTCGGGGATACAGGTTGACGTTGTGAAACAAATACCTTTCAAGCCTAATGGGGGTTGTTGCAAAGTAATATTCGTCTTATTTTATGGATAAAAATTGTGTTACCCTGACTGAATAAAATGAACCGATTACCCTTTGTAGATAAAATGAAACTGTTTCATTGTGTTCGGTGGTGTGGTTTCGATTTTGTGGTAGTCCTGGTTTGTGTTTTGTATACTCTTAAGTACCCTTTCTTTTTCTTACCAGATACGCCCTATCTAATTCTTTTGCAACCCTTCCACCCACTCGTGAGACGGTTTTGGGGAAGAGAAAGTAAATCCGTGAATTTTCCGTCTTTTTCATACGTCCTTCCCTGGGTAAGTCCATAAAAAACAACAAGTTACACTTTGGGAGAGTTGCTAGCCCCCCCCCCCCCAATAATTTGGCCGCAAGTACTCTTTTCTCCAGGTTATTGCGGCCCCTGGACCCACGCCTATAAGGACCTAGGATGGAAGCCCCCCCCCCCCAATCAAGAATTGCTTCCGCCGGCCCTGTACAGTCTTAATGGTGTATCATATAATTACAGTTTTAATGATGCATTATATAATTACAGTTTTAATGATTTTTTTTCTAAACAATATTTATTCACAGAAACTGGATTGGAGAACAGGCAAAAGCCTATAGACCCCCTCTCCATAAAAGTACAAACATAAATATATAATGAAAAGTAAAGTAAAGTAAAGTAAAGTGAACGATTAAATTATAAGATGATTATATACACTATATACACGATATGTACAAACCACAATCAGAATGTTTATATTTCATAAATTCACATACGGAATTTTCAAAATCTTTGGGAGATGTCGAGGAAGTTATATACTGCCGAAATAATTTCTTCAGAATTGTTTCTGTCTTCAGTTCCGAATAATAAATTTTGAGAATTTTGATAAAGTTTTGGAAGTTTTGATATTGTTGCAGATCGTGCATCTGAACGTAAGGAACAAATTAAAAGAAAATGTTCAGAGTCTTCAAAGGCGTGGCCAAAATCGCATGTAGGGCTGTCAGAAATATGCCTGAGAAAACGATGTCCGTTTAAATCACTGCAAGCGAGTCGGAGGCGAGAATGGTGAATTTGATTTTTCCTGCTGCCAGAGTTGTATGATGAAGGTATAATTTGATCAAGGTAGCCGAGTTTAGATTTAAAAGAAGATAAAGTAGGTAAGTTTCTAGTAGAAAGATCGAGTAGATTCCATTCTCGAATTGTAGATTGTATAAAAGAAGAAGAAAATAAAGAAGTTCTGCAAAAGTATGTTGGGATGTTACTTTGGTTTCGTAGGCGATACGAATTTATATTAGGTGGTATCAGTTGAAATAAGTATTCGGGAGTAATATGGTTTATGATTTTTTGTAGAATAAAATTAATTTATGTCGCCTTCTTCTCTCCTGCAGTGTAATAAATCCGGTTTCCTTATATATATAACACTTGGTGACTTTCACAGCATCATATAATTACAGTTTTAATGATGCACCATATAATTACAGTTTTAATAATGCATCATATAATTACAGTAATACTGATGTGTCATATAATTACAGTAAATAGTAATATATAATGATGTATTAATGGCGTATCATATAATTACAGTGTATCATCAAAATCAAAAACACACTTTTATGGATAACAATTACTATGGTTTATTTCACTGCGACGTTTCAACAAGGTTTCACAAGTCGTTATCAAGCATATATACAAGGTTTCACAAGTCGTTATCAAGCATATATACAAATTTGTATATATGCTTGATAACGACTTGTGAAACCTTGTTGAAACGTCGCAGTGAAATAAACCATAGTAATTGTTATCCATAAAAGTGTGTTTTTGATTATGTTCCAATTACTAAATGCCATTCAAAGAATATACAGTGTATCATACAATTACAGTAATAGTAGTATTTCATAGTATTTTATACTTGCAGTAATAATGATGTATTATATAATTATAGTATTAATGGTGTATCATATCATTACAGTTTTAATGATGTATTATATAATTACAGTAATTTAATTACTGTAGCTATGGGATAAATCATTTAAACTGTAATTATATGAATAAGATGCATCCTATAATGGTGTAATTGGGGTGTGGTAGGGGCTGCTACTATCTATTACTATAAATGCCTGCGCACACAAAGAATATTTCATCAGCGGTTTGTACTGCAGTACTGTTGTCGCGGTCACTTATTATCATAAGTCTTCTACTTTAATTAAGCCCAAAATAGGAAGAAGAGATGCGTGATTTTGTTTAGCATAGAAGAGACGGTGGTCTTTGTATTTGCCGGTTCCTGATCCGATTGGTGAATCCTGAAATGCAATAGAAGCGTTAACAGATACAAAATTGCCAATTGTACTCGTGGAAGAATTACTGGCAATTACTTGGTGAAGAAATAATGGTATCATACCCCAGGGCCCGCACAATATCAAGAAAATAGAATGCTGAATTTAATAGAAATGAAATATGAATTTCACTGATAATAATGATTCCCAATCATCCCATCCACCCTCAATCTGAGAAGAAAATCTAATCTAAGTTAGCTTACAAATTCAACACCAACGCTGGTTGTTCCTGTGGTGTCGTCGGGCAGGCAACCAATCCATTTAACTGTACCTTTAACAAAGGAGTCTTCCCGGAAGTAAGCCACTCTATCTCCTATCAACAAGTTGTCTGATACCTGTATATAATATTATAATAACCTCTAGCTCAATATTATCCATAATATTCGAAATTAAAATCACGAATTAAAATATTGACCCATTTCAATCAGAATTGATGTTGTTATCTTGCAGTGAAAATATGTGATCCTATAAAGACACATTTTTAAATCACTACACCACGACTCGTGTAGTCTATGGCTTCGAATGCCATTTGTAATGGCCAAAGAAAACAAATCCCAGAAGACAAAGGGGAAGTAGTAAAAATGGTTGATTTACAAACGACAAGTAAAACGCGTCTTTCATCGAACATAATTGATTAGAAATTTCCATCCGAATTTTCACGAAATTCAACCTCAACCATCATTATATTTAAACTTTTTTTTTTTTAAATCAGATGAAAAACAATTGTGACTTCTAGAGGGTCCACAAGCTAAAAACGCGACTTTTCGTACAATCCGGGGTCATAATCGAGGAAGATACGGCATGATATGGGCCAATTCATAAAAATCGGATAACAAGCAGTTGTCATGCAAGATACGCCCACATTTTGCAAGAACTGGGCAGAGAACAAGCTAAAAACAGTTTCATCAAAATCGGATAAAAACTGTGACAGCTAGAGGGTCTACACTCTACAGCCTTGTTATTACATACTTTTACGATATTTGCGTACGAGGAGCGGCGATATGTACGCAGTTACGGTCCGATTTTCACGAAATTATGGTGTAACGTTGATATATTAAAACAGGTTTTTAAAATCGGATAGCAATTGTGACATCTGGAGGGCCCACAAGCTAAAAACACGATTTTTCGTACAATCCGGGGCCATAATCCACTATCGCAAGGAATCAAGAACTGTGAGTAATAAACATACATTTTAAGTTTCGTCATAATCAGATAAAAAGTGTCGACATGTTAAAAATAGGATTTTTCGTTCACCCATAGGGGAGATGCTAATTGTAGGCCGGTTGGAGAATTTCGGGAATTTTCGGAGTCCACAATGGCAGCTTTATATAAATGAGTATTTGGGGGAATCCTAACCCTAACCCTTTTTAAAAGACTGAACTTGAATCCAATTTACCTTTTACCCCGATTAAAAGGGTTATACCAAGAATCTTAGGCAAGAGTAAAGTGTTGGTGTTTAATGTCTTTACATCTCTGACTTATTTCATAAAACAATCTCGATATGTGATTTTAAGAAAATTTTGATGGACCGACAGACCGGCGGACGATGGTGGCCATAATAAACATGTACGTCTATATTAAATGTGAGCGAAGAATTATGACTAGCACAGCAGATTGTAAATAGATTTATCAACGAAACACTACGGAAAGTTTGTAGAAATCCTCAAGGGCGCTGGTATCAAAATAATTTATATGGAAAATAATCACTGGTTTATACACATATAACACGACGTTTCGATAAGAATTCTCTTATCGTTTTCAAGCACAAATGATAAGAGAATACGTGTCGAAACGTCGTGCTAAATGTCTATAAACTAATGGTTGTTTTCCATATAAATTGTGTTGTGTTTTTTAATGTGTTCAATCGCTAAATTCCACTCAATGATTATAGGCTCTGGTATCATGAAACCTGTCTTGTCATACACTTACCGTATCCTCCTCTATATCACATACTCTGGGTATATCTGTATTAACAGTTGTATCATCAACACCAACATTAGTATATATAGCTGGGGCAACATCTACTTCTCTTATGACACTTAATATAGGTATAAACCCAGTATGACCGTTTTTAGATTCGAATAACCGAGTGCCGTTATAGGTGCCATCACCACCACCTACAGCATCATCCTGAAAACAAACAGGTTTCAGAAAGATTATGTAACAATTAGTAGCGTGGGATATATTGTATATTGTATTCTACACAGTCATTATTAGAACACAGATCACTGACATAAATAATAATAACGAGAGTATCTTTTAAACAGAATTTTAAATATGACTCCGTGACTAACAGGAAGAAGGACAGGTTGCCCGTCAACGAAACATACGCCAACAGCAGCTAAATCGTCCAACCGGTCGACAAGAGGTGTTGCAGATTTATTCTTTGCAGGTAATGGGGGACATTTACATGACAATTTCATACAGATCGGTTTGCAATTTACAGAAATTGTTGAAATTCGATAGTCTTCTTTGCTGCATTAATTTAAATTATGAACATAGGCGTACGCGGAAATTTTTGACTGGGGGGGGGGGGCAGTGGTGGTTGGTGCCCAAAAAATGTAGTTAGGTTCTTAGTATGTTACATAATAATAATAAATTCGCTGTTAAATTGGACACATTCAAGAACACAATATTTTTTTTATACAACTTTTACAAAGTACAATTGTGTGCCCAAATTTTCCCAGCATTTGGTGCTGTATGTATCAGTCTATGTATTATAATCTATGATGGTTACATCAACTTACAAATTCCACTCCGACAGTAATGTTATCATCCGCATCACCAGGTAACTGTCCAATCCATTTAACAACTGCTCGAAGTTCTACATTTTGTGCTTCTGGATAAGAAACGACTCGATCCCCTACTTTTATGTCAGGTTTAGGTTTTTTGAGCTGATACACAAATAAAAATAATTCATTAATCAGTATAAGATTGAACTTTAATCCTGCATATCATAGGGCCTGTTATAATAAAACATATACATGTAGTACCATTATCCTAATGGGACGAATTAGTGTAATACCAACGATGCTGGTGCCCCCATGACGATGTGGTATGAGATGTTTGGAAAAGGGTTAACATAATTTACCTTGTGGTCTAACGCGTTCGCTATATAGATGATAAGGTCTGTTACCAATGTACCATATGGGTTTGACACCAGGTGTACGTGACGTGGATAAGGGACGCCTGCCTATCCCCATGGGATTTCTCTGTGTACATTGCATGCTTACACTAGGATACCGAAGCGCAACCGAGTTTTAACTGGCGAAGATCCCACCGCCCCCCCCCCTCTCTCTCTCTAGGTCATTACTGATAAAAACACTATTATATCTAACATTGTTACCTGGTTCTGTTTTGAGAAAAACAATGGAATCTCCTGGATGAGTTGTTTCTTTAGGTTCATCAAGTTAACCATCTCCCTCTGTGTTATAAAAATAAAATTCTATGTGAATTCCTCAAATATGGGATTTGGTATGAGAGGTTCTAGAAAGGGGCGACATATCAAATAGTACTTGCCTTTCCTTTTTAAATTGACATATATTTAAAATTTAATGTCCGATAAAACGAAAGTCATGTCATGTTTTATTTATTTCATTATTTTATATATTAAAAATAATTATGTCCATAAATGCCATTGTCATTTTCCCATATATTTATATTTAGATACAAATAAATCTTATCGTATCCAAGAGATATGGATTCGGTTATTGGCGCCCCGTACAATTATTATCGGACAAATACTTCACCTGAATTTGGCGTTCTGTAGGAATGACCTGGTCGGTAGTTCCTGTCTCTCTAACTTCCTTCTTCTCCACCACATCTTTTACACATCCGTGTATGGCGTCCATGAAACAGTTACTACAAAAATTCTTTTTACACCCTTTGCAAGAAAGCTTGGCCATATTAGAAGGCTGTTTCGTACAAAATGTACACAGCTGTGGTGGTTTTGGAAGAACGTTGGGTTTTTTAACCACATAATGATTGATGACCAATGCTGGATGCCGAACCTTAAAACAGGTTTCGCAGAAGTTGACGTTACAGTTCAAGCATATCAATGTTGCTGGCTCATGAACCTCGGGTTCACAATTATTACATTCTATACAGTTTTCCTGGAAAAGAAGATACTATTTGTATTTTTTATCATATATAGTAGTGTAGCAGCATCGTTTCATTGGGGAATAATTTAAAAACTGGTAAATATGGAAAACTAAGATAATACAAAAATCAAGAATAGCAATGAATAGCTGGTGTAATTCTGGAATGTAGAGCGTTTACATTGTGCCAGGGGAGATAACTAACCATGGAAAAGATGGATGGTTCTGATGGTTCAAGCTACGATCAAAGGCAGATAATTTGAATACGTGAATTTCCCATGGATGAACCCAGGGTATAGTGGAGTAGAACGGCTACGTGAACTGTACGTTGGTGGATAACAAAGCAATTCCGGTAACATTAAAAGACGCATGTCATTGGGTGCTATACTTACTGCGTTAATGTCATCAAGAAATGCTGTGACATAAACATGCAATCGTTGTTTATGGTCTCTGGTATCTTCCCCATCCAAACTTGGGTGATGCTCCCAGCACAATCTACAATACTGGTTCTTGCACTGAGTACATAATATCACAGCTTTAGCAGATCGTTCTGAACAACCACCTGTACACTTGGTCAAGAAGTCACCGTCGCCTAAAGGATTTAACTGTGATCGGAGTTCAAGAACACTGCCACTTGGTCTCAATGGTTTATTATCAGTAGATCCAGGGTCGTAGGGGTTACAGAATAACGCCGTTTCCTGGGTAGGTAATGTCAAAGCCATAGATTCGGGTCGTTGTACTCGTGGATAACACTGGGTGGCTCTAGCTAGTGGTGCTGACTGTGGGGCATCTGCTCCATTATCGGTGTTTATTGATCTCTGAATTTCATTTAAATTGCAACTCTCAGTTCTTTTTAATCTACATTCTCTATCCTCCTTATAGACCCTTACAATTCTCTCCAATATCAAGTTCTTTACCAACGGATTTGTACAAACATCCGCACTACGCCGACATAAAGGACATTTAATCACATCCAACTTCTTTCCAAGAGCCTTGTCTGTTTGAACTTGCTCCAAACATTTTTCGCACAGGGCGTGATCACATGGCAGAGTGATGGGTTTTTCGAACAACTCCAGACAAATGGGACAACTTAACTCACCTTGCAATCCATCAATCGACGAATATTTCGCCATTTTAGTTTTTCAATATGTCTAGGTTCTGTAAATATCAAAAATGGTCATAAGGAATGTACATTTGGGGATATTCGACCCTGTGGATTTTTTTGGGGGGCGGGAGGAGGGGAGGATATTTGACCATGATTCATGTTGAGTATTTGACCATGGCTCATTTTAGTCATACGTCTGCTTTATCCACGGGGAAATCAAAGGGGCAGTGTTCTTAATATAAAGTCTGGTTAAGGCATCATCATCTGGGTCCCATTTCACAAAGCATAGCTTTCCATAAGTCATGTCTTAAACCAATAGAAACTTTCTTTTTTCAAAAAATAACAGCCAGCAAAAATATTTAATTTCCGAAATGCCCACCTGGTTACTGATACTGTACTCTCAAAATGACCAAGATCGTAAACCTATATTTACTTACTTTTACACCATACTGATTTGTGATTTTTTGCTTAATTTTTGCAATGTCAATAGCCTATAGTTTGTCTAATCCACAGGTTTGTCTTGTCGGTTTTGTCTTGCGTGTATAGTGCGCCCCCACTCCCAGACATTCCCTTACACTTACTAATATAAAAACTAGTTTTGCTGCAAAATGGTGATTGGGGACATTATAACACTCTATATAATATTACACTATAGATCTAATCTCCTATCTCAAAGTTCGTTTTTTAAGGTCTTTTTGTATACTTAAAAGGATTATATTACATACATGAATTATTATGATCTTTATATTTATACACATAAGTAACAAGCTTATATGGATATCGAATTATTTCCCGTTAGCGAAATACAACCAAACTATGCTAGAAACTGGAACTCCCTAAAAATGAAATGTGAGCCACTGAAGGCTCTATTAAACTTCATATCCCAGGTGTCAAATGTTATAAAGGCCTACATATAAGGCTGCCGCTGATATAAAGACAGTATTATAAGTAATTTGATGAATATTTCAAACTGTCATCGAGTGTTCCCTAATTGGCGACAACAATATCACGGTTACTCTGACGACAGATTGTTAAATATTCCTGCGAAAGGCAAAGTTCGCCGACCTTTGCCTTTCGCAGGAATATTCAACGAAAGTATCCAATGGATGACGTAGGCTTACTTGCCAACCTAACAATTACATAACATTATCAATATTAATTTTATACCTTATAACAGTCTGTTGTTTGACGAATATCAAGCTAACATCGACTACACCACATTCTTTACTGCTCGAAAAAGACAGACTTATAATCTATAGCTTGGTAGATGTCATCTATGTCGATATGAATAAAAAGACAAGTAACATACCACGTGACCTGGATTTTCCATGCATCTATTTTTAACATCGCCTACAAATGGGTTATTTTGATATAATACCCATTGTGTATCAGTTAAATATATATATAGGGCTTACCAGGCCACGGCCCGATTCCTAGAAAATTCATAAAGTGCACATAAGATGGGCCTGGAAACTTTGAGATACGTGTAGCCAATGGTTACTATATCCACTTTACAGCAAGTCCACGCCAATCTGGTTGAAATTAATTCAGTTATCTTCACTCAAAGTCGTAAAAATAGACCTTCTGTAAAAATGACTTTGCCAATTATCGAAAACACTCTTAATCTGCCCCGAGTCTGAAATTTGGGGTATAGGGGTAGCTCGGACCGGGGAGTAACATAGGCCAGGTGGCGTTAGTCTACCACTTCCGGTTTCGGAGTTATGACCCCCAAGCGAAGCCGGGTATCCTGCTAGTAGCTAATAATGAATATATCGACAAATGACTGGCACCATTTGTATTTCTGTACTTAAGTTTGGGATATCAAGTATTACGGGGTTATCCAAATTACCGGTAAATGCGCTAATTTCTTGAGTCATCTTCATTTGACACGTGGCCTATTTAAACAAAGGTAGCTTAAATTGATCTACGGCATGATACGGCATTTTAAATTCACTCTAAAATATTCCAATCACAAATGTCTAATCTATACCAATGAAAGACGATAATTCGTTGATTAAGATTAGACCAGTCACGTGGTAATTGGACCGTCAATAGACGCTTGTCCAGTTGCCGTGTGTATTGATAGTGCTATATTGTACAGTGAGATATTGTATAGATAATGTATATCCTATGTGTAGTGCCTGTGACGTCACCAGCCAATCAACCGGATTAAGGTCGTAATTGAAAAATCGAAAAGCGTTTTGGCGTGTCGGATACTTAAACGTTAACAGCGGACTTAATTTTACTTACTATTTTTATTATTAGTTTATAATGATTCCCCGCCCCCCCCCCCCCCCGAAGCCTTACTAGATAAAAATAACCACAAAACCGCAGTAAGATCAGATACTCTCTTTTCTCTAACTTTCTTTTTCAGGTGCTGGATTCTTCCTTCAGAGAACCAACAATAAAAGGAATGAATAACAGAAATAAAGATGTAACAACGCCACCATACCGGACAACAAAACCAAATGGAAGGAAGAATGGACCAGGACTCATACTCACCAACAAAGCCCCAAGGAAGAGTTGCACCAATGCACCGCCCTGCCATTCTACCGGACAGAACGACCAGACTAACCCAAACGACCCAAAATATATATATATGTACATAATATGTTTATGTCTGTAAAAATGTCCGTCTTTGTCCATGTCTGTTCCGTCAATTCGCATGCTTGTGAACGTCTACTGGCACATCTCTCGTCCTTTGCACATGTCTATTGTCCTATGTACATATATATGAAAACCTAATTATCCTAATTTTTTTTTTTTTTCTCATTAATCACATTGTAAATTAATGCACCTTGTATACATAATATGTCATTGTCTGCGATATCACCTCGGTGGAAGCGGACGTAAAATACAACTAACTCAACAACAACAACAACTTAATTTTAGTCAGATTGGTGTGAACTTGCCGTAAAGTTGATATAGTAACCATGGGCTATACATACATGCAATTTAGATTTTTGATCTTACGTGGTCTTGTGCTTAGATTTAAGTAGACTTTGCATTTAAGTAAACTTACCTTATTTTGCGTTCCCAGAAAATTATTAAGAACGTTCATGTGCTTAGATTTTAAGTAGACTTCATTGTAAGCACAAGAACGTTATTATGCGTTCCAAGAAAAAACTTAAGCACAACTTCGTTCTTAAACATAGCCAATCTAAGCACAAGTCCCAAGCAAGGTACGGCTTGTTTACCAACCTTAAGTCTGTTTCCACTTCAAAAAGATGGCTGACCGTTATTTTGATACCAAAGAGACAATTACAAGACAGAGAAAATCCTTCTCCAGAGAAATTAAGAATGCTATAGAAAATTTCGCTTGTACTGTTGTACCCTGAAAACATTTTATTTTTTCGCCAATTAGTAAACAATAGGCTACAAACACACGGGCTACTTAAAATCAGGCGCTCTCACAATTATTCAGTTAGTTTGTATGTGACTGCGTTTTTTTATCTTGTGGCACATTTTATATGTGTATAGGGGACATGTCAAATGCATCTAAATCACCCATATTATATATATATATGACGTCAATGAAGCAGACGACAAATTTATGACGTAGCCTAATTCGCATACCAAAGTTGTTTTTGTGACGTTAATGTTACGGGGGGTCCATTCTCTAGTTGTAAAAAAAACCACACCAAGGGTTCGATTCAACGGTTTATTCAGATATAACAGAAACCCCTAGAGAGGGGTTTTGCTGGCTAGACAGACTGTCAAAGGTGAAGTACCTTTGAAGTATCTGGCAATCACTGGAACTATTGAATACTTTAATCTAACTTCTATATAAACTATATTAGAAATGAAATATCTAAAACTAGCTAATTAAACTATGACTATACAGAAATAAGTTGCAATATGGAGAACTGAAAATAGTCAACCTATTGCCTCAAACTCTATTACCTAAGTGTCCAAACATTCCCTGGATACCAAATCACCTGACCACAATATACTCAGGTTCAAAGGTTAAAACCAAAACAAGATACCAAAAGTGAGAAGAAACTCACTCTAACTTAAGATAGTGGATAGAAAGTCGATAGAAACACAGGATAGCTAAAGCTAGTGAAGTGGAACATATTATCTAACATTTAAAACTTAGTATTGGTGACTTTAAAATATTCCCCAATAAAATCACTCTCCCACATACTTCCCCCCTAATGCAAATGTTGTCCCCGACATTAACCATATTCGACATCCGATCACAATATGACCTGGCCGTCTCCAACACCAGCTAAACTAAAATACATCCGGAAACAAGGACTTGCATAAACCTGGCAACATAGTTAGTACGACCTGCAACCTATCTGGTGACAAACTCATGAAATCTGGTGGTAACAGCGATCTTGCCAGTTCAGCACGCAACTGTAGGGTAGAAGGTACCGAAGATGCTGGTTGCTGTGACATGACATAATCTTCATACCGGAGCGGTTGTTTTCTTTCTCTTCCCGATCTTCTGGGCTCCGGGTCATCTGGCTGTGAATTTTCCTCTGACACTTCAGAAACAGCTGAGTCTGGTGGTTCAGGCCTGCTTCCACCATCTTGAACACTGGTGTCGATCTCAGCTTGTCCTTCGTTCCCATCGTGTACCTCAGTGGTGCTAGCAGGTTGCAAGTAGGTTGCATCCTCCACTAAGTACACCTGATCCTCATCTTCTTCACTACTGGATGACTCTTCCGGTTCTGGTATTACCTACATTTAAAACTTAGTATTGGTGACTTTAAAATATTCCCCAATAAAATCACTCTCCCACATTAAAGAGCATCGCAGTCTCAGTTTATGGTAAACTTTACCAGTCACAATGTGCTTAGACTTATACTTGACTTGTGCTTACGTAAGAATGGTCTTGAGAATTTTCTAGGGACGGTATTTTTATAAGTTTCTTACGTAAGAAAAAGTGAAGCATGACTTTGTGCTTACTTTAAGAATTTTCTAGGAACCGGGCCCTGGTGTAATGTTTAGTGGTGATAAAAAGTAATCATTGCACAGTTTAATAAAGTAATGGACAGTGAGATTAACGTAGATGACACTCATTAAATAAGGTACTTACATATCTCCCTCGGTTAATTAACCCACCAAAACGAACAAATGAATTACTTGCACATTTAATTTTTTTCATAAAGCATCGAACAATAAAACTGCTTCATTTTTCTTACTCAATTAGAATCTGAGTTACCATACTTCAAAGCTGCTTAGCCTCAATCGAATATGCTCGTCACCGATTTGATTGTCCATAATAATGGATGTTGTTTTTTTTTTCCAACCCTATTAATAGTTTTACCCTGTGACAATAATGTTGTTTCTTGTTGATATTATAAAGTTGGTCTGTCTGCTTTACATCGATAAAACGCCCTCTCATCGAAAAAAAACCAAAACAAAACAGACTAAATGTCCGTTCATACTACATCCGTATCCGTATCTGTAAATACGTACTGGTATACTTTAGTCATTTTTAGAGAAAGGGTTCAAATAGAATCCGGCACGTATTGCGCACAAAAACAGATTGCTCCCAGAGCGTATTTTTGTAAAGTGCGTCCGGCATTTCGGCCAGTGAGCCGAGCTTTAGCCAATCAGCGAGTACTTTCCCCTTATTACATCGTCTCCCCAAAAAGAAAATCAATCTCTGACAGACAATTCAGCTTGAATGCCGGACGTTTTGGCGTTTTCTATTTGAACGGCAAAACGCGGATACGGATGCGAGTGCGGATACGGATGCGGATACGTTTACGCATACGGATGTAGTATGAACAGAGCTTAACACATCACATTATCTGGATTTTCCATGCGTCTATTTTTAACTGGCATATACGAAAAGCTGGTTTATTCACATACCATAACATTATACACAGAGATTTTTACTCTGTGAGTATACATATCAATCCAAACATGGGCTTAAGCCAGTCTGTTACATCCACTCGGGGCCGGAATAAGTTTGCATGGGGCCTATGGCTGAAAATGTCACTGGCGCCCTCGCAACCAACAGTGAAAACGGCTCATATTCTGGTCATTGTCCATCACATTCGCATAATTAAATGCAATTTGTTTGTCAGTCAGTATGGTATATAGATATATTTATTTGGCACCAAGATATACAAGTTTCATATGACATATTTATTTCATGGTAAAAAAAGTATTTGTAGAACTAATTTGGGGTTTTCTTGCTCTTTAATATTAGGGTCCCTTGATCAAGTGCGCCCCCCCCCCCCGTTTACAGTTTGAATCAAATTACTTGAAATGAACTATATTTTCAATTCATTTTTAAAAGTCTCACAACAGCAGTTTTGCCATCCTCCACCGTTTTATGGAAATGCTATTCGTGTAGAAAAGACACCAAACTTAGATCGTTTACAAAAAATCTTACTATTACTATTAAGATTACATTTCAAAAGTAATAGTAATGTAATTAATGCAATCTAATGCTCCCATGTTGATCCATATGGTAGTCTTGTTATTTAGGGCAATAATGTGTTTATTGTTCTTCATTACTAGTATCTATGGTAGTGTTTACTGTTCTATATTACTAGTAGCTATGGTGGTGTTTACTGGTAGCTATGGTTGTGTTTACTGTTCTATATTACTGGTAGCTATGGTGGTGTTTACTGGTAGCTATGGTGGTGTTTACTGGTAACTATGGTGGTGTTTACTGTTCTATATTACTGGTAGCTATAGTGATGTTTACTGTTCTATATTACTGGTAGCTATGGTGGTGTTTACTGTTCTATATTACTGGTAGCTATGGTGGTGTTTACTAGTAACTATGGTGGTGCTTACTGTTCTTTATTACTAGTAGCTATGGTGGTGTTTACTGGTAACTATGGTGGTGATTACTGTTCTTTATTACTAGTAGCTATGGTGGTGTTTACTGGTAACTATGGTGGTGTTTACTGTTCTATATTACTGGTAGCTATGGTGGTGTGTACTGGTAACTATGGTGGTGTTTACTGTTCTATATTACTGGTAGCTATGGTGGTGTTTACTAGTAACTATGGTGGTGTTTACTGTTCTATATTAGTGGTAGCTATGGTGGTGTTTACTAGTAACTATGGTGGCGTTTACTGTTCTATATCACTAGTAACTATGGTGGCGTTCACTGTTCTATATCACTAGTATCTATGGTGGTGTTTACTGTTCTATATTACTAGTAGCTATGGTGGACATTTTTACATGATATATTATTACATTGATATGTAGTTATCAAAAAATAAAAAACCCAAAAGGCTGACTGAATGTTACCTTACATTTTATTGTTGCCATGGATATAGAACACTATCTGTTAAAATATTACACAATTAGACAATAACTATCAATAATTAGAACATGCAATTCAATTTGTAAATGGAACACCTATAATTACATGTATATCAACAAAAATATAAATGGTTAAAATGATTGTGTTAATAGCATCTATAAAAAAAGTAACAATTTGGGGGACTGAATTCTTTAGTATTATGATAACGATTTTGTGCTTTTCAAAGTTTCAGGTTTCTTAATAAACTAATTAATTAAGATGATAATATATGAATATTTGTAAATAATATATCAGTTATTTCCTGCAGTAGGATTAAAAATAATAAATAACAGAAATAAGAATTTTATACCAGAGAACACAGAGTGGATTAATCAAATGTTAGGAGGTAGAGAAAATTTATGCAGCCATTACATTAAACAAAAAATAACTTTAACAAAAATAATAACAAAGTGGTTAATAATACACATTGATTATTTCATTTTAAACCTGTTTAAACAGAAAATGATTATTTTTATTTTAATTGTGAAAAGGGTTATCTCTCAAATTTCAGAAAAATACCAGCCAATTTTGTGTATTTGCTGTAAAACCAAAATAAGTTGAGTATGATCAAGGATTTCAGCTGAATGATCAATCTACTACACTGAAAGTGAAGATTCACATGAAAAGAGCAAGAATAAGATCACAAAACACAGCTGAAAACAATCAAGCATTTCAGAAGAAAGTTCATGAATATCAAATATTTCAGCTGAAAGTTCAAATCTTAGCCAAAAGTTCATAAATTACAGACGAAAAAATCAAACATTTTAGCTGAAAGATGTTAAGTACCAATAGTCAAGATGGAAGAAACCAGAATTTATGATGAAGGAAACACAAAACAAAGATCGCTTTCCTTCAATACGCTTACATTAATTACTACCATTATGTACATCTATCAAATATTATACACCAGGCTTATGATTCGTATTATTGCACAAAACATAACCAATTGGCCATATTAGTACTGGAATGTTTCAAATATTCTATCTCTTATATATTCATTAACTTGTGTTGTTTCTTTTATTAAATAAAATCATTAATATTAATAATATATTTATTAATATGATCATAAACAAAATATCTCGTTTTCCAAATTAATACTAACTTGATTCAGTTCAAAAGTTGTTTAATTTTTCAGGTAGTTGCCACTTCTTAGTATAATAATAGAAGTTTTTTTCGTATATCAACTACATAAGTAAAATCTGTTTTATATTTTATACTATACTGCAAGATCCTTAAAGATGCATTATGTAAGATTTAGATAAAGAGTTGGCTGTTCTGGCTATAATAGTTAAAAAATAGATAATGAAAAATTAATACATGGAGAATGTCAGTCAAATTAATTTATTTTGAGCAAAGTTATTATTGTTTGAAGTTTTGACAAGATAGTCTCCATTGTCAAGTATCATTGCTATTATATTAAACAAAGTCTCAATTATCCATTTATCGTTAAATTAATAAATGGGAAGGGAGTTGGTTAAGGGCATGTCATGTAAATAAATGTCTAAATAATAATTCAAATAACATCTGAAGCCAGAAAAAAGATCTGCAGTAGGCAGATTTAGTGCTTACATAATGCATCTTTTAAAAAAAGTTTTACAATAGCGTCTCACTAGATTTATCATATTCTCGTCATAAATCATATCACAATAATTGACAAAAAGTTACAGGTCCACAACCATAGCGTAATATAGAATAAAAACAAGGAATGTTAACAAATTGAATGTATAATAACAATTCTTATGAATCATATAATTAAATAAATGCCTTTCAAGGATAATAAACCAAAAATGGTAAAGACATTAATAGCTTATTTCCTTACTCTAATAGATTTACACTTCTCAAATACACACATTTTTTTTAGCTATTTCTCTTTTGTCTTGGTCTTTATTTTGTATACATTGTACCATGGGTTAAATATGTGTGGTTTAATGGTTAAGAGCAAGATATATTGATACTGCCCGAGGATTTTAGTCTGATTGTTGTTTCAATATATTACACAACTTAAAATACACACTATATCCTGCCTGTGAATTTCAATGTAATTGTTGTGAATATTAAGGTTTATAATCATTCATAAATAAAAGAAAAGCATAATATAATGTAATAACAGAATACTGTTGGATTTTCATTAATTAATAATAACATATAAGATTAATAAAATAACATCATAATAGGAAGTTAATATATTAACGATAGGAGACAATCACAGAAAGAAATATTGCACTAAAAACAACAATAAAATAACAAATACTGTTAGAGATTGAGAGAAACCTTGGGTTAGAGGGACAACAATATATAAATAATATAACAGACAAGGTTGGCTTTCAGGTTTTCATTGAAAATGGGAAACAAATGAAATGGCGTTTAATGTCTGACTTGGCTAATGAAGATAGGCACACGCCATACATTGTGTTATGAGGGAAATTTTGTCATCAGAGGCACTACGGCCTACTCTTACATCAAATTCCAAGGGATCTTTTTCGTTCATGCCAATATGTACACAGTGGACTTCGGTTGTCTGTCCAATCCGAACTACACATTGTTCTTGCCCGACCCTCGTTCCTGCACCGCTGACAAGGAGGAACCACGTCTGAAAATCCTGATGAACTTTCTCGGCCAACGCAGAGATTGAACACATGATTCCAGGTTAGCGAGCTAATGTCTTATTCATCGAGGCACTGTTGCTCCCAAAAATGGAAACAATATACTGGTATAAACAGAGTCGCCGAGAGGATTGTTATATGCAGGAGCAGAACAAATTTTGGGCCTCCCTCCCACACTTGTTCGTGGACTAAGCAAAAAAATTGGATACCTAACTTCACCCCTGCATGGCCAGAGTCGGGCATCAGTGATCTGGGGTTATGTGGCATGAATACCGGCCATGCAGATGTAAAATAAAAATTAAATAGATATTTATGAGCCTTGAAGTGAAGTACCTCTTCTCCTTAGGCCTTTATATAAATCATTCACATGCTTCTAATTCTAACTATCAAGGTATCCAGTATGTGTGTCTTAAAACAAACATATATTGATAACAGGTAACTGGGATTTCAATCAGCAAATAAAACAAAGATATACCATAAGCAATAACAAACATAAACTATATACACAACACAAATAACTACTTGTTACCTTAAATATAATGAGACTTAAAATAGGAATGTGATTCTAGATTTAAATGTAATGAGACCAAAGATATAATGTGATTCTGTGACCTACAAATCAAATTTAATGGTCATATTCAATAATAATAGTTACATATATGACCAATCATTCTACAATTTGTTCTTTTAGGATTTAAATACAGGTATATAGTTTGGTGTTTGAATGAGATTATTAAGTGCAGGAGAACAGCACGGACAAGACAAACTAGCAAGAAATAAATAACAGGTATCAACTCAGGTGATGTACGAGCGTAAGATAATTGATGAAGATTCAAACCTTTGCTGCATGTATCCACAGCCAGAGTTTTGATTTTTAGAACAGTTTCTAATGACATAAATAAATACCTTGATAGACAATTTACATTGTTAGGCCAAAATAGAAAAAATACTTGGGTTTATGGTTACCTGACAGACCCTATTTATTTTATCCAAAAACAACAATCCTGAACTCTTTTCTCATTTCCCAGGCCCAATAACTTACAGGGGGAACCATAAACATAGGTATTTGTTTTTATTGGCTTTATTTGAAACAAATTATAGAGTAGATATGATTTCAAATTAATCTGATTTCATCAGATGGAATGAATACCTTTTTAATAAATGTCAGCACAAGCCATAACCATAAGCTTAAATATTCACAAAATCTAAAATATGTCATGGCTAATTTAACAATAGAGATCACATCCTTGGCACAACCCACACCTTTTGTAATATATCTGATCTGTCAGAATTCATCTATATACATGAATATATGAATAGAATAGCTCTTCAATAAAAATAAACACAAAGAAATATTCATTCAAATTCAAGCAAGACTGAACACCAATTTGCTATTTTTATGAATCAATGCAAGAAATGGTATTTATATATTACATGTATAAATTTAATATCCATACTTATTTTGATTTCAAGGAATGATTGGTGATGAAGCAGGGCTTTCACATAAAACTTTTGTCTGCTGTTTGTACGTACTATGTTTACATCAGATTACAAAGATATTTCTTCCAAGCAATGTGAGAATTTTTATCCCAAATTCTTTATATATTTCAAAGAGTTTTTGCACATAAAAATATACATTTAACTTAATTTATTGCATTTTAAGGTCAAATTCATGGCATGTAAAAAGTAATTTCTCCAGTCAGTCAATTTCACTGTCAGTCAGTCAAAGATGAGTGAAATAAACGCCCTGTGATTATGATTGAACAGAAAATCATTTCTTATTTAAATCAAAATTAAATTAAAATATTTGATCAATGTAGTTATAACATGTATAAATTCCAGTAGATTGTTAAATTGTCTTTTATAAAGATTTTTGTCCTCCAAGTTCACGTTGTTGTGACAGTATTTAGAAAGCATCTCTGATCTTACTGAATGGTCTGACAGCAATATCAACAGGTAGAATAAACTCTACTGTATTCAAACGATCCAGTGCTTTTAACGCATCATCAAAACCTAAAAGAAATTAGGAAAGAAATAATTACACTGGTGGAAGGTGATTGACATAAATATTTGTTTTAGCTACTTTCACTTTTATTTTCTTAGACGGTTTTGGCAAAAAATAATGAAAGAAATAACTACCTGGTGGAAGGTCATTGACATACAAATTTTTTTTTTTTTTAGCTACTTTCACTTTCTTATTTTGATAGAATGGTGTGCTAAAAAATATTCCTGTCTTCTAGACTGTAAATAGTCTGATGAACTTATTAATAATATTAATAATGATGTGTTAGTGACAGTTAAGATTTAGCAGAAACAATTCCAGTCAATGAAAATATGATGAAGCCAAAGTGCATTAGCCTTTGGATAATAAACAGAATCTTTTTAGTGAAGCTGTTCTTGCCATGTAATAATAATTATTATTAAAGATGAACTATTACCTGTTCTAGCAACATAACTCCAGTCTTGATAGTACAGGTCTATCAATGTTTGTGTACGGAAGAGCAGACGTAACCAAGTTACCAATTTTCTCTCACTGCAATGAAAACATTATTTACGTTATTTAAATGTATAGTATTTTATCAATTAATCTTACAACATATATAGTTTTGTTTTTGTGTGACAAGCTTTAATAGCGTATAAACAGAATAGAATGAATACTATGACATTATCTTCTCTCCCGCTCTACTATTTTCATTATAACTAGACAGATACAATTTTTCAAGATTCTTATGATAGGGAGAGAGAAATGGGACTTAACGTCCACTCGACACAAACTGTCATTTTGGGACTAACATATGGTTTAATTTTATATCAATAATTTGCTTATGCATAGGGGTCAATAACAGTGGGAGGAAACTGGTGGATCCCGAGAAAACCAATGATGTCGGACATGCGACCCTACTCCTTGTCATGTACAGACTGGGAATAAAAACCACGCCACTTGACCCAACAAATGATCTAAAGCGCATGTGTTAGGCCTTCTGGCCACTTAACCTTTCTTCTTATTATGTTTGACCACCAATTGGTGTTTTGTCTAGTAATATTCCGTAACAATAGTCAGCTTTACATCTCCAATATTACTTTCACCTGTAGCTTTAAGTATATCTCTAGATAAACAAGCCAACAGTGAGGCTGATGTCCCCCGCCGAAATAGGAAAATAATTAGAGGACACATATAAATTTATCACAAATTATCTTTTACAAAGTATTGAACAATCAAACAGTATATCTTTACTTATAGTCTAACAATCAAAGTAGGAGAGTTATTGTTTTCCAAAGTCTCGACCAATCAAATTGCGTATCGCTCTGCTTACCCTGAGCAGAAAATGCTCATTATCAAACTTAGTCAAGGTATTACTGTAATGAAACTATACACCAAGTTTCATCAATCTCACTTAATTAGAACTAAAGTTATCGTGTCCCAAAGCATCAACCAATCAAATTGCTTATCTCTGCTTACCCTAAGCGGAAAATGCTCATCTTCGAACTCCATCAAGGCATTGACCTAATCAACACATACACCAAGTTTGAACATTCTAGCTCAATTAGGAAGAGAGTTATCGTGCCCCAAAGTATCAACCAATCAAATTGCTTATCTCTGCTTACCCTAAGCGGAAAATGCTCATCTTCGAACTCCATCAAGGCATTGACCTAATAAACACATACACCAAGTTTGAACATTCTAGCTCAATTAAAAGTTATCGTGTCCCAAAGCATCAACCAATCAAATTGCTTATCTCTGCTTACCCTAAGCGGAAAATGCTCATCTTCGAACTCCATCAAGGCATTGACCTAATCAACACATACACCAAGTTTGAACATTCTAGCCCAATTAGGAAGAGAGTTATCGTGTCCCAAAGCATCAACCAATCAAATTGCTTATCTCTGCTTACCCTAAGCGGAAAATGCTCATCTTCGAACTCCATCAAGGCATTGACCTAATAAACACATACACCAAGTTTGAACATTCTAGCTCAATCAGGAAGAGAGTTATTGTGTCCCAAAAAGTGTGACGGACAGACAGACGGACAGACAGACGGACGAACCCATTTTAATAGTCCCCTGCTTTCTTCGAAAGGCGGGGGACAAAAAAACTATGCTGTGTATAGCCAGCTTAAAACTTAAAAGGACAATGTTGGTGTACATTGTACACCAATTTTACATAATATGTGATAGAAACGGATTCCAAATATGATTTTAATATAGAAATCTTTTCCATAGTTGGTTCGTAAAATGATTTGAAGATTCTGGAAGAACCCAGTTCAGTTGGTAACAATAATAGATCTACTGGGTTGTTTTTTTGCCCCAATCCAGAAGCTTCAAATTATTCTACGGACAAATCACAGCGAAGATCTCTCTGTGTCAAAATCATAACTGGAATGTGTTTAACAAATTCTATCACATACCGGTACATATATTATTGGGGAAAAAGAACACTGTCCTTTAAATGTTTCTATGGTCGACTGTAAATATGCACATAAACGTCCAAATATTAATACTTACTTGAGAGCCATACAAATAAAGGCTTTAAAATGTGAATCTTCACTACGTTTTAATGGAGTATGTGAAGTTACGATGGTATCTATGGCTCCTAGTAAAGTCTGTTTAGCTGTTATAGGTTTACCACCAACTATATCTAGATGAAATGACTGCGATAACTTTCTGGCTGGTGAATCATTATATTCTCTACCATGCTGAGTAAAAAATAACAAAGTAAAAACAGTTAGACCATAAAATACAGGATTTACTAATACAAGTTGATGATCATATTCCTGAAACATGGGCTGAGAAATCCCTCTGTAGCCATTTCTGCAAGCTGAAACATGGGTTTTCGACAGAATGTGTTTTTATAGTCCAATCAAATCTCTATTGTTCAATTTGTTGAAACAACTAAAACATACATATCATTAGTGCAGCGATTCTCAACCAGTGTGCCGCGGCACACCTGTGTGTCGCGAGATCTTCCTAAGTATGCCACAAAATAATTTTCAACGGCACACTATGTATATGCGAAAAACCACCTGATCCCAATGTTCATAGCTATGTTTTTCTTTTTTTTTTTCAAGTTTGAATCATGCTATGTGGTTATGACTAGTCTGTGTCTTCCGTCTATGACTTGTCATGTTTTATTTTACAAAATTCAAATATTTTTCATATATATTTAGCCAGGTGTGCCGCCATTTTTTCAAGCGTTCCAAGGTGTGCCGTGGGCATTAAAAGGTTGAGAACCACTGTATTAGTGCTTTTCTTTGATTAAATTACATTGTGGTCCAACAGATTTTATTTGACAATGTTTATGTTAGCAGCATGTTTGATAGCCTTGTTTATCAAAAAATTAGTTTATCTGCAATAATCTGTTATTTTCTGGTTAATCGCTCATAATGAACTTCGCACACTGTAACAATGTAGTCATCATCTTACACTTTTACATTAAAATATTTATAGCTCTGGTTAACTTCGATTGATTTGTCATGGTATAATGGATTAGTTATTAACCCGACATATTCATTTAACTCTTCATATCTTGTTACTATTAATTTGTTTAGAATGAAAATATATTGGGTATTTATTTTGTATCTGTTTTTGAATTCAAGTATTTCAATAAAGTACGCCATTAACATATAACCCTCAGTCGTATTTAACAATTCAAGAGCTACAAATTATTTTGAGTATATTAATCAGTAGGTTATGCTAAACAATTATAAAGGAAGTGATTCAGATTATCTTTTTTGGTTTAAAAAATACAGTTGTACAATAAATGTACACTCGACTCAAACTAGGTCAAACTCGTCCAATTTTATTTCAATATTTGCTTGCACGTAGGGGTCTAGCAGTGGGAGGAAATCGGAGGACCCAGAGAAAATCCATGAGGTTGGACACGCAACCCTACTCCTTGTCACGAACCACCGGGGAATCGAAACCATGCTAGTTGACTCAATGACAGACCTTATGATGCAGTGCACACACACTAACCATTCAGCCATCCAACCCCTCTATAAATGTACAGAGCATGCATTTAAAATCAATACATTAATTAGGCTTAGTTATCTAGAATAAGACAACAATAAAGATATTGAAATAGAATATAATAATTGGACAATTTACCTTCATTTCATAATATTTTAATAAAAGATCCCAGGCGTGTAAGGATCTGGTTACAGCTGCTGATCGTGATGGAAAACATCCAAACGGAACCACACTTCTACTTTGTCCCACCTATCAAAAGGAAAAATAGAAATAAAAGGGAGTTAATGCCTTACTTTTCTGTGGTCCAATCAATGAAGATATGAATGTATCAATCAGTGTTCTTTGAGAGAGTGTCCTGACAGTGGCGCTACAGCCTATTCTTATTACGACTAGCAAATGTCAGGGAATCTTTAACATGTAGACAATTGTATACATAGGACCTCTTTTTCTTGTCCCTCAAAACTACAAGAAATTAAAGGGGGGGGGGGGCAGGTCCTCCATCCTGCACCACTTGGTATTCAGTTTTGTTTTACTGCATATAAAGATGACCCAGCCATTTACTTGTCTTGTGTAGTCAAAATTGTTTTCACGGAAAACAAAAAAAATTTCAAATTAGCAAATGGCACAACCCCTATGTATCTTAAACGGTTATGCTCAGATATGCTTCGTAAACAAAACCAAGAAAGACGGAGTCCATTTCATTATCTCCCAGCCCCATTAACTTTCAAATTAGCAAATAGAACAACTACTCAATATCTTACCGGTTATCCTCAGATATGCTCCGGAAACAAAAACCAAGACAGACAGACCCCATTTCATTTGCCCACCGCCCCATTAACTCGTTCGAGAGGGATAAAAATGAAAGTACTACATATAATAATTACTTACCTCCATTAAGCCATGTTCCATTAAATCTTTTATAGCTATAGCTAAATCTCTTCTAATACACTGTACTACAGCAGCATTACTCTGATCATCAGACTGTAAACATCAAATTGTCAATTCCATGAAAAGGTAAATCATAAGGTCAACATTTAACCTATAGCACATAAAATTCTTGAAACCGCCCTAAATAGAACTTCTAAGACAGTGACGTCACGTGCACAGCAGTGACACCCATACGAATTAGTAAATGGGCCTATAATATGGAAAGCTATTCACATATTTAGGGAGGTTAAAGGTGGTCTAAGGAACAGCCGTTTCGGCAAGTTTCATTCTGTCAAGGGATATATTTGTATTAATATATCACTTTTCTGTAATTTTCTTCAAGGAACTGTTATAATCAATATTTAAATGTACTAATTGCAACAGGGTTAATGTAAAACTTATTGTTATGGCCTTAAAATCATAACTATGGAATATGAGCCAAAATAGATAGTCATGAGATTTTTTTTTTTTTTTTACAACAGAATATCCATAAAAGCTACTTTCTTGTTACTGCTATAAAATATTTAATCCAAAGAATTTTATTGTTATTTTGGAACTATTGACACATTATCATTTCATTACTGTACAAGTTTATCGATGATTGTGATTGTTAGCATAAAATGTTTTACACCTACAACTATGAGTACGAATCATTAAAACTGTATGGAATATTAGTTTAAAATATGATGAAAGACCAACCTCTGTAGAATCATCTGAGAATTCATCACTATCTAATGTACGTTCAGCCTGTGCTTTCACTGTCTCTAATGTTTTATTTATAGCTACTTCTAATTTAGCTCTCAAATCCCTGAAAATAAAGATGGTATACAATTCCATAATTAATTCCATAATTTATAAAAATTAATGTCGCCAATATTTATTGTGCATTTTTTAGATAATATCAAATTTTGAATTGGTCCAAGGTTAACTGTACTCAAATTGATTATTTATCACAAACAGGATATCCGGCTTCGCCTGAGGCCCAATTGTTACATAATGCATCTGTTAGAATATGCAGGTACATGTATATTTCTATTTAAATATAGAAAAAAAATCCCAACATTTTAAAAGAGTGATAACCAATCAAAAATATAGAACCAATTTGATTTTGACTCCATAGAAATGGGCAATATTGTAATTTGCTTTACATTTTGTGAGGAAAAAGATATCCTTAAGTACATGTAGCCTAATATCCATTAGTCCTGTCTCCTTTTTCTACCATTGTCTACATTCTAACAAAATCAAATATTATTATACATACCCCCAATGATTTCCTTTTGGCGTCTTCTTCATCAAATTTCGTTTAAATTCTCGACTTCCACAGCCTAACTGACTAATAACATAGATCTGTAGCACTGTTAATACTTTCTTCATTATAGTTGTAGTTGAATGCTTTAAATGCTGAAATAACAAATTTAATCTATATTTAACTGTCGTGTGAAGATATAAATCAATGCGTATAAATCAATACCAAAAGTTCTTTCATCAATTCAACTGTCATGGTTTTAATCATGATGAGTTGTGAGGTTTCCTGCCTTACCCTGTGGGTTTTCATCAGGTTTTCCTATATCGTCTCAGTATTAAAGATCCCTGTGAATCAAATGTTAGTCCCGAAATAACCCCTATTGCTTTTATATGCATGTATACACCTTTGACTGTAAAGGCACCTACGAGTTAAGTTGTTTCTATATGACATTGGTTGATTAAACTCGAAATGTACAGGACACAATTCTATTTTGACTTGGACTTTCTAGTCTGTATCAAGCCGTGATGTTAGCTATTTGATTGTTTTGCAGATGGTCTTTAATAAAGCTGATTTATAGAGTAAATACTATTCATATAAATGACACAATTCTATGGAATACCGTACAATTTCAACTAGGCTTGTCTAGGTATTTTTATTTCACTTGTTAAAGATTGGAGAACGATAGTAAACCATAACTGTATTCCATAGAATCGTGTCCTGTATACAACTATAATAAATAGTAATTATATAGCATGTAGAATGTCTGGTGTATAATTATAGTGCATACAATTGTGAATTGTGTTTTAGAGTGAAGTATGAATTGATGTATATTACATGTAATCTCTGTCCACATCTAATCAAAAACATCATTCTGTTATTTGTTCAACTGCTGAATCTCACTCAAATGTTAAATATATGACAATAATTAACAAGCAGTTGCCATGCAAGATACGCCCACATTTTGCAAGAGATGGACAGAGAACGAGCTAAAAAAACTAATGTGATTTTTTGTACAATCAGGGGCCATAATTCAGGAAGCTACGGTTCGATATGTGTGAATATCAAAAGGAATCAAGGTCTTTGGGTTATAAACATACATTTCAAGTTTCATCGAAATCGGATAAAAATTGGGACCTCTAGAGTGGCCAGAAGCTAAAAACTTGAAGGGCCACAATAAGTTACAGTTTGATATGCGCTATTATCGAAAGGAACTGAGATCTTTGGGAGATAAACCAATATTTCAAGTTTCGTCAAAATCAAACAAAAATTGTGAGCTGTAGAGCGTCCACATACAAAATGTGAATGAACACACAGGTGGATGGGGGTGATGACAATATACGTCCACATAAAAATGTGGGCGTATAAAAATTAACATTTCTTCAGGGTCCACAACTTTGGTATTACATACTTTTACACTAATTGCGAACAAGAAGCAGCCATTTTATGGGCAGTTTCAGTCCGAAATTCAAACTCAACCATCATTAACATTTTTTTAAAGGGTATACAATGCACATTTTTCTGCATTTTTTTAAATTGCAAAATATCCATACAAGGATATTATTTGGATTGGTAAAAAAATTTCAATTGACAGGCCTTTTACATGTTGGTTCATGAATTCTGTCATGTGTGTTGTGAATTTCTTTTAAAAAATAACTTGGTCCCTGGACCTTTTGAATTTTATTGATCACCCAGAAGCAGTTCTTTTTAAAATAATTATAAGAACAGGTCAGTTTGACAATCAGTAAAACATATTTCTATTAAGTAATAATATGAGTAGATATCTAGGTTTTGTTCAACTGATAAAATCATTTTTAATCTCCCTAGAAAAAAAATATTCTTGACCCCAATGTGACTTGAACACATAACCTTCTGATCTGGAGTCAGATGCGCTACCGTTGCGCCATAGGGCCTCCTATATAATAGTAGAATTTATATAAAGACATGAATAAGGTGTTACTAAAAATAGATTTTCTGGGAATTACCTACTGTATTGTAAGGTGTATATTAGTGTATTCATTGTAATTTTCCCGGAGAAAAACAGACATTGAAAATAGAATTGATTCCCAGAGAAATATACACTGTAACAAAGTAGTAGCCCAAAAGATTTAGACCAGGTCTGGTACTAAAAAAATGACATTGTGTGATATTATGCCATAAATAAATTGGACTATTTATTGAAAAAAATCATTTTTATTCTTTCCAGAAAAAAAATATCCAGGACCCTGACATGATTTGAACATGTAACCTTCTGATCTGGAGTCAGATGCGCTACCGTTGTGCCACAGGGCCACTTATAAAGTAATGGGATTTATGTTGGGACATGCATGATTTGCTGGGACTGTTCATTTAGTCACAAGGGGAACTTAATCAAACTTGAAGTTACACATTGACAGTCCCTTGACTCATTGTCCTTATGTAAACCTTGATTCATTGTCCGTATAAACCTTGATTCATTGTCCTTATATAAACCTTGATCGTAAATACTCACACAAGTGTTCAATTATCAGTTAGAAACATTTCAAATTGACAGAATAGCAATCAAGTGAAAGTGAATTGTTAAAATATGGGGTGTGAATCAAAATTCTGGTATAATCAGACATACTTAATTGGTTTTAGCTATGGTGAACAGACAAAATATTACTGTACTCAGTTGGTACAAGCTCTTTCATCCCCAATAAAGCCAGAGCATATTAAGATTTGTTGAATATAAGGAAAATTTACCATCCCTGCCAAGGAAATTTCTAACATTCTTATAGATGAGCGTCTTTGAAATGGGAATGGAAATGCCCAACCTCCCTTCACAATATGACGGCCATTTTCTTAGCTGTATAGTCTGCCTGGATTGATTACTTTCTAAATTTTAGTATGTTCTGCCCTGTCAGGCGTAAAGGTCTTTAAACATTTTTCCTTTTCTTTTTTTTTTGGAGTTACAAAATATGGACCTTTTGATTTTTGTTGATCACCCAGCCCACAGTCCTTTTGAAAATATTGACTGAGGTTAATGTGACATTCAGTAAAACATATTTACTGTAAGTAATAATATGAGTAGAAATCTAGGTTTTGTTCTATCAATTGATAAAATCATTTTTAATCTCCCTAGAAAAAAAATAATCTTGACCCCAATGTGACTCGAACACATAACCTTCCGATCTGGAGTCGGATGCGCTACCGTTGCGCCATAGGGCCTCCTATATAGTAGTAGAATTTATATAAAGACATGAATAAGGTGTTACTAAAAATAGATTTTCTGGGAATTACCCATTAAAATGTAAGGTGTATGTTAGTTTATTGATTGTAATTTTCCCGGAGAAAAACAGACATTGAAAATAGAATTGATTCCCAGAGAAATATACACCGTAACAAAAGATTTAGACCAGCTCTGGTACTGTAAAAATGACATTGTGTGATATTATCCCATAAGTAAATTGGACTATTTATTAAGAAAATCATTTTTAGTCTTTCCAGAAAAAAATATCCAGGACCCTGACATGATTTGAACATGTAACCTTCTGATCTGGAGTCAGATGCGCTACCGTTGTGCCACAGGGCCACCTATAAAGTACAGGGATTTATGTTGGGACATGCATGGTTTGATCCATGAAATTACGGTAGGATACATGCCAATATCGAAAGGAGCAGGGATCTTTCGGAAATAAACGTACATTTCAAGTTTTGTCAAAATCGGATAAAAATTGTGACCTGTAGAGTGTCAACAACAAAATGTGAATGTACGGACAGGGGCGACAACAATATATGTCCACATGAAAATATGGCTGTTAACATGCCATCACTTTACCTCTTGTTCTTTTTTCTTGTGATCATGTGATGTGTGTTTATTTGGAATACAACAATCAGGTGGACAGTCAGATATTTCTGATGAATTCTGTAAGAGATAAAATATCTATAATCAATGACTCGGTCCAGAACAACCATACTGGTTCGGGTCACAAAAGAACTGTGACAAGAAGAAAAGAGAAGACAGACAAGAACTGTGATAAAAGATCTGTGAGTAACAGCTTTATGGTTTCTAATTCTAGACTGAACTTTGTTAGGAATGAAATGGTTTTTGAAGTAATGTCAATATAGATTTCATTTTGGTGCTACCACAGGGCCTCAGTCTGGCACAATCTGAATGATTGACACAAAGAAATGGAGTTTAACTTCCTACTGTTTTGCTCAGAACTGGGCTAATGAAGATGGACATACGCCATACAGTGTGCTACAAGGGAAATTTCGCCCAGACAGTGGCACTACGTAACAACAGTAGCAATGACAATCCAGACTATGCTATTCTTCAAATTTAGTCATAATTTTTGCTCATAATAAAGTAACTTGTCTGAAAATTTCGATATATTCCTTTTTCATTATCCATTCTTTAACTATTATAGGAAGAACTGTCAGCTCTTTATCAAATTCTTACATAATTCTCTTTATCAAATTCTTACATAATGCTCTTTATCAAATTCTTACATAATGCATCTTTAACTAACCATCCTAGATTTTGGATTATTTGGTGATAAAAAAAACCCTGTTAATTTTGTGTGATAATTACCTGACTGTGAACTAGACATGTACATCTCTTTTTACCTAATGGTCCTGGACTACTAGCTTCACCTAAAATATATACAATATTACCCATACAGTACTTCAGCTTCATTAGGGTCAACAAACTTTATAGAAATACACTGAATTATTCAAACTTATAGTATTGTTGATTACAATTATATTAAATGAAATGGGTTTAATGTCCTACTGTTCTGCGCCAACTCGGCTAATGAAGAACGACATACGCCATACAGTATGCTATGAGGGAAATTTTGGCAAGGCAGCGGCACTATGGCCTATTCGTATATCGAATCCAACTGCCATGGGGACTTTTATGTGCACTCCCAATATGTACACAGGACCTCTGTTTTTGTCCCACTCAAATGATCAGACATCTGTCCTTGTCAGTTGTTTCTGTCCTGCACCACTGACCCCGCCGGAAAATTTTGATGAACTTTCTCGGAACCCGAGACCTCCAGGCTTGCGTGCCAGCATCTTACTCACTTTGCCACCTTGGCTTCCTGATTACAATTATAACTACATTTAGAAAGAAATCATTTAAACTACACTCCATTAGATGTACAAAATCTGTCCTTTTGTCTTTAAAGGAGCTAAATCGCTAATATTTGGGACCTAGAAATTGACCCAAATGGGTCGCAACACATATAATAATGTTATATGAATCTATATAAACTGATTTACATTCAATCATTTCCATTTTTACTCTAATTTCAAATCAGAGTCAATCGAATGGCTATCTAGCGCCTAGTTATTCCAGTCTACACCGATAGTATTTATTGCGCGTGCTCGCCATATAAGAAAATGGCTTCACTGATTGACATGACTTTTGGAATAAAGCTAGGCTCGTTCTTTGAGTCCCCTATTACAAATGGCACTGAAACCCATTATGGTACACGATTCGTGTACCAATGGTAAAATGTTTATGTTGTCTTAAATATTGGATATCAGAAGCCCATCTTTTCAAGATACGATAACAACACCAATGTTGATTTAAATTGACAAATAATTTGTGTTTTCGATGTCGAAGACTTTGGATGATACTGAGTTATAGTCTTAGCTACTTTAAACCAAGAAGACAATTTGTTATTTCTCATACAAACTTGTATTAAAGATAGGTTCCCAGAAAAGTATTTATCGGGTGGTTATTTCCAATAAAAGTATGGCAATTTTGGTATATATAGAAAGTAAAGATATCAAATTTTACTAGAAAAATACTGGATTCCCTGAAAAACATTCATGGAGCGTTTACAGGACAAAAATGTAAGGGTTCCCCTAATCGACAGCCCGACGATTAGGAATACCTGCACGCGTGACGTCGAAGGTTGCACACGAAGATTGAGCGCTTGGTGTACATGTTGATAAACTTTATGAAAAGTCAGACGTACAACACTTTCTGAGATAAAAAGGCAGTGGATAATCCGAGAATTTAATTAGGATTCGATATTTGTAATAAATAGTCAGCGATTAAAGACAACATCGTTTTGTGTATACAATGAATTCCCCTCTGACTTTGCGCCCTTTGTAATGAAGAGGTAAGTCACGTGACACAAACATGACCTCTTTTGATCGATTTTTATAGCAGGGTATTCCTGGGCAATTACAATGTTTTGAGAAGGATTTGAAGCAAAATTATGATAAATCAATTAGTTTGAATATGTTTTTAGTCCAAATATATCATCAAATCAACCAGTTTATACGCGGGAATGTATCTTTAAGCTCAGTCACATTAAAGTTCAGATATGTAACACAAAAATATATAATAAAATGAAATGTGGTTTAATGTCCTACTCTTCTGAATGACTGGGCATACGCCAAACAGTGTGCTATGAGGGACATTTTTCCTGAACAGCAGCGCTACGACCTACACTTATATCAAATTTACAACTATCAAAGATTTTATTTTTACACGCACCACTGACATGGAACTTTCTCTGCTATCACCAGAAGCGAACCTGAGACCTCCTGGTTAGCAGGTCTTACACCCTGAGCCACTGTGGCTCCTAATTAGTAATCAATGTTTAAGGGACAATAACACTCTTGCTGGCTTGACAGCTCCAGAAAATAAAAAAATAGCCTTATTCTAAGTACTAGATGTGTTAGTGTCTTACCTGTTGTGTAAATTATCCATTAAATCCTATTTTACTTGTCCAGAGGGTTCAAAAATATTTTTAAATCCAAGTCAAATTTGAAAAGCTTTACGTCAGGCTTTTCAAATCATTTAGTTGAATTCTTCCAATTTTTTAAATTAGGTGTGTTAAGATGAAATTTGTATCATCAATTAATTGGAATATTGTAAAATAGTACAATTTGTTGACCAGAATAAAGATTGGGACATATTATTCAGTTACAACAAGAGTGGTATTGAGCCTTTAAGTGAATACCTGTAAACAGCATCAATAACAGATGAGATAAATCATTTAACACAAAATTAAAAACCTCAAGTTTTTTTTAATAAGGTTGTCTGAGAAGCAGAATGTTTTTTTTGGGGTATCACCCTTGAAAGTGTAGCTTCAGAATTATGGTTTTTATAGTGAATTTACATACCTTGTAAGAATTGAATAAATCTTTCAAGATCTGTTATCTGTGTTTGTAGTTGATCCACTAGTTTCTCTTTTACTTTAGCAGGATTCACGATCTACAAAAAAAATAAACTTTATTACTACTTACACTACGTATATCCACTTTAAATGCAAAACAAAATATATACATTTGAGTCATTTTTAGTAAAACATGTTTAATGTGTGGCATACAACAATCTTATAACAAGTTCTTAATCTGGGTGATCGATTCTATTGGTTAATGGATGGAAACTAATATCAATAAATTCTTAGAATGGTGATAATAGCATATACTACATTAGGAATTTAAGCTAAATGAGTGGTTTTAAGTAAATATCGTTTCAATATATGTACCGAAAGAGAGAGAGAAATGGAGTTTAACATCCACTCGACACAAACTAGATCAGTTCGGGACTAACATATGGTTTAATTTTATTTCAATAATTCGCTTGTGGTCTTTAGCAGTGGGAGGAAGCCTGAGGACCCAGAGAAAACCCACGAAGTTGGACAGGCGACTTTACTCCTTGTCGCATACAACCCGGGATTCAAAACCACGCCAGTTGACTCAATGACAGGCCTTATGATACAGCTTGCACGTGCTAACCATTCGGCCATCCAACCCCCCAATATATGTACTAAACAAAGTTATTATGAGAAAATATTCAATCATGAAGAAAACATGAGAAAACTTACCTGTCCAATAGCATGATCAACTACTTGTTTGAGATCATCGGGTCTGTAAATAAAATATACAATGTGTTCAAAAGACTAAACTGATGAAAAACCATATTACTGATTAATTTTTTTTATCTATTGTTTGTTTGTTAGTTGTATTTTACGTCCGCTTCCACCGAGGTGATATCGCAGACAATTTTTATCTATGATTACCATTACATTTCTAATGAGAAGGATAATGTTTCTTCCTCCTTTTGTCACTTCAATTTCTTCAGTGTCTTTTAACTACACATATAACAAACATCTCATGTATTAAACATTTTGCTAGTTGTGTAGTGATTGTAATAAGGAGAGTAAAATTAAGACTTACGAAAGAAAGTCAAAATTATGAAGATCGAGATCAATTTTCTGTTTCAGTTCATCGATAACAATTTTCTGTTTTTCTATAACTTTAGTGGTCGGTAATTCAGCATTTCCTGTCTGTTAAAAATGAGAAATAGTTGAAGAACTCAGCCTTTTCATTTTTTGAGAAAAATAGAAATTAAAACAGAGTTTAGCATCCTACTTTACTGAGTTCAATTAGGCAAACGATGACAGTACTTAAAATCCTAGTACAAGTAAAAAGGTTGGATACTTATAACGACTTTGTGAATAAGGTGCCAAGTTTTGTTATCAATTACATATTTAAAATGTTTTATATTTGGACAATTAACAATGAATTATTTCAATATAAATATTGTGTAGAAAAAAAATATCATCCACTAGAACTACAAAATGGTGAAAGTCGTTAATTGTCATTTGTATTTTTCATACAATATCTAATTTTCTATGGTTTAATCCACTCTCACTCTAAAATGTACTCAAATTTATTATTTAACATTTAATTAGGAATAAGAATTAGGATTAAAAACGGGCTTATGAACAAATTTTAGAAAAGATTATAGGTGGCTCTGCCTTTTTTTTGTTTATATCCTGTTTACAGAGGAAAGAGAGAGAGAGAAATGGGGTTTAACGTTCACTTGACACAAACTGGGTCATTTCGGGACTAACATATGGTTTAATTTTATTTACATAATTCGCTTGCGCGTAGGGGTCTTTAGCAGTGGGAGGAAACCGGAGGCCCGGAGAAAACCCACGAGATTGGACAGGCAACCCTACTCCTTGCCACGTACAACCATCTGCAGAGGTAGCTGGATTTAATACAAATTTTCAATTCATTATATTTTTGTAAATACTGAACAGATTTAAACCATATTTGGACTGATATTCTGTTTAGATATCCAAATTCCACTATGCTGTTATAGGTCTTTAAAAAAAACTTAAATGATGCGCACAGACTTTCAATATTAGTTGATGGTTTTTATTTTACCTCATAAGCATACGTTTCTAGGTCTTCAAGCTGTGACTTTAACTGTTGTATCAGTTCTTTTTGTTTTTCACGCTGTTGGGATATTTTGACCTCATGCTCTTTCTCGCTCTACAATAAACAATGGTACATAAATAATGACTAATTTTACTATTGACAACAAAAAGTCTATCATTTCCCACACAAACAATGAGATTAAAATTCAGTTAATTACATGTTGTTTTATTCTTGATGTTGCACTGCTATGTTCAAATTCTGTGAACTTCCTAACTTATCAAATTTTCTGCATTAAAGATACATTATGTAAGATTTAGATAAAGAACTCGCCATTCTTGCTATAATAGTTCAAAAGTGGATGATGTAAAATGAATACTTTGAAAATTTCATTCAAATTACTCTATTGCAAGTGAAGATATTAGCCTTTGAAGGTTTGACAGACGTGTGCAATAATTTCAAACACTGTACTGGTTGACCGAAGCTAAGTCTCGGTCCTCCATATTTGATTAAATCAAAGTATCGCTGAACCATTCTAATCTATTTAATATGGGAGAAATCTGATGCCATCGAGAGTTGATTAAGGCCTGGATTAGTTAATTAATGTCTAATTAATACTTTAGAAAACATTTCAGGCCTAAAAAAAGACCTGCAATAGGCAGATTTAGCTCTTGCATAATGCATGTTTAATATACGCTAGAGATGTGAATATCGTGTTGTGTTATTGAAACTCATATACGAGAATGATAGGGGTTATAACCATTTGAATTACAAGTATTAGTATAATAGGGGTCATAATTAACAATTTGGAATACAAGTATCTGAGTAATGATAGGGGTTCTAACCATTTGGTATACGAGTGTCTGATATACAGTGTGTATATATATAAAGAACTCTTCTTGGAAGAGTGTATTTTATGTCAATCAAGGAAAAGTTTCATCTTTAATGTAAACATATCATAACTCCTAATAAAATTTTTCATCAAATCAGTCAACTTAAAATCAGATAAAGACTAGATAAAAACTAGATAACGTAAAGGAAATTTTCTGAAAATTTCAGTCAAATTGATCCAATCTGAACCTAGATCATCATTACTAAAGTTGGTACGATAAAAAACAGTCTCGATTATCCATCTCATGATTAAATTATGAATGGAAGTTGAACAGCAAATCGGAACCTAATCCAATAAACATCGCAGGCTAGCGATGACATCGAGAGTTGATTATGGTCTGGATAAGTTAATTAATGTCTAATTAATAATTTAGATAACATTTCAGAGAGAGAGAGAGAGAAATGGGGTTTAACGTCCACTCGACACAAACTAGGTCATTTCGGGACTAACATATGGTTTAATTTTATTTACATAATTGGCTTGCGCGTAGGGGTCTTTAGCAGTGGGAGGAAACCGGAGGCCCCGGAGAAAACCCATGAGGTTGGACAGGCGACCCTACTCCTTGCCACGTACAACCGGGGATACGAAACCACGCCAGTCGACTCAATGACAGACTTTATGATACAGCGCGCGCACGCTAACCATTCAGCCATCCAACCCCCCAGATAACATTTCAGACCTAAAGAAAGACCTGCTATAGGCAGATTTAGCTCTTGCATAATGTGTGTTTAATCAATTATATGGAGCTAATCTAGATATTACTATGGCTATTGAGGGCAATAAATATAGTCCTTTCCTTATTCATACTGATGACATCATATCCACTATTACTTCAAGTGTACTAGGACAAAATATGTCATGTCTATAAAATAAGTACATAACCTAACTCCAAATTTTTAAAATAATAATGTAATTTCTGTCTATTATTATAACAAGCTAATTACTGTCTATTATAACAAGCTAATTACTGTCTATTATAACAAGCTAATTACTCTATTATAACAAGCTAATTACCATTTCCTCCAATAATTGTGCATCTTCAATATGACATCCTCTAACATCCGGAATACCACGAAATGCAAACTGCTCCAATTCTTTCAGTAAATTCTACAAATGATTAATTTGAGTACATTTATATATAGAAATTGTGCAACATAGATTTCCTATTATGATATTTTGATAAGTTGATAAAGGGCAAACGCCCGAAACACGTCCTGGATAAAAAAAAATGTTTTAATCTTCATTGAGTCTAGTCAAGTTTTGTAACCTGGGAATTTTTATTATATTTAAATGCCGTTAAGGCTCTTATAATTTTGAATTTCTCTTCTGCACTTGATGCTAAAACTTGTTTTTAAATATTTCTTTTACAGAGTAAGAACGGTGCATAGGATCTTGACTGTTTTAATGTCGCGGTCCACTGAATGAATACACCAGCAAGACAATCCAAGACTGACGTCCAGAAGTCTAGCTTATAGTAATCATGCTATAGTAATAGCTAGTCAGGCCTATAAACAATATTTTGGAGATACTTGAAAAAACCTTGGGCACTACTGAACTGGTACCAGACATTTTGAACTTTGTTCAGGGAATGCGTCAATAATTTCAATAGAAACACTGAAAAAAGACAAATCAGTGACCGACAAAAGGACAGGCACCCAAGAAATTGTGTCTGTCAAGGCATGAATTAGTGCCTGACACTGTTTGTGTCTGGTACCTTATTTCCTGGGTTGGTTCTAGTGTATATTTACCTCTTTATCTTCTGCAGGAGCACTGACTATCTGTTTTAATCGAAACTGAACTTGTGCAAAATGTGTTGTAAGAGCTAATAATGATGAATTTAACTGTTCCTGTTCATCTTCTAGTTTTCGTAGCTTTTCATCCTCATCATGATGGCTGAAAATAAATTTGTTATTTATGTCACTTCATCACATGAAATTAAAATGGAGTTTAAATTGTTATAAACTTCGGTTGTTGCACTTATTCCACAAATCTTTGATGGGTAGCCCAAAAGATCCTACCATCCTAAAAGTCCTATGAGAAAACAATTTAAATAGTTAAGTCAAGCATTTTCCTTATTCAGTTAATATTAATTTATGATACCTTGCTTCTGCGTGGGGGGAAGGAATGGGGCTGGAGGCAGCACCAAGTGGTGCCCATCTTTCTGCTGGTTTTTCGTGATTTTGTTCATCAAAACTGTCATAATCAAAGGCTTCATTTCCTGTATCAACAGATGATGTACTTGGTTCTGCCATCTTGTATAATTTAATACTGAAAATAAAATTAATCAGTAATTAATCAGCAAGATGAAAATTAAAAATAATTTTGATAATTAATAAGTAAGAATAAGAATAAAATATACATGTGTACGCTTCAATATGTATTGTGCTAAATATTGGGTTTTAAATTTAAAAACAACTTGCAAACCTTACATCAAGGCATCTACAGACTATATATAAATAAATGGACAAAATACCTGCTTGTATATTAAATCAAGAACATTGATAAATGAACCTCCAATAATCAAATCTCTAACCTAAACACCCGTAAACCTCACTTATTACGTCAATAACAAGTGTTTACTGTTAAAAAGCTGAAAAATAGCCTTGATGAACTGATAATCTATGTATTATCTTAAAATGCTTTAGGCTTTACAATAATAATGTTTATCAACTACTGTACATAAAATAACATGAAACTTTGTTATTTTAGTGTATTAATAATATTTTGCACAGACCAATCAATCACATGTGCATACTATTGAACAATCCTTCAGGCGAATATACAAAATATCTAATAAATACCAAAAATATTGGTAAATACAACATTAAATACCAAGACCTACATGAAATCAGAATAAAAACTTACATTGTTTCTAATATATCCTTCACTGAATTAAGTTCTAGTTCAGTGAATTTAATGTTATGCTTCAATTAATTACATCTAAACAATGTTGGTCAATGGTGACAGATGGTGCATGACAGACAGTTGATAATGACACTATGAGAAGTGTAAATAATAAATCACAGATTACTACTGCTAATCCTTAGATTGTATATACATGTACACTGTAAACTGTTTCAATGGCATTTAGTAATTGAACTAGAGTATACAGGTTACAATTCTATGGAATACAATTACTGCTTTTTACTGAGCGACATTTCGACTAGGCTTCTCTAGTCATTATCAAGCTATGATGATGACTAGAGAAGCCTAGTCGAAACGTCGCTCAGTAAAAAGCAGTAATTGTATTCCATAGAATTGTGACCTGTATATGTACACTGTACTATGTGAAAATATTTAATCTTTTTGGATTTTAATTACTGATTTTCCAGTTACCTATGAATATTAAAATAAGCAGGTGTTTCAGTTGTATCTAATCTATATATTTTATTATCACTGTAGTGTTTGTGATACTTGTGGATACCTAAATCAATATTATTTATTGATTTTGGTCTATGATAATTTTCCCCGTTTTGTTTTTTAATTGAATTTCATTTATTTCTAATAATTTAAGCACTTAAAGTGGCATTAGGTAAGATTAGATAAAGAGCTGAGTTCTCGTTATGATAGTTAAAAAAAAGATAATGAAAACAGAATATGCTGAAAATTTCAGTCAAATTACTTCACTCTGAGCTTAGATATTAGTGATAGAATTAAAACCTGGCCTCGATCGTCATTACTACAGTTGTTATGATAATAAAGTCTCGATTATCCATTTTTACGGTAACTGCATCCACCAGAAAACGTATTTGAATCCACTAAATATCACAGGCATCTAATGGCATCATCTAGGATTACAAGTAGACACAGAAACAGATTCTACCTTATCTGTTTATATTGTTTTTAGAATGTTGCGAAAATTTCAATTCATTATAACAGAACTGTATCAGTTGTGGAGTGGTATTCCTTTAAAGATTTCAAATTCCTAATGATTTCAGCTACTCCCTGTACATATGTCTCTTGCCATTGATGACGACACTCAATAATGACATCTTTCAGAATAAATGTAAATCTATTGTAAATATGTAATTTGTGTGATTCAGAATATTATATTTTAATGTACAGTACTCTTTTCAGGGACAAGTGGAAAAAAAACTTTGTAATTCCAATTTGCTGAAAGAAGTCTTTACACGGTAACACGATTTACCCAAATCATTATTTCTACTCCATCCATAATAATATATATCGATATTTGATCATATACCATTCTTCGTTCCAAACTGTCATTTTCAATTTAAAACTGTAACGTTTTTGTGTTCAAAGGACCCTCAAAATTCGATTTTGTGTAATACATGAGTTATGTCCCTTGGTTACAACTTCCAAACCTACTTGCAAATCACATATTAACGGGCATTTTTGACAAATAAAGGCTACAAAATTCAATTAAAAATAACAATTTGGCATAAAGAACGGTATATTATCAAATATTAATATAAATTAAATTGTGATAGGAGTTGAAATAATAGTGGATTTGGTTACAACTTTCAAACTTGCTTGGAAATCGCATTTTGAAGGGTCATTTGGCACCCCCAAAAACGTTATTTAAATCAAAAATGACAATTTGGTATAAAGAATGGAATATTTTCCAATATTGATATAAATTATTGTGATATGTTAAAATAATGTGGGATTTGGGTGGATTTATTTGGGTAAATCATGATACTCTCTTTGCACGCCTTCCAAAAATTAGACTGGTCTCATCTATAGACTATGGTGTGATTAATTTGTTGTTTAAATTCACCTACAGGTGCTATGGGCATATTCTATTCTATTCTAAATGTAAAATTGATTTTCGAGAAGACCAAGTTTAGTGCAGCAATAATAGTACCAATAGTAATAATAGGGTTTAGTTTAGTTTTAGAATTATTAAGCCGCCATTATTAACTTATTAAGCGGTAGTCAGATATTTCACTAATGTCAGACTAATTCTGGAATAATCAGCATATGGTCTAAATACGCCTTAGAAACATCTGATTTGGTAATGTAAAGAGCAATGACTGCTGTGACTACAGTAAGATATACTACTGGTACACTAGTACTAGCCTAGTAGTAGTAGGCCTAGTACAAATAAAATAAAAGTAGAGAACGACAAAAAAATAAACAATACGTGTAACACAAAATTGAAGGCTAGAAAAGATGCATACTCATCACAAATTCATACACATAAACTTGTCATTATAATCAGTTACAAATTATGTATATTTTGCAACTAAATAATTCACCATATTGTAAGGAAATATTACCATTCCAATCTAATTCTTGATTTCTTTCACGCCATCCCACGCACGGTTCCTTGGTTGGATGGAAAATTATTGACCGGAAGTTTGCCAATGCATTAGGAAAGCTAGTATGTTTTGTTTTCGAATAATTATTTTTATTGAATGTTGTAAGGCTTATCAGATAAATAATAGCGGGCCTACTGAATTTAAAATCTTTTTCGATATAATGGAATCGATAAATCATTATTTCTTGCAGAACGACGAATTCAGCCTAGCTCTGTTTATAATCGTTCGCAGTTACGTATTTAGCAAGAAATTAGCAAGATGGCTGCGAAGGCTTCCGCTTTCGCCTCGTTCTTTTCAAAGGATAAGGTATATTGGTTAATTATAATTACTACAATTAGGGTGTTAATCATACATTATCAACTATTCTTTCAGTGAGTGTAATCGTCAGATTGTAAAACACAGTTAATTATTGAATATCAGATATTTCTTCTTCATTATAAAATCAGATGTGTGACAAAGATTTCTATTTTTAGTAACATTTTATTCCGTTTTGACATTTTGGTCGGCTGTCACATGTGTCACTCCTATACTTTCAACTGTAGACTAGAAAGGTTCACAGAAAATGTCATAAAATATTCCACATGTATTTTATGCAGTTGGATCTACCAAAAACTAAACCAATACGTAATATTGCCTTTGTTTTTGTCTAGATTAAAGAGTCGAACCCAAGTTACCCAAGCCAATCCATTCATTTCTAGTTCCTAACCTATCCCTAAACTAGGCCTAAACGCCCTAACCCCTAAAAATTAAAAAGGAGGCAGTCAACCATGGTCACCTTAAATTTTCTTTCATGGTTGGCAGAGAATTTGTAGGCAGCTCTGTCCAAAAGGAAAGAATTTAGTTTTTATTGTTCTAATCAAAAACTACAAATTTTAATAATATGAGGTTTATAAATGAAATGTATCTCCACTTCTCATCAATTACTACCACTTTACAAGGAGACTAAAATGAATTACCCAAAACTGTTTATGATACATGTACCCGGTTTAAAATAACCCAAACAAACCAACTTTTGTTATATTAATGGGAAGTTAATAAACTTACATGTATATAATTTCTGTTAAATATGGATTATTAGTTTCCCAAGTATACAATTATGTACATTGTGCCATACAAGATGAATTGTTATGCAAAGACAGAAGACTACATACAGTTACATTGTACAAAAATAGCTTGTATTTCAAGTTCGTTCTTTGTTAGACTTACATTGTTGTGTAACTACATATGTACAGGTGTAGATCTAATTGTATTATTATTTATAATACATACATGTACATATTTTTTTATGTACAATATGAGGTCATGTGTGACAATTGACCAACAAAACATAAAAAATACAGAACTAATTAACAAAAAGAATGATACAATACAACTACAACTACACAAAATATTTGGAAGATATTGTACTAAGTGCCAAAATCGATGCAGGTATCAAATGAATTATTAGATGAAGATATTTTTTAGTAGACATAGATTACATGGTTTCTTTTTTAATGTGCCACAAACCATGCATTTTGTTTGAAAGTTGGCCTTTGACATATAAATATCAGGTGAATAATCAAATATAAAAAGAAATACTATAATACACTATTAACCTCTGTGTGGTATTTTTGCACTTAATTGAAAAGTTAGTCTGGTGTAAAGCCGAGTAATCATGCGATTGTTAACCTATAAATGTATTTTATTGTGCAAAGAGTGTCTAAGATATTAGCTTTAGAACCACAAAATTATATATATCTATAGCACAGTACATGTAAACAGGAACAGAGACATTATTACTCATTATTTCCTGTTAATGTTAAATGTATAAACCATAATATATTCTGTCAATGATCATTTCCTCATACAGTACTTTAAGCTTATTATACCATACATAATGTTATATTCATATACTACTATTATTCATATTGTTTAATGTGATCAAGTCATAATATTTGAGACTTGAGAGAGACAGAGTGACTCATTGATCAAGACTAAAATGCTGGATAGCTAACCAGAGGGTTTCGGGTTTGCACCTGGTACATGTAGTGTGCAGAGAAAGTTCCTCAGGGTTTTCTGGCGTAGTTTCCCCTTGTCAGTGGGTACAGGGCAGGGGGACAGTGAGTCTAGTCATTATGATGGTATGAAAAACTGAATTCCTGTGTACCCATTGGCGTGCATGTAAAAGAACCTTTGACAATTGGAATTTAAGAGTAGGCTGTAGTGACGCTGTACAGACATACTGTCCCTCATAGTAATAGTACATGTACATGACTACATGTAGCACACTGTATGGTGTATGCCAGTTTTCATTATCACAGTCGGTGTACATTTAGGACATTAAACTCCCATTTCATTCATTCATATTGTATAATGCTGTCAACAGTGTCAACTCAGAATACTTGATTACAACACAGTACATTTATTTTAGTTTAATTTAAATTTTAACATTACATATATTCATGTGCGTCAAAATACAAAGAAGAGCTAATCCATAATAAGCCCTTACACAATCTAAATATCATACATAAATGAAGTTAATATTATAAAACGTTCATAAACAATAACTGAACAGTTAAATTGTACATAAAACCGTAGGTTAAATATTCTGAATACTCTAATTCAACTGATATATGTAAAGATTACATAGATGTTCATAAACAATAATTGAACAGTTCCACTGTACATTAAACTGGACCTTACACATCCTGAATATTTACATGTAAATACATGTAAAACTGATATTTATATAAAGATTATATATATGTTCATAGACATTCATAAACAATAATTAAACAGTTGTATTGTAAATATCAGTTATATAAATTCTATTACTATATTGTATGAAAATTAGCGTTGATAAAAAATTAAATACTTTTTAATGCCTTTATTAGTTTATTTATTATTAAATATTTCAACAAATCATGAGAAGTATTCATTTCTACATTGTATTTGGACATTCAGTAACAAAAATAGGTTGAGCCCCATAGAATTAATTCATAAAGAAAACAGAAGTTAACTAATTGTGTTTTTATATTTTAGACGTTTCGTCCTAAGAAAAGATTTGATGTTGGTACTATGAAATATAGTTTACACAAGCAGGCCAATGCTTCATTAAATGCTGGAATAGATTTAAAAGAAGTTGTAAAATTACCACCAGGTGAAGATGTTAATGATTGGATTGCTGTTCATGGTAATATCATTATTTATTTTATTCAGACTTGATACATGTATAACGGGGATAATTAAGTCAGAAAGTCATGCAGAGAAATAACCCTTTAAGTGTATAATGTATTTCTGGTATTCTCATTAATATGCTGTAAAATTAAATCTGCATATAATTAAAAATAAGTAAAAAATAGAACTAGAGGTAGAGCAACTGTGCTTGTCTGGGATATCACCCAAGGTGGAAGCAGACGTTAAACCTCAAGGAATGAACGAACGAAAGCATCAGTATTCATGAAATATAAACTTTACTAGAAAATAAATTATCAAGATCAATGAAATAATTTACAACAGTTGTCCGTTTTAAATCTCAATTCAAAACATTCTTGTTTCAAAACCCTGATCTGTAAATAATCAGTGAATATAACAACCAGTGGCCCATTAGAAACTGTTCTTTGGTATTAATGCACTTTATTGATGATGATATTATTATTAACTGTGGTACGTGCTGCTGTGTGTGTGAAATATTTATTTTTTATGAATTCTGTTTTATATTAATGTTACGATATATGTAAAGATCAAAGGATTACAATTAGTAGTCAGCGTCCACTGGAAAAGGGAGATCTAAATTCCAGGAACAGAATTTAATGAACTATACACATACTTATGGAAAAACAGCTACTTATTTATTTGAGCAACGTTTTGAAGAGTATTCTCTCAATATTATCAAGCTAACGTTGAGAGAATTCTCTTCGAAACGTTGCTCAAATAAATAAGTAGCTGTTTTTCCATAAGTATGTGTATAGTTTATTGCTCTATCCAGTTACTAAATGCCTCTTAAAGATTAGAGTTTAATGAGGAAATTAATAATCTGATTGATATTTATAAATCAGAATAATTAATTGTGCTTGAGGTAAGCCCTGGAAAAATGATGATATCCTTTGAAGCCTCTCTATACAGTAATGTAACATTTATTATGGCTTGAATATTTCATTTTGATATTCTTTTGCAGTTGTTGATTTCTTTAACCGAATAAATCTGTTATATGGAACAGTATGTGAGAATTGTACAGAACAGTCATGTCCTACCATGAGTGGTGGACCAAAGTAAGTAACATACTGTGTAAAGTTATGATATATTATTTTTTTATGGTCCATCTTAGTCATACACAGCATTTTATTTTACATACATACATGTATATTGTATATTGGAAAGGTGGATTATTTTATCAAATTTTTAAGTTAAAACTGTATACATACAAGTACACTGACTAGTTTAAATTCTGTTGTAAAAAGGGGGTTGGATGGCCGAATGGTTAGCATGTGCGCGCTTTATCATAAGGGTTGTCTTTGAGTCAACTGGCGGGGTTTTGATTTCCCTGTTGTATGTGACAAGTAGTAGGGTCGTCTGTCCAACCTTGTTGGTTTTCTCCAGGTCCTCAGTTTCTTCCCACTGCTAAAGACCCCTTCGCGCAAGCCAATTATGAAATAAAATTGAACCATGTGTTAGTCCCGAAATAACCTAGTTTGTGTCACGTGGATATTGAATCCCATCTCTCTCTCTCTCTCTGTTGTAAAAAACACCAAGTGGTATTTTTGAAGCCTTGTCCTTGCTTGTTGAGGGCAGTGCATTTTAGAGATGCAAGGATATATGTTCAGTTATTCCTGTTTACACATAGGCATTATACACCATAGATCACTTTTAACTATTTGGAAAAAAGACAAATTATTGTTTACAATTTTCCCCTTTTACAAACTGGACTGATCTTTGAACTTATGATGTACCACTAGACCAACTGGTTTAACCTGTCACATGTAGTACAACTCCCAAACATGATATCATTACATTTACTAGAAATAATTAACTTGTCACTTATTTAAGTTAATTTATGATAATTACATGTGAACTCATGTTACTATAGAGGTTGATGTACATGTGATACTTGAAGTTCATCATACATGAACGATGTCAGCACATATACAGTACACTTCAGTTAATGATGACACTAAATTTTGATTAGTGTGGTTGGAACAAAATAGAGAGAGAAATGGGGTTTATCATTCACTCACACAAACTAGGTCATTTTTGGGATAGCATGTACAAGCTGGGAATCAAAACCATGCCCCTTGACTCAATAATATGTGATAATTAAGTTACAAAAATACAACACAAGGTATATATATGGAGATAACTACTTCTCTATTATTTAATTTCCCAACCCCTGTTCAAAAACAACATCCCAATTAATTACTATACATCAATAATCACTTTGGTTGTTATTTTTTAACAGCAATCGGGGAAACTACTTCTCTGTAATCTAATAACGACATTTCGTAAAATGTGTTACGAAATGTCATTATTAAATAACAGAGAAGTAGTTCTATCCATTATATACCTTGTGTTGTGTTTTTGTTTTGACTTCTAAATGTCATACAAGGAATTGTATTGGTATGATTGTGATAGATATAAATGATATGTTATTGTTTATAATTTAGGTATGAGTATCATTGGTATGATTGTGATAGATAAATTATACATAAATTGTTTATAATTTAGGTATGAGTATTATTGGTATGTGATAGATATAGATAATATGTTAATGTTTATAATATAGGTACGAATATCATTGGTGTGATGGTGATAGGTATAAGAGACCGACAGCCTTACCAGCTCCACAGTATATATCATTATTAATGGAATGGGCTGAAAGCCAGATAAACAATGAAAATATCTTTCCTGTCACAGTTGGTAAGTTATCTAATTTAATCTGGTTTCAAGTCAAATTACATGTAAGATGGTCGGTTATGCAGGGGAATGTTTAGGAATTTGAGCAGCAGGGGTCCATGATGGAGACAAGTCTGGTGGATTACCCAAGACTTTTATAAAATGAGAAAGTCTCGAGTCTTGAGACAATATTTCTCCTCATTTAGAAATTAGACGTATACATGTATAGGATTAGAGTAGAGAGAGGCTTTGATGTTGGTTTGACGTTCTGTTGTTGAACGTAGGAGAAAAAATATGTTCTGTGGAAGCAGGAGCCCCCCCCCCCCCCAATCTAGACGCGCGCCTGTTTTTAGTGAAGGAATCATTAGTGGTCACATCTCACATCAAATGCTGATTTTACTATTCAAGATTTTTAATAGTAAGTGCAGTAATTTGATTCAATAAGATAAGATATTTATTGCACTGAACACCCCTGTTGAAATGGTAAATTGTTTGGATCGTGTTTGAAACAATTTTAGATTTCTGGATACTGTTAATCGTTCAAATCAATATAATATTTCTTTAATCTATTTGATTATTTTATATCGTAACATTAGTTGATTTCAACAAAACACTATTATTAAATATTTAATAAGATACAAAAAAACATATCGAATTCCATTAAATTGAATTCGCTTTGCATAACAAAGAGTAAAAAATTCATTTTGATAATGATTAATGTAACTGGTAAACCTTTCCCAATAATATCATCATTATATTTTTTAGGTGTTCCTTTTCCCAGAAATTATCTTCAGTCATGTAAAAAGATATTGACGAGATTGTTCCGAGTTTTTGTACATGTTTATATTCACCATTTTGATAAACTTGTAGCAATTGGAGCAGTAAGTATATTATATATTTCTAGATTTCATGTAACAGTTCTCTTCATAAGGTGAGGACTATACAATTCTCTCTGAATTTAATTGTGACAGACTATCTAAAGATAGCAAATTCCATTTTCAGAGATCATGGTTTAAGTAGAAATAATTTTTACATATATTTGTGGAATTTTTCTGATGTCTTATGGTATTGTTTTAGTTGCATTTTGAAATGAGAACTCTATCAGAAAGTGGGTTAATTTATTAAGTTTTATGATTGTAGCCGCATAAAATAAAAGTTTGTTACTGTATTAGGCACACTCTTTTTACCAAATATATTATTTTCTAGAAGGGGTGCGCCTAATATGTATACATAATGTTAAGCAAATCCAGGATTTTCCCGTGTCGAAATTTAAGTCAGAAGCTCAAGAATTAAATTGCCCTAGAATCAACACATGTTGGTCAAGTGAGGCTATATCAAAAGCTTATGATATATTATCACCCAAATTAAATACAATACTGTTCCCTTTCATGTAATGTTTTATTTGTCAATAATGTTTTAGATATGTTTGAAATCCGTCCACGTTTGTCAATAACGTTTTAAATACGGTTAAAATATGTCAATAATTATCGCCAGATTTTTGATATTGTGCGCATCACACAAGCATTTTCATTGACTCAGTATAAGTCATTGGTATTGTCTTTACTGTCACAGCACTAAAGGGTACGTTTGGTATGGCATGTGTTTAACAGGGCGCTTTAGAAGGGTGCATCTAAACCATACACTTTTATTTTTTTTTCCTGGAACACCTCTGCCAAAATCACACCGAAGAATATGGTGTATTTGTTGACAAATTTGTCTACTTCAAAATCATCATAACCTGGCTAATAAAGAATGGACAGTGTAACACACCCTTAATGAGCTGGTTTTCAAGCCTAGTTCCCACTTGTCTGGGATAGGGCCTGTGTGGACTGACACTTAAAGTACTAGTCATTCATATATTGTAATACTGATAAAAAAAGAATACTAGAAACAGAGAAAAAATAATATTAGATTATTCTCATCGAAATCGGGATAAATTGGCAAATAATTCACAAGATTTTTTTTTCATCGAAATCAGGATAAATTGCGCAAATAATTCACAAGTTTTTTTTTTGTTACAGGAAGCTCATATTAACACCTGTTATAAACACTTCTATTACTTTGTTACTGAATATAACTTAGTGGACAAGAAAGAACTTGAACCTCTGGTAAGTTGATTACAAAACATAGTTATCTCCCTTATATTAGCTATCCTGTATGTATAGATAATGATTAAAACTTTGCCTTTTAGGATGGAATCTTCGTAAAATAAGATAAAAGTCACATCAGTTTGTAGTACAGTTTGGCTAATTTTAAAAATACCGGTATTTTAATGACACAACAGCTATCTTTGAGAGGCATTTAGCACCATAAAAACAAACACAACACATTGGTTTATATGCATATAGGACGACGTTTAGACAAGTATTTTTTTTATACGCCTACATTTTCACGTGGACGTATATTGTCGTCACCCCTGTCCGTCCGTCCATCCACAATTGTTTGTGAACAGTCTACAGGTCACAATTTTTATCCGATTTCAATGAAACTTGAAATATAGGTTTATCACCCTAAGATCTCGGTTTCTTTCGATATTGGCATCTATCGGACCGTAACTTCATGGATTATGTCCCCTGATTGTACGAAAAATCACGTTTTTGGCTTGTGAACACTGTAGAGGTCACAATTTTTATCTGATTTTCACGTGGACGTATATTGTCGTCACCCCTGTCCGTCCGTCCATCCACAATTGTTTGTGAACAGTCTACAGGTCACAATTTTTATCCGATTTCAATGAAACTTGAAATATAGGTTTATCACCCTAAGATCTCGGTTTCTTTCGATATTGGCATCTATCGGACCGTAACTTCATGGATTATGTCCCTTGATTGTACGAAAAATCACGTTTTTGGCTTGTGAACACTGTAGAGGTCACAATTTTTATCCGATTTTGTTGAAACTTGAAATGTAAGTTTATAACACAAAGATCTTGATTCCTTTCGATATTCGCGCATATCGGACCGTAACTTCATGAATAATGGCCCCTGATTGTACGCAAAAACTCGTTTTTTGGCTTGTGGTACCTATAGAGGTCATAATTTTTATCTGATTTAAAAAAACGTGTTAATATATCACCGTTACACCCTAAGGATGGCTGAGTTCGAATTTCGTGAAAATCGGTCCAAAACTGACAGACAAAATGGCCGCCGTTCGTTCTCAAATAGCGTAAAAATATAGTATATCAAGGTTGTGGATCCTATAGAGGTCACAATTTTTATCCGATTTTGTTGAAACTTGAAATGTAAGTTTATAACCCAAAGATCCTGGTTCCTTTCGATATTCGCGCATATCGGACCGTAACTTCCTGAATTATGGCCCCTGATTGTACGTAAAAACACGTTTTTTGGCTTGTGGACCCTATAGAGGTCATAATTTTTATCATATTTAAAAAAACGTATTATTGTATCACTGTTAAACCCTAAGGACGGTTGAGTTCGAATTTCGTGAAAATCGGCCCAAAACTGACATACAAAATGGCCGCCGTTCGTTCTCAAATTGCGTAAAAATATGGTATATCAAGGTTGTGGACCCTATAGAGGTCACAATTTTTATCCGATTTTGTTGAAACTTGAAATGTAAGTTTATAACACAAAGATCTTGATTCCTTTTGATATTCGCGCATATCGGACCTTAACTTCATGAATAATGGCCCCTGATTGTACGCAAAAACTCGTTTTTTGGCTTGTGGTACCTATAGAGGTCATAATTTTTATCCGATTTAAAAAAACGTGTTAATATATCACCGTTACACCCTATGGATGGCTGAGTTCGAATTTCGTGAAAATCGGCCCAAAACTGACAGACAAAATTTCCTGAATTATGGCCCCTGATTGTACGTAAAAACACGTTTTTTGGCTTGTGGACCCTATAGAGGTCATAATTTTTATCATATTTAAAAAAACGTATTATTGTATCACTGTTAAACCCTAAGGACGGTTGAGTTCGAATTTCGTGAAAATCGGCCCAAAACTGACATACAAAATGGCCGCCGTTCGTTCTCAAATAGCGTAAAAATATGGTATATCAAGGTTGTGGACCCTATAGAGGTCACAATTTTTATCCGATTTTGTTGAAACTTGAAATGTAAGTTTATAACACAAAGATCTTGGTTCCTTTCGATATTCGCGCATATTGGACCGTAACTTCATGAATTATGGCCCCTGATTGTACGCAAAAACGCGTTTTTTGGCTTGTGGACCCTATAGCTCATAATTATTATCCGATTTAAAAAATCGTATTATATCACCGTTACACCCTAAGGAGGACTGAGTTCGAATTTCGTGAAAATCGGCCAAAAACTGACAGATAAAATGGCCGCGCTTCGTTCTCAAATAGCGTAAAAATATGGTATATTCGAGGTTACAATTTTTATCCGATTTTGTTGAAACTTGAAATGTAAGTTTATAACCCAAAGATCTTGGTTCCTTTCGATATTCGCGCATATCGGACTGTAACTTACTCAATTATGGCCCCTGATTGTACGAAAAATCGCGTTTTTAGCTTGTGGAGCCTATAGAGGTCATAATTTTTATCCGATTTAAAAAAAACTATTATTTTATCACCGTTACACCCTAAGGTCGACTGAATTCAAATTTCGTGAAAATCGGCCCAAAACTGACAGACAAAATGGCCGCCCCTCGTTCTCAAATTGCGTAAAAATATGGTATATCAAGGTTGTGGACCCTATAGAGGTCACAATTTTTATCCGATTTTGTTGAAACTTGAAATGTAAGTTTATAACTCAAAGATCTTGGTTCCTTTCGATATTTGCGCATATCGAATTGTAATTTCCTGAATTATGGCCCTTGATTGTAGGAAAAATCACTTTCGTTTTAGCTTGTTTTATATCCATCTCTCGAAAATGTGGGCGTATCCTGCCTGGCAGCCGCTGGTTATCTTTTCAAAAAATATCCAAGCATTTCTAATGTACGACTCTTATCGAGAATTCATTGAGATTGTTGCCTCCAGAAACCAAGGTCAATTTTGGCCTCCTGGCTACACGATTATGTCAGGTTTCGTGTAAAAGGAAGAGTATACATACAGATCTTTTTGTTGAGTTTAGTAGAATAGCTTTGTTGTCATATATTGGCCATTTAAAGTAGAAAATGGGTTGAAGCTACATGGTAGCAGAAGAAATTCAAATTTTTACCAGTCATGTAAAGCTTATGCTAGTCTAGTTTAGCCAAGCACATCAAAATATGGTGAATCAACATTTATGGCGAGGTGAAGGTCTGTAAGGGTTTGGTGTGTCTTCTGATGAAGGGGCCCCAGATTTGGTTGCAGTTGATTTGGTGTTGGTTGTTAGTGGGCTACATTATTACATTGTCTGTTTTCTGTTTTCTTATTTTCCTGCATTGTGTATTGATTTAAAAGATGTTATTTTTCTTCTTACAGAGGGATATGACAGAAAGAATATGTCACTAGACTTCCATCAAGCAATCTAGTTTTAAACCGAAGTATTTATTACTGCTGCTATAGTAACAACATGGTGGTAAGCAACAGTAACCATAGAAACCATGTATATAGAGAAGACCAGCCTGTTGTCTTTACATATCTGTGATCTCTGAATTATAATCATACTTAGTAACAAATCTTAATCAAATAATGTCTGAACATCATCTTATTTCTTTCTTTGACGTTTTACTATCGTCAAAAGTTAATACACCTATCTATAGTTTTCTTGATCCGTAATGGTGGCAAAAAATGTCCAATATAGGGTCCATTTCTTTTTTTTTTACTACAGTAGATCTGAAAGTAAAGTTCTTGCCAAAGATATTTAATTGAGTGTTATGTGTAATAATATGAATATTGTTGCCAAACTATTGACTGTGATTTTTCAACTGTTAGTCATGACCGTATAGAGTCAACTATGAAGACAAGGGTTATTACTCGACTGTTATTTCCTAAGCTTTCAAACTCTTAATATAATGTATAGAAATAAAACAGGTGTGCAGCTGACTGACTAAACCTCAACAAAAATCTAAGATAAAGAAATTTGTTGGTTGAACTTCTCTCTCATTTAAAAAACAATCTTAATCTTGTATGGATAATACTCATGTTATGAGCAAAAATATTACCAAATTTTGTCACCTGAAACTTGATCAAAAGTGGTTGGTATTTGATATACAGATAATATTTCAAATAGAGTTTTACTACTTACATTAGGGCTTGACTATAATGCAGATGTTAGGGTCCGCTATAAGGTCCAAGTGTATACATGTTAATACCCCTAGGCTGGTGTAATCTGTATATTTTATTCACCTATGATATATTGTATCGCCATGATGCAAAACATTAAAAATGGCTAGATTGCTCATATATATATGTCATATATAGAAATCTATGTATATTATAATCATCGTTTTAATTGTTTAGTTTGAACATACTTGTTACAAGATTGAAGATGAATTTCTTTTAATAGTCAAGATGTTTATGTATCAATAGATTTAATTGTTTTCTTAGACACAAAAAAACAAATGTATGCCAATGTAGATACATGAAAATGTATTTTGGTCACTCTGGATTTAAGTTGGTGTTAAGGATTAAAGGAGGTTGTTCCTTAAATATTGTATCATTTGAATTTGTGCTTTGTTTGTGTTTATGTCTTCGCATACAATTAAATCTCAACTTTATTTGCAAACAGAGAAAATCAGGTTTTTGTTTTTTAAAAATTTTTTTGAAAAGATAGTATTTTAGTAAATAACTTTAAGAGGCATTAGAATGTTCAACAAGAAAATGAATGTAATAAATTTTTTAGAATATTATATTCAAAATAACTCGGATAATTATTGAAAATGAAGAACTGGCATACATGTACTTACTTGAAAGCATTGTTGAATGTAGGCTATGATGCGTACCTGTACAAAATCTTAAAATATCTCTTAACTCAGCAATGGTGGATTGGCAGGTCTGGCTGAAATTTTTCATGCTATCTAATTTTTCACCCCTGATTGGTGAAGATATTCAAATTTCTAATGCCTCTTTAATTGTTATTTTAATAAAATGCTAAATTTGTTTATTAAATTAATGTCAATGTCCCATTAATAAATTTGAAAGAAAATTCATCCAAATGTATTATGTCATATCCCAGTTTCATATATCATTTGTAATCCTATATTATTATAGACTGTTTATCTTTTTTTATATGTATTGAGGTAGTTAATATAGAGGGCTTTTGTTTCATCGATTTATACTGGTCATTATCTAATTAATAGTGCAAATGACTGATAGAGTAATAGCTGATTAGATCAACACATAGTAAACCCATAACATTGTTTGTGTTATTTGTAAAAATTTAAACTAACAAAAAAATGCTTATTGAGAAAGCTTTGACTTAAGTTACAAAATTTTGTTGTACATTTGTATTTGATATCTAAATTATCTGATTTTTAACCTGAAAATATTGTATATGGATAGGTTTTGAAACAAAATCCCTAATTATGTGGTATTTATATTTGTATTGTGTTATTACTAGTCTATGTGGCCAATATTTCAGCATTGAAAAGCAGGGAATACAACCTCACAACGCAAATGATTGTGAGTAGGATGTAAATGGTATTTTCTACTATAAAAAACGTGAACAAGAACAAATTAGATTAATCATGCGATTATAGAAATAGTTTGATTTTAAAAGCCAAATTTCTTCAACTTACCTCATCACTTTAAGAATATAAAGAGTTAAATTTTATTCACATGTAGAAGTGTCCATTTTTTTAACGACTGAAATAGTTTGGCCATGTCCCATTTATATTGTATACATATGTTATATCACTTTCCAAACTAATTTCTGTATGAAGATTTTTTGATAATTATTTTACACTTTAGTTTTCTATTGAACTAATAATCTAATAACTAAATAAAGGGTTTATGGGATTTTTCTTGACTACTTATTTATTTTTCTTGAATATTTTTCTGGAGTAATATATGTATATCAACTGTAGTATAAATATTATTTTCATTGCTTGTTTTAGCTAGAGCTTTTATATTAAGAAATGCATTATGTTTATTTCAGAGCATAATTGATACAAATGTGGTAGAAACTTTGTATTTAATTTATATATTATGTAATATAAATAGATATGGAATTTTGTCTGTTAGGCTTGCCAGGTATATCCCGCTTTTTTAATGTCAAAAAAGAAACTTTTTCTATTTTTCTCTTTAGGTAACTAATTAAGATATATGTATAATAATGATTATTAATATTTTTTAAAAAATAACGTTCAGCTAAGACAAACAGAAAAATAATTGATTGATCATTATTATTTTGAATCTGTACTTTCATTGATTAGAATGATCTTTTATAAATAAGGCTCATTTGGATGTTTGTGTAAATACACAGATAGTCATGTCTTTTTTAAAACAGATTTATACTTAGAAAATGGAAAGGTACTATTAAAAAAAACCCTCTTGATATAACAAGAATTAATAATACGACACTGTTTAAAAAAAACAAAACAACTGAAGTAAAAATAATTAGTCATTATATCTATAATTATTAAAGTTCCAATGAGCCAGAATAAAGATTGAAGCGTGGGTTTTCAGACCATTACAATTAAAAGTACTTCTATTAAAGAAATGTTTTGGTCCAAAAATTATTCAAATGTCTCCAGAAATTAAGTTATGATCATTTAATTTTGAGATTGATTTCTGTTTATTTCACATTGTCCTCTTTATGTGTCTTCATAAAGTCTTATCTTTATCGCTCAAGCCAGTCTGTCCTTCATAAAGGTTACTTCAGTTCAGACTCAGATTACAAAATAACAAGAAGGATTGTTACATTAAAATAGTATCCTACCTATTTATGATTTGTGCGATATGTAAATAATCTGACTTGTTCTGTCTTTAAGATGCAAGGATAAGTAGACAACTATTTATAAATCTAGATAAGAAATTTTTAGAGGAATAAAGATTTGCTAAAATGTCACGGGCAACAAGACATTGATTCTGAATTAGTTTAACCCAATAAAGTTGTCTGTCTTAACACTGTAGAAAGAAATAATCCTTTCTTTACAAGGCAACTGGTGTTTATTAAGTCTTCATTAATCAGAGTTATCTGTTCACAAAGGGGGTGTAACTCCACGGTTTAAACTCGATGGACTAATAGTAAAGTAGATCACTGTTCTTATACAATGATAAATGGTAGGAAAGAAGATCTAGAGATTTTTTTCTCTTAGTTAAATGGGTGTCTGGACAACACTAAACTCTTACACGGTTACTAGAACCGCATTCAATACCAAATTATTGACCAGACTACCGTTATTCATGATCAGTTGCACAATAGAACATTGGTGGGAGACTAATGGTATTCCCTACTCTCATCCAGTTATATTCTTCTATTTGTTATAAGTATTTTGTTTAAGAGCACTATTTTTCGTTATTTCGCCTTTTCTAAGAATATACAGTTATCCCTAGATCACCAATAATTGTAGTGTCGCAGTTGTATTTATCACAAAAGCTAACAGAGAAAATTTGGTTTTAATAATATATTTTTCTAGTTTTTTTCCATGGGTTAAAGTAATAGAATTTAGAATATTTGCTTTAGAGTAAGGTGGGCAGGTTTTTTGGGTTAAATTCTGGATTTATATTTTAAATATTTAATTAACAAAATATAATTGTGCCTGGTGCATAACCTCACTATTTTATGAGATTATATACGGCAAATGGTTGCCCATATTACAGGTATTAATCATACATTTACATGGAGATATTTTTAGGGCAGAGTAAACACATTTGCTGTGGTCAAAATATATCACAATCGTCTCATTATGTTTTTAAATGGTCAAAACCTAATGCTTATAATAGAATCATCATAATGTCAATTGAATTTTATAATGCAATGTCTTTGTAATTAAATGTAATAGTCTTATTTGAGATATTGGTATTAAATATGGAAACCCCATGAGAAGTCAAATATCGTGTAACATAACGGACTCTGTTTAGTGCTGTGTGATATTTCATTTTTTGTAGATTTTATTTTCTTGTAGCTCATAAAATTTTGCTCCAAAATATTAGAAATGCACTAGAAAGTCTTTTAGTTTTCTTGGTTTGGCAAATAAATTTGATTTATTAATGAAGTGTTTAGATTTATATATCCAACTACTCAGGTGGGAAAGAATGCTTTCAGAAATTGAATCCGTTGATTTATCTAATTATTGTGAATGAAAGACAAAAAATAGAATGGTGATTTTGTGGTGAGCAAGCTATGACCAAGCTGCATTAAATGTTTGGTTACACCACCAGATATTGGCTTCTCATTACAGTAAGCCAGATCATATCTCCAGATATTCCTACCCATTACAGTAAGCCAGATCATATCACCAGATATTCCTACCCATTACAGGAAAGAGATGGGGTTTAACGTCCACTCGACACAAACTAGGTCATTTTCTGTAGTTGACCCAAGCAAGCTCGAACCATCTGCCATCTCAACTACTGACATTGGGCTAGGTCACGCCATCTGATATATTCTGTACGGGCGATCTTAAATAAGCCCAAACCACCAGGGCGACCTTCGGATGTAGACTATGGTCGCGACTACAGTCTGAACCAGCACCCAAACGCAAATGGCCCTAGCCATTGACTATTCAATATGGTGGCTCCCATGTCAGTTGTTCCGCCTGCTATATTTTCTCCTATTTACTCATGTATTTTTAAAAACTAATTAATTTTCCATACTGTGACGTGAAAGCAAGCTTAAAATAGGTTACAAATAGGATTAGTCAATATCGGAATATTTTTCATTGGATTTATGTCACCCAACCAAGATCATTTCACACGTACAGTTTTTTGTCGTGTGCCTATATATATTCGAATACGATCCTAATCTGTCAAATTCATCAAAAATAAAAGACGAAAAAAAAATCAAATTTAACATCTTACTACAATGCCCATTCACTAACTTTCAGGTGTTAACATGGGCCCTATATACCGACCAAGGTGTAAATAACGCAACGGCAATTGGCAATTTTATTATATTTTTCATAAAATATTCTCAAATGTCAGTTTTGTCAGTCATCTTTGAACTATCCCGACCGTGCTTTATCGCATGGTACGGCTGGTCACGACCACTGGTTGAACTAAATGCCATTCGCATGCAGATGGTTCGACTATAGTACGAAAATCTGTGCACCCGAAGGTCGCCCTGGTATCTCTGCTCCTGACAGTAGGTTAGTTCACATCGTACTGGTGATGTAACACTATCTTAGTGATAACAGAGATCAGTTTAGTAAATATAGGATTTATTTACATCAGGTATATAAAACAGCTACAGTTACATAATACAACAACAATACGGGAACTTAAACTATACATGAACTAGACTACGACATGAACATATATAACTATATTAAATCCACCATTCTGCCCCTCTGCCAAGGCAGCCGCTGAACGCGGGTGGGTCCATACGTCTCTGCGTCTCTCCTCCTCTCCAGTCGTCTCCTAACTGTCAGCAAAACTTCTGCCTATATAGCGTACGACAATTAGGGAAAATGATTAAGAGGGATCATCATATATGGTATTGTTTATTTATCAGACTATGATATTTGTAATGGCACTGACTATTTCCTTTGAAGTCATTAACAGTTCATGGTATGATGCACTGACCACTAGTACATTCCCTTTGAAGTCCTGCCGAGTGTTGCACACAGATCATGTGCAGCCCGGAAATGATATATTGAATTAATTACATGTTTAATTAGATCATAGCCAGTCCGTGCCATAACAGAAGTTTAAACGAGTTGAAACGTCAATGTCATATATTATCAAAAACCAGCAGAGGTCATAAAGTTCTAAGCACCTAAATGATCGTTCAATTTGATGAAAGTTATAGAGTACTTTGTCACAGTGACCGTACACACACATCCTCCTAGCTCATGCCCCCGTTGAATTACCACATGTCATTGAAACAATTTAGAACAAAAATACGTGATTTTGATTTGTACAGATGTTATTTTTTTTTTCTACAATTTTAACTACAATGTGCAAAGATTATATATTACAGACTTTTGCATCAGGCTTTGTATTTGAAATAGTTTTATTACATTTTATTGATTGCCTTTGGTTCGCTTCGGGAGATTACAAATTGTAAAATTAGCAATGATTGTCATGTAAGAATAAAATATTAGTGTCTTTATCTTCTTACAAGCAAATATTATACTCAATTATTTCCTAGTAACTTGTAATTATCGTTTATTTTATTGGATTAAATTTAATGGACCAGTCGGCTGAGTAAACCGTAGCATATTTAAGTGCTGGTATCTGGCATATAATTGAATCAAGTATTTCTGTAAGCCATTATTTTACTGTAATTTGGTATATTATTTTTTATTTCCCATAACTTATAATCTATCGAACATAACGTTTTTGATCTAGTTTCGTCGATTTTTTTTTTTTAAAAAACGCAAAGTCTTTACCACTTAAAAGCCGCGCGCGCGGGGGGGGGGGGGGTGGGGGTGGTGGTTAACACGTGCGCTCTGTATCATATAGTCTGTCATTGAGTCAAGTGGCGTGGTTTCGATTCGATTCCCCGGTTGTACGTGACAAGGGGTAGGGTCGCCTGTCCAACCTCGTGGGTTTTCTCCGGGTCCTTTTTTTTTTAAAAGCGAAGTCTCTACCCATTCAAAGCGCATATAAAATTGATATGTGGTATGTACTTGGAGTCAATGTTTATTGTATATACTTTGTACCAATTTCACATCAATCTGATTCAAATTATTCGATGTATGACCGTTAATTTTTGTCATACGCTCTAAAACACGTTTCAATGTTACGATTACAGCAGCGGGAAAATCCCCTTGCATGCGATTGGTTCCTCTCGCAAGTTTCCTATATAGAAAACATTTGTCTGCGATATCACCCCACCCTCATACACAGTCTGTCTACAACTATTCCACTTCCATTTAATAAATTGAAAATGTTTATTTAATCGTTGTGTGTATGACAGGTGTGAAACAAAGAAGAACAGCATAACAAAAGAGTATACTAAGTCAACTGCATGTCGAATACCCGTCTCGATTATCCCGGTATGTAGAGAAAAAGAGAATGTTAAAACCTGACATTTTATATTTTTGGTTCTAATTCACCCGAGTTGTTTGGTTAAACAACATATAGATGTATGTACAAAAGAATCGTTGACATTAACAACAGATACAAATTCTCGGACTCTCAGTTCGACAGGCACTCGAAGGGATTGAAATTTCTTACATTGTCTTGTGAAATGATTGAGGACGAAATGTCTTCACCGAGTCAAAATAAAATGGCGCGTGATATAGCTTTTCCCTATTTACTAGTATGCTAGACAGGATAATGTAAGAAATTATAATTCCATCAAGTGCCAGTGATTATATATATATATATATATATATATATATATAAACGAAATTTATGAAATTGGGATCAACCGCCTACTTTTCTGCACCAACTAAAGTTCAAAACAATGAACTTATCAGACGTGTTATATCTTTTTAAAATATATTCTAAACTTTAAACCTTATGAACAAAGAAAATATGCCGGGAAATATAATTTGATTGAAATAGTCAATATATTCATTTTTCTTTATCTATTTCTGTACGGACAACTCTTTGTCTAATTCATACATCATGCATCTTTAATTAGATTTTGCTATTCGATTACATTGATGTCATTTTTTATCCTACTTTTTTTCCTAATCTGTTAATTTTAAGGCAGTCGATCAATATTTTTAATTTTTTTTTTATATAAGAGATGATTTATTGAACGTCTATCATATTCGACCCTTTTAGATTAAATTTGTTATTAAATAGAGCAGGGGGTTGGATGGCTGAATGGTTAGCACGTGCGCGCTTTACCATAAAGTGTGTCATTGAGTCAACTTGTGTGGTTTCGATTCCCCGGTTGTACGTGACAAGGAGTAGGATCGCCTGTACAACCTCGTGGGTTTTCTCCGGGTCCTCCGGTTTCCTCCCACTGCTAAAGACCCCCTACGCGCAAGCGAATTATTGAAATAAAATTAAACCATATGTTAGTCCCGAAATGACCTAGTTTGTGTCGAGTGGACGTTAAACCCATTTCTCTCTCTCTCTCTCTCTGTCTCTCTCTGTCTCTCTCTCTCTTAAATAGAGCTCAATTCTGAAATGTCATACAGGATTTACAATACGTGACGCATTGCAAAACGAAATGAACCATAATGAAATACCAATCTATGATATCAGATCACAGATCAAATTTCCAAGTGCTATAAAACTCTATAGATCTGACATGTTTCAATTACATATCAATCGAATCAAATTGATCTCATAAATCGCCAATTTACTGTCTAAGCCGAATGTATGCTGACAGACTACTGTTATTTATCACCTTCGCTAATTTAAAGTGACCTTATCAATTTCTTTGAAGTGAAATAACAATTTTAGGGTTCTTTCCGATATCATCGATTTGATTAAAATTGACTGTAAATGTCATTTAAAGAGCTTCTGATCATAAGAATCCAGTGGGTGTTAACCCCAAACCTGAAACTAAGTCGATAATCAAATATATTTTGAGCACTGGCAATGGCTGAATGATCTAAAGTATGCATTTCGGATCACTATTCTGTTATCTATAGATGCAAAGTCGTGAGTTTCATCACTTAGAACTACCTGGGCTGTATATCCGAGTATTTATCTCGTTTCATGTACGCGTTTTTACCGGTTACATCGAAACGGTCATATTACATTTGCATTAGACCGACTTTTTCGCCGACGAAAACGCGGGGGAACGCCGCGACAACGCCGCGACAACGCAAAAATTGAAACGGGACCTAATAAAATGACCTGTGCACAAGTGACGTATTAAAATAGAAGTATTATACCATAAATTAGCTCAGGGTTGAGCGAACAGTACCACACACGAAACTGTCATACTGTATAATGAAACGAAATGAAATGGAGTTTAACGTCCTACTGTTCTGCTCCGACTGGGGTAATGAAGACGGGCATACGCCATACAGTGTGCTATGAGGGAAATTTTGCCCGGACAGTGGCGCTAAGCGTACTCTTATATCGAATTCCAACTGTCAAGGGACCGTTTACGTGCACGCCAATGTGTACACGGGA